AAAAAAAAAAAAAAAAAAAAAAAAAAAAAAAAAAAAAAAAAAAAAAAAAAAAAAAAAAAAAAAAAAACCACAACGTTCCGTGGCCAAGTCCCGCGTGCAGTCTTGGAAAGAGATCTCAGATGATATATTCACTTGTATCAGACCGCCCACCCTTGTTTAGCATCTTTGTGGGAAGAGCACCTCGTTCCAAGTGATTCTCAGTAATGTGAGATGTTTCGTTCCACTGGAAGCAGGCCATTGGACATTCTCTGCCCTGCGCCAGAGAACGAAGTCAGTCTTACTTCGCGCTTGATAGATCGCCAGGGAAGGCCAAACCAGACACTTCCCCCTAAACATCTGCATACAGAGCAGGGCAAGCTCAACTAAGAACGGAATGTGAGTACAAGCACTGAGGTAGATAGTAGAGCCTCTCCGACTATATTATATAAGTCACGGTCAAATCACGTTTCGACAAGACGCAGCTGGTGCGCAACAGCTTCTCCTGTTGGCAAAAAAGGTCAAGTTTGGCCCCGCCATCAGCTCCAATGCTCAGGCTTGCGCACACCTCCCAACGTACCCCTGCCGCGCGCCGGGGGCCAGCTCCCTACACAGTAAGTTACTGGCGCCCCAGCCCCAAGCCCCCTTCCCAGGTGGGCAGGGTTCCAAGGGTGATCGCGCGGCTGTCTCTTGCTTTTGGTGTTACCCCTCCAAGGAGAAGCAACCCCACCAAAATTCCATGGCAGGCGGGCCGCGAGTTTCCATCTGATCCATCCTAACCCCAAGGCTGACGCTCCTCCATCACACCTTACTTGACCCAACGCGAGACCAGGGCCCAACATCAAGGAGCAGAGGCAGCCATTGTCCCTTTCTGAAGCTGGTAGGGCTGCCCCCGATTGTTGACACACATCTTGAGCCCACCAATGCCTGACAGCTTTGCGACTTTGCAGGTCTCCTGACTCCTTCACCTCGACCTCCTCGACCGCTATTCCGAGGCCCATCCAGCTTCCTACTCTGAGCCTCGCCATCACGATTGACTACCTGCCCTTTCATCCTTACAGTCGCAAAGCCTCTCCTTGTCGCGCACAATCGCCTTCATCATGGCCGATCTTGCAAGTCGCATCACCAACCCGGACGACAGCGCTCCCGCGGCTGCTCCCGCTCAAGAAGCTGGCAGTCTCGAGGCAGCTCAGACCGATAGCGCCGGGGAGCTCGCAGGTGGATCTGGCCTGCAAGACGTCGAATACGACGTCGAGGTCTCGCTGAACGAGATCCAGCAGAATGCAGACCACCCCTTGGGCTCGGCCCTGACATTTGATCAGCTCGGATTGTAAGCTTCCTGGAACCAGCGGTTCGCTCTCCGGGGCTCTCCACTACGGCGAAGCCAGCTGACCCTTTCACCAACAGACCCGAATCCGTATTGAAGGGACTTACGGCAATGGGTTTCGTTAAGCCCTCCAAGGTCCAAGAGAAGGCTCTGCCTCTGATGTTGGCCGACCCGCCCCAGAACATGATCGCTCAATCGCAGTCAGGCACCGGCAAGACGGCAGCCTTCGTCACCACCGTGCTGGCACGCCTCGACCTGACTAAGCCACACCAGCCACAAGCCCTCATCCTGGCCCCCAGTCGTGAGTTGGCTCGCCAGATCCAGGGAGTTGTACAGATTATCGGCCAATTCTGCCAGGATCTGGTTGTGGAAGCCGCGATACCAGGTGTCATCGAGCGAGGCCAGCCTGTCAAGGGCAGCGTGGTTTGCGCAACGCCTGGCACGGTGATGGACCTGATCCGAAGACGGCAGCTTGACGTCTCTCAGCTGAAGGTGCTCGTTATTGACGAGGCCGACAACATGCTGGGCCAGCAGGGCTTGGGTGAACAGTGTGCACGAGTCAAGGGGTGAGTTGAAAGGATGAGCTCTCGTGCTTCACACCGGAACGTCACTAATCCGCGTGCTCAGTATGCTGCCTAAGAGTGTGCAAATCCTGCTGTTCTCGGCCACCTTCCCCGAGAACGTGCTGAAGTACGCTGCCAAGTTCGCACCCACTGCCAACCAGATCAAGCTCAAGGTGCAGGAGCTCACGGTCAAGGGCATCTCGCAGATGTTCATGGATTGCCCATCCGAATCTGACAAGTATGACATTCTGTGCAAACTGTACGGCCTCTTGACCATTGGATCTTCCATCATCTTCGTCAGGGTAAGACCTCGCCTACGTATTTGTGAGGAGGACTACGACTAACAATCAGATTCTAGACTCGAGAGAGTGCCGATCAGATCCAGCAGCGCATGACGGCCGACGGCCACAAGGTGACTGCTCTTCACGGTGCCTTGGAGGGCCACGAGCGCGATGCGCTGTTGGACGAGTTCCGGTCGGGCCGCACCAAGGTTCTCATCACCACCAATGTCCTTGCCCGAGGTATTGATGTGTCGACCGTGTCCATGGTCATCAACTATGACGTCCCCATGAAGGGCCCTGGCGAGCGGGAGCCCGATCCCGAGACCTACCTGCACCGTATCGGACGTACCGGTCGCTTCGGCCGTGTCGGTGTCAGTATTACCTTCATCTTCGACGAGAAGAGCTTCCGCGCTCTGCAGACCATTTCTGAGCAGTACGAGATTGATCTGATCCGACTGGTGCCGGATGATTGGGATTTGACGGAGACCGAAGTCCAACGTGTCATCAAGTCTAGCCGGGCCCAAGCTGGCTTCAACCCTAGTGCCAAGTAGCAGATGGTCTAGGTTGTCCAGAGGATGTATGCCTGCCTGTCTCGAAGGCATGGAGATCGGCTTGGAGAGGCCGCAGTGATCTGATGGGTGCTGTCCATGTATGCACCAATGCCATTCACACGATGCCACGGTGTTATGATATTGCCGAACAGGGACAGTTCGCTTGTTAGCTGTGCTGAAATGGTCAATTTGCAGGAAAAGGTTGTACCGAAAGGGGCTGGACAGGAGAGTTGAGAGCATGCAATGTAGATAGACTTGAGGATCATGATACCACCAATGAAAAGCCGCCGTGTTTTTGCGCAACCCCCAACTGCGGCAACGCATGCATGCGCCTTTCCGCTCAAGAAACAACCCTGCCTGCGACTGCGCACTGCTGCAGAAAATGCCAACATGTATACAGACGAGTGCCCTACCAACCAACATCAGATGGCAGCGGGTTACGCCAAGTATTGCCAGCGACCGAGTCATTCCCTTCCTTTGTTTGGGCTCATGCCCCTCCGCGGGATGATATAGTCGCACAAAGTCGCTCCTCCGAGGCCACTTGGTCAGCCTCAGTGGCGAGTGCTTGCACTCGTGACCGAGGGCATTAACCCATGCACCGGGAAATATTGAAGTAGACGTTGTCTCCACGAATAAGTTGCCGCCTCCAGGAAAATACAGACAGCCCGTGCGTTTACGCATGCTGCCCTAGTACTAGTTGTGCTTCGTTGGTATACAATGCTTCACCATGACCTCAAAGTGCAGTAACACAGGGATCCGGCCCCAGATGCAGTGCGAGTCACATCCAGTAATCTGCGCCTCGCAAGGCACGAAACAGGTGAGAAGACATCACAGCATTCACATCGTCGCAGTCGGCAACTCGGCCGGGCTGAACACAGCCTCGATTGGTCGAAATAGATACCTGCAGCTGCGTACCTTTTTTAAGCGCCCTCGCAGGTAAAACGGTCAAACCCCAAAAAGAGTCCCCTGGGTTAGGCGCGCGCAAATTGGGTGCCACACCCAATCGTTTGGAACACAGCCCTCGCCATCTTACGACCGATGCCTATTCTTGCTGACCAGCCGCTGTCATTCTCACGAACCTTTTGGGGAGGGCCATGTACCCGGTCTGACCACTCAGGACGCCGCAAATTCCGGCTCTGTCCAATCACGCATCCCGACGACCGCCCACTCTGTCCTCTTTTAGGTTCGGCGGATCTGCTTACAGGGCCGACGAGAGACAAGACGTCTCTCTCCTTTGCTGTGCGGTATAACGCCCGCCCGCAGACTTCGCCATGACGCAAGTCTGTTCCTGCCGGGCTGCGGGTCGCACTCTGCGATGCGCTGCTAGTTGGCGGCACGGCGTGACATCCGGGGGACTACTTCGCTGCGTCCGCCAATGTTATTTACGACCTGGCCCAGCTTAGTCGCCCGGGCAAGGGGTCCAAAGCTGCAGAGAGTGATGGGCTGTTGCGCGAGCCGCCTTTATTACATAGGGCCATGAAGTCCCGGCCTCTCATCTGGCCCCCCCTAATCTTTTTCTCGCCCCTATGCTGACTATGGAAAATTGTCATCTGTAACAAAAGTTTCCTTCTCGTCTTGTTCGTGCCTTGCCCTTTCGGTTTACGGTTGATGCTTGTTTCCTCTGTCGCCCCGTTTCTCCTTCTTCTCCTTCTCTCCCCGTCTCTATCTGTCTCCTTCAGCTCTCCTATGTTGTCCGGCTGCGCATAGCAATCCTTGCATTTCGTCCGTTGGCTGTGCTAGACCACCATGATGAGATGCTGGCCGTCTCTTATAGACCCAATCTCCATTTCCTAGGTGAGTCCCATTAATCCGGCCAGGATTGTTCCCCATCGATTAGGCGGCCTCCCTTCATATCATCAGGGCGTTTGGAAATCAGGACTCTTGTGTCACTCATATTCCTTCGGTGACTCCTTTTCTATCTCACCATTCGCACAATTGGTGATGACAGTGGCACAGCATATGGCCCCTACAGCACAGCACGAGATGATGGACAGCGAAGATCAAATCGTTAACCATCCTGTCTAGATGTTTCATAGAATGGCCTCCAAGCCTCTGCTCCAACAGTTATTCGTATGGGCCTCAATATCGCTCGTCAAAGCGTACGACATAACCCTCCCCGGAGCCACAAGCCCGTTTATCCCCTCGTGCGCTCAGAGCTGCCTGACGTCCTTCATCAACGATGACACCTTCTTCAAGGCTTGTGGGACTACACCCACGCTCCAATGCCTTTGCTCTCATCAATCTAAAGCGGGTTTTACGCTGGGAGAGGGAGCCATGACTTGTGTTGTAGGACTCAACTACTCTTGCCAGGCCAGCAATAACAATGGTTCGTTGTTCATGGACCTACACATACTATCAATCACTGACATGTCATCTGTAAGCAATAGCCGCCTTGGCTTCGAACGCCTATAACGTGTGCTCGGGTCAACCAAGTGCGGTGACTCCCACTCACCCAACACTCACGGCCTCCCTGGAAATTCAAACATCCAGCGCAACCGCGATCATCATAGTGATAGAGCCGAGCAGGATTCCACCGACTACTTCCGGGATTGTCGTGAGCACTACGTCGTCTTCCACACTGGAGACAGCGACGAACCCGCCAACCACCTTCATGACAGTGACCCCGGGAACGACAACACCCGCCAAAACATCATCAAGTACGACTAGCCCGACAGTCACCGCCAGTCCACAAACTACCGAGTCAAGCCAGCCTGCTCCAGCGAGACTTGGGACCCCACAGATAGTTGGAGTCTCTGTTGGTGTTGCCGGAGCCATTGTGCTGGCATTATTAGCGATATGCCTCGCCCGCCGGGCCCGAAGACGGAAGTATCCAGATATGGATACTGAGGGTTTCTTCCCGATGGACGAAAAGAGCAGCTTTGGAGTAGGTGGAGGAGGGGGTGCTGGCGGCGGTGTCGTGGCAAGAATCAGCAGAATATTCCACATCTCACCACCTATTCTCCGGCAGCCAACTCGGGAGGAACCGCCTGTTCCGCCTGCCCCGAGTGAATATTACAACGTCGACCGCAGCACTATCGGCTTAGCTATCTCCAGGCCGCGTAGTGAGGTGGCGCCGAAACAATCGTCACCGAGAGTCGAGCGGCGCGCCTCCAAGCTACTTCCACCCAAGCCACTGCGGCCCGTGAAGCCTAATCTCACCCTGAACATCCCGAACGCTATTCATCCGGCCCTCCGGCCCCAGTCGTCACAACCTCAGACTGACAGGACAAGCACGATGACGAACATGACAGCGTTCGCAGACCTCGACACCGAGGCGGCCGAAGGAGCACAGGTCTGGCGACCTCCACCCCCTGACCCCCAGTCTGCAAATGCCTACTACGTTGCCGATAAATGGGGTAACTGGGTGTTAAGTAACAACAACCGCCAGTCACAAGTGGCGCAGGTCACGGAAGTAGCTGAGTTAGACACATACACCCCCTTGACCAAGTCGCCAATAGAAAAGCAAGAGGAGGCCGCTGTCGCAATGGCTGCCGCCATATCAGCTGCGTCTTCCTCCTATCTTGCGAGACCGCAGCCTGCTCTGGCGAAGACAGGGGTAGAGCCGAACATGTCACGAAGTTCAAGCCTATACTCGCAGGCTAGTGCCGTGCGTCCGCCAGGCCGTACACTGGCACCGGTGCCGAACAGGAACTACGGGCCCCGGCAAGGTCGATCAAACTCCAAGGCGTCGATGGATTCGGCAACAACCATCGCTACCTCATCGTCCTTTGGCGGACCGTACGACGACGATCCCCCAGTTGAGGCAGAGCCAGGGCATTTGTCAGTCTTGTCGCCGGTAGTGGAGTCCCCTCGAACTCCCACCGGGCGCTCTCCTGTCAAGTACCCAAAGATACCCGGCAGGCTAGACCCAGCGACAATCCGGCTGGTTCCGCCACCTCAACGACCGAACTTTGCTGCTTCACCGCCTGGCCAACCAAGTCCAACACTCGGGGCAGTGATGCCAGTCCGCGGCTCTCCGTCAGCCTATCCACCGCCTCTGAACCCGAGACGGAGCATGCAGCCAGCGGAGAGATCCAACCAGGGTTATATGGTGCAACCGCCTTCAGGCTCCGGATTCTCTCCTACGCGCGCCCCGATCCCGAAGTTCCCATCCCCGCCTCCGAACGTGCCCGCACGCTCTGAAAAGCGGCTTTCGCGGCAGAATATGCCACGGCTAGATACGAACAATCTGCCTCCGCCGCGAGCACACATCTCCTCTTACATCTCCCCCACGAGTGCCGTTACGACGTCGTCGACCGCCAGCTCGCTGCTCGCGAAGCGGCTCGGGAACGAGAGAGCGGCTGCCCTGTCACTGGAGAACAACCAGCGCAGAGCCGCTGCCGCAGGGCCATGGAAACGTCAGGGCGGCCCTTCGGGGTCGGCCGGGCTGCTGAGCCCGGAGATGGCGGCGATGATGTCCCCGAGAGGACTGCCTGCCACACCCACATGGCAGCCCAAACTGACGCCTACCCGGCGCGGAGATGACCTGTTTCTGAATGTGCAGTAAACACGAAATCTACAAGGGTCCAAGCATGCTCATCATTCAATCATTATTCTTTTTTGTTCTCGCTAACCGGCGAGTCGCTTTTAATCCGTCTATCTTTATTTTATTCACTAGCCACGAAAAGGGCAACGTACTATAATCTTGCAGGGGCTATACGCGATGATGAAAGACACCCCCCCTAGACTTCCTCTCTTCCAACTCTCGTGTAGACATCGGAGGACGCAACTGTACATTATCAACCTCTCTGTTTTCTTTTTGGTTTTAAGCACTGGCGTTGTCGGTTACGAGCATAGGCTACGGTGCATAGAGCAAGCGTGGTGATATCGGCGTTTGGGGAGAAACAAACAATTGGGGTCTCTCGTTTTGGACACTTCGTCTTCTTTATTTTCTTTTCTGTTTTGTTCGGGATATATACCTGCTGATACCAAGCACAACCTCTCTTTGCAATGTCGATTTTGCTTTCCATCTTCCACTTGACATAGGGAAGATAGGTATGTAATCACTTAGTTCTAGAAGCGAGTTCCGTTTCGATACAAAAACCTCCAACACATTTGTGTGGATCAAAGATACCGTGACAAGATTTGCGCGCCCCATGTTCACGCAGTAGAATTTGTTAGACTGCGTACGTCGTCAAGCGAAAGACTATGGACAGTTGAATTTAGTGCCAAGCGTATAGGGGAGCAGGGGGAGAGCCCCGGGGTTCTCTTGGTAGGTCTGGGCGGAACCGCCCCGCCGTGGGGCAGAGATTTTGCCGCCCAGACCAAAGGAAAGCCCATACTTTTTTCTGCCCGTCGTCAACATTTGGCTACACCGCTGCTGAAGCTCGACCAACTCCACGTGAAGTTCCTGACATATTCAAACTACTGTCGGACGTGCGACCAAGCCGACTTAACCTGTCGCCCCGCGAACCTCGAATCCCGCGAATAAGAGAAGCGAAGAAGAAGAAATGGCACAAGGCACAGTCAAGCCCCGGGCCAAGCCGGTGAAGGCGCCGACGGCCAACAGCGCGGGCAAGACCAAGAAGGGGGCGCGCGTGGCCAAGCCCAAGAAGGCCAGCAGCGCCGACCGGATCCAGAAGAAGTTCTCGTCCGGGCTGGCGGCGCGCACCGAGCGCCTGCTAGGCGAGCGCGCCGGCCACCTCGAGATGATCGGCAAGGGCCGCAACAAGAGCGGCAAGAAGGACCCCGGCGCCGACGCGGCCAAGAAGGGCGGCAGCCGCAAGTTTGGCTGAGGCGAGAGGGATCCGTCGGAGGAGGGAGGACGTCGATGATGACGAGAGGAGAATGATGCAGCGGCTTTGCAAAGATGAACACACACCCGGGCGCGCAAGCACACGGGACGAAGAATTAGGGATAGACTTTTCATTCCCCCCTCGGGACGCTGACCAGGTCGGATGGGTTGGAAGTGTTACCCTGGACGAACGTGGGCAACGGGACCGTCCGCGATGCCTGGGGATGAAGTACTGGGTTGTGGCCGGGAAATTGCGGGATCTCATCGAGATAAGAAGCGGCACATCACTATATCAAAGTCGGCTCGCCGGTGCGTCAAACCTCGCAATCTTAAAGGCCCTTCCTCGGAACAGCAATGGGAGCTTTATCACTGAAGTCCGGTTTGGCTCCCCTATGCCTTCCATAAAACGACCATGGCCAGATCTCGTGTGGAAGGCCGGCAGCGAAGGCAGGAAGCATAGCGAGAACAAGATGCCCGGGGTTGTAGTGAACCTACAAGACAACCTGGACGTCCGCGTTTTCACAATATCTGGACATCGGTCCGCTGAATGCACCTCTAGATACTCAAACATGGGCAGTTGGTCAGAAACAATTATAATTACAAGCTACTCATGCCATGCTCTGTATCAAGCGAGATATGTTCTATGTTCGTTCTGTCTATTTTCTTTATAATGGCCTTTCCTTTTCCTCTTACCGATGATGATGCAAATTTTTTTTTTTTCAGCCAGACTTATGTTGCTGAGCTATCGATGCCAAGTACTGCTTCACGGCCGCCAGGTCCTCCTCAACGTTGACTCTCCAGCTCGCAACGGCGACTCGGACGGCCTTCTGCCCCTTCCACTTCGTGCCGCCTACGTACCAGAGGCCGCCACTATTGATGGTCTCCACGAGGACATCATTCAACCGTTCGTCCTTGGCGCGAAAGAGCACGATGATGTGTGTGATGTGTGTGTCCTCGATGCTGGCTGCTTCGCTCGCGAGAAGCACGTAGTCCGGCGAGTCCTTGATGGCCTGGGCGATGCCGCGAGCCAGCCGTACCATCCGCGCCAGCATGTGTGCAATACCCTCCCTGCCCTCACTCAGCAGGACGGCGTAGACTGGCAGAGCGCGGAAGCGCCGTGAGTTCTCGATGCCGACATTAAGGGGGCTTTGAATATCCGAGGCGCCACCGGACAGATACGCAGCGTTTGGATTCTGGCAGACACTCGTGAGTACCGACGCCTTGCGGGTGAAGAAGATGCCGTTGTCGTAAGGCACGTTGAGTAGCTTGTGCCCGTCCACCGTGATGCTGTCGGCCAACTCGAGGCCTGCGGCATAGGCTTTCAGCCGCGAGAACTCGGGGTCTACGGGGAGGGCGCGTGCGAAGATCCCAAACGCTCCATCCACGTGGATCCAGGCACCGTAGCGGTCGGCCAAATCCCTCAGCTTCTGCATCTCCTCGACCCCTGTCAGGGCGAACCTGCCAGTGTTGACCTCCCCAGCGCTGAGGGCAATAATGCTGGCGATGCCTTGCCGCTTGAGTTCCCTTTCCACCGCGTGCAAGTCAAGTCTCCACGGCTCATGGTCGCTGTGAGGCAGCTCCTTCACCGACTTTCGCCCAAGTCCCACGATGGACGCGGCTTTGGATAGTGAGCTGTGTCCCATACTAGTCAGGACTTGCACGTCCCGGATACCTGCTTGGGCACACGCGCCTAGCAAGCCGAGTTCGCCCACACCGTCAGCTCCCTTTGGCAGCCTGGCCTGGATTACAGCCTCCCTTCCACAAGCCAAGCCGAGAATGTTGCTTGCTGTAGCACCGGTGGTGAAAGTCCTGCCTTCCCAGTCCGCTACATCGCCCAGTTCGAGAAGCCCGATCAACATCTTCAGCGCGGCATCCTCGACCTCGGTCGCAATTGTCTGTGTCGGTAGATGTACTTGCACATTCTGGTCGTAGGCACTGACAATGTTGTCCGCCACCTCTGCTATGGGCAATGTTGATCCAGTGACGAAGCCATGATATCTGCCCGAGAGGTTCTGGCCGTTCAGCGCAGGCGCGATATCATTGAGCAGGTGGTCGAGAGTCTTCTGTTGGCCTGTTCCGTTCAGGTAGTTCCCGTCAGACAATTTTGGCAGCGAGGTACGGGCCGCATCCAGTTGCCCAAGTTTAGGCAGAGTAGATGCAGGTTCGGCAGAAGACACGGAGACCGAGCTTCTGATCCGACGATAGGCCTCCTCCATGAAATCGGCCATTCTAGACGTTGGAGCCGAGCGCCCCTATACCGCTACAGGGGGTGTCAAGCACGGACGGGATAGTAGCCTATGTCCGCCAAGCTGTCTCTACTATGTGGTAGAGACGGTTCCGTAAGCGTCGTGTAACTCGCCAACCGCCCTGGCCCGCCTGGCAGAGGCCTGAAGGCTAGACAAGGGGTGGGGGAGAAATCCCAGCGCAATGGTTCTGGGGAGGGGTTGCCGGTTCAGGCTAACCCGCGACGAGGATTGGTTGCGGAGCGAGTGCCTTGAGCGACCGGAAATTTTCCAGCTCTCTGTGAAATCTATTGGGGGGGAAGGGCGGATGATCAGCCAGCCTAAACGGCGCTGCAAACTCTATGCCTGGAAGCGGCGTAGAGAGGCTATCTTGAAGTGTATGTATGGTACTTTTGACTACCACTGTGAAGATGGCTCGATGAGTCTTAAAGAAATGTTGTATTGAGAACGAAGCTCAGAGTGGTACACATACGCCGGTTGGGGGTTTGCATGCAAGGCACTTCATGGACCTGTAAGTCAATCACTTTTTGCTGCTCACCCGCAAGCCAAGCTGTGCGTGCGCTTCCGAATTTCTGGGTCCTTCGGCTCGAGTGCCGTGGGGAGAAACCAGGAGGACGGATTGCAAGACGCAGGCTTCACAGATGGTAAGGACAGGTAAGGATTTCTTCAGAGAAAGATAACATTTTAGAAAAGATCGAATATTTAACGTTCTCTTCTTGAAGCTATCGTTAGTTATCGATCGCATACTGTTTCCCATATTCGTAGGATTCGAATATGGATCAGTTTCAAAGGAGTCCAAGTGGAGCTGTAATCGCTCTAACAACAGTAGTTCTCAAGTAGCAGCTTCCTCTTGCGAGCAATCTAGGCCCATCCTGACAGTTGGACGGCGCGCACAGGCATTGCCCACAGCAGTGATGACTGGAAACTCCGCAGGCTTTCAGATGCTATTACGTGATAAGTTACTGGAGACTGGGATAGGCTTATCGGCTAAGAGTATGAGGTGTTACTGTCCCTGCTAACGGTCAAATTCAGGCGTCGAGTTGAGGCGGTGAAACTACGATACCGCAAACAAGGAACTGCAGGAACAAATGGCACTGTGGTATGGGAACAAGATGCAGTCAATCGTCAGTGACATGTATTTGTAGAGCCTGACGCAGACGTGTGCGACGGTGCGGGCATGCGCTGCTCGTCAGGGCAAGGTACCCGGACAATTGGTTTGCTGTGCCGCTGGAGAACATTCTGAGCAGCACGGCCGGGAGCAGGGTCCCTCGGAGCCGTTTGCTTCAATTGGGCCATCCTCGGACCCCTGGGCAGGTCAACCATACTTCTGGGTGAAGCAATGCCGAGTCGCCGACCTCCCCTCACTCCCCCAGACCTCTTGGCCCCCCGGCCACGTACCTTCATTCGAGTCATGATATACTATACATGTTTCGTAGTACAAACCTAAGGTAGGTATGCATGGCCCACTGGCTCAGAAAATTCCATGTTTGCTGCGGACTCTCATGTCGTGCTGCGACGCGGCCCGCCATTAGAATGCGTGCTCTGCTCGCGTACTATATTTGGGTTATCCAAATGCAACGCTTCAGGCTTGGTATACCGAACCAGGGGGCAGGCATCGTGTGGTTCTGCAAGCTCACAACCTAGTCCCCGTCGTTGCCCGGTTCGTCTTCCCTTGAGTCAAGGACCAAGACACCTGGCCTGCCGGTTCTCGGGAATCTGAGACTCGAGATAGATCAGGCAGCTGTTGTCTCATGACCAGCAAATCGTGGCGTGGGCGTTTTGGGCGGGAAAACTGGAGCAGAGCTGCATACTCAAGAGACAGCGGCCAGGCCGTTGTGTGGAGACGCAAACTTGTTGGACGGTGGATGAGATGTCGTGATACCCCCGATCTGGCTGCAATCTGGCTTGGTCTGCTGCCGTGTAGCCCCATCATGTTTTTGCTAAGTGCCTCAGCTTTTCCATGTAGTTAGCTGACCATAGCTATACAACCAAGCCTACCCGTGGTGCGTGGCACGCAAAGGTTCTTCGATCATATGCTGCTGGGAAGGGGCAATCAATCGTAAGGAGCGGCCGTTTTCTCTTCAACCTATATGGAGGGCCTGCGTGTGCCATCTCTCCTTACAAACATATAGCGCGACATCCGATAGAAAGAATCATCCCGAGCCATTGTGCTTCCACGACTAGACTAATTAGAATCTATGTCACCACTGCCCGAAGCTGTCGACGCTCGCGATCCCGAGGGAGTGGTAATCCCCATCGCCTTAGCTTGCGGAAGGCATGCTTTAGCGTTGTTTGGATGCTCCCCTGGCTGCGAATGATCATTTCTGAGAAAAGCGACTCCGCTGGACTAACACGCTTCGGCCGGCACGGCAGCTTAGCATGCGTTGGCATATACGCAATCAGACTCTCGGTCAGGGTCACAATTGATAACTCTCGAGCTAGTCACGCCGTCTTACTTGGGGTAAGCTACAGATGCATGGGAGACAAGCCGGGGCAGTGCTGTACAAGGTCGCTACCGCAGAGACGGGAGGGAGATGATTATGCAATACCATGTAGACACCTTATCTACATAGCTACTATCCGGCCATACCTAGGTACTGTGTTGCGTGTCAAGACGGGAGTGCAAGGTGGGTTTGTTCGGGCTTTGCTTGGCTGCGTGCCACTGAGCAAGTCAAACCCCGGGCCTCCAAAGTTGTTCCTACCCTTTCAAATGCTGCCATCTGGCGTGGATCTGGGCAGAAAAGAGACGTTACCTCAGTCCCGTCTGCGGCATCGGGTCTCGCAAGGACGGCCGAATCTGCAATAGCCGATGGTACTAAACAGGAAGGATACGTCGCCGGGGGTCTGTCTGTCTTCATTCCAGCTTGCAGGACCAGCGCATCCGCATCGTGTCCAGGGTCGTCGTGGGCCTCTGGCGAGCACTCGAGGGACCAGACCGGTGCCAACCCGGAGGGTATCAGGGCCCCAGAAGAGCGGGTTGTGTGGAGAGAAGTCAAAAGATTGTGTTCCGCTGTGCTGGGATGGCACAGGTAACCAGGGTCGCCAAATAACCTAAGGTAGCGCTGCTTGCTTTCTGACAACCGCTGCTGCACGGCCTGGCGCCCGCCCGCCCGTCAACCCGTCGCTTCGCTGCCATGCAGCGGCCGGGGGCGCATGGGACGACTCGGACGAGACCAGAGCGCCTTTGCCTGCGGGCACCAGCAGCAGCAGATGTGGCAAGGTCGGTCGAGCAATTTCCATCCACTCGAGCCATCCTCATGCAACGAAGGCTGTCTGATATTCCTCGCTCCGCCTTTTCGTTAGTTCATGCAAGCCAAAAGCAATCCCGCCCGCCGTTCCAAGCTGACGGATTCGCTCGTGTCTTACTGTTCCTTCAAACAAAACCCTCCCAATCACACGCCGCCGCAGCACTAGATCGGGGCGCGCCTGTCTTTCAGGGGACCCGCGGAGCCTCGCATATCTGCAGTACACCCCAAACCGCTGTCCTGGGTCGGCCCAAATCCCAAGGCTCTGGATCAGCGCCCGCTTCTTCTTTATTCTCCCCCATGCTGTGCCTCGACGAGGTATACACAAGCGGCCTTCGAAGCTGACACGTAAGGCGGAGTCACCCCATTCAGCCAACGGGTAGACATACCAGCTCCTGTGGTGTAATACTTGGGTTGGTTTTTCAGCGAGTTTAGGTTCGAGGGTTCGCTCCTAGGTCTCTCACCCAAACCCAATCCGCCACGGGCGAGGATCTTGACCGGAGATCTCTGCTACACTTACCTCAGTCTCTTTCTTCTTTTTCCCAAATTGTTAACATTGGGCTATACTACAACAGCAACTTGTCTGAAGTCCTAGTCCACACCAAATTTGCCTTCCCCCTCTTCGGATGGCAATCGGCATGTCTTCCCCTGAGAATCAAAGCAGCAGTGAACGGCCTGCCACGGACAACTCAAGTCGCCGGGATGCACCACCCCAAGCTAGCGGAGCAGTCGCGCCCCCGCTGGACGGCGTCAGTCTGATGAACTATGAGTTTACCTTTCAACAACATGTCGACGATAGAGTCACCGCCTCTTTTCGTATTGAGGCCGATGTAGGACAAGACCCATTGTTCGAGACATGGATATATGCTAATCGGAGCTGAAGCCAAACGGGTCGAGACTAGAAAGCCCGTCAGTTGCTCCCGTAAACTCCAATACTCAATTTCCTGGTATTGACGTATGTGTAGAGACACGCATTCAATAACCAGTAGCATCTCGAAATACCGGGTAGAAAATGGCAGAACCTTTCATGCCTACAAAGATGGATGTATGTTGAGGAATTGCACCTGTGAGGATTGGTATTTCCATGCAATGGCTTACTTACACCGGACAGCATACATGTATCCCAACGATGAACAGGAGCTTGACCGCCAGGACTATCAATATGTTGTCCTCAAACACGTGATGGGCGGCAAATTATATTTCGCGCCCTGGAGTCAAGAGAAACCCCCAAGAAACGTACTGGATATAGGCACGGGTACAGGCCAATGTAAGTCGACCGAACCCAGTCGCATGGCCATGCAAATGCTTTGAAGGCTCTAGTCGACTCTCTGGGAGCTGAGAGGTTGAAGACACAATTTAAACAGCATGAGCCTTCACGAATTATGCAGGAGACCTCTGTTATTCCGAACCAAGGAGCTGATCTATATTTTGCGCTTCAGGGTGTATCGAGATGGGAGACGAATTTCCTTCTGCGAACATAAGCGGCACGGACTTATCGCCAGTGCAACCGCGAGATGTCCCAGAAAATGTCCATTTCTATGTTGAAGATAGGTAAGCTGCGCATTTGTGGTTACTTTAGGCGCCTCAAAGGAACTTTGGCCCACCATGTGCAAATCATATGCTCAAAGGGTTTCGTGCCTCACGTGTGCTAACATTAAGTAGTCGTGAGGATTGGCAGTGGTACGCGCAAAACGAAACGTTCGATTACATCCACACTCGCATGACGGTTGGGGCTTGGCAAGATCTCAAAGAAGACATTTTACAAAAGTCATACGATCGCCTTGCGCCGGGTGGCTGGTTCGAGGCCCAAGAAATTCAATGTACGATCCTGTGTGATGACGACACGATGCCAGACGACTTTGAACTGAAGGTGCATTTTGACGACCTTGAAGATGCCTCGGCTGCTATCGGCCGACCACTCAAGCTTGCCCACAAATTCAAGCAAGTTATGAGAGAAGTCGGCTTCGTGGATGTTGAAGAGGTCACGTACAAGATACCGATCAATGGATGGCCGAGAAATCGGCAGTACAAACAACTAGGAAAGATGTGGGAGCATAACCTGATCACCGGGATTCATGCTGTGTCTGTCGGACCCCTTCACAGAGTTCGAGGCTTGAATCAGAACCAAATTCAGGTTAGTCTCGCCTATGTGGTTGCTACTACTGCGTATACTTCCAACTTCGATGTGCAGCAATGACTGAAACTGGCGCAGATGATGTTAGTCCCCGTGAGAACGGCCATTTCAGACTCCAGGGTTCACGCGTATCATAAGTTCTTCATCGTTTGGGGCCGCAAGCCATTCCCGAATGAATTACAGACCTCGGCACAAGGCTCGGGGGATGCGACTATGGGCGGTGCCCCGTAACCTGCATGGAAAGGACTTTGACAGAAATCCAGACAGCACCACCTGATTGATACAGTCCCAGCGACTTGGAACCTGAGAACCTGGTTGTATGACAACACAGCATACCCCGGCTCTGATCCAACCTCCTGTCGATTACAGTTATGAACCCGAGCCTAACAACGGATTTCAGTATCAAGCTTTGTCCCTACGCTGATCGATTCTTCCAATCACGCGGTGGTATATAGTACATGTCTCGTGGCATCGTTTCAGATGGGCTGGTTCGGATCATACATAGCAGAATTCCTGGCTTCCTTCCGGCGCACCTGATAACGACTTAACGACGTATACCCATATTTCTTCATCGATATTATACATTTGCCTCCGCCACGGCTTCAATATTTCGCGCCCATCCTCTCCAGTTCCTCGAAAATTCAACAGCAACCCAGCTGTCAAGCTTTCTGGTCTTAGGACCTCACCTTTCTGTGCCGTTTCATGGAGTTTCCCGGCCAGCTCTCCCTCCTGTCCCCAAGTTGACGGATTGTTGGAATGGATACTATCCAAGGGAACAGATAAGATTGGTGTGAGCTGAATGACTGAGGTTTTGCGCACCACCCTTTGGCGTTAAACACGGAGAGTTGCACATACGCCACCACACAACGTTGAACCATGAACCACTGTGCCATCCAACGTGGAGTCACGACACAACTTTCCAAATCCGAGACACGATATATAAGCTTTCAGTTTTTATCACGTTTATGTCGGTTGTCCCTGTCGCTTTTGGCCGTATATCTCAATCGTTTCGCACCAACCAGCTCAAGTTTTCAGCCTGCTCCTTCCCAACTAGCTTCTCTAGTCCTCCCCTCCTCAGGAAATCATGATCGCAGTACTCGAAGCCTGGCACTACCGTCTCAGTGATCAAGAGCCCCTCGCTTTCGCCGTCAGAACGGGCGTCAGGCAGTAAGAAGCTTGCCTTGTACTTGCCGCCCTCGACGATCCATTGCAGACGCTCTCCTTTGCTAACATCCGGTCCTACCACGAACGACTCTATCCTTTTACGGCCCTCTTGATCGCCGTCCTCGTCGGCGTGGATCAAAACATATACGCCACGTCCACGGTGTAGCGTGTGTACAGTCCTGGCACGGTTGCGATGGAAATTGCCTTGCGGACTCGAGGGCGTCAGAAGATAGTAGATGGTTGTGCTAGCATTTCGATAGCGAGGATCAAACCCTTCGCGCTGGGGAACCAATTGGGCGGCTTCCGAGGAGTAAGACGTGTCCTGGGGAAAGGGCGAGGGGATAATGAGGCGGTCCCGATCGGTTTCTGCAAAGTAGCCTCCCTCTATGTGCGGGATCATCGAGAGTGCCGAGATGACATCTTGGATAGCTTTGGGCTCCGTGGTGCCAGGAGACGGGGCAAAGCTAGGCTTCAGTGATGCATGAATCGACGGAGCGGCCATGATTTCTGACGGAGAGATGCCGATAAGGGTGAGCCAGCAGATGGATGTCTGATGGAAGAGTGGATTACGTCTGAGCCTGTCCTTATGTCCCTTGAGACGATCGAGACATACGATGTAGTGATCGCGGAAATATAGTGTGAAAGAGTGGGCGAAATGTACACCTTCGCGCCTAGGTGTCTCTTCGTGATGTTCGTCACATAGACCGGTGCCAGAAACTTATGTCTTTTCGCAACCCAACGAACGTTGAAGATGGGAAACAAATGGCACGAACAACAGCGTAAGCAGAAAGTCTGATCTTGACGCCATATCTGTACGACCCAACCAGCGGCTCCGACCGGAGAGCGCGGAGTGGTGGGAGTTGGACGATGGTCCACTGATAAGCCCTAACCCATGGGGAAGGAAGGACCAGGTAGTTTGTTTGCGTCGTCGGATGAGGTAAGCAGCAGCTAACTAGCAACCTTGAAGGTGCTATAAACCGCTATCAAGGCAAACGTGCCCCATTGTCGCAGGGCGAGATCTACGGTGCACACGGAGCACGCATATAGGATACATAGGAGAGGGCTACCAGCATTGGCAAAATGTTTGTGGTTCACATTTCACCGCATGGCCCATTGCCGGCACATTGGTTCGTCACACTTGTCCAGGGCTATGCAGAAGGAGGCGGTAGCACCTGGGTATACAGTCAACTTTCACCACCTTGGCATTTACCTTCAGAAGTAGGCAGCCGGGGTCCTCATGCAAGGGGGAGAGCGATGTTGGTGACACAAGGACGCCAGACCTGCCGCTGTTTGATTTGTCAATCCTGTGCCGCAGGCTGGCGAGGAACTAGGGGTCCGCAGCGGACCAACATGAAGCGAGTCGATGCAAGATTACGAGTCGCGATGCACGGATGGACGGAGAGATATGTCCTGCGGGAAGACAGGTCTGGATGTATCAGTTGACGAGAAACAAGGCGATTGACAGGTGTGATTGACTAGTCAATTCTGTCCATGGCGTGATGCTCTCCGTGACCCTACACTGGTCTTCCCACTGGCGCACATGTAACTCGTGTATTTTACATCTCTAAGGAATAGTCCCCGGTTCAGCCAGCTCCATTCATAGCTTAGCTTGAAGTGACCAGTAAGTTAGCTTGAGCGTCTTCAGGGAATAGTCTCTGGATAAGAGATCTCTACCCTTATTCGGCGGGCTGTATGTCCTTACTAGGCATCAAAAGACTCGAACACATCGAACCGTTTCTGGGTGAGCAATGCTTGTTGATGAGGATGAGAGGGTTTGCTTGAAGCTTCTCACGAGAAAACTCACGAAAAAGCATCGTCTCACGTCCGGGCCCCCTACGTACCTAATTCCCCAGAGGCGGCTGAACCTTGCCATGCCTGATGTCCCACCATGATCCCTGCCGGCCACGAGCACAACCAAACAAGCAAAGCGACAAGGGACACGGCCCTCCACGGTTACATGCCACCTGCGAAACCGTTTGCACGTGTGCCGTCAGTGGTTTCCATGCGCGATCATGGCATTTAGTCGCGGTCAGTTCACTGCAGCGGCTTTGAGAGGGTAGCAGGCTGGTTCAACAGCTCCCGCATATGCGGACCAAGAGCCAGAACTTGTAGCAACAGCAGCCGAAAAAGTCCCCTCCCATCTCGTGCTTTGTCCCGCAACGAATGACTCGCAGGTCGGGGGAGCGTTAACGATTTGACAAGCCCAGCGATCGCGGGTGGGAGCGCCGGCGGGACTTAGTGCGGTGACCAGTGGGGACTTATAGCGAGGTGTGGGCTGTGTGGCTGCACCCTGGCCCGCCCTGGCTGCCCCCTTTCCAGGTTTGCCTAGGGTCCATGGGTCCTGGTCGGCTAAGGTCACTCACTGTGAGAAGGGATGCAGACGGCCAGAGGGTTAGAATGGTTAGAATGGGCGTCCTTTGGTCGCTTCCATGCTTGGACGATCGACTGAATCGAGGCCCGTCTTTTTTTCTACCCTGTCCAGTGCAGTGCTATCCTATCCTGCCTTTCCTATCCCATCCCACGAGGCAATGGGACCGTGATTGGGATTCTGTCGTTCTTCTCTTGTCTGGAAGCTTTCCTCTCCTTTCATTCCCCCCGCCTGGTCCATGTCGTGTGTGGTCGTCTCTCATTCCCTCTCTTTCTAGCCCCGTTGGATCTCCTAGGATTTACCCATCGTAATCTCTCAGCCCAACCTTCCACTTAAGCCCGAATACCGAGGGGGAACACCACGCGTGAGCACCAATTCAACGCGACCTCGCCTCACAACCTTGGAGAATCGCCGCGCCGCCCGACAAGGAGGGAACCAATCGAGCTTCCGTTCTTCTGTGCCGATTGCACCGGAGGGACTCAGACCCGCAAGCGTGCCGCCGATTAATACAAGACTCGTTTTGAACGGTTTCGTTTGGCCATAGCAACGCCTCCCACGGACTACACTCCTTTTTGCCCCTGTCCTATATCCCGCGACGACATAAGCCCTCTGACCTCATCCCGACTCCGCTGCACACCCGCGAGCGAGCCCTTCGATCTCTCCGGACGTTTTCGCAAACGCCAGCTACGCGGGCTAGACGGACGTCTGGATCCCGCCCAAACACACGGCTGCGCGAACGATCGGCCCCTCGTCGGCAGGCCAAAGGTCTTGCTCGGGAAGGAACGCAAGCATGTCTTCGTTGATGAGCAAGCGCCAGCAGGCGCGCAATGAGAAGGCTCTACAAGATCTCGTGCACAGCGTGGTTGGCAACCAGACTTGCGCCGACTGCCATGCCAGAAATCCAGGTGTGTTTCCCGTCTTGGCAGTGACCTCGGCCGCTGGTATTGGATAGACTGAAAGCTAACTTGCATTTCTTCTTAGCTTGGGCATCATGGAGCGTACGTAAACAAACAAACCAACCGGGAGGGATCCTAGCCTCTGCAGCAGAACTGACGTGGACCTTTCTAGTTGGGCATCTTCCTTTGTATGCGATGCGCCGCCATTCATCGCAAGCTCGGCACGCATATTTCCAAGGTCAAGTCGTTGAGCATGGACGGCTGGACTAATGAGCAGGTCGAGGTATGCTATCTGTCCATCAAGTACCTGGTCTTCACCCTGGCTGACTTTCTTGCGTAGAACATGAAGCGCGTTGGCAACATAGCCTCGAACAAGATATATAACCCCGACAACAAGCACCCCCCCGTCCCCGTGGATGCAGATGAGGCCGACTCAGCCATGGAACGCTTCATTCGCTCCAAGTACATGCAGCGGGCGGCGACCCCTAACGGCGCAGCACGACATCACACCGGCCGCAGTGTTGAGTCGGATGAAGGGACCCCGCCCCCTTTGCCCCCCAAGACCGGCGGCAAGTTCTTTTCCAAGGCCAAGACGAGCTCTACATTCCCGCTGTCATTCCGCTCCAAAAAGACCCCCACACCGGTTGAAGAGCCGCGAAACCCGCGAGAGCTGAGGAACAAGCCGTCCAAGGTTTTTGGCGCGAGCGTCCAGAGCGACAGCGTGGAGGATACGGCGCGGAAGTTGACGCAGTTGAGGGATATGGGCTTCATGGACGACAAGCGCAATGCCATGGTTCTGAAAGGCGTCAATGGCAACCTTGAAAAGACTATAGAGGCTCTCGTACGGCTGGGAGAAGGGAACAGCCCTTCAGCCTCATTGGCACCACGCAGAGAAAGCTCTCTTCCGCCACCAAACGCCTTTCCAACGCCCAGGTCTTTGAGCCCTGCACCAGCAACACCGACAACAGCCGGCTTGTCCAGGGCCAGTCCCTCGACCGCCCACAGCCCGGCGACGTCGAACAACCCGTGGGATATCTCTCCGGCCCCGCCGCAATCATCGCAGTCGACAGGCACCTTGCCAAACACGAATCCATTCTACTCGATGAACCCGTTTGGAGCACCATCGCAGCATTCTGAGTTCGCCTTGAACGGGTCCATGCAAAACTTATCCCTCGCACCCCAACCACAGCAGCAACTGTTCCCGCATCACACGGGAGGTTTGCCGGCCCCCCAGCCGCTCCAGCAACCAATCTATCAGCAGTCCATGACTCCGCCTTTACCCCAGAATCAGAACTTTGGCTCGATCGCATTTAATAGTAATCATACATATACACAGCCATTCCAGCAGCAGCCGACTCAGCAGAGCTACAATCCATTCCTGCAGGCTCCTACGGCACAGCAACCCCTTTCGCTCAACACGTCGCAGCTGCCAAATCAGGGAGGCCTTGGAAACAACCCCTTCATGAAGTCTCCCACGCGGATTGCGTCTCCATCCTTGAATCAAATTCCGGAGCAGTCTCAGCAGAACTTCTACGGCACGCCACAGTCGCCAAGCGGGAACAACCCCTTCTTCGGCATGAGCCAACCTGCTCAACAGTATCAGCCCCAGCCGGCCCAACAGTATCAGCCCCAGCCGACTCAACAGTCACAGTCCTACGACCAGGCATTCTTCCAACCCCAACAGCAGCAGCAGCAGCAGCAGCCGCAATATCAACTCTCGCCGCAGGCTACATCACCTTACCAGGCACCGAGAGATAAGGCGTCCATTCTGGCTCTCTACAACTACCCGTCGATGGCGCCAAGCCCAATGCAACCACAGGATCAGAACACGACACACGGCGCCGTCAGCCAGCCGGCAACACAGCAAGTAGCACCGCAAGCTTCTCCCCAGCGGAGTGCGTCTACTCCGCTGGCTGGAAATAAGAACCCCTTTTTGAATGGAGGGGCGTCTCCTCCAGCAGGGCCATTCGCTACCGTTGGCAATCCTGTGCCCTCTGGGGGTGCGAGAAGCCGGGAAAGCATGACCCTCGGCTTTGAGATGGCCTGGAACAATGGCCGTCATAGTCCGGATGCCTTTGCTAGCCTGAGCGCAAGAGGCCCTTGACTGCATGTTTGACGAAATGAGGTCTGTAAATATCAAGAAGATGTACCATATATAGTAATGATGTGCCACCAGACACGGCACACTGTGTGTTCATAGGTGTCTAAATCATACAAGAGCTGAGTGTATCCGGCAACTTTCGGCTTCTAAGATATTTAATGCCACCCAGTAGCGAGTCTTAGATCTGCGCGTGTGTTCCTCAAAATCTGTAAGGTCGCCAGCCTCATCTTTGTGCTTCAGTCAAGATGAACTCCTCGAACGGAATACCTTCAAGCTCCTCGAAGCCCTGGCCAGTATAGTCGACCGTTTGGCTCCAACCTCGAATCGCCGCGCGCCAATAACACATTTCCGCCGCCGGACTCAGATAACCTGCCCCGTGAAATACTTCGCGTTGTCGTCTCGCAATCCCTTCCGCCACACGCGGATGCTTCTCAAGCCACAGCACGGTGCTCTCAAGATCGCTCCAGTCCGGCGCGACGAACACCATGTTGGCTTCCTCGGCCGCAGACCCCTTGCCCCAGGCCATCTGAACCCATGGTGCCGGGTAAGTGGCAAGGCTCACCTTCTCCTTCACGCCCCCTCCCAGATCCTTCCCCACGCGCGGCCGTCGCTCTACTCCCGGGAGCGAACTGCTGAAGACGGGCCGGATCAGGTGCGACGTGTGCTGCATCCAGCTGATCGGGGGCGTCAGGATCACGGACTGGCACAGCTGGTGGAACTGCAGGCGGCCCGAGTAGGTGATGCCCTCGGTGTGCACAATGTAGCGGTAGCGGCAGAAGTCGGCGATGGGCAGGGCGTTGCTGGCGTTGCGGCCGGCCGACGTCCAGGCCAGCGCCTCGATGTCGGCCCACGGCCGCCCCGCCGCGCTCAGCAGCAGGTCCTGCCGCAGCCGCGCCGACGTCGTGCTCGGCGAGTTGAAGTGCGGCGTGCCGCGCCACACGGCCCGCGGCTCCTTGTGCCGCCAGCCGCCAAGCCGCCGCTCCAGCGCCGCGATCGCCCCGGCCGCGTGCGGCAGCGACCTCACGAAGGGCAGTGGCCACGCCCAGTGCGAGAAGTGCGGCACCGGAAAGTAGGGCGCCCCCGCCCCGTTGCGCGCCGGGTCCGCTGGCCGTGAGTAGGAGAACGTCCCCGCCGACGGCGAGTCGTGGTGGCTGAAGGCGAAGACCGTGTCCGGGACCGAGCCCCCCGGCGGCCACGTCAGGAGGGCGCTGTGGATCTGGTGCAGGGTTGCGGTGCGGTGCGCGAGCATGTCCCGCGAGAGGTCGCTCCGTGAGGCGTGCTGGAGGATGGAGAGCTGGAGAGATGTGTCAGTCTAGGTCATTTTTAATTCCATAGTAAGTAGCACGAGAAGGCCCCTATAGTCACGTTCAAGTATACGGGAATGACATCGTGGGCCAATTGGACACCATAATAGACTACGAGAACACGGCCATAGTGGTGTACTGACCTTCCCATCTTTGATCCTCGCGACCAGAGGTCCTAGAGGTCCGCTCTTCTCAAGTTTGAACGTGCCCTTCGTAACAACATCGTCGATCTGCTTCGTGAGACCGGGGAAAGCCTCGGTACACTGCGAGGCAGTCAGGAAGCGGTTGTTGAGCAGCGCGTCGGAGAGCGACGATCCCGCGGCCCCGAACGCGGCACCGCTGTCGCCACCCGGTACCGAGGACGACGACGAAAATGAGGCATCCAACACGGTCCGTGATGAATCCAGACTCGCCTCGGGCATGCGCAGGAACACGTACAGCGCCAGCAGTCCGACACTGACTACCACAACCTGCCGTAGCCGTGAGGTCCGCTGGCCTGTCGCAAGGAGCTTTGGGCTACCCATGATCATCGCGAAGTTGCATCACATCTCACTCCCTTCTCCTGCCGATCAAGACTGGCGTTTCTCTGAGCTGGGGAGCAAAGAGTGTTGTTCAGACGGGTCGGAAGCGCAAAGGCGCTCTCAATTTCACTCCGTCGAGGTAGGAAGTGCATGTTCAAGTGCCAGAGAGCAGGGCTCGGCGGTGGTGCCGGGCATCATGGTGGTGAATGAGCTGCTGCTGCATGGAAATCCGGGGGATGTGCCTCCGGAGGGCTGGTGGTTCCGTGGGTTCTGGCGTTTCAGTGCATCATGGAGGGCTTGTGTACCTACATAAGAAAAAGCAGGGTTTGTCGGGTGGGACAAGACCACAGCAGACAAAGATGACTTATAGCATGCGTGCGTGAACTATACACCCACGATGCCCAGCATGATGCGACTGTGTGCTGATGAACCGCAGCGACGGTAATGACACTTGCCGTGCTCCAGGAGACGGCTTGAGCTCGCCTAGTAGCTGTGCATCTGCCTCCCTGGAGTGGTTGACTGGTGTACAGCAAGGTCTGGGTGCATAATGCGGGGTGAACGCAAGGGGTGTCCCCGGTCTTTGTGCTATATTGCGCCACCAATCAACTTACACGGAAGCTGAACAAGGTAATTTTCCCGATATGAAGAATGGCTTGCAACAAGCAAAGTTGCTAGGAGCAAATATTACAAGCTGTGTGAATTCGCAAGGCCTGAAATTTGCTCCTTTCTAGGTTCCATAGTCATTGATGTCGATGGGTTGTCCATCAATCTGATTACCTAGGTGGGCTAGTGACCTGAACTCTCTCAATACCTGTGTCACACCTGAAGCGACTCACATGCAGAAAACATGAAGTTGTAGGAGACCAATAAGTTTGACCATGCAATTAAGATGAGCTGCATAATAGCAGCATCTATTTAAGAGCAAAGTCATTCAACAAGATAGAATACGCCTGTGCTATGAGTGTGCCGTGGTCTTGCGACTCTAGTTGTAAGTGTATATCTGACCCAAAGTGCCGTGTTTTTGTGTTATGGCAAGTAACAAGCCGTCTCCCTGCGTGAATTCGTCCGTAAAACATATCCTAACGCCGTCGCTTAGTCGTCCCTTCAACCTAGCGTAATACCGCCCAGCAAATATCCTTGAGTATCCCTTTGAGCCCTCGATCTAGGCGCTTTCCTGTCAAGTACAAGACACTTTGACATTACGATTTCGAACTCGCCGAATCCGATGCATAAGGGTTACTGCGAGGGTCAAGATGAGCGTCGGAAATGCGCACACTCGTTTCCTTCCTGACTGCGATTCCGTTCCAGCCAGCAGCGCCTTTCTCGATGTCTATATCGTCATTAAGGCGCCCCGTGATAATCGTCTGGGCGTGCACACCCTTCTGCCTATCCAGCGCATGGGCGTCAAAGTCGCCGCCGTTGTCGCCGTTTATGGAGTCGGCAAGGTTGTACTTTGAACTTGCCTCGTCTCTGCTCCTGCTCTTTGGTACCGTGCCGAGCTTGATCGACTTGAGGTGCGACTGGCTGTTGACGTATCTGTGGCTGCTGCCGTACCCATTGGAGTTGGACCCGAGAGTTGAATTAGGAACGAAGCGACCGAAGAAGTACATGAAGCCAGGCCTAATTGTCGGGAAACAACCTATTACGAAGGTCAGTAAGGTTTACTAAAGCGGGGTTGGGTGGTCCAAACATACATGATACGGTCACCAGGTTTACTTCAGCACTCGCCCAGATTACAATGTTTGTGAGATTCCAAGTCAGATCGGCAGATGTATCGTCAAACCTAGCAGCCTCTACGATGATGGCAACGGCGGCGGCGCAGATTCTTTACCAAAGTCAATACTTGTACAGGCAGTACTTCTCTTTAGTGCAGCCGGAAACTCACAAGATGCCAAATGTGAACATGGCGATTATCCCTAAACGCTGTACCTTGCGAAGCTGCAGCTTTTGGACCTCAACGACCGGCAAAGTCACGATCACGACGTCGATGATCATGTGTGCCAGGACACTGCCGAAAAAGAACTTTTTGTCGTCGATATCGCATCGCTTGTTGGTAATGGTGAGATCCCAGAAGGCTTGAACCGGGATGCAGTGAAAAATGGACATGAAGGTCTGGTGAGCAGTGTGGTTAGCTAGTAAATCTTGCTGGAGTATTGGGCATTTGTCCAGCGTACTCTGATGATGATCCAGACGATCGATGCACCCATCAATATCATGATTGGGTATCTGAGGTTGGTCACACTGAATATCCTCCAGTAGAAGAAGAGAATCGACATCTTGGCGAAGAAGAGGGCGAAAGCGTAGACGATCTCTGCAACCCAGAGGATCAACTTGGATTGCATGACGGCTTCGCTGGTACTGATCCATGTGACATCGGTGATGTGCAGCCCTAGGCCCTTCCCGATCCCTATAACGTTCGAATGAGTCCAGTTTCACGTATGCAAAGCGTTCGAAACCGCAACTTACAGACGGGGCAGGTGATGAGCCAAGCAATCGCGATAACCTGAAGACAAGTCAGTCGGGGCGCTGATGTTGGACGCAAGTCAGGTTCGTTGAGACTCACGTAGCATCCGATCGCGAAGAAATCATCCCACCAGAATGACGTCTTCTTCAGAAAGCGACTGAATATGCGAAGCGCCAAACATGTTGTGGCCAAGACGAATGTTATAAACAAGACAGCATAGATAGCCGGCTGCTTTGACTCCATAGCTGGCTGTCTGGTCCGTCTGACTTTCTACATTCGAACGAGGATAGAGGTTGGTTGGCGTACATGAAAGGACGGAGAAGATGGAGTTAATTGGCAAGCACCGGGAGGATCGAGAGTCTGGGGGAAGTTTGGGCTAAGTTTCAACTGCAAGCAATAGTCTCCATAATACTGATGTTTAGTCGGCCGGCTCCATAGTTATACAAAGGTAGTACACGAACGACGGGTGAGTCCACCTCCGTATGTTCCTTCGCAACTTGGGGCAGAAGTAGCCATAAGCTATCCCCTTGGCGATTAGCACCCGGAGCTATCACGTTTATCTTGAAAACCAAGCCAGCGAATCTGGTCTGCCACATAGATAACCTTAGTCAGGGTCCCCTGATCGTAGTGGAAAACTCGGAATTTGCCTAGCGTACTAGTGATCTACCCGGATCTGCCATCGACGTTCAGATGAATGAGTCGTGCAGCATCATTCCATTTTGGAAAATCAGCTTGGTCCCAGCTTATTGGTAAAGATCTGGAAACTTTCTTTCTTACAGAGATTGGTCTACAATTCTCCATAGAATCTGAGCTCATATCTACTATTACACAGAAAGTATAGGGCCTGTGGTGAAGGTAAGGGCCGGTCCTAAAAGCAAAACACAAAGAGTGATGCTTGTCGCTCAACAGCAGTCATGCAAAATGCTTGACGCCATAGCTTGTCTACAGGAGTATGGTTACTATGTGCTATAATTTCGTGCTTCGGGCATCAAAATGCCCGAGAACCATGCAAGCCACGCGAACTACGTTAAAATTTGCTATTGATAAACAGTATTGGAGAAGATCATACAGTTGCCCCAGTTTGCTGAAGGGCGATGCATAGCAGCCAAAGCCCCGTTGCGGGCGTAGTTGCTGCATCCGGGTAAGCTGCGAATGGTGCACTGGCACCGGTAAACCTTCTTCCCCAGCTTGCCACGGCTGGAAGATCTAGCGCCAAAACTTCTCACCTCTTATGCCTGCCGGAAGAAGCGGTTTCCACACGGGAAGCCCACCGGCAAGGGCTCCGGACGAATAGTCTCCCGCTGCAGCTGTTGAGGACGTAGATCGTGGTCCAGTGCGGAATGGAGCAGCTGAAAAGCTGTCCTGAATCTGAAGGCGTGCACTTTCGGCATTATCTCCATGACCCTATTGACCATGTTTTATTTCGTGCCCTGTCGGTTGGCCCTAGGGAGAAACCTACTTGGCATTACGCAGACCAGATAGGGGAGAGGGATGGCCACACAGATCCACCGTGGGAGCAAATATGTTTTCCCCTGTCATGCTGGATGCCCGTCGCCGGGGTTCCGAATATTCATGTGCCGACCTAGGAGTAGCTCAGCGGCGGATAGGCCTCGTCAAGCGGCGTCATGAGTAATGCTGCCCTAGCCAAGTGCCGGACGAGTCCACCACTCGAATGATGAAGAGCTGGCATTCTAGAATCTAGACCACGGAGATGCACTATGGTCTTGCAGGCTTGTGCAAAGGCAGTATAGCCCAAGCTTGATGTCACGGTGTACTCAGGGCCCTCTTCCGGCAGTAGCATAACATCGCCTTGGCACAGTGACGTGCATCCCTAGCACCTACAGAGCCTAGGATTCGGGCTTTCCACGTGGAATACCGCGCCAATTCCTCTATGTCAATAAGCCATAAAACCAATCCAATTAGAAGTAAATGGGACCCTGGCTACTTTGGTCTCACCCGAGACCCTTCAGAAGTGTCTCGTCATTGCTGACACACAGGGAACGGCTTTCCTCTAACTTCCCCCATTCCAAGTCAATTTCTACATAGCAGCCGATCATGCGGTATTAGGGGCTCCAGACAGGGAGACTAATGTACCCTGACTGTCTCCCGAATGTATTCTTTGGCTGTATTATCGTACGGAAACAAACAGCCTCGAGCTCTTCTACTTTGTAAATCTGCCGTAGAAGGAACTATTGGAAACCAGCGGGCGGATATTCCGCACGGGGCCTAGCAGTCAATCCCAAAGCGGCGATATCAATACTATCAATAGCGGGGGGAGCTTCACCGGAGTCAACCCGTAATAAGAACTGTCATTGACAGAACCTTACCACTTTACAGTCAATGGCATTGGTATTGTAGCTTTTCCATCCTGTGCCTGGTCTTGGTCGAGTCCTCGTTATTGATAGCCGCATCCTCATAAAAGACACGACCCTTGCCTTCGATTGGGAAGAGCCTCTGGCTGTAAGGGGAATCTTCCAGACCCTCAAATATCAGAGCGCATTGCCTATTCCCCTTGTTCTATGAGCTTAGCTAGACAGCCCCCAGTTGTGGGCGATCTCGTGGATTTCTGCCTATCATATGGCAGGTGTCTCTGGAAGGGCAGCGACACAGTAGATATGCCCGTCCCTTGGAAGGACGAGTCAGCCACTCTTCAGCAACGACCTTGAGCAAAAGAAGCTGTTGAAAATTCGGACTATCTCGCTCAGCCTTTTTTGGGTCTTTGTGTTCTCCGCCGCTTGGATGATTGTAGTGCCTTGGGGTCCATGTACTGCCATAGGAAGCTCTCTGTTTGGAAGAAATTTCAAAGGAACTTCCACGTACAGGGTTTGTGCATGACTGAAACCCACATCTTCGAGTTCTTGGGGTGTCATGCTACTTCATTGTCAAACAGATGTGTTGGTGTGAGAGACAAGACCTAAAGCGGCCCCTAATCTGCATTGTGTCAAGCTGCAGCAGATTTCCTTGGGTGCCAGCGGTCTCGATGATCGTCTTCAATCCCATAGCAGCTAAAACTTGAATGTTAGATATGATTAGAAGCCCGCCTTCTTTCAGCCTTTCGTGCGTCTCCAAGGACACTATGATATGGTAAAGACGCGGATGTACTCAGCACAAAACATGGAAAGCGCAAAGAGTACATGCACCCGCAGAAAGCAAAGTAAGCCGACGGCCAGGGAGTTGATGGGGAGTTGATGCTGGACAGGGAGCGTGATAGAGACTGAGGGGCTACTTCCCTGAACGCAGGACCATCTGTGAGTCCCAAGCAACTTCGATCTTGAGCAAATCAGCTTATGCTTATCCACACCTATTCCTGCTATGAGAAAGACGCAATGTAGTTCATGGCTCGCAATATTGATGTCGTCTTTGTGCTCTTGCTTGCTATTCACGCTGTGATAATGTCAATCAGAGGCCCGCGCTCATGTAGCCATGTACATGCGCTTTGGATGATTCTGTATAGAATATGCATCGGGTGGTCACGTTGAAGAGCTGTAGAATGTCATTGGTCTTAATTATGAAACATATGATACTATTTGAAATGAGCTATATCCAATCCCACCGCCCAAACATGTGAACTGCAAATTTAACCCCTAATATTACAGTCTATTTGAGTCTATACAAGATTGAGGCCGCTTATAGTCATGATAGTCAGCCTGAATGCGCACTCTATCAACTGTACTGAAAACCTATATCACAAACATCGAGAAGACAGGTAGCAGTCGACATACGGCATGTCTACGAGGTTGAAACGGGTGCTTGGCCTTTTTTCCGACATTACAATTAAACGCGTCTGGAAATTAGGTGTGCACTTTAGCAAGGATGAGGTCCTTCAATACTACGGTGTTGCCGCTCAGTATAGAGATGCACTTGCTTGCACGATGGCATGCGCGATGGTATCAGAAAGTTGGCGAACTCATCCTAGTGATTGCTCCCCAGAAACCAGGCGAGACCGATGGGAAAGACTGGGGGATTGTCTGGATTCATACAACACGCTATCGTGTCAGAGTGTCTTCGTGGCACGGATAAACCTTGAAGTCAAGGCAACATAACAGTGTGCACGCCATCGCCAGAAACCCAGTATAGCACGACTGGAATGGTACCCGATTGTAGTGCTGTACTGGTTACACGAATTCCCTAAGAGCTCGATTACCCACTTGCATCTTGATCTATACGGTGCCTGACAGTCTCTTGTTGAGGCTTTCAGATGGCAACAATGACTGCTGCTGATATAGCCCCAGCTTCCAGGTCCAACCCCAGACACTAGCAACTCGACTAGAATGTTCATCACGATTGGCACTCAACGTGCGACGTGGCGATGATAGGATTTCGGGGCTGCATATAAATTGCGTGAATACCTGTACTCTGCCGCGTGGCTGTTCCGGAATACTTGCTGCAGAGGTGCAGAGTGTCGTGTCGCCAAGGCATACCTACCTAGGCATGTCTAACTCAACCCAGGGCTTTGGGAATGGACGTCGTTGCGATTGAAATGTTCTAGGCCATCAGATGGTGGCGCGATGTCCGTCCTCACACCTGCCGCCTTACTTACAGAGGCACGAATTTAGGGAGGATCATAATCCCAGGCTCCTTGCAAGATCTAACGCCGCTCCACTGCAAATCGATCTGACGGCCCGAGGACAAACCCCTGCAGATCCCAGTAGTTGGTGGCGTCGGCCTTCAATCCCGGGGGGAATGCGATCCCTGCTCTGGCATGCAGGACCTGGAGTAAACGAATCTTTGAACGGCAAATGAAAAAGATGAGCTTCAGCATTGGAAAGCGAGTGTCTCAAGGCCCGTTCTGCTGCCAATTCGCGCTCCAGGACCTCTCGTGGTGCTTTGACGGAGCATGATCGGGATGGACCAGGACTTCTTGGCTTGAGCAATCACTGTAGGCTATTCCAAGTTTTGCAGCAAACGATGACGGCATAATCCCGCAAATTTGGCTGCCTGTTGGCTTGGCTGCTTGGATGGGCATCTCCAGCTGTTCCTGAGACGATTCCGGCCGGGTGGTCGGATAGTGCAGCAGGTTCGACACTGAAACCCCCGGCCGCAAGTACAGAATGTAGAAAGCGTTGAACCCACTGAGATTGGACTGGACGTCTTACAAGCCACATCGCAAACCCACACGAGATGGCCCTGTTCGCCCGCTGCCCTGCTGTGCTGCCGCAGGTCCCGAAGGATGGCCAAACAAACACATGACAACGGTCGAGATGGAGTTTGTTTGAGGCGTAGAGAAGATACGAGCTTGCGGGCAGACTTGCAAACTCTGAGCACTACACAGTACTCCAAAATGGAGCCGCCGTGTCCTTGTTGTTTTCCAAATACTGAACTGGGGCTCCATAATCACACATATTGCCAGTCTCGCCTTGCTTAATGCAGCTGCTCTGGGAAGATGGTGGTGCAAACTAGTTTGAGGCAGTGCAGCCAGGCTGGTAGCCACGCAACATACGACTACGGAGCAGCTGGCGTTCGATGAACCAGAGGAGATGATGATTTGCCTCTCTGCGCGGTGCATCCCTGGATCGTGCATATTCGGACTATGGCCGTGGCTTTGAGTGGCACGCGAGCCGCTCCAGATTCGTGTTGTCCTCTCGGCGCTCCACACTAGTTTGGGCTGTTATGCCCACCCTCCATGCCCACAAGCGCAACCACATGCATAGCGCAGGAAATTGAACCCATCAGGGTACAGTATAATAATACGTCACAACCGCCCAGAGTCCACTGTTTATGAGTAGACCTGATACTGTCACACCTACGCGGTTCCAACTTCATGGTTTGTTTCCCTGGACCCCCTTGGCCGCATCCCTGATTCACTGTCCCATTCGTGCCGGGGCGACCACGACACGCTCGTGTTTTAAGGTGCTCCCTAGCAAAGAATAACCTTGAATCTTAGCGACAATCTTGATTAGTGGACTCACCCCTCCATCTGGTAATGTGTACCGTACCGCGTGCTATGTAGTAAAACTAGCCGAGCCATGACTGGCTGTCGATCTGCCTAGCTTGTACACACCTGTGACGCCCGTCCGGTGCTGCCGTCCATTCACATTGAGCCGCTTTTCCCTTTCTTTTCCTTCAAACACTGGCTCCAGGAAACTTTAGCTCCTACTTCCCTCTCTCCATCTTTCAACTTCCCAATCAGTCGCTTTGTAGAGTTGGAAGCTTCTTTCTTCAGGCAACTCTCTCGCTTCCGTTGCCTTCTCCCCCTATCACCTTGTAATACAGTGTCAAGGTGCTTCTTGACTTGTTGAATTCTCTTCCCAAAGCGTCTTTCGTTCACTTGAGTACGCATATTAGAACCGCGTGGGTTATTTAGACCTCGAGCCCCAGTTAGGAATCCAATTGGAACTACCAAGGGTTGCTAAACCGCAAGATGAAGTCCCTCTCGCTCATGTCCGTGTTGGCGGCCGCCAACATCGTGAACGCCGGACCCACACCCACGGAGAATGAGCTGCCGAAGCGGGCGGATTCCTTACCGACCGTCACCGCATCCGGGAACGGTACTTGTTGCCCATTCATTCCGATCGTCCATGTGACTAATGCCCTATATAGCCTTCTGGGCCGGTAGCGATCGCTTCTACATTCGAGGTATCGATTATCAGCCGGGCGGGTCCTCTGGCGACAAGGACCCTCTTGCTGATACCACTATTTGCAAGCGGGACATCGCCAAGTTCAAGGAACTGGGAGTCAACACTATCCGAGTATACATGATCGACAACTCCGAGAATCACGACGAATGTATGACCGAATTGGCTAACGCCGGTATTTACCTGGTGCTGGACTTGAACAACCCCAAGTACTCGATCCACCGTTACGAACCGGCCCCTTCGTACAACGCAAAGTACCTGCAGAGCGTTTTTGCAACCGTCGACGCCTTCCAGAAGTACAGCAACACCCTGGCTTTCTTCTCCGGCAACGAAGTCATCAATGAGCAGGTCAATTCGACTCTGGCTGCCCCTTACGTCAAGGCTACCACCCGCGATGTCCGTCAATACATTGGCAGCAGAGGCTACCGCAAGATCCCCGTTGGATACTCAGCAGCCGATGTCAGTCAAAACCGCATGCAGACTGCTGCATACTTCAACTGCGGTCCCGATGACGAGCGTAGCGATTTTTTCGCCTTCAACGACTACTCGTGGTGCTCACCATCGAGCTTCGAGCAATCTGGCTGGAACGTTAAGGTCAAGAACTTCACAGGATACGGCCTGCCCATCTTCCTGTCCGAATGGGGCTGCACAACGAATGGCCGTACTTTTGAGGAACTCGGTGCCTTGATGAACTCCGAGATGACTGGTGTCTACTCCGGTGGCCTGGTCTACGAATACAGCAAGGAGGGCAATGGATTCGGCATGGTCGAGCTCAGTGGTGATAGTACCGATGTGACTGAGGACGGCGACTTCAGTGCTTTCAAGTCAGCTCTCGCCGAGTACCCAACTCCTACTGGCAACGGCGGTTTCACTTCGACAACCAACTCGGTCAACTGCCCGAGTGAGGATCCCGACTGGATGGTCAAGGACGATACTCTGCCCGCCATTCCTGACGATGCCAAGGCCGTATGTTCTCTGGCAACCCCGTGACTTTGAAGACTTTTTCAGACTGACAGTACTATCTAGTACATGACCGACGGTGCCGGCCCTGGGCCTGGCCTCAAGGGCGAGGGATCGCAGAATGCTGGATCGACATCCACCGGAGACGCCTCCCCTGGCTCTGGTTCCGTTTCTGCCACGGGATCGGGCAAGAACGAGGGTGGAAGACCGGCGCCACCTGTAGACAAGGGTGCGTTTGCAGTTGTTGGTCTTTTCACCATCTTCACCCTTGTCGGCACCCTCCTTCTCTAGAGTGTAGGAGCTCGCGACTGAATGCGATGGCGGAATATGCTGTTTTCCACTTCGGATTTTTCGGCGTTTGGACTACGATATTGGCCGGTATAGCCCGCAATGTTGACCCGGCATTTCGTGATCTTGGCTTGGGAAAACTGGGGACGCCTCTCAAACTTGATGAAACTGGTACCGCATGGATAGACTGTACACAGCTTGGAATCGCGTGGATGTACATTTGCTGGGCAATGCGAAGACTACTGTTCGTGCGTATGGGGATGGAAATGATCTGCCAAGTGCTGGAAGTTCTGATACATACGATATTGTATAATGCGATCTTGTTCTTGATGCAATCACTCACCGCTGACTTTGCAGTGCCATTGAGTTGAAACGATAACGCATGAGTGCGACCCTTGAATTGGACAGTAAACTACATAGCAGTGAAGTTGTGTTATTATATCTGAACTGGCCACGACGTAATGCTTATTAGTCTGAGTTAGTTCAGGACAGGTTTGGAATCAATTTGTGGGACTCGGCTCAGCCCCCAACACAAGTGCTTATATCGCCAGACATGGTGGAGGCAGAGGCTTGCTATGAGGAATCTGTGCTTTCTACAAAGGGCATAGCTCATGCTCATCCAACATCACAGCCTCTGTTGCGTATCGAGAGGCTCATTGGTGATAGCAGTATTTCCAGCTGATTGAATCACTGCTCACTATACTAAAGTAGATCCCTGCCAGAAGTATTGAGTGGCATGGGGCTTTGTCCCGGACAGTCCACCAGAAGCAAAGACACTAAATAGTCCATTTACATAGCCCGTTCTTTTTACACCATGTTATGGAATCATGTAGTTTAAGTGCTGACAGGGTGGAGGACAAGCCGGGCTTCGTCCGTATATAACGACTCGGCTTGGCAAATAGACTTTGGCCACTCAACCTCAACTGAACTCTCCTCGGTATCATAGAATCATAACAATCAGGAAACTTTGCCTGGTACTTCACATACTTTTGACAGACTTTCAAGATTGAGATTGCCGCCCTACGACTTAGTCAGAATGAGAGCCTCTGGCATTTACCTCCTTTCCCTTTCCTCCCTTGTACTAGGGGCCGCCGTTCGCAGATCTTCTTCCAACGGCACTGGAGGAGCTCTGTACTTTCTTGAAAACAATCCAGCCGGCGCCAATATCGTATCACTCGGTATTAACTCAGATGGCACCCTGGGTGCCCCAGTCCGCACCTCAACTGGTGGGGCCGGACTGGTCGGCATGGGCAATCAAGGGCCAGTGCAAGTTGGTAAGTCGGGGTTCTCAGCGGGAGCTATAGGCGTTCACATCCTGGCCACTAACAAAATGGTAGACTCCCTGTTCTCACAAGATGCCGTCCACGTCGCCGGTGAGCATCTATTCACCGTGAACGCCGGATCTTCGAGCATCGCCTACTTCCATATCCCACCGAACGACCCAACACACCCTGTCCTTGTTGGAGAGCCCGCCTCCACCGGGGGCGATGTGCCCAACTCCGTTGCCTACTCCCCTAAGCACAAGCTCGTGTGTGCTACCAACACGGGCCCACGCGCGGGCGTATCCTGCTTCTCGATAACCGAGAACGGCCTTACCCCGAGCGGCGCCTTCATGCCGCTGCCCCTGAACCAAACAAGTCCGCCCACGGGCCCGCCTAACACATTCTCCGACATCGTCTTCAACCCGGCCCAGACGGCTCTATTCCTGACTCTCAAGGGCGACGGCGTGAATCCCGGCTCCATCTTCGCGTTCCCCGTCTCGGGCGCCGGTGTCGTCTCGCCCAAGCCCCGGGTTTCGCAGCCGGCCGAGCTGCTGACCGACTTCGCCATGTCCTTCATCAACGACACGCACGCCTTCGTCGCGGACCCGGCGTACGGCGGCTCCTTCGTGCGCGTCGGCTGCGGCCTCGACGTCTCCGTCACGCGCAAGGTCACGATCCCGGGCCAGGTGGCGGCGTGCTGGTCGCGGTACGACGCGAGGCGGGACGAGGTGCTGGTCTTCGACGCCGGGGTCAGCGACATCACGGCCGTGGCGGCGCAGTCTGGCGAGATCGCGCGCAACATTACCGGAGTCGCCGAGGCCATGGGTCAGTTCGACGCCGTGCTCCGTGGCGACCGCTTGTATGTTCTGGAGAATGCCCCCGGTATCGGTGTGTACGCCCTCGCTGGCGCGAACGGGACCAGCATCCTGCAGAATTTTGATCTGAGTGCGTTTGGAAAGCGCCAGTTCTTCCAAGGGCTGGCCATCTATCCTAGTGCCTAGGTCTGGTGTCTTCAGAGAAGTACCCAGCGTTTAGAAGTTTACGTGCTGCCAACTCTTGATCGTGGAATACAAGTGTTCGTACCAATGGTGCATTTTCTCTTTGACGTGATAGCATAACTAGCCAAACCATTTAGAGCGTATATAAAGATATCGTTTCAAACATCAGTCGGATGGGTATATTCCTTTTGGCACATATACACAATCTTGACATGTCTAGTACAGCTGAACGTGAATGGCACGGTCTTCGCTCTTCCAAGTCAGTTGTCCTCTCTGTAGTTCAAATACTGAAAGCGCTCCACGAAGCACAGATAAAATCATATTTTTGTCGAAAATCTAAGGGGATATCGGTCGTAATGTAACGTGCCAAAGAAACAACTGAAAGTCATACCCCAACCGTATACACAGATCCAACCTAGAAGATTCATCATTCGTAATCGTTAACATACTCATAAGCCCGGTTCCCACTTTTGAAATTGCTTCCAGATCACCACCAGAAGTCATGAAATCACTAAATCACCCCAAGAGAAATGGTAACGTCAAGATCTAGGAATCGTCGTCGCGCCTGCGCCGGTGCCTCCGTCTTCGTCGGTCAATATCATCGTCGTCACTCCTCTGATCTTCAAGAGCCGCCCTCCCGCTACCGCTACCGCTACCGCTAGGGCCCGGAAGACTTGTGAGCACATTGCCAAGTATACCCATCCAGCCCTGTCGGCCTTGTAGGATATTGCCCACGCCCTGCGCCATCCTGTTCACCATCTCAGGATCCGTTCCCTGGATTCCCCAGCTACCTTGGACGTGAGTGCCGTTCCTATTGCGCGGACTGTACTCAAAATCGCCTCTCCTACTGTGCCAACGGCGCGGGTCACTGGGATCTAGAGGCCGGCCCGTTGAATCGAAACGATCTGGTAGAACCTCGACATCATCTACATCAGACGAGGGGGACTCATTCCGCCGACGCCTACGACGCTGGAGCTGAGCTCTATTTGAGGATGGATCGGAATCAGAACGACGCCGGTGCAAATTTGGGCGCCGTTGGCGCACCACTTGGCTGTCTGCGTCAGCTGCGGAGTCTTGCGGACCTCCACCATCACCACCCGGGCGTTCGTTCTGTTCGTGTGATTCGTGGAGCTTTCGGAGAGTACGACTCGACTGAGGGGAGAGTGGGATGAAGGCAACTGATTTGGTTGAGGGTGCTGGGTTATCCGGTATTGTACTTGTGGACGATGAACGGCAAGGTGGAGAGCCACGGGAAAGGCGCCGACTGCGGGACCTCCTTAGACCATCTATATAGCACGTGTCAGTAGCTTCATCCCAGCTTCATGCATGACCTAAAGAAATGTAACGAAGTGCAACGCATCAGACTCAGGGGAACTCCGCACCTTGTGCACCAGCCCCCCTAGAACCTGGGTCGTCATGATTGGGAGTAGGAACTTGGTTGTCACCATATTTTGGACGACGACTCACATTCTCAGGTCCGGTAGGGGGGTAAGTGTTATTGGGCGGGTGGTTAGCGTGGCGACCAGTCGGTGGCGGTCCTGGCGGCGGAGGATAATTGGCATAGTCTTGCGGGTTATACGGAGGGTAGGCATTGACATTCATAGTCGAATTGTTGGGATGTTGTGTGAAGGGAGCAGGGCCTGCAGGTGGTGGAGCACCATTAGCGGTTGGCGGGTAGAACGCTCCTCCAGATGCGGTCGGCGGAGATGGAGGTGCTTCAGGGTCGTAGTCTGAGTAATAGCCGCCCGTTTCTGCTTCTTCATCGTAGCCTGGGAGTTGTAAGTAAGTATAGCTCTTATGGGAGTTCAAGATTGGAATTACGTACGCCGCCTTTCCCGCTCGCGAGACTTTCGATCCCTCCTCCGCTCCGCTCTCCTCTCATCCGAGTCTCTTCTGTCAGGAGATCTCTCCCGTGACTGTCGTTCCCTCGACTTGTCGCGTTCCTTCTTAGCGTCGTTATACTTCTTGATACCGATTGCGGCAGCGCCGGCACCAAGAACACCCGCGGCAGCCTCCCGCAAACGGCTCTTACTTCTCTTCCGTTTGGTATCCTTATCAGAGTCTACTGACCGTGATCTTGACCGATGGCGACGGCGGTGGCGGCGCTCTTCACTCGCCGACTCATAACCTGTAGGGGACAGCGGAGTTGTGCCGTATTCAACGAGGCCTAACTCTCCATTAGCGCCGTCTCGTGAGTGGAGGGATCGAGCCCTCGACCTGCTGCGGCTGCGGCTGCGCGAGACACTGTATCGACGGCTTCGGTCGGAGTAGTACTCTTCGTCATCTTTCCCGTGCTCGCGCGCCTTCTTGTCCTTGTGGCGCTCCCATAGCTTGCTTGCTGCTGCTCCTGACAGACTTGCTGCAGCTATCTCGGCTCCTGTATGCCGCGTAAGTTCAGAAGTCGCTTGTTGGTTCAATATCTCACGCACCTGTTCTCAACCGCGACTTGCTTCGGGAGCCTCCCCGTGATTTGCTGCGGTAATGTTGCACCAGACCGGCAATGGCACTTGTGAAAAGTCAGCTTGCATCCCAGAACCGCTGCAATGGCCATCGAAACGATGATCTTGTGCTTCCAAAATAGGATTTGAGTAATGCAAAGACTCACCCAGTTGCTGCTGCTGCCTTGGCCACGTTGGATTTGCTACGTCTTCTGGAGCGGCTCCGCGAAACCGAATATGAATCATTCGAGTATCGGCGCCTGCTTCGGCCCCTGGTGGCTTCTTCCTTTTCTATCTTGTTGCTTTGCATATATTTCAGGCCACCTGCAACAGCAAGAGCAGCAGCGCCCTAGGGTGTCATGTTAGTGCATGCGCGGACAGTCTTCCACAGCGTTGGTCATCTTACGATAGCAAGGCCGGTTGTGAGTCTCGATCGCGACTTGGAACGTGCACGGTGTCGGCTGTCATAGTCATCCTCTTCACCATATCGATCCTCGTAGGCGCTCCGGGCCCTCCGGATGACCTCGGTGCCCAGAGCTCCGAGGGCAGCGCCGGCGAGGACCTTCTTTCCTCGGTGTTCCGGCAGTTCTCCGTCTCGTCCTCGGCGACTCGATACAAGTGCCGACAGGCCTGCGCCTGCGAGTGCGCCCTCTGCCAAGTGTCTTTTCTTGTGGTGGTCGGAACTGGTACTGCGTTCGCGGCGGATCACCGTCCTCTTGACATAAACATCTTCGTCATCTGACGGGTAGTCTCGGCGGCGGCGGTCATAGCGCTCCATTGCATAGTTATCATCACGGCGCTCCTCGCGGCGGTAGTAGTACTCATCCTCTCGAGGATCACGACGAGCGACCTCGCGGTTGTTCTCCCTCAGAACGATGTAACCAGGGTCTGGCTGCCTGTCGATAACCACAGGGGGCGGAGCAGGCGCCTCTTGCACGATGATTTGTTGGGGCTCCGGAGCCCTCTGGCGGATGACAATGGGCTGAGGTGCTGGTTCCGCTGGGGAATAGTACTCGGTCTCCTTCCTGTAGCGCTCGATATCACCGCTGTGGCTGTGGTGATGCTCGTGATGGTGGTGGTCATCATCGTGGTATCGTTCGATGCGCTTCTCAATCTTGACATCGTCGACATGATCGTCAGATCTGCGCTCCACGCGCTTCTCGACCCGTACATCGTCGACGTGGCCATCGTGGTCCTCTGTCCTGCGCTCAACCCGCTTCTCGACCTTTACCTCGTCGCGGTCATCCCAAGTGGCGCGAGAGCGACGGTCCCAGTCCCGGTCGCGAGGAGACAACGGAGCGTCCCGTTCAACCGTTTCCCGAGTCTCCCGGACCACGCGGTCTCGGCGCTCAGGCTCCCGGGAGTACTCAACCTCTCGCTCCCTCTCGATGACTCTATCGCGCCGTTCAGGCTCGCGGCCATAGTCGATCTCCCTTTCTATGACACGGTACCTGTCGTCGCGATCGCGGTCACGGAGGTCGGAGCCCTCGCGTTCCACGACCCGCTTCTCCACGACAGTGCGCTGCACGGGAGGGTCGAAAGCAGATTTCGGGCGTTCGGGGAGGTAGGTCTTTTCTACGCGCTTATCGACCTCGACAATGTCGCCAGACGTACGCCCAACATGAGAGTGCGAGTCGCGGAGGTCATCTCTGTAAGAGTATCTAGATCGTCGGTCGTCGTCATAATCCTCGTAGCGTTCGATACGCTCTACGCGAGCCGTTGATCCGACGCCGCTGCTGCCGCCGCCACCGACCTTGTAGCGACGCACCGTCGTGCTCTTGAACTTCTCATCGTCCGATGAGTCGTCCTTGTACCGAGTATGACGATACTCCCTCTCGTGGTACGACATGGTGCGTCGCGGGTAGCGCACCGGCTATAACAGGCTGTCTACGCTCGCTATGCAATGGAAATGATGGAGGAAAAACTGTAAAAAGCGGCAGCAAAATCACAGCAGAGGAAAGCAAAGTGCGCTGGTCGCAACGAGAAGCGACCGGCTGGATATATCTGGGAAGGCTGGTGATGACGGGGTGGGACAGGAGGGCGGGGCTCAGGCTAGACGGGGGTGCCCGGGGGGGCAGAGAGGGATGTCATGCAGTACACTGGACCTGGGCCCGTCAGTCAGTAAGTCGGCTCCAGCGGGGCTGGCGGGCTGGTGGGCTGGTGGGCTGGTTGGGCTTTTGGGTGAGAGGAGCGAGGAATACACATCAGCTTTCTCGAAATGTGAGACGTGACTAATAGCAGCCGGACATGGGGGGGACACTGCTCTGGTACATTCCAACACGACATCAGGCTGCCGCTGCCCTCGACAATCCTGCTAGAAACATCTATCTCGTCACGTCTTGCTCCCGTATCAAGGCAAGTGCCAGGGTTGTTTCCAAGGTCTCCGTGGGCGCCGGCCACCAGCATTCTTGTTTTCCCCCCCAATGCACCGCAACTCTGGCTGCAGGTTTGGGGATGCAACTTGACTCGGGCAGGCTGAGGTACATGCCCTACAGTCCAGTACCTTCAGTAGGACCTCAAACGGCGTCGTCAATGTCACGCGTGGCGCAGCTCCCGCGCCTACGCGGGAGCACCAAATCCTTCACCATCGGCATAACTGCCATGGTACATGCTTGACCTGGCAGGGTGGAGCTAATGAGGGCACGGGAAGGCTGTGTGCGTGTGTCTGGCCTCAAATGCAGTGAGAAGCCACGGTCTAAGCCATGGCGGACCAACAGCGACAGGGCACCGTTTTGCCTAGATCACGCACTTCTCTTCCCTCGGTGGCTCATGATCACTTGCATTATTGGCTAGTCCCCGGCGGCAGCTATTTTCGAGCAGAGGGGTGTACGGCCGGAGCCGCTGACAGGCGACGAATGTCTGACCTTGACAGCTCAGCGGGTTCGAGAGGGCCAACACAATTGGCTCTCTGTCAGCAGAAGCCTCTTCTTTGCGTCTAGAACTGCTCGTAGTGACGACCAAAGAAGCCGTGCCCTCCGAGGATGCGATTGGCATATAGTACTCAGGTAGGCGATGGTGTTTCGATGTTTGCGACAACGTTGAACCCTGCTGGACGGGCATCGACAAGGCCGCATGATGGCGTCATTGTTCTCCCCGAGCCCGAGGCCACGCTTGCCCAGTCGTGGGACTAGACACTCGCAGTCAACAACCAGTGGATCTTAGTTGCTTCGGTGATCGTCGACCAAGGAAAATCAAGTATGATCGTTATCTAACTAGTCACCCAGGATTAACGACATCTGAGGCCAATCAACATAGCGATAATCACCGACGCATAGTGAGAACTGAGACATGCTTGCGCCGACAGGAATCTTCACCAGATTCCATCCTGGGTTGCGGGTTGCTGGGGGCCTCGACAAAGATCTTGGATCTCCAGCGGCTAACTCGGTACACGGACAGCGACCCACCCGAGCCAATATAAACTGCCGGCGCCCCTGCAACTGATGTTTCCTTGGTAGAAACAGACTATGATCTCCTTCGCAACAATTGGCCGCATACCTAGGTGAGTAATTAGAAAAGTACTGTTGACATGTCAACCAGTTAAGAACGAGTGCCTGTGTGCGTCGGGGGTCAAGCTTTGTAATGGTCTATTCATCTCGCAATGCACATCCTACGGAGCAATACCACTGCCGCTGTTAAAATATCTACAGCCTGGGGTGTTTGTTGCACTTCGAGGCATATAATCGCCAGGAACACGTGGACCAACATATACTTCAATATATATCTTGGTAGTTCATACGGCCAAAAACAGTATCATCTGAAGATTGAATGCCGATTGCCGTGGTTGCTGTCGGATGTTGAGGTTCGTGCATGTTTATTGAATCAGAAACTTCGGAAGCAAGAGTGACCCAGTGCAAAGAAGGTGTCACTTGCGCAATAGGCAAAGACAGCATGTTTGTCTTTGCCATTCAGACTGCGAATTTATTCCCGCTTGGCCGCGTGTCTTCAACATTACCCCTACTACCTCATCATACTTCTCCCCTATACTCCTTCGCTCTCAAGCACCTGTATTCTACGCTACATATATATCGGCATTTTTGCTTCAACCTTGACGTCCTCGAGCTGGGCCTCAACATTGTCTCTTTGACTGGATGCTGTTCAGGCTGCGAGGGTCCTCGCTTCCCTAGCTGTTCCTGTCCTTTGCATGACCTTGCGAATTCCTCATCAGTGGTCGCATTGTGATCTTGGATTAGACCAGAGTAGCTCCGTTCCATTCCACTGATGCTTTTGGGTTCATCCCAGCCAGAGAAATAAAGGACAGAAGAACGACGCGAAGGTTACCTTTACCGCACAAAATGGTGCAGCCAAATCACAGTCCGGTGACCTTCGCCAAGGACACGGATGTCTCGTTGTCAAGTCTTCGCCCAAGCGATTCGAATCCATCACTAAGAGTTGTGAGCAATCGACCCCCATTTTTTCGCTCCACTGGCTCGAAGACTGTTTATCGAAATGCTCTGCTCAAAGTCGGAAACATTCAAGGAGAATCCAGCGAGAAGGACCTGCCTGTCCCTCCGGTTCTGACGCCTACCGACCCAGTAACGATGATGTTGCACCCTTCGCCAGAAGAGTTTGGTGGCCATGGACAGCATAACCATGGGGGCCACCATGGTGCTTCCAAAGTTCGCCCTGCTCTAGAAGGCGAAATCAAAACGGCTACGGACAGCGATGACAACTTTCCGTTTGCTGTGGGCGATTCGCAAGCACAAAACCACCACCATGATGGCCATCATGGGCAATCAAGGGTTCGCCCTCTTACAGACCATTCAACACTCTTCGCAGGTAATCCAGACAATTACCCCAATGAAGTTCATGAGGGGCACTCCTGGGTTGGGAAAGTGCAGCCCTTTCATGACATCTCAGCAATGCATGAGGCCTCACAAGAAGATCGAGAGACCTCCAAACCAACGAACTATTAGGGATTTCTCCCTGGATTTGGAGACAAAAGCCAGGATTTACCTGCAAGTTTCGAGGAGCATGTGGAGTCTGGCATCATGATACGAGACAAATCCAAGCTTGTCGCACAGTCTGGAGATGCCCATTTGAAAACTGGGATGCCCGGCACCCAAGCGTCAGATAGGAGTGCATCTGATGGAACAACTTTGGAGGGTAAAAGGATGATCAGTCCGGGTGATTTTACCTCCAGTATGGAGCAAAAAAACCTAGCGGAGGATACTTCTGTCGGTATGGACGTCTTGCCGCGGTCACTAACAGTTGACATGTTGAGGGATCGACTTGACGAATGGAAACGTACACGCAACGGTGAACAACGCAGGCTATCAGAAGATGAGTTGTTGTCCGCCGAAACGGCTGATCAACTCAAGCAAAGATTCTTCCCCGAAGGATTGGATCGCAAGCGAGCGGTTCAGTGGATTCGAGATCTTCTCAAACCACGGAGGCCCTACACTCCTAAATTCACCCAGTTACCGGGGAAGCAGCACCCGCGTCACGAGGCCCATGAAGACTTTCCAGACCATGCTCGTAGTGCATTGACCACCAGAGTGACTACCTTCTCTGATCAGAATGAGACAGACTCCGGGTCCATGAATGAAGCGATGAGAAACCTGGAGCAGCTACTGAGCGAAGCTTTGCACATCGCAAATGAGGTTGCAGGCCAGGACCGAGGGCATGTGGACGATGACCATCTTCACTTGTGTCCCATGGAATCATCCCATCACGGCTCCCACCCACCCAGTATACATGAAAGTCTTGAAGAAGATATGTCTACTGAAGACGAGGACAAGGCTGATCTGGCAATGAGGCAACCTATAGTCTTTGTGGGAGCCAACGAGGGATTTATTCACGGCTGCGACGCAATTTCCTTCAGGGCTCTCAAGCGCCACGGGCTCGTGATGCCGGACAATTGCGATGGTAAAGTCAGAGGACCAGCTCCACCTGACCGACGATCCAGCCTTCGCCGTCAACCGAAGTACTATAGAAGAGCTGATCGTTCCCGAAGGAGTCCAGTCTTACCAATGCCTCCACCGGACAAACAGCTCAAAAGACAACGCTCATATGATACTCATTTGGCGTACGAAGACGATAATGAGGGAAGGATTACTCAACCTCACACAAAGGCTGTACCAAACAGCAGAGAGGTCCGCGAATACATCCGGGTCTTTCACGCTCCCCCCATCACGGCCCGTGAAAGCTCTAGAAACTTGCGAAAACTCTCCAACAACCATATGGCGTACGCTATAAAACAGGATAAGAATGTTTCTATGCTACGTCGCGCACCCACAGATATCTGCAGCTTGGACGGCAGCGCATCAGACGATGTTATTGAGTTCACAACACCATCTCAGAGTGAGCCAAGATCTCGAACAGTCAGCAAGTTGAAATCCCCACAAGACCATGCTTACACAGCTCCTCTCGTAGGCAACACGGGGAACATACACCAACGAACACCCTCCAAGCGAGGCCGTGACCTGCGAATCGTCAGCTTGCGCGGAAGATCCCATGTCAGTATAAAAGATGCGAAGTTCAGTTTAACCAAATCGTATCGCCGCCAACCCATTGCGAGAGACTGGTCTGTGGCACGGAAACGGTTCGTGGCCATCGTGGTCTGTCTCGGGACTGCTTTGATTGGGATTCTCACAGGCATCTACGCAGGAGTAGTTCCTGCTGTTCAGTATTACATTGCCGACACCAACCACATTGCGATTCTAGGCAACGTGGCAATGTATCTTGGCATGGCACTACCGACATTCTTCTGTTGGCCGTTGCCGTTATTGCATGGTCGTCGTCCATATATCCTATCAGGTCTGGCTCTTGCAATGCCTCTCATATTCCCCCAGGCCATAACAGTAAGCGTCCACCGATCTGCGAGGACTAACGCATGGAAATGGGCGCTGTTACTCCCAAGAGGCTTCATGGGTGTTTCCCTGGGATTTGCAAACATGAACTTTCACTCCACTTTAACCGACTTGTTTGGCGCATCCCTAATGAGCAGCAATCCCCACCAAGAGGTTGTTGACGAACACGATGTACGAAGGCATGGAGGTGGCCTAGGAGTGTGGCTTGGGGTATGGACCTGGTGCTTCATCGGTTCTCTGAGTATTGGATTCATGGTGGGTGCTCTGATCATCGACAACCTGGCACCTGCGTGGGGATTCTACATCAGCATCATATTGATCGCCATCGTCTTAATGCTGAACGTCATGACACCTGAGGTACGCCGCTCTGCATGGAGGCGATCGGTGGCAGAATCCAGGACTGGCGATCGAGTTTCCCGCCGCGTGGCGCGTGGTGAGATCATGATGCACCGAGTCCAAGACGGTCCGAAATGGTGGGGACAGGAAGTATGGCACGGCGCGGCTCTCTCGTTAGAGATGCTTCGTCAGCCTGGCTTCACTATCATGGCTGTATACTTGGCTTGGATTTATGCACAGGTAGTCTTGGTCATCATCGTAAGCAGCTGTACCCCGTATGGTGTACGACAACCTTACTGACTGCGGAAGCTCCTTGGATCGTTGACATCAAGGTACTACAGACTCAGGGCTACATATGTCGGCGCTGCAGTATCTTCGGTAGCCATCGGCGCCATGGCAGCTGTACCTTTCCAGAAGGCGAACCTCTTTTCACGTGCGAGGCATCATCCTTCACTATCAAACCAGCTGACGATTGACAAGAAGTTAACGTGGACCTCGCATCTAGTGCGCCGTGCGATTTTCACAATCATCCTGCCAATTGCAGGCGTGATGTATGCCGTGGTCTCATTCGGCCCTCCCGTACACTTGCTCTTCCCATGTCTGTTCGCGGCTATCGTGGGCTTTTCGTCCTGCTTAGCGATTGCTGAATGCAATGGCTTCCTGATGGAGACTTGGGATTGCTCTGACCTGCAGCCAGGAATGACTGGGCGATCCAAAAGCATAAAGAGTCTCAAAAAAACCAACTACTCATCGTTTCCCAGGGTTCAAGCGGGCTACGCTGTCATACACAGCCTGGGATTTATATTTGCGGCGGGCGCAACAGGCATCGGTGGTATTGCTCAACGGAGCCTTGGCCAACGAGCCGCAACTGCTGTTGTCGCTTCTATCCTTCTCCTTCTGACGTTGCTGCTCTTCGCCGTCCTGGCCCGCTTTAGGCAGGTTCAGATCATCCCTAGATCCAGAACAATGGAAATGGACAAGTGGACGGAGGAACGCAGGAGCACTTTGCGCCGCCGAAAGTCTGCCGATCGCAAAGACCGCAACGACGTCCCCGAGGAAAAGATCGACTGGAGACCGCTGATTATCGGAAATCCTTTGGAGAAGAACCGGCGGGTGAATATTCTTGAACTTGGTGCCTTGACTCGATGGACTGAAATACGCAAGAGAAATCTTCTTATCGACCAGAGTGCGCATCTCAACCGGCAGGCGCTTGACCTCGCCCGCCGCGAACTTGGACAGAGAGGCCAGGATATGCTGGAAGACCTGCATCGTGGGGGTGCCATGGTTACCGACCTCGTCCGGAAAGTAAGCAAGCGGAGCGTCCAAAGCAAGAACAGTTACGGATCTTCGACCGACGATGAGGACTCGCGGCTCCCACGTGAGGGCATCGTGCAGACCCCTGCGGGCATCGGGCACACCCATGCATCGAACACGCCCCCTCCGTTCGTAGAGCGAGACTGCTTCATAGGGCAGAGTGTTCCTGAAGAAGTAGATGATGACTCTTCAGTCATCGAGGTTGGTAATATTGAAGATGACTACAACCTACGACACCACTCGAGAGACCATGCATCGCATGCACACTCAAAAGTTCGACCATACGAAGAGTTCGAGATGCAAAACCTCAGGGGCACCGAGCCTCGAAGTACACCCGCCAAAAAAGAGAGTCCAGATCTTCCCTCCACGACAAGAACGGTCTCGGGCATCACTCGCGAGCACCACTCACATACGGGACCGAAAGTGCAGCCCGCAGATCCCAAGAAAGCGGAGCTCGAGGAAGCCCACGGCTCTCACATGCAGAGCAAGGTCAAATCCTCGGCTGGTTCTCAAACCAAACCCTGAGCATGTCCGGTGGGACCTGGAGCGTGATGAGGAGAGCAGACAGAGGATCGGAACAACAACAAGCTTGTACCGTGAGTTGCTGAGTAAGGAGTATTAGGACTATAAGCCTATGACCACCGAGGAAGTAGTCTTTAATACAGATCATGTTATCCCTATCTGGTTCAGTGCCATGATGTTGACACTGAAATGGAAAGCTGAATCCAGACGGCCTAGTTCTTTTTGTGTCCCTTCACAGCCTTGATCTTTATGTCGTATTCATGATGCAGTCAGGCAACTCGGGCGACTTTCTCTCCTGAGTGAGTTTTGAGAGAAGCCGCCATTGTTCCCTGTATGTCAAGAGGGTCACCAGTACGTGGCAGCTGTTGTACTCCCATGGGCTGGCAGCGGCTGCCGGCAATAACAGCAAATTCAAATTGGCAGAATTGACTGGTGGTCAAAATACTGTACACTGTATACTATAAGGTAGTCCAGTACCCAAGTTAACTAACTTAGGCGCTTAATTACATAACTAGGAACCCCCTGGCCCTTTCGCCGCTGCTAACGGGGAGGAGCTTTGGGGGCGCGATATGACGCGCGCTAGATGAGCTCCAATCTTTTTTTGACGGGGGCAAGCTTCAAAGTCGAGGGTTCGCTGAGAGAAGCGTACGGCACCAGCACCAGCACCAGATCAACCATCCAACGGCTCCAGCCATGCTCGGCCCAGCTCACATCGAAGCCCGCGCCGATTAACCGCATCTCAAACCTACCAATGGAACGCAGCAGCACCTACGTATAGCCAACCACCCACTATGCGGTCGCAATTGACTCGCCATGTCTTGCGCCGCCTGCGTGCCCACCAGGGCCCCGGCCTGCAGCCGCTATGCCCGACCACGAGACCGTCTCTGCGCAGACATCCCCTCGCCCACCGCGTCGTCCGGCCGGTCCAGCGGAGGACCTTGTTCGGCATGTTCCAGAAGGCCCCCCGTATCCTCAAGGAGCCCGAGATTGAGCCCGGCTTCGAGTCGCTGCTGAAGTACGGCGCCCACATAAAAGAGAACCTTCGCCCGCCGCCCAGGGAGGAGCTGGCCAAGGCATTCCGCGACTTCTTCAGACACAAGAAGCTGAAGCGCCGCCCCGTCAATGCTCTCGAGGCCCGCCTTGCCCACCATGTGCTCAACCACCTCAGCGAATCCCTCGAAGACGACTCTGCTTTCGGCCTGGGCATCCCGGATCTGCGAACGGCACAGGATGCTCTCAGGATAAGGCCGAGGGATGACCCCACCGAGCTGGTCGAGCTCTCCAAGGCTCTGTTCCTCGGCATCCGCAAACGTTCCGAGAGACATCAGGGGCGAGGCCAGTCTCGGGGTGGCCCGGCAAGTCAGGGCCAGCGAGGCGAGGCGGTCGATCTAGTCCTCGATACAGCGGGGTTATTGAGAGTCCTGACACAGTATGGGCGGTCGATGGAGGCGATGGATCATCTGCTGAGCAACTGGGACAAATTCATGCAACATGGCGAAGTACGGTACGGCCGGAGGAAGGCTCTGTGGATACCCGTGCTGCGAGGCTTGGCAGAGGAGGGCAGAGAGTCAGAACTCCTGCGCCTGCGACAATCCTTTGAATCAAAAGCGAGTCTGGAGTTCGGGCGCAGCGTACACGAGATCATGACGGTCTTCTACGCACGGCAGGACAACCTGGACAAAATGAAGAAGTGGTTCAACCGACCGATCGAGCCCGAAGGCTCGTATCTGGAAGACCGAGCGCAAGAAGACCTGGACAATGCTGATTCGACAGAAACTACGCCAGGAGTCACACCCACTCAGCGGACGTACTCGGAGGTGTTCCTGTGTGCCATCAGGAACGGAGACCGCGACTGGGCGGTGGGCCTGTATCAGGACTTGGCCAACAACCTCGAAGCGCTCGCCAACACGCACTACGCCGAGGAAGCTGTGCATCTTATATACCGCTTCGCCGTCCTGTTGCTCGGAAAGGGACCCGAGCACATTGAGCGCATGGTCACGAGCAACCCTGATCCCAAGTTCCGACCAAATATGAATATCATCAACGCGCTTATCGAAGCTGCCATGGATAAAGGCGATCCGTACCTCGCCGAGAGGATGACGGCTCTCGTTTCGCGGCTGGGGCTCGAGCCCGATCGCAGATTCTTCAGCCTTCAGGTGCAATACAGAATACGCGCAGGAGACGTGGACGGCGCCTTCACGGCCTTCCATTCGCTACAGGACTTTGAGGGCGACGAGGGCGACTGGCCGGTCCTCAACAAGGTGATTCGTGACCTGTGTGCACTTCCAGAGCCCAACTATGACCGAGTACTGGAAATCACAAGCTATTTGGAGCAGCTCTCGGCCACACTAGAGCCAGATACGGTGGTGTCGCTTTGCATAGCGTTCCTCAACAACGACGAACAATACGAGGTGATCGATACCCTGTCACTACATACGGTCAAGTTCAGCGCCGAGGAGCGCGCGCTGGTGTCCAAGGCCTTTGTGGGTTTCTGTTTGGACAAAAACAACAGTACCGCAAGAGTGTGGGATGCCTATGCACTACTGCGTCAATTCTTCCCGGACACAGCGCTGGAGGACCGGGTACAGATCATGGATGCCTTCTACGCCAGGAAGAGGGCAGACATGGCTGCACACGTCTTCGGCCACATGCGCCAGCACAGCAACCACATATACCGTCCGACCCTGGACATATACGTCCGGGCCCTCGAGGGCTTGGGGCGCTGTCCCGATCTCGAGAGTCTGAAGATGATCCACAACATGCTGAAGATGGACACCACCATACAGCCGAACACGAGGCTCTACAACGCCCTGATGATTGCGTACACGGCAAGTGACGAAATTGACAGGGCGCTGGACTTCTGGAAGGACATTGACAACTCCATCGAGGGCCCTTCGTACCAGTCCCTGGAGATCATCTTCCGGACGTACGAGGCCACGCCGTATGGCATCGAGCCGGCACAGCAGCTCTGGGCCAAGCTCAACACGATGGAGATCGACATCCCACCCAAGGTTGCGGTGGCGTACGCGGCAGCGCTGGCTAGCCACAGCCTTGCCGAGGAGGCCAGGACGATCCTCGAGGAGATGGAGGCCGAGGTGGGAGAACGGCCTAACTTCCAGGCGTATGTCTGCCCCCTTTCCAGTCCTTTCTCTTTTACTCCGTCTGCACGCGGACCACGATTTGCTGACCCATCTGCGCGTGCGTATAGCCTCGGCGTCGTCTACAACGCTCTGCCCAACGACGACTTCAAAGACGCCTTCGAGGCCTGGGCCACCACGGAGTTCCCGCACGCCTGGAAGGAGTTGAGCAAGAAGAAGAGGAGGCGGGACGCCGAGGGCTTCCGGACGTTCCAGTTCCTGCGGCCGTGGAAGGCCTGATGGTGAGCCAACCAGGTGTCATGTGAATGTGATGTTGACGGGCTGTATGTAATATGTACAAAAAGCTAAAGAGAGGCAAATCTATACACGGGGATAGTAAGCGTATGTATGCTTTTGTATCTGTACAAAATCCATGAAAAGCGAAAGCTGTTGTACAAAGACGCCCGCCCCCCTTGGGTCTTGTTTTGTGTGTGACCTTGCTCTTTACTTTACACTTTTCCCCCCTTTCCTCGTGGTGTCCCTTCCCTCGCTCTATCCTGTCTCTGATAACCCCGCCGCATCCCTCCTGTTACCCTTTGCATATTGCCTGCCTATCTTGTCTGGCCCCCGTCCCAACTACACCTTGTAGTGGTTGCCCAGACTGCCGGTCGCCATGGTCTGGGCACCCGCGACGTTGCGCTGGCGCATCAGGATCTCCGGGTGCTTGTGGACGCTGGGGTGGAGGCCCTGGCCGACGGCCCGCCGGATGGCCTTGGCGAGCTTGCGCTGGTTGACCGGCCGCAGGCCCGTATAGTAGGACTTCTTGATGCGGCCGTGGGGGGTGATGAACTCGGAGATGAAGGAGAAGTTCTGCGTGTTTAGTGTGAAACGTCAGCCGGCTATTTTTCTCTCTCTCTCTCTCTTTTGTCTCTTCCTGTTCCAAGTTCACCGGCCGAGCTCACTTACCCTGTACATGTCCTGGGGCCGCAGTCCCAGGAGGTCGACCAGGTCGCGCTGGACGGTGGTGATCTTGCGGTGCTTGGCGGCCTCGACGGGGCTCAGGTCGTGGGGCGCGTACAGGTCGCCGATGTTGAAGCGGCGCGGCATCTGGCGCATGTACTCCTCGGCCGTGTTCTTGCTGCGCAGCTCGCTGGCCGTCGACGACGCGCCGCCGACCCGCTGCTCGCCCGCCACGCCGCCCCCGTTGCGCCGGTTGTTGCGGTCCCGCTGGAAGATGGTGAAGACGTTCTCGGCGGCCGACGTCGGCTGCGACCGCGGCGATTGCTGCTGCTGCTGCTGGGGGGACGTGGACGAGGACGAGGGGGACGACGAGTCCAGGTCCATCAGGCGTGCTGTCGAGGATCGGAGGTCACGGCGGACTGGTGGGGCAGAGCTGTGTCAGTGACCGGTCGGGCGGCAAAGATGGCGATTGCCATGGTATAATATTATATATCGGCATCAGGGGGCACTCACTGGCTAGTGACGAGGCTGTCTGCGAGAATTGGCAGGCCTGAGTCCTGATGAGGGACACGGATTGCCTTGCGGCATCCAGCAGTGATAACCTCGGAGGCATGTTGGGCAGTCTGGCGAGCCTGTGCTGCGTGGAATGGCAAATGGCTGAAGCTATCCCGACCTTCCCTACTGCGAGGTCGACGTCGAAGTCGAGTCGCGCGCCCATAAATTATTTCGGCCCCGTTAATCCGATACCAGCTGCAGGTGTGCACCGGGGCTGACAGCAGAGGCCGGGAGAACCGGAGACGGTTCCGATTGATGCATATCTTATCGCTCAGCGCTAGTTGCGCGCTAGTTGCATACTGTACAGTACCCGCGCCGTAGCGGGGCTTCAGCTTGACTATCGATAAGAAAATATTCCCAGGGCCGGCCGACTGGCCATCGTGAGTGAATGCATTCACTGAACTGAGGGAGAGGTCACAGACACCGCAACCACCACAGCCGCAGCCATGGTGCGCAAACTCAAGCATCACGAGCAGAAGCTCCTGCGCAAGGTCGACTTTGTCACCTACAAGCAGGACAACAACCACCGCGATGCCGCCGTCGTACGTTTCCCCACGGCCAGTCCGCCAGACCGAGGAACCATGACTGACCAGCACGCTCCCAGATCCGCCGGTACATGATCCAGAAGCCCGAGGACTACCACCGCTACAACCGCCTGTGCGGCTCGATCCGCAAGTTGGCGCACCGCCTGACCATGCTGCCGCCCGACAACGCCACGCGGCGCCGGCACGAGGACCTGCTGCTGGCCAAGCTGTACGACATGGGCGTGCTGTCGTCGACGTCCAAGCTGAGCGCCGTCGAGAAAGGCGTCACCGTCTCGGCCCTGGCCCGCCGCCGCCTGCCCGTCGTCATGACCCGCCTCAAGATGGCCGAGACCGTCCAGGCCGCCACCAAGATGATCGAGCAGGGCCACGTCCGCGTCGGCACCGACGCCATCACCGACCCGGCCTACCTCGTCACCCGCAGCATGGAGGACTTTGTCACCTGGGCCGTCGGCAGCAAGGTCAAGCGCAACATCATGAAGTACAGGGACAAGCTCGACGACTTTGAGCTGTTGTAAGGTGGTCACAGGAGGATACGCGCGGGGGAGACAGCCGCTGTTCTGATACCTAGCGTCGAGGTAGGGGGGTTTGTGTTTTGGAAAAGGGGTAGATTTGCATTGCACGGCGTTCCGGGGGAAAAATCAGCTTCATCAACAGCATAAGGTTGGAGAGAACTGCTTCTAGTTTGGCGCAACCCAACAGACCTTCTGGCACATGTTTAGTCGGTCGAATTATAGATAGATACAATTTCGATGATCCGTTAGGAAGACAACATATATTATATGTGATGTTATTTGTGAGCGGGCCGCAAATTCACAAGTCTACTTAGGCAGACGCTTGTTGGAGTATCCATATAAGGGTGACTTAACATGTTTGAAACGTTGAAACATACATATGTAGTCTCTATTGGTCCCTAGAACCCGCGCTTGCTTCCAGACTCACTGATATCCTGCTACTAACAAGAAGTTCTCAGACTAAGTAGAAATCATGCCGTGTATCACAGCGCTATTCAGAATTTTTTTTTTTTCGTTATCTAGCAACAGTGACGCGATTTCTTCGTACTCGATGTCATCCTGCCCGGCATCACAGGCGCCTAAGCGTCACCAATTCACAGACTGATCTAGGAGTATAAAATAAATCCAAGATCCTCGGGCCAATACACCATTTGATACATTACCCTGCTCTCACGAAAATTATATTCCCGGCAACATCAGAGATAGTAGATAATCGTAGTACAAGCTCTATAAGTATCATGGCTAATAGCTCCCGTTCATCAAGCCACGCAGCCTCCCCTGCACCCCGGCTTCCGCCGTTGCGAAGTTCGGTGCGAGCGGCGTCGAGATCACCTAGATCTTCTAGATCCTCTTCTCGCGCGAAATCCTCTTCTCGCGCAAAATCGTCTTCTCGGTCGCCATCAGCTTCTCGGTCGCAACACAGATTACCAGCAAGACAGCCATCAACGTCTGCAAGCGGGCCGCCGACCGCAGCGCGCTTCAAGGACCCTGGCATATCTCGATCGTCAACGTCGACGTCGAAGGTTCGACCACACTCAATTGAGCCAAAGACCTCTTCGCATGGGCCGCCGAAAACTGCTCGGTTCAAGGACCCCGGAGTCTCTCGGTCGTCAGCGTATTCCCGGTCTGGAAGCCGATCCCTCGCGCGCGATCCAAAGGCATCTGCAAATGGACCGCCGACTACGGCTCGGTTTGGGGACCCCGGAACTTCGGGTCGGCGCTGATAGCCAAAAGAAAAAAATAATAGATACTGGCGATTGGTAGTTTTGTATGATTTGTTGGAAATTGTGTATCTTTGATGATTGAGAACCACCATAAAGAATGATGCATCGGTGTGTGATGTGAACACCACAACCCAGTCTGCCCTTCGGTACGACAGGGTATATCGCAGCCGGTAGGTTCACATGTCACTTTTCGTGACAAAAACCTCCCGCAAAGTCCTCACAGCCACATGATTCCCTGACTAGTCACAATTTAGTTGATCATTTACATATCATCAGGTTTGAGCAAGTGCAGATAAAGCCGAGCCTTCCGTAGGTCCATTTGGTTCTGAAGAGTCTATGAGTTCTACTGGAGAACACTTATCCATGTGCGCGACACTCGAAGCGAGACGCTTCGCAATAGGGGGAAAATCAACATAGGGGGTTGTTGGTCGCCTACGCTGATTCAATGCTGCCTGCCGGTTAACCGGACATGAGTGCAAGCTGGAGTTTGTAGCTATTGTTAGCTCAAGGATTGTATACTCATCCTTGGATGGTCGCGTACTCATAAGAGAGAGTGCCACATGCTTATTCTCTTGCTGGCAAGAGAATACAACGGTAGCATCAGCTCCTTGTGGAGGGCACCGTGGCAGGGGCAGGGACGCGCTCAAGGGGCGTTCAAGGAAAAGAGTTTATACAGTCGAGGTTGTGCTTCGACGCTTTCGTGGGAGCGGAGTTGAAAGATACGTGAGTTGAACGGCCGCCAATCAAGGAAAGCCGGCCTTATGTTTACAATGTGATCAGAAGAACCCCTGGCGGATTGGGTTCCACCAGCCCACCTGTCAAGCAACGTATGCCAGCCATGATAGCTGCCAAGAATGAGGAAACTATGAGCCTCAGAGTCGGAACCAATGAGCTTTGCACGCAGCCATGGGCCAAAACCGACTATACCTTTGACAGTGCCCGGAGCCAAGGACCATTCTTGCGTCAGGTCTCGTGGGGCCGGGAGTTGCGTGGTCTCCATACTTCCCCTGCCGGAAATCCTGAGGGAGTAAAAACCACCAATCAGCTGCAAGGAGATTGCCAGAAGCAACTCAACTAGAGTCACTTGACACTTGAAGCAGAACTGTGGATGGAATAAATCAGAATGGAATTGGGAACAACTTGAATCATACGTTGATCTTTAGTTGACATAAAGCGGACAGCTCTGTTGTTTGTCGTAATGTTGACGCCGTGAGACTCTACCCACTTTCATAACACGGATACTCAAAGTCAAGTCGGCTGAACCATTCCTGCTGCCCATGCGTAACAATGTTTTCTAAGCCTTTTCTCACCTTTGCCTTGACGGCACTCGTTCCTTGTGCCGCGGCAGCTGGTGTCACAGGGTCCGCAGAGGGTTTCGCCAAGGGCGTGACAGGAGGCGGCTCGGCCACTCCCGTCTACCCTACCACCAACGCCGAGTTGGTCTCGTACTTGGGAGACAGCTCGCCTCGCGTCATCATTCTCACCAAAACCTTCGACTTCACCGGCACTGAGGGTACCGTAAGTGGTACCGGTTGTGCACCGTGGGGAACTGGCAGTTCTTGCCAGACGGCTATAAATCAGAACTCGTGGTGTGACAACTACGAAGCCAGCGCACCTGATGTTTCGGTTTCATACGACAAGGCTGGTATTCTTGGAATCACCGTTGGTTCGAACAAGTCTCTCGTTGGCTCGGGCTCTTCAGGCGTCATCAAGGTATTTGCCTACCCAAAACATGGTTTGCCAGTTTCGTATACTAACAGGTCCACCTACAGGGCAAGGGGTTGAGAATCATCAACGCCAAGAACGTTATCATCCAAAACGTTAAGATATATAATCTTAACCCGCGATATGTTTGGGGAGGCGACGCTATAACTTTGAACAACTGTGACCTGGGTGAGTTGCTACGATTAAACTTCCTGCCACAACAAGATCGAGTTCTCGAATACACAACAAAAATATACTGACCTTGAATCGCCAGTCTGGATTGACCATGTTTCCACATCTCTAATTGGCAGACAGCACATCGGTAAGTCACGTCCGCTTATGAACTCAATGGCCAGCATAAGTTTCAATAGAGCTATCAATTGACAAGGTGCAGTGCTGGGTACCGACGCCAGTAACCGTGTTACCATATCCAACTGTGACATAGATGGCACCACGTCATGGTCGCCTAACTGCGACACTTACCATTACTGGAACGTGCTATTCCTCGGCTCACAGGACCTGGTCACCTTCAAGAACAACTACGTCCACCACTTCTCCGGCCGCGCCCCCAAGGTCGGTGGGAACACCCTGCTCCACGCCGTGAACAACTACTTCTACCAGAGCGACAGCAATGGCCACGCCTTTGAGATCGACGCCGGCGGCATGGTCCTCGCCGAGGGCAACGTCTTCCAGAACGTCGTGAATGTCGTCGCAAGTGGCGTCGCCGGCCAAGCTTTCACAAGCCCCGACAGCACCAGCAACGCTGCGTGCTCCTCATACCTTGGCCGCAGCTGTGTCATCAACGCATTTGGGAGCTCGGGCGCCTTCAACATCAAGAACACCGGGTTCTTGTCCAACTTCTCTGGGAAGAACATCGCTTCGGCATCTAGTGCGAATGATGCCAAGGCGGTCTCATCAAATGCCGGTTACGGAAAGATCTAGGGACTTATTTATGGCGTGTTCATGCAGAGCCATTATGTCTCTCGCAGAAGATCTTGCCAGGGATCGCGGGGATGTACCCACTGAACCTGACTTAGAAAGGCGTGATCTATAGGTGCTGTGTTCAATTTAGGAGTCGAGTGACAATGTTAGAGAAACAGATTTGATGGCCCCAGAAGGCCATTCGGACATCGGACAGCAGTGAGAGATATATATGTTTAGTGTATATATTGATTATCTGGCTGTTCCATAGCGAGCCGTAGGTCCTCTGTGTGGCCAATAATGCTACATTTCTCATGTGACAGCTATTGAGAAATTTCGACACTGAAGGCCTCAGTCAATAGCTTGTCAACTGTGATAGTGACAGTGCTGCCAGATAGCCCCAAGACGGTGACCTTAGATACCTTCACAGTAGTTTCGTAGCCGAACTCGCCATCCGCCGTCAGAACAGTCCCATCGAACTTGAAAGTAATTGAGCTGACACAATCTTGCACGAGGCTGACCCCATCATCGAGGTAAAGTTCGCCTTGAGCAGTGCCGTCAGCCCCTACGGGCACGATAATCTCAAAGTCTTGTTTTCGAAGCTCAGTTGTAGTCATAGTTGAGTTGACGCGAAGAGGTACAATGACGCCTCCGCGGTAGTACAGAGGAAGATCGAGCCAAGTTTGGTTGTCGCGGGTAATGGACGCGCCGTTTCCTTGAACTTTCTCGTGTGTATAGAAATCGTAAAATATGTCCTTAGGCAGGTAGACATCAACGCTGGTGGCGTTTTCCTCGGTGACTGGAGCTACCAAGAGACCAGGACCGAGAAAGTACTCCAGCTCCAGATCCCAAGTTGTTTGATCTTCAGGATAGATGAAGAACAAGGGGTTGACACTCGGTGTACCGTCCACCGTCTGTCTATATAGTGCAGTGTACATGTAGTCCAGAAGTTGATAGCGAATGCCAATAAACTTCCTAGCAACAGCCGCGACTGAGTCCCATCGGTAGAACTCTTGCGGGATGCTGCTCAGCTCGTTATGGTTGCGATAGAATGGGGCGAAGGCTCCAAGGGCAGCCCATCTCGCGCACAACTGTTCTGTAGTACTAAAAACACATGAAGTGTTAGCTCGTGTCTCATACAGACCATTGCTACGCGTATTTCAAGTCCAGAAAAATCTCGTCCAGACTCCACCAGGAGCCAATATCTCAGTAGCCGCGCGAAATGCCAAGTAGCACGAATCTTGTAAATACTTACTTCGACCCGAATCCACACTAAAACGTAAAGGTTAGTGATTGTCCTGGTCCAGTCCATGTGCTAGGGGTGCTCCTTCATAAGGGGTGTGGCCATTGATATACTTGACCTGAGAGCTCCGAGCTTGCCTAGGGGAAAAAAGAAATTCAATTATACATACTACGTCAGCCCCGACCATTGGGACTTGGTATAGCGCGGCGAATGAGACCATACTTCTTATCGCCAAACGGTAGTGCCACCACGTCGATAAATTGTCACCTAGCCAATGTCCGACCGTTGTACCCGCGCCGGCAAAAGTCGATCGTGTAATGATGAGTGGTCGCAGCGTTGGTTTCCTTGCAAGCATGGCATCTCGAGAAGCGACACTCATCATTGATCCGTATAGGTTATGCGTCTATTATGTGACAGTTAATATAAATCCGCAAAGTGCTTGAAGATCATACTTACATCATACATAGCCAACCCGTTCTGGTGGATCAAATCTGTGTTGACAGTCTTATTGGAAATACCACCCTTGTCGGCGTTCCAGTCATCTTGGTAGGCTGCTTTATTGTGAATTGCGTATTTGGGATAGAGCAAGTCTCGGTCAGGGAGACCTTGCTGTTGGCCTTCTTGACGCTTTGAGATTCGAATGTCAGCGTCTGATCCAGAAAAACCATTACGTGTGTCTAGTGCCTGAGTGTCGCGAGACAGAACTTCTGATTGTTGGCAATCAGTTCCCTCTGGCTGGAAGTCACAGGGCCAACCGGGTAGTGAGCGTGGTGGTGTTCGTACTGGGGGTGGCTCGGGAGGATAGCCGATAGCCGAGGCGTCTGGGTCTTCGCATGGGAAGTAGCAAGGAAAGTTAGAAGGTCGAAAAGACACACAAGTTAGCTTTATCTTCTTAAAATGACTTCTAGGAGATCACGAGGAAAAATTGAGCTCGAGTCGTCTGTGTACTTACTCGTTCATGTCAATCCAAAGAGCGTCGATATCAACGCCTTCCTCCGGAGAGAAAAAGGAGGCGAACTCCCCATTCCAGAAAGATGTGATGTTTTCTGCAAACCAATCTGGGAAAACAGTAACCCCAGGCCATACCACCCCTTTCCATACAGAACCATTTCCACGTAGCATGTAAACGTTATCCTCGATGCCGCGCTGAAGAGTACCAGGGAAATCTTGATAGGCCACTGCAGGGTCAACCATTATGATGTAGTGCTGGTCGTTGGCATGTAGATGATCAACGAGTTGTCGCATCTTCTCAAGAGGAAACCGATCGGGGTCCAATGAGAAGACCCTGCGGCGGTACATGTAGTCCTGTAACTTCATATCGGTATACGGCTAGATGGAGACTCCATTGAGCACAGATTGCACTTACGATATCTGTCCACATGGTTTCTAAAGGCAAACCGGCTTGGCTATAGTTGTAGACGGCTTCTGCCACGTCGAAAGCATCGCGGTAACCGTATCTTGTTTGTTTCTACCATATTAGTTGACGGAATTGAAAAGTGAAGATGGAGATCAGAACGCAGCTGCGAAGCGTCAAGAATGGAAGTTGTTGGAAACCTTACCGGCAATTATCTAAATTGGACTGTTAGCAAGTCTTTTAGAAGAAGATGCTTTGAAACTCGGGTCTTCACTCACGGAAGCCTAACCCCCAATAAGGCTGCAACGCTGGTAGACCTACAATTTCCGAGTACTGTCGTGCGGCCTCCACCGGTGATGGACCAGCTATGAAGTAGAAGTCAAGTACGCCGCCGAGAGTGTTGTACTCGAGATACTGGCCTTCGTCCACGGTGTTATTGATGAGAACATCCATTCCGTTGGAGTTCAAGAAGAAGACCCCGTGGCTACCACTTTCGCGCTGCTCGAAGTAAACCGGATGGTTACCGTACAGATTGGAACCTTCAGGAACGGAATAAGAATCCTGAGACCATAAAGTTCGAATATAGTCAGTCGTGTTCAACCGGAACGGGTCTGAATGCTCGCCCAACCCATATAGGAATGGATTGTCAGGGAGCTTGGTTCGCAGGCGCAGATACTGGGACTCAAAGATCATGTTGGCAGCGGAGGTATCAAAGAGAACCTCGCCACTCTGGGACCGTGATATAGAGAATGAGAAAGGCTCTTCGGTATAGTTGAAGGCCAGGGCTGATTGGGCTGCTGTGGAACCTCCCACCTGTGGCCGTGGGAACACACTTTGGGGAATTTGGTATACGTTGTTTGAGACATCTTGAATCTTGACATGCAAGCGAGTTTCTAGACCAGTGTGAGCATTTGACCGTCAATTTCGCCTAATTATAAGAACAAACAGCGTTGGTTAGAATCTCCGGGGAATTGACTCACCAGTATCGTATGAGACCTCCAGAGTCAGATCCGTTAAATCAGTCCCGTACGCATCACATGCTGGCCCAGCCAATGTCAGCTCAGCAGTGAGTCCCGACGAGCTGATCTGAACATTGGAAGCTTTGTATCCAGGACAGGCTGTGAGAGGCTCATTACTGGGATAATCTCTTCGAAAGATTGCTCCTGCTACTACAGTTACCGCAAAGGGGAGGAAGAGGAGTATGCCTGCCATTACGGTGACATTCGGCGAAGTAGAGAGTCCAGGGAATGCTGTTACTTCGGATAGCACCTTGCGAGATGACGGTAATCATTTCTTTAATATAAACTCACAGCTTTCCAGGAATGCATCGTGAGCCACAGATGTTCTTCGCGGACCCCCGCATTAGTTACCCCAAGTTTTCTCCACCAGATGATCCCATTGTCGCGGAGTCATACTACATACATGCAGTATACTAGCAGGGTCGGTCTTCTAATGCACCATCCTATCCGGGTCAACGTGCCAAGCTGGCGTTCATTCGGCCCTGCCTCGGGGCAGCTCCCCGGCGAGCATGCCCCGCCGCTACCTTTCTACGGATCCTGCAGGAAAGGTTATCCTCAAGGCCTGTCCGGCTTGCCGCGATGCTTCTTTGAGGAATCGTGCCGTAATTATGGGCAAGCTGCGAACGAGCGGCGGCGTTTCTCACGGTCCTATGTGCGATCCCAACAACTTGGCACCGCACTCCTAGCACATGCGAGGTAAACCTTCATAGCCCCACCATAAATGTCGGAGTAGGGGCGGAGTGCAGATGACCTCAGGGCGGAAGACCACTATGCGCTTATATGGAGTAGTTTCCTCCGCAAGATGGGCTTCTTCCCCGCGTGATGCTAATGCAAACTTCGCTAGCATGCAGCGATCCTACTGGAGGTCAGACCCCACAACGCCGATTACATACTTGTAGTGAGTAAACAACAGTCAAGAATCTGTGGATTCCTTAGTTCGGGGGGAACCAAGAACATCAGTATGCGTCATTCATGACCGGTATACTCTTAAGGAATTCCGCGAGGATTTTCGCGACGCGCCAATGGATTCGCCCGTTACCTGCAGCTGGTATGCGTAGTCACTCCACATGCGGACCACGAGCTTACATTTCCAGCGCATGATCATTTTGTGCTCGTAGCCATCAGAACGAGCAATGACTAGAGTCAAGGTGTGAGAAAGACCAAAACTGTCGAGGCCAGAACTTATATAATGGAATGTTATTTGACTTCTGGCGAAACCGTCGTTAGCTTTGTCCTGGCCAGAAGTCAGAATTCTTGATTAATGTGCATAGCCATAGATGAGGTTTCAGACCGAGGTGAGATTGCATGATCCATCACTGAACTAGACTTGGCTTGCCTCGAGATCACAAAGGCCGATTGCAAGATTGATTTAAGACGTAATTACATGCCCTTCTACTGTAAACCTCCCATTGTGTCCCTGATATTAACAAACCGCCTCAGTTGCTGTGCTTCGGATAAGGTATGCAAGCTGCCAGAGTATGACAGTACCTCAGATCGCAGCACGCTTACGAGGACCTTCGGCCTCAATGTTAGCGATAACACTTTCTACCGCTGTCGCAACGTCGAGGTGGAAGAACGGGCGATTGATGCCGTAAATAGGAGAAAGGTTCCCTGGGGTTCCGCCAGCCTTAATCTTCGACCCTATAGCTCCACCGGAGCGCGAGGAAATACGATCAATATCTTCCGCGACGGACTCGAGGTCCTTGCTAGCGACTATGGCCGACTGCTTGTGGAAGTCGCTGGAGCTATCCATCGTGGCAACACTGTAGATAGGCTTCCACTGTGGGTTGGCTTCGAGCACCAAGTGGCTAGGGTATCCGAAACCACCTGCAGAAAATGCCCGGCGGGACCAACGGTTCTTGACGTTGGCTAAGTGCCACTCGACAGGCTCAGGATAAGCATGTCGGTCCAATTGGTTGCGGGTGTCGATCAAAGCTTGGACGGAGGTTGTGTCAACATGATTGATGGCGGAGCAGTCGAGAATGACTGCGCGTAGGGTCGGCCGGCTATCGTTCAGGTCGATCTTCTGTCCACGTCGTGGCCCCGGGTTATTCCATGGACGGTCCTGGGAGAGAAGTTAACATACGATTCCCCCCATTGTAAACTATGCAGTCAACTTACACCGAGTTTCTGGTTGACATCCAGTTCCGTGGGCCGTGTGTAGTGTTGAACGTATGCGGTCAGTTCATCCATAAGTCTGCCGGAGTTGGTGTAGTTGAAGTTCTCATTGAATCGATACACAATCACACCCGGATACGGAGATTGGACGTTGACGGTGGGGTTCGAACCATCGGATCTGTCGAAAGGAATGAACGCTCCTCTCTCCTTTCCGTTTCCATGATCGCCATCACGATATGTGTCCTTGGTCACGCGGTAAGTCTTAGCCTCGCCTAGAACACTGCCTCTTGACAGTGCAAGACGCAGCAACAGGAGTGCAACTGATGCGAGCATCGTGAAGTAGATGCCCGTCTCGATCTCAGTGAAGATGATGATAAGGACTCCACCCAAAAAGATGAAGACATCAATTGGCGACACTTGCCAGAACTGGTAAACCACGTTGAGTGGAGTGATCAAGTCTCCGACAGCGTGGATAATAATACCTGCCAGACTAGCTGACGGTATAAAGAAGAACACGGAAGTAAGCGCGTAGAGTGCCAAAAGAACAATAATCGCAGTAAAGATACCGGCAAGTGGGGTGCGAACTCCAGCTTTGGACTTGATTGCAGTTCGCGAAAAGGACCCAGTGGCCGGATATGCTCCGAGGAATGGCCCCAGAATGTTGGTGAAGCCTATAGCGACTAGTTCTTGTGAAGGGTTGATCGTGTAGTTGTTGATCCGCCCGAACGACTTGGAAATTGAAATGTGCTCAATGAGCAAGACAATGATAGTCGTAGGAATGTCGGGTGCGATTGCTGACAGCAGACTCGTAGTAATATCTGGAGCGCCGTGAACTTGGAAACCTTTTCACTGGGTTAGAGTTCTCTGATACCGTTCAACCTGCTTGAATGTACTCACCACTGGGTACTGTGCCAAGAATCTTGAACTTGGCTTTTGTTGCATCTGTAACCGTACGGTTGACAAGGAAGCTAATAAGAATATAGAGGATGATGACGAAAGCCATCCGAAGGGTCGACAGGAAGAACCATAGCTTCTTCTTGTTAGGCTGTCTCTTTGACATAAAGTCGCAGAAGAACCTAATCAGATAAAGCAAGAACAGGGCAGACAATCCCATAGCAGCATCGAGCTTGGCAGTGGGGAGACCCTTGAGGGTATTGATGATGACCTTGTAGGTCGATTCTCGCGTGTTGATGCCACTGATACCTAGCAGACCGGGAACCTGGCCGACGGCAATGTTGAACGCGGCGCCTGTCATGAACGAAGTAATAGCTACCAACGGGATGAACTCGACTATCCATCCGAGACGGGTGAGCCCAAGGAACAGGAGGATCGCCCCCGATATCACGGCCAATCCTCTCGCAATCTGCTCCGGTGCAAACTCCGGATGAACGTCGCGAACCCGCAGAATGATGTTGCCGACCAATGTCGACATGACAGCAACTGTTCCAATGGTAATGTCTTTGGAGGTTGCGAATGCCCAGTATAAGAGGAATCCGACAAATGAAGTGTAGAGTCCATACTGTGGTGCGAGGCCTGCAAGTATGGCATACGCCATGCCCTGTGGGATAACGACAAAGCCGACGGTGACCCCTGAGCTTATTAGCGATTTTGTTTCCTTCTTGATTCAATTTGGCTTACCAGCAATGACATCTCCAAAAAGCCACGTGATGTTATAGTGAAAGATCCAAGACCAGAAGGGGAACAGGCTTTTGAAGTAATGGGCAACACCTGACCTTGTAGGGGCCATCTCTTGAAGCCATTCCTTCACTGTTACATCTTGTTCAACATAAGGGTGCAAATGTTCGACCGATGCTGCAGCTGATTGGATAGTCTCCGTTGGCTCCCTCTTTGCACGATACTCCGTATCAATGCCAAACGCTTTGGCCAGAATCTTGCCGGGCGCCATTGCCACAATGATCTCAGTTGTCAAGCTGTAAGCAAGGCTGTTTGGTAACTAAAATTCTTCATAATAGAATCTTCTCTCTTCATACGTAGAACGGATCTCACCAAATATATAACAAGTCCTTGTGATCATCATGCTCGCGCGGTATTTTCAAGCGGGATACCATGATGTTAACCCCCATCTCGCCTGGAAATTTTTAGTCCAGTTTTCCGCCGATATTCAACTTTCATTCAAACAAAAGCAAATACAAGATCGATCTAGACGTCGCTTAAGAGACCGGGTTGCTGTCAACTAAGACAAATCTACGGTGCAATCTGAATAGGGCTGCGGCTGGACGCGCTAGACGATGTCGTCAACACTACTTGAAATGGCGAATATACGCCTCACAGTCACGGCGCCTATAAGATGTAAAGCGGCTGAGCAATAGTAGTACCTAGAACTGTATTGCCTTGCCTGATTCGGTTCTTTCAAGACACATCCCTCACGCGATACTCGCTTCACTGTACCAATCACGGCCATGCCCGAAGTGTTGCCTCTCCCAGGCCACGCAACCGGACCACTTCCCGGGTCTTACTGTAGGCTGCTCACGCGACATCTAGTCGTCCCTGTGAAGAAAGTGCATGAGGCTAGACCCAGTCGATGCCATGATCCCGAGCAGATGGTTCTGGCTACGGGTGGCGCCTTTCACACGTCTCGGGAGTCCATGGCGATGCCGGTCGTTCGATCTCATTTGCCATTGTCATATCTACTCTGCAGCCAGCTTGGAAAGTTAGCGATAGCGTGGGGGGCAGGTTTCGTAGCAAAGACATTGCAATAGGCAGCGCATTGCCATCGCGATTGTTGAGCAGATCGGGGAGTCCAGGCATCTTGGCACACAACACTCCCTCTGATCTCGAGACTCTTAGATTGCCATAGGAAATTCCCTCGCACTTTCAAGATCTGATCTTCGTTGATTGTTTCCCAGGACTTTCTAGCTCTTATGGTGCAATGATGTTGAGAAAGTCGCGAGCTGCAGCATCGTCATGGACCCTCTCAAGTTTCGAGAAGATTGGCCATGTGTGCAAATCTGTCCTGCAACGAGTATGGTTTACAGCCTCATCACACGACAAGAGTCACTAGTACGGTGAGGTTCCGATAATGATGTGACCCGGAGAGAAAACTTCCTGCCCCGTGCTTGTCCTGGTGAGGTGAGTATTCGCACCGCCAGGATGATGTTATTATCGATTTCGTTTCGTTGATGGGATGGATCCGAGCGCTTATAACAATTCGTAATTTGATGTCACTAACTGATATAAGAGGAACGCCGGTCTGAAAAGAGCATACGTACCTTGGTAGACCAGCTACATATCGCCTCTAGATCTCGAGAACCATTGAATCCATTTGCCTGTTTTGGCTGAAATCAGTGATTCTCACCACGAAGAGTGCGCAATAGGGACGGCGAAACGACCTCGCCTTTTGGAACATGACACATGAAGCCCGCTGCATGTCCGTAGCCGCTGCGGTATTACCAGGCAGTCTATCACTATCCTTGCTAGAAGTCCTCGCGTAACGAAGCAGGCTCTGGGCTTGCAGACGTGAGTAGTTTAGATCGGAAGCATGTCGCGTGTAACTCCTCTGTCAGAAGCTTTAGCGCGACGTGGGCAGACCAAGTCAACGTGTTGTAGATTCTGAGTACAACTCGCTACGAGGTAGTCGACACAGACTCTGTGCCAGTAACTTTTACGATCTCTTAGCAGATTGGTGTTGTTTGCGCAAAGATGCCAATGTTCCGCATAGAAGCGCAGCTGGCAGTCTTTAGAGATGATCTTGGCGAGACCGATGGGAAATACCGAACCCTTGAAGAGCTCGATTGGCCAAGTGAATACTGGCATTAGCTGGTGGTGAAAATGGCCCCACTTTTAATAGTGTATGCAGAAGCGCGAATCTCATGCCCGATTGCATAGAATTATTAGGCTGTTACTATATCAATCTTGCACCCTATACTGGAGCATTACCATTCGTAGCACGCAGGAACACAGCAATATTGGTCGGATTGGCGCGGCACTCAACAAATGTTCCCGGCAGTTCGGAGGATCACAGTAAAGGGGAAATGTATATATCATCAACACATCTCATTTTCATCTCTAAAGGCCCCCCTTCCAAGGGGAGGCCACATACATAAAATCCAACACAGAAGATAAGAGTGCCGCAGTTGAAAGACGTGATCAGCAAGAACTTCCCATCAGTCGTAGGCTGAGTCCGCCGCGGGGGTGGTGAACCCCCGTTTCTTTTGCGTCATCCAGTAGCCAAAAAGACGCCGTGCCTGCCCAGCTCCTTGCCCAAATAGAGATATAAAGTAGATATGAAAGTAGCAGTCGGGGTGGCGACCTAAGGGGTAGTCGCTGAGGGACCTCGGACAGCGTCGCGAGGTCCCTTGGGGTAAACAATAAATCTATTGGACGAAAGTAGATACTAGAATAGAAGATCACTAGGGAGATACCCTTTGAAGAGCCCCGTAGGGAAGCGAGGGGTTAGCAGCTTGCCCACAGGGGAGGGCTCCTAAAGTGGAGGGATACCTAATCCCTCATTGCGTGCTCGTCTCCGAATGGGCTGCTTTCACGCACGGCGGACGAGTTGGAACTTGTCCTGCTACCCGCTGCCGCCCGCCTTGTTGCTTCCTCTATCACGGCGCCCAAGCTGTTAGAGCTCTTGTGGCCCGAGGCTCTCCGGGTTGGTGGGTCAGAAAAGGGGCTCTGCTCATCCATTGGCGTGTCGGCAATGGGTGTAATGGCATTTGAGTCCCTCACAGCCTTGGAGTCGCGCAGTTGGACCAAGGGTTCGGGCCCTTCTGACGTCTCGGATATGGATACTGTGGGTGATGTCTTCTTTACATCAACGGTCTTGACCGCATTGCCGCTACCCACACGGACAACTTGTGGGCGCATGGCTGTAGCCGTGGATGCGCTTGCGTTCTTGAAAAATGTAGCCCCGATGCTGAATGCCGGAGAGGGAAGTGGTTGTTCATACTTGTCGTAGTCAACTGCTGGCACCGGAGGAGTCAAGCTCCCGCTGCTGGCGCCCTTCGACTTGACGCTCACCAGCGAGGGCTTCAAAAGAGTGCCCTTCTGTGCAGGCATGGGGGACACAACGGCATTCTTGCCATAGATAGTTGATGCAACACTTGATCGTGGTGCATAAGAGGTTCGGGCATAAGACGTCCGGTCGGTGTAGCCCGAGATGCCAGAGTACGAGGAGTCCCGCAGGTTGCCGGGCACGAAGAAGTGCTGTTCCTCATATGGCGACGGGCTTCCAGCATCTGACAGGGCCAACGGGATAGGAGGAACAGGAGGCACCAGAAGCGTTGGCGACGTTGGTGTGGCTCTGTTGGTGACGCCGGGGATGTAAGCGATTTGAATGATGTTGGACGCCCGCGTGAGAACAGTAGAAGCCAGAGAGTGGACAGAATGGGTCGATTGTCGCGCCGAGTGCCTCGATGCCCAGTCAGCCTCTGTGCCTTCCTTCGATCGCGGTCCGTCTTGTGCCCACGCCTCGTCCTCGTATGGTGCTCTCCTGGTCTTTATGCAGAACCTCCAGACCAGGTATGTGACAATGCCGATGACTGCTAATCCCCCTATCACGCCACCCGCGATGGCTCCGACGTTTGGCCCGCTACTAACTGCTGGGGTTGAATCTGATGACGACGATGTTGGATCTGCGGCACAGTAGGCCTTGGGGCATTCTGTGCAGCTCCGCGATGTGAAAGAGCAAGACGTGCCGTCGGGGCACGAAGCTGGACACGACAACTGTTCATTTCCACATTGCACGCAGCCGTTTTGTCTGGCAAATAGGGACGCAAAGCCTTCTATCGATACATGTTAGTGATAAGAAAGTCCAGGGTCGTGGGAACAGGAGGCAATCCTACCAGAGGCAAGCCCAACATTGCGCGACATGATTGAATGCGACTGCCGACGAACAGTCGCAACGAAGAGGACGCGAAGTTGTTGTTTTACGACAAGTGGCCTCGATAGATCGACGACCGATGAAGGTTTGCGGAGGCTGAGATCGACGTATATCGACGTTTGTAGATCTCGATGCTTGAGGTTGCTTTCAATTGATGGCCGACCGGCAATTCTTCCGATAAGGATCAAGTATAGATGGTGAGTTCGAGGGCCGGGTTGATCGTGAGACGGCAAGCACTCCGGTAGACCGAGAAAAGGGATGGCGATAGAAGGTATCGTCGTGAATGGCGGTTGCGTGAATGAAACGTTTCGACGCAGGTCGCAAGAGAAGCAAAGGAGGGAAAACGAGTGACAGAGAGACTAGCTCCAGGGGGTGACAAGTAAATCAAATGGGTTGCTCTATGACATGGACGTCATGGACAACATCGAGTATCAAACGCGACGGGCGAGGCGAGATCTTGTCGTGTCGTCGGGCGTGGTGATGCAGGCTGTGTGCGATCGAAGAAGGAGAATGGAGAACAGTTCACTCGCTCTGGGCTGGCGGCGAGCCAGTCGACAATGAGACGAGACTGGGGACACAATAGAACGGGGAGGAGCGGGCTAGGAACGAGGGACGCAAAATTGCGGGTGCCCCCCGGGCACTTTAGCGAAACGGCCAGGACGATCATCTTGGGCTTCTATTCGCTCGTTATAGGAGACGCTAGGAAGGGCCCCTGTCTGCCCGTCCATTTTGAGAGCAACTCCCTCAATCCCTCCGTGGGCTGAGCTGCACTGCTGCAACCCCAGGCTGTGACCCTAGGCAGCCGTCTCGCCCTGCAAGGGAAGCCCGGAGCCACTCTCACCTCTCTCTGTGGGACAAACACCCCACGATGGGCGTGGATATAGGAGAGCGAGGCTCGATAGTTTACCCGCCGCTCCAGGTCTTGTGCCGCCCTTAGCATGCAGGTTGGACGAGAGAACGTGGGCTGCAATGATCGACAGACCCAAGACCGTTCTGGCCGAATCGACCAAGAAATCGCGGCTCACCTCCCATTAGACTCAGACCAGATGCTTCAGCGATGCGCAGGGTATCTGGCTCACGGCATTTGGCCATGGCTGGATGGTGTCCTGGCAATAAACATGTTTCCATCTTGCCGCCCCTGCCCGGCATTATGGTAAGTTGAACGATGCGCGACAATGGCGACCTCTGGCTTGGCGCAGCTGCCAACTTAATTTAAGGCTCTCGGACGAATCCACGGAACCCCGCCTGGGAACGCTCACGGCATTAATTGCCCGGGCACCACCCCAGGGCTTTCGCCGCCGGCTTGCTAAGTCCCATTCAGGCAGCTCTTGACGTTGCCGACATGATGCACAGCACTACGCGTTTATCGTGGAGCGGACGCGGCCCTTTGCATCGAAGGACCGAATATCTTGACTGCAGGTGACGACTACCGGGGCCGGAATAAAGGCCGATTTCATTCCTGCTGTAGGCGACGTCCTGAACCCCCGGAGTTTGAATGCTATACCGCGCACCCGACTGTACCTGGGAGACAAGGCAAGGAGGAGGCGGGGGTTTATGCTGGCGTCTCACGTAATTTTTAAACACAGTCTTGTTTCCAACAATGTGCATGGTCCCTGGCGGTTTAGCTGTGTCCTTGGAAGATAGTACCCCTTCAGAAAGCTCCTACCTGACGGGAATGTGGGAGCCAGTTGACAGCGCGCACTTGGCGCACCCCGAACACCATGGTTAGGATTGTGTCCCAACCCGAGAATGTGTGCAAGATAGAACATTCTCAAATTACGGCCAGATCAACTGGGATGAACCCACTGTGAGAAACTGCCTGGCGGCTCTTCATGCCAAGATATCATCTGAAGTTGGTCGCGCCACAGTGACTGGAAGATATACTGAACTTCAGCCTAAAGCAGACGATATCCACGGAATGCGTGCCGTCCGTGGGCTAGGAAGCTATACCGTACCACCCAAGTCAATCGGCTTGATCTTGCCGCCTCAAACGCGTCCAAAGCCGTAAGACAGCTTCCAGATATACTTTATCTCGAAGACCCATAAGGAGATGACCTTGCTGCGATACTTGATGCCATCCGAGTTATTCCACGCCAATGGTACGTGGATTGTCCTTCGGCGGTATGAAAAGATAGCTCGAGACCAGCAAGTCACGGTGCGAGCACAAGATATTCGACAAGGTTGACGCCGTGGGACCTTCGGAAGGCCACAGATGTACGCAAACGATAACACAGGGAAGACCCGAGGCTTTGGCAGTCTAGGTAGCACGGTTCAAAACAAATCTGTCCTCGGAAGTTTTTAAGACGCAGGATGGGTCTGCTTTGCTGAGCTTCGTTTGGCAAGCGGTGTTTCGCCGCGCAACTAAACGTGAGACTCTTACCGGTCCCTCATAACTATGGAGTATCATGTTGGTGGTTGGCTGGGCTGTGGCTCGAGATGCCACCTGGGGCTGCTACTGTGTAGACAAAGCTCTGGCAGGAGGAGTGCGTGGCCCGTGTGAAGAGATTGGTAGCGGTAGTCGTAACATGATTTATGGGGCTGCCGTGAAGCTGCACCGCCTCACCAAGCTGGGGGCTGGCCCCACTGCCGCCGCCATACGAATGCTATTTTTGGTCGTTTCCCAGCGATCCAATCTGCCGTGTTAATTGCTGATGCGGCAACCCGTGGACGGTCTTCGGGACAGCTAGTTCTTCTGGGCGAGATCTGCGGACATGCGCAGGCGAACTTGGCCAGCCTAGAAGACGATACCAGGGGCGGGAGGGAGGCCGAGAGACGTACGGAAAAACGGGGATGCAGGCCAGTTTGTGACAAGCTGGTTTGCATTGTCCATGATCTGAAAGTCTTGGAGAAAGCTGGAGACGCCGTTTCAGGCTAGGCCTCTTCGGGGCTAGTCAGCATGGCGGATCCGGCCTTCTCAATTGTGTCTACGATTCAGTGGTGGAGAGGCAGCCGAAAGTCTCAGCCCACGGTACCTGATGGGCGCGACAGGCAGCATGGCACCTGCTGTACCATGTAGCGGTTTTGCTTTGTTAGTGTTGGGGCTGTAAAGCAAGGAGCTTGCAGGATCCTGTCAGCTTCCGTGGAGAAGATTTCGGGCAGACCGCCGGTGACTCTGGCGACGAGACGAGTCTGATGTGATGCCATTCACGCGAAAGCGACGAGCAAGCAGTCCGAGCAGCCAGCATGACAGCCAACTGCAGCCGAGGATTCATGCGTCATTGGCCAAGGGCTGGGACGAAAAGGGGGCGCGGGTGAGTGACGTAGCGCACGTTTCCCTAGCCGTGAGACACTGGGGGAGGTGGCCAGGTGGTTGTTGGCAGCGGGCGTGGCGCGTGGGCGGGTTTCGCAGCGCTAGGTTAGCCAGGCAGGTAGCGAAATGCGACGCTGGCCGCCGCTCGAAACCTGGAATCGCGCGCGCCGGACGGGCGACTGCGCGTGCAGTTGACGATTGGAGCTGCTGCTAAGCCACGGGAGGCGTGCGGTTCCATGTAGAGCGTTTCTCCTTGCCCGCACGTACGCAGTAACTGCTGTGCCTACCACCGTGTAGTTAACTTAAGGAGCGAAGGGGAAAGAAGAAAACAGGGCGACAGGCTGGAGGCCAGGCAGGGTGCGCTGTGCAAGCTCCAGTCGGTTTCCCATTAGGCGGTCCTGTCCTGTACCGCGCTTTAAACTAAGAAACCAAGACAATTTGGATCCCGGGGGGTCTTGCTGATCCATCCCGCAACCCTGAAAAAAATACGAGCACAGCACCCTCTCACCAAGACCCTCCCCTTTTGCATCTCTGGTTCCTGATCTTGCCATCAGCAAACTACTTATCGCTGCAGTGCTTTGGGTGTGATTCATCACGTCTGAGCACCTTGTTGCATTCTTTCATCGCCGCGACGGTCCTGCAAACAGGCCGCGTTCCTTATTCAGGCCCAAACCTTCTTTGTCTCTTGCCGGGGGTCAAGCTTGAGCTGCCAGCCCCTGGATCTTAGCCTTGCTTTGGTCTCACTCGCCAGCTTCGACTTTTTTTTTTTTTTGCCCTTTCACCTACCACCAACGACCATCGTCGACTGCCCATTGCCCGGCGTCCGACAGTTGCACCCACCCAGTCAATCGTTCTCTCCCCTTGTAGTTCGCCAGACGCGCGATCCGTGCCGCTGCCGCAACCATGGCTTACAACGGCGGCCACGGGAACGACCCGTATAACAACGGCCACCAGCTCCAGGACATGCCCGGCGGGAGCAGCGTAAGCATCCCCTTCCGCACCCTTGATTCTTGTGATGCATCACCCTAACAAAGGCCCCTGACTCCAGTACCACTTGCCTCCCCAGGAGCAGGACGACGATGAGACCCAGCGCCATCTCCTGGGCCAAGCCCCGTACCAATATGACCAAGACCGCCTGGGAACCGGCACTCCTCCTGCCCGGCCCGTGTCAGCCTACAGTCTGACCGAGTCGTACGCACCTGGTGCCTCTCAGACCCCCCTTCCCGGCCAGTACAGCCAGGAGTACGCCGGCCAAGGAGGTGCCTACTCCGTCGGCGGCCACGAGGATGGCGGCTTCGGCTACGGCCGGCCCGCATCGACCGTCGATGGCGATGACGCCTGGGTGCGCCGCCAGCAGCCCGGTGGCCCCGGTGCTGGCGCCGGTGTTGGTGGTGGCTTGAAGCGATACCAGACCCGAAAGGTCAAGCTTGTCCAGGGTTCCGTTCTCAGCATTGACTACCCCGTGCCCAGCGCCATCAGAAATGCCGTCCAGCCCAAGTACAGAGACGTCGAGGGCGGCACCGGCGAGTTCACCAACATGCGCTACACGGCCGCAACTTGCGACCCCAATGACTTCACCCTCAAGAATGGCTACGACCTGCGGCCAAGAATGTATAACAGACATACGGAGCTCCTGATTGCCATCACCTACTACAACGAGGACAAGGTGCTTCTGTCGCGTACGCTGCACGGTGTCATGCAGAACATTCGCGACATTGTCAACCTGAAGAAATCGACTTTCTGGAACAAGGGTGGCCCGGCCTGGCAGAAGATCGTCGTCTGCATGGTCTTTGATGGTATTGACAAGGCGGACAAGGAGGGTTTGGACGTGCTGGCTACCATTGGTGTGTACCAGGACGGTGTCGTCAAGAAGGACGTCAACGGCAAGGAGACCGTAGCCCACATCTTCGAGTACACCACCCAGCTGTCGGTGACGCCGAACCAGCAGCTCATCCGGCCCACCGACGACAGCCCTCAGACCCTGCCACCCGTGCAGATGATCTTCTGTCTGAAGCAGAAGAACACCAAGAAGATCAACTCTCACCGTTGGCTGTTCAACGCCTTTGGCCGAATCCTGAACCCCGAGGTGTGCATCCTGCTCGATGCCGGTACCAAGCCCGGATCCAAGTCGCTGCTGGCCCTCTGGGAAGGTTTCTACAACGACAAGGACCTTGGCGGTGCTTGTGGTGAAATTCACGCCATGTTGGGCAAGGGAGGCAAGAAGCTCCTGAACCCTCTGGTGGCTGTCCAGAACTTCGAGTACAAGATCTCCAACATCCTGGACAAGCCGCTCGAGAGCTCTTTCGGGTACGTCAGTGTGTTGCCCGGTGCTTTCTCTGCCTACCGATTCCGTGCCATCATGGGCCGGCCCCTGGAGCAGTACTTCCACGGTGATCACACGCTCTCCAAGATTCTCGGCAAGAAGGGTATCGAGGGCATGAACATTTTCAAGAAGAACATGTTCTTGGCCGAGGATCGTATCTTGTGTTTCGAGCTGGTCGCCAAGGCCGGTTCCAAGTGGCACCTAACATATATCAAGGCTGCCAAGGGTGAGACCGATGTGCCCGAGGGAGCCCCCGAGTTCATCAGTCAGCGTCGTAGATGGCTCAACGGATCCTTTGCCGCCTCTCTCTACTCGCTCATGCACTTCGGGCGTATGTACAAGAGTGGCCACAACATCGTGCGCATGTTCTTCCTCCACATCCAGCTCATCTACAACATCGTGCAAGTCGCATTCACCTGGTTCTCTCTGGCTTCCTACTACCTGACAACAACGGTCATCATGGACCTGGTCGGCACCCCCACGGCTCCTGGCCCGACCACCAACGAGCGCCACGGTTGGCCCTTTGGTGACACGGCGACGCCCATTGTCAACCTGGTGCTCAAGTATCTCTACCTGGCCTTCATCATCATGCAGTTCGTGCTCGCTCTTGGTAACCGTCCCAAGGGTTCGAAGTGGCAGTACATCCTGTCGTTCGCCCTGTTCGGTTTCATCCAGCTGTACCTGCTCATCCTGTCCTTCTACCTGGTTATCAACGCCTTCTTGACCAACCCGAACATCAACATTGGTGACGATCTGTCGCAGCTCCTGACGGGACGCTCGCAGGTGGCCATCATCCTGCTTGCGCTGGTTGCCACCTTTGGTCTCTACTACGTGGCGTCGTTCCTGTACCTGGACCCGTGGCACATGTTGCACTCGTTCCCGTCTTACCTGGTGTTGATGTCGACGTACATCAACATTCTGATGGTCTACGCCTTCAACAACTGGCACGACGTGTCGTGGGGTACCAAGGGATCGGACAAGGCAGACGCACTGCCGTCGGCGCAAGTGGTCAAGACAGACAAGGACGAAGCCGCCATTGAGGAGATTGAGAAGCCGCAAGAGGATATTGATAGCCAGTTCGAATCGACGGTCAAGCGCGCGCTGGCCCCGTTCAAGGAGGAAGAGGAGGTCGAGGTCAAGGACCTGGAGGACTCGTACAAGTCGTTCAGAACGTCGCTGGTCCTGGCGTGGATCTTCTCGAACGCGCTGCTTGTGGTGGCGCTTACCAGCGACAGCTTCAACAACTTTGGCATCGGGGTAAGTTTCGCAAGCCCTTTTTTGTTACTGGGGCCATGGACACTAACGGCATGCAGCAAACCACGTCGACCAGAACGGCGGCCTTCTTCCAGTTCCTGCTTATCGCAACAGCGTGTCTCGCGTTTGTCCGCTTCATCGGCTGCTTGTGGTTCCTCGGTAAGACCGGTCTCATGTGCTGCTTCTCGAGGCGGTAGAGCGGGCCACTGTATATTTGAGGGCGAGGGCGGCGGCGGCGGCGGCCATGGTGCGGCTGCCACGATCTGTACACAGAAGCATGCATTCCATCTCCGGACCTGGCGTCACCCGTTGTCTTTTGTGTCCGTGTCTACAGGACACCAAGACAAGTGGAGATGGAGATGCCCGGACGTGGGAGAAAGACGGGAGAACCTGGAGAAGAAAAAGTTGCTTGGAATGCCGGCCCGGCCCAGCTCGGGGAAGAATGGGCATTACCTCTGGCGTTTTGCAAAGTTCGCGTGTTTAGATAGGTACTCGGTAATGTGTGCCATATTACAAATACATAATCTTTTTATGCTACCTACTTGATGATACGATGCATCATCCGCTTAAGGTATCATCCTGAATGTGTGTAAGAAATGATTCCCTCTGCACTTGGTTATGTCCAGCATTGAAATAGGCGGTCCTCTTGTGTCGGTCGAGGCAAACCAGACAAAGGGCCAGACAGACACGCAGCACGCGACCATGGCGCACGGACCAACCAGAGGCGCCTCGGTTGGCAGTTACACCCTGGCTGGGTACTAGGTAAGCTGGTAGTTACTGTAATAAGTTGGGCAGTCAACACAGCAACTGGCCTGACTGGGCACCCTGGCAGCCTGGGTCTGGGTTAGTGGTTGGTAGTTGGGCGACCAGTTGGCGCTCTAGTGCATCCCGCTTCAGGCTGATACAGCTGGGCAGGCCCTGGAGGCCTTGACAGGTACCTAGGTAGCCACGGCCTTGGCGCGATTGGGATTGTGGCAATTGGAAGGCTTCCGGGGGAATCCAGAGTGCGTGCAGTTGATCTGTGCCTGAACTACAATACTCAACCTTTCGGCCCCTTCTCTTTCTTCTCTCGAACGGCGACCAGCCTCCTGCAGCGCGCCGCCTCGGTCGAGGACATCTCAAAGCCCGAGTCTCCTGAAGTCTGGGCCGACGTTGTCGCCTTGCAATCCTCTCTGCCTTGTTCCACCCCACCACGCTCCGCCATTTTCCTATCGCCGCCCTCCCCGCTCCCGTCATCAGTCTCGATAGTTTCCCACCCCGCCAAACCTTCCTTCGTCCCATATTCTCGCGAACCGCCGCCACGATGTTGAAGATATGGTCCATGGTGAGTTGCTCGTTCGCCCCCTGCGCTCGAGAAGACGCAGACGACCATGGCCGGAAACCTAGGCTGACCTGTCTATCCCCTAGAAAAAAGAGCAGCAGAAGGCGGATAACGCCGACGCAGCTGCGGGCAAGAAGAAGAAGGTGACGGCCGCCCAACTTCGGGTCCAGAAAGGTAAGAAGGCGATCTAGGCCGGTTGATGCAGTGCCGCCCCTCGAGGTCCCTCGTCGATCGGCACCCGCGCCGCCGGGCCTGGACATCTCAGAGCGACAAGCTGACGCGTGCCCACCTCCACAGATCTGTCCGAGCTGTCCCTAGGCTCGACCATGAAGACCGAGTTCCCCGACCCCGACGACATCCTCAACTTTGTCCTCGCCATCACGCCCGACGAAGGCTTGTACAACGGCGGCCGCTTCACCTTCACCTTCAACATGAGCCAGAACTACCCCCACGAGCCGCCCAAGGTCCGCTGCCAGCAGAAGATCTACCACCCCAACATCGACCTGGAGGGCAAGGTCTGCCTGAACATCCTGCGCGAGGACTGGAAGCCGGTGCTGAACCTGAACGCCGTTATCGTCGGCCTTCAGTTCCTGTTCCTGGAGCCCAACGCGTCGGACCCGCTCAACAAGGAGGCGGCCGAGGACCTGCGGCAGAGCAGAGACAACTTCAGGCGGAACGTCAAGACGTCGATGGGCGGCGGCTCGGTCAAGGGGAACCCATACGACCGGGTGCTTGTGAAGTAGGACGATCAAGGACCTGAGTCTGCCCGGCCCAGCAAGCCGAAGCCCGCGACCACGACCACGACCACGACCACGACCACGACCACGGCCGTGACGGCGGGCGGGAGTGGGAGCGCGAGCGCCAGCACGACCAACGCAGCCACCACAGCTACTTTCACCCATACTATGACCAACGCGGTGGCTCCAGCGCCGGCCAAGAGGGCAAAGACTTCGAGGAGCACCAGGGCCGGCAAGACCAAGGCACCGTAGAAGGACGAGGATGAGCTAGGGCCCGGTGCGAAGCATGCGCCGGCTGGATGGGGGATGCCACATTAGATGCTAGAAGCGTACATTTGTTCAGGGGCGTTCCTCGGATTATATCTCTTTGCTTTGGAGCCCCGAGAAGGTTCTGGGTCTCCTGCTTTCGCGTGTGGCAGCGTTTGTTTGTCAATTGTTTTTTTTTTTTTTGGCCAAGAATTCGATCGATGCATAGCATGGCATGGCAAGCAGGGAAACCATGCTCAACATAGACGCAAGATGGAATGACAGTTTTGTGAAAGCGGCATAGCTATACTCGGTTCCTTTTCGTCTTGCACTCGATATACGTAGGCTGATAGTGTAGACGAGCAGCGGGCAAACGTACATATTTGATCTATACTTGACGGTCTTTGCGCATGTACTATCCTGGAGTCCTGAAGGTGCTGGGAGGTAGAAGTTAAGCGATGCTTGACTGTGTATGCAGTAAGACAGTCTGACGCTCTGCCGGTATGTTCCACAGTACACACATAGCATGGCGAGGAAGGTACCCATCCAATGGCAGCGAGGTCGGGAGACGATAGTCTAGATCTCCGTGCCGGCTTTGTGCTCCACGACCAAGGAAGTGGCCACAATGCTACGGTGCTACGATGCTACGATGCTACGATGCTACGACGTATATCATTGGGGCAATCTTGTGGTTGTCGTGTGTACTGTATCGCTTCAAGTTAGCAGACACTACGTATGCATGTAGATACTCAGGTGCTGTCCAGTTCGATAGAGCTGCTCAGGCGGTGATGGATGACTGTGTCGTTCATGCCCGGAGCTGGTGTCGCTCGTCTGGAGGGAAGTCTGGAAGCGGGCGAACCACAGATGTCGCAATGCGGAAGCGGAAGCAGCCCGGGCGCTGATTGGCCGCTAGCCCGACGGACCGGGGTCGCTGTACCCCAGCAGAGCCCCAGTCTTGGAGCACACGCCGCCGACCAGCGGACCAGTCAGGGGCCACTGAAGGGGGGTGGGGGCCTAGGGCCCCGTCAAGTCCATGCCCAGGTGGTGCTGACTGTGTGGTAGGCAAGTAGGGGGACCCTTGGTGGGCCAGCTGGGCCGGCCGGGGCAGCTGGCGGGCACGAGCATACGGGTGGGGGATGGGGCCGGCAGACGTGGCAGACCTGGGGCCAAGCCATGCAGGGCCTGGCAGAGGCGCTCTGGCGCCCTGGCGTCCTGGTGCTGGTGCCCTGGCGCTCACCGCAGACCGCCGAGATCGCTGGACGAGCTAGCTCTAGCAGCCCTTAGCTCTCGCTGACTCTGGCTGCCCCGGGTGGATCGCCATTGGGAGTCAGTTGCAGCATCCCTCCGGCGCAGGACCAGAAAAAATTCTGACCCATCCCCGGCCTTCTGGCTTCTTAGACAATTAGTACATAATAAGTACGGACGCCTTTCCGACCTTCCTCTCTCGTGCTGCTCAGACAGATCTCCACTCCCGTCATTCACACATCTCCCTCCCCTACCATGGCCTCCAAAAGCTTCTCCAACGCCCTGCGCGCCCCATTGGCCCGTCAGCTGGCCTCGCCCGCCGTCCAGAGGCGCACCTTCGTCGCTGCTGCCCGCGGCGCCGTGAGGGCCACCGCCGTCAAGGCCGCCGCCCGTCCTGCCGTCGCCCGCCAGCAGGTCCGCGGTGTCAAGACCATTGACTTTGCCGGAACCAAGGAGGAGGTCTACGGTAAGCTCTACAGACTCGACTCATCAAGCTCCGGGCGGATGATGAGGATACGAGAGATGGCGGGAAAGCATAGCTAACACATCATGCCACCATACAGAGCGTGCCGACTGGCCCAAGGAGAAGCTCTTGGTAAGTTGATTGAAAACGAAACAGTAAAATAAAAAAAATAAAAGAATACCTCCCAAATGGCTAACAACCCCGTCCAGGAATACTTCAAGAACGACACCCTCGCCCTCATCGGCTACGGTTCGCAAGGCCACGGCCAGGGTCTCAACCTCCGTGACAACGGCCTCAACGTCATCATTGGTGTCCGAAAGAACGGCCAGTCGTGGAAGGACGCCCAGCAGGATGGCTGGGTCCCCGGCAAGAACCTGTTCGAGGTCGACGAGGCCATCTCCAAGGGTACCATCATCATGAACCTGCTCTCCGATGCCGCCCAGAGCGAGACCTGGCCCGCCATCAAGCCCCAGCTCACCAAGGGCAAGACCCTGTACTTCTCCCACGGTTTCTCCCCCGTCTTCAAGGACGTCACCAAGGTCGATGTCCCCACCGACATTGATGTCATCCTCGTCGCCCCCAAGGGTTCCGGCCGCACCGTCCGCTCCCTCTTCCGCGAGGGCCGTGGCATCAACTCGTCCTTTGCCGTCTTCCAGGACGTCACCGGCAAGGCCGAGGAGAAGGCCTGCGCCCTCGGTGTCGCCGTCGGCTCCGGCTACCTCTACAAGACCACCTTCGAGAAGGAGGTCTACTCGGATCTCTACGGTGAGCGTGGCTGCCTGATGGGCGGTATCCACGGCATGTTCCTCGCCCAGTACGAGGTCCTCCGTGAGCGTGGCCACAGCCCCAGCGAGGCCTTCAACGAGACCGTCGAGGAGGCTACCCAGTCCCTCTACCCGCTGATCGGTGCCAACGGCATGGACTGGATGTACGAGGCCTGCTCCACCACCGCCCGCCGCGGCGCCATCGACTGGACCCCCAAGTTCCGTGCCGCCCTGAAGCCCGTCTTCAACGACCTGTACGACTCCGTCCGTGACGGCACCGAGACCCAGCGATCCCTGGACTACAACGGCCAGAAGGACTACCGTGAGAAGTTCGAGGCCGAGATGGAGGAGATCCGCAACCTGGAGATCTGGAGAGCCGGCAAGGCCGTCCGGTACGTTCCCCGCCCTAGCCTACTTGCTGATGTCATTCCCGCAAATTACTAACACGATGTCACAGTTCCCTCCGCCCCGAGAACCAGAAATAAGGGGATGGTGCTCGGAGATCAATTGGACGGTTTTTGTGAATGGCTGGAGTGTATTTCCCAGGGCAGCTTTTTGTACTTATATTCAGGGATTCCCTTGGCTGTTACGAGGATTTCGGGATATGGTCTGAGAAAAGTTTTATCTGTCTCGTAAGCTCATATATTTCCGTGAGCTTTTGCACGAATAGAGCGGGTGTTTCCTTTCCTACTCTATGTGTACCGCCGTTGTCTTCTTCTTGTTGCAGTGACCAGCCACGAAGTCGCCAAAAAGCTCCTGATTCGTGGAACTCCGCTATCGGACGCGGCCCCAATGACTGTCCCCATTGGCAATTCGGCCGTTCTCATTCGGCCCCTTTCCTAGCAGTTCCACCCTGGGGGATGCGCCGATGGGTGTACGGCAGACCCGCCCTGAATAGGACTGCAACCCCGACCGAACTGCTATACTCTGCTGCCTGTGACTGCCTGGTATCGGTATACCAAGCCCGAGGCTAAGCTTTGTTCTCCGGCGGCCCTGGATTTTCCTCTTCGACGTCGCTCCGCCGCACGCGACTGCAAGGCGCTCCAGTATCATATCATACTAAAAGACCGCAAACTTCACCCATGGGACTTCTATACCGAGAGTAGGCGGGCTATGTTCGTTCCATCGCCTTCCTCCCCCTTCCCCAGCTAGCCTGATAACTAGATCCTCAACACCAGCTGTCTCCTTCCTTTCTTCATTTTCTGTCCCTTTCGTCAATCTCTCATCTCACGCTGTGGACCCCGTCCGCTCTCCGTCCCAAGTCCCCATACTTTCCCACCTGGCTGATCCTCCATCTCCTCTGTGCCCGCAGCTCCACTCAGCTCTCGTCACTCTCCCACAAGCCAGACAAACCAACCCACTCCGACGAACGGAACCCGGATAGCGGATATACCCTATACTGAACCTGAGCAAGCACGGGTAGACTGGCACCATAGAAAACGAAGGACCAAGATGGCGGACCCGGCGACATCGGCGCCCCTGACCCGCGCCTCGGTCCAGGCGGCCCACGACCTGGTCCGGCCCTTCGTGCACCACACGCCCACGCTGACCAACGCCACGCTGACGTCGCTGGCGTCGACGGCCCGGCGCCCGGAGGACCTGGTCGGCACCGAGTGGGAGGGCCGGGCCCAGCCGCCCGCCAGCCCGGCCGTCCGCCTCTGGTTCAAGTGCGAGAACCTGCAGCGCGTCGGCGCGTTCAAGGTCAGGGGGGCTTTCCGTGAGTCTTCCCTTTTCCCTGCCCTTTTTCTCTCTTTATTCTTGGCTTTCTCCTAAAGTGGATTTTCCTGTCATTGGGTTTCCTTTGGACTTCTGTTCTCTCGTGGGTTCGGTGTCGGCACCTGCTGGATGCTAGGTTCGGGAGGGAGAACGGTGGGTGGGAGAAGAGGGGAGGGTGGGACGAGTTTGAACCCGTCCTTGAGAAACGATGGATATGGCGAGAGAAACTCTTTCTCTAGCAGCCACGGGAAATCTGCATATTGTACGACAAACCTCTGACCAGTGCTACAGATGCGATCGAGAAGTTGAAGCAAGAGCCTGGCTGGTTAGCTGGCGGAGGTAAAGAAAAGGGGGTTGTCACTCACAGTTCAGGTAAGTGATTGTTGCAGGAAAGACGTATAAGATGTGGCAACACCGGGCGGGCTCGTGATCAGTATGACTTTGAACCTGAGTCGTATGTGCTGTGGATCATCTTCCTGGAGCGCCAAGTCCTGGCTATGAGGCCTCACACGCATCCCATATATACCCCTTTCACCTCTAACGCTCGCTCGCCAGGGAACCACGCACAAGCACTCGCTCTCGCCGCACGCACAAATGGCATCCCGGCGTACATCGTGATGCCGGACATCTCGCCACCGGCCAAGATTGCTGCTACCCGCGGCTACGGCGCCAAGGTCATCTTTAGCGGTAGCACCTCAGTCGAGCGCGAGGCCGCCGCTGCCAAGGTTATCGAGGAGACAGGGGCTCGCCTGGTCCCGCCTTACGACCATCCGGACATCGTGCTGGGCCAGGGCACGCTTGGGCTGGAGCTGCAGGAGGACGCGGCACGGATGATGACCGAGGCCGAGAGCGATCCGCCCAGCGGGAAGTGCAGCTTCGCCGCGCCCGTCACGAAGCAGGAAAGGGGCGAGAGGAAACCAGAGCCGTCAAGCAGCGGCGCCAAGACCAAGCGCCGCAACCAGCTCGACATCATCCTGGCGCCCTGCGGCGGCGGCGGCATGCTGTCGGGCGTGGCGCTGTCGTGCGAGGGCACGGGGATCCGGGTGTTCGGGTGCGAGCCGTCGTTCGAGGGCGCCGACGACGCCAAGCGCGGCTTCGAGTCGGGCACGCGCGTCGAGACGGTCAAGACGCTGACGGTGGCCGACGGCCTGCGCACGCCCCTCGGCAGGGTGCCGTGGTCCGTGATCTACGAGCGCCGCCTGGTCGAGGGCTTCTACAGCGTCACCGAGGCCGAGATCCGCGACGCCTTGCGCCTCGTGCTCGAGCGCTTCAAGATGGTCATAGAGCCCAGCGCCGCCGTGCCCCTGGCCGTCGCCCTCTACAACGAGGATTTCCGCGCCTTGGTCGAGCGCGAGTACGGCGCCGAGGGCGCCGACGTGGGTATCGTCTTCAGTGGCGGGAACCTGAACCTCGATATTCTGGGCTCGCTGTTCGGAGGGGGTGAGAGTGCGAAGAACTGATGAATATGTGAGAGATCGTGAGAGGGACTGCGGGTCTACAAAAACGTGGCCCAAAAGTGCCTCCGGGCTGGCGCTCCTGTTCAGAATGGGACCATGTGAGATGTCACTAACGAAGTCAGTGTGTGAGCCTCAGTCAATAATAAGTCCAAGCATGTAGCCAATGAAAAACAAGGAATGAAAACACCCTACTTAAGTTGCAATAGTTGGGAAAGTTCTCGCCTCACAGGTTACGCCTGGGGAGAGCCGTCCAGGATAGGGGAGGGGCACTGACGGAAAACTGCTACGCTCTGGCTGAGCGGTAAAGGACGCCATTTTTTTTTTTTTTTCATTCCTTTCGGAATATTAATGAGGTTGCCAGTTCAATTTGTGCTGTCATTCAATTTTTTTTTCTGTCTCCCATGATTGCTCATCATCACGCACCTGAATAGCCCCCCTGAATATGAGTCACGTGACTGCCATTCCTTCAACTTGCTTCACATCGTACCCATGATTAAGACCCCTTGATATTACGACATATTCAATGGTTGACTCGTACATATGGGCCAAAAAAAAAATTAAAAAAAATCAAACGCAGCTTGATGTTGTTAGAATCTCTTACCAGGCCGTTTACTCCAACGCGGCACTGCCACATAATCCACGACCATCCATGTGTTGAGATTGAATCAAGGAGCCTCGATAGAACAAGAGTATGGCCATCTACTATGATCCATTCCATTACTGCACAGAATCACTGAGATAGCTCCATTGTCCTGGGTTTCAAAGCCTTCTGCCTTTCGGAATAGATGGGCATCATAAACCGAGAAGTCATTCTGGTTGGTTCTTCGTCTGCAATCTCTATGGCCTTTCCTTTCGCTTTCTCACTCTATTATGAAACTCGAAATTTTTATAGAACACCAGATTTATGTGACCATTAAAGCGTAGCAGACCTGTCATCGGTGGTCAATTTGTCAGATCTGTAGACTGTTTAGACAAAAAGCAGCAAGGAATAATAAGCCCAAACTGTGATAGCAATAATCAACACTCCTAATACACAATTAGTCTTGTTTCGTAGGGAAAGCACCAGGCATTCACTCACCTGCGAAACTAGCCAAAGTCCGGTATCTGCCGTTCTGCTTCCCTTCATATGTGGATTGTCTCAAATCTTCGATCGCACTCTTCTGTCTTTTGATCTCCTTTTCGTTCCGCCCGTCTCCATCAAACAAAGGCAACTCCCGGAAGGCCACCTTGTTATTATAGATTTCTTGCTGTTTAATTCTGTCCATGTTTTCATCCATTAGTCGTAGGATGATAACAGCGTTGGTGGGCTTGAAGCGCTCAACCCAATTTCGCATTGTTATGACTTTGCCTGGTCTTGAAAGGTCCCGAAGGATGGCGTCATTTCCTTTTTTATATGTTGCCCTGTCACGCCAGGTAAACGTGGCAACATGCGTTGGGTATCCATGCTGTCTCGTGTAGAACTTCACGGATTTATCTTCAGACACTACCCAGGTCCATGCGTTGGCTCCATGCTCCAAACAGACTTGCATTATCTGGCAAGTATCCCCTCGTCGATCATCGGAGTCGATATCGTTGTCGCCCTGGACAAACGTATACATCAAAAATAACTGCCAGACAGTTGGCTCGACATGACAGACCCATCTAGCCCCCGAGGGCGAGTCCGAATAGATATAAGGGCCTGAAAATTTAGTCTCCAAACAGAAGCCTTGCTGGAGGAGAAATCGAAGCGTTCGAGTGCAATATGGCCTCCAACTGAGCACATTCGGGTTCAAAGTGGATAGCAGGAGAAGTGCTACAAGATTATCATTGCAGTTCGTATCTATAACCGAGAGCCAGGTTTCAATAATTTCATGAATGTTGAATTGGGCTGAAGCGAGAATCAGCGAGTATAGTTCCTCGTGGCCAGTTGAGAAAATGCAAAATCGGTTCCGTTTCTTGATATTGCAGATACTCCAAGAACCTGGCGTTCCGAATAGAGGGAGAAGACAACTCGCATCGAAATCCTTCAAAAGCCTGATGATCTCTTTTTGGGCAAATAGTCCATGCTGATCTATGATAAAAAGCAGCCAACTCATATCGTGAACCAGCCAGGCCAGGTTGCATGGGCTGTTCCTCAGGTATGTGAAATCGATGTAGTCAAACATTATATGACATAGCCACTGGCCATAGCTTTGCATTTCCAAAGCCATCTGGATGTGTTCCTGTCGCAACCAAGCCTCGATACATTCGATAATGGATCGATGCACAAATGTTACTGTTGAGCGCAGAAGTGTATCTTGATACCTTGAGAAGGGATCGGTACGGGAGCTAGGGTCATCCTTGGCGTACTGGATTTCCAAAAGGCCATTACAGCGACCGTAGACTCTATCTGTAGCAACGGCAAGCCTTTCAGAGTTGTCGGCAGGTGTCATGGTGTCTTTGCGCACATATCTGGAAGGACAATTCCGAGAAATATCGATCGCGTCAAAGAAGTACGAAACCGCTACCAGAGTAACTTCGGGCCAAGTTGTGTACTTCAAGAAGTTTTTCTCGTCATTCAACCTCAGCTTAGAACTCATCGACTGATCCATTATCAATCTGAAAAGTACCGCAGCTTCGAGTTGATGTTGTTGTTCAATGCAATCCAGTGTATAGCTGATGATATCATTCAAGCCAGTCGGTACTTCGCCGACTCGATTGTGTAAGGCTTCTAGGGTCGTTCCGGTATCTAGGCGTTTGCGCAAGTCCTTGATCAACAGCGAAGCCCACAGAAATACACCCTCTGCCTTTTCGACGATATTTTCTATGAGACAATCTGTTGTGAGGTTGCGGTTACACCTATCACATGTGTTTATAACTTGTGTGCTGGGGGGTCCATCCCTGGATGTCCGCTCCCGAGCGGATGCCTTGAGATGCTGAAAACGCCAATGTGATCGTAGGTTTTGGAAGACAAACACGAGTATATCGCCTTGCGTGAGATTTTGGAGGTGTATTCTGCCTTGTACTGTCATGTTGGTGAAAGGTGGTTGCTCTCTGCTGGAAACACATAATTTCATGCGTCGTTGTAGTTTGGTGTTCCACATCAGAATACTGTTGACAAGCTGTGTATGATCCTCAGGATTAGCGCGGCCGTCAAACTCGTCAAGTCCGTCGAGGAAAAGACAGACACGAAAGCCGCCTAGGATCGTGGTGTCCTGCATCAGAGTATCAAAGGCCTGCGAGACCTCTCTATTATCCAGTTGAGACTGAGATATCGAATCTAAGGGCAAACTCGTTGTTCGGACCTGTGGAAAGAGTCGTTCGCATAAATCAGGCGCTTGTTTAATGATGTCATGCAGTATACCTCGCTTCAATCCCATCATCCCGTTCTGCCTCGGGTCTGCTTTCCAGAAGAAAAACCTCGCGAGGATGAGTTTCTCTTCGGCAGCCCATTGCAGAAGATGCTTCTTCGTTTCAGGATGGTCAAATAAGAATTTCATGAGAGTAGATTTCCCAGAGCCAGGTTTACCCGCAAGATGAAACACTCCTTCGCCTTGCTGTAGCCACTCGACAAAATTAATCGTCAAGTCTGGTTCGAGGGCTTTCATCCTATCTGGCGCAGTGAAAACCCGCTCGAACGTCTTGGCGGCAGCTTCGACGACTTCATCATACCGAGGATTCAATGAGCCGCTGCCTGGGTTGCCACCCAATGCTCGCAGTACTGTTGCCAACCTGAGATCAAGGTATGATGACCTGGTGACTGAGAGAGCTTCTACCAAGTGCTCGTATACATTTTCTGTCGGAAACCCAAGACTATTTCGTAATTGTCTCAAGCGACTCCCATTATTTCCGAGGTCGGTATTACTTCTTTTGAGCTCAGTTAATACTAAACCGAGCTGCGTCCTTGAATGCAATCAGTTTAAATCTGCAGTGATGAGGTAATCTCATAATATGAAGCAGGAAGTGGCCACCACGCAGTAGTGCTACAAGAACTCTTACCTGGTTGATAAAGCCAATGCGGTTTGTAAAGTCCTCTGGCCAATTTCGAGGTCTTTCTTCAGGTCTTCAATTTCTCGTTTATGAAGAGTTGACCGAAACGCAGATTTTATGACCTCGGTGATGGACTTCTGGTTCCTCATTTGACACCGCTCTAACAGTAACCTGATCTTCGATGACAGATCTTGGCAGCTTAGAGCAACGTTCTGCAGCTCTGCCTCCGCTGCCGATGGCGCCTCCACTGCTGCGATATCGCTTGCCTTATTCTGCAGCTCATGGCAGACAGTCTCCATATTCGTGGTGAAGGCCGCCAGAGTCTCTTGGTCTCTTGTCCAACCGCTGCCGGAGTCGTACGCTTCCTGCGCCTTCCGGGTGACCTTGTAGGCCTTCTCGAGCAAGTCCAGCACATTGCAAAAGAGTGCGATGGCTGTAACGGGCTCCATGATGGAGATAATAGGCCCTTACTAGACGGAACAGAGCGTCGAGCACTATGCCTGTTCAAGCATAACAGGGCAAAGAGTCTTTAATAACGGTGCCCGTATTGAATATACCACAAGTAGGTCAAGGTCAAGTGCTCCTAACCTGTCAAGAAAGACACGAACTCTCAAGACCTGCGAGGGACCGCGAGGCTGAATCGACGAAAAGGCGGTGGGATTGTACGAGACTGCATTCCTGCAGTAGTCGATTAAAGATATCACAGCTATAGCCTTTCGCGGACCAATCAGTTCTGTGGCGATGATGCACGAGATGCGCCGCATCTTAGGCACCCGCCCTGTCATCGGGCGGAATCACGGTGATGAGCGTCAATAGTGGGTAAATAGCCAAGTCGGTTATGCAACGGAAATTTTCTTTTACTTCCTTAGGTACCTATGTATGCATTCTCTAGTGCAGTGAGGCATACCAACAGTCACTTTGGCCACTTGCTGTCGTATTTCTCGCAAAATGAATTGTTGTATCGTCAATGGCGAGGGCTCACGCCTTTAGATTTTGGTGTCGGTCGCCCACATTCAAAAGCAATCATAACTCATGAGCAGTGAGAAAACCATACCGGTGATCGATCTCTAGGTTCGAACCTGCCAGCCCACTAAACTCCCCACATTCACGCACCTGACCAGGGAGGCCGATGAGAATGGATGCTCAGCAACCTACGCTTGGTCTTATTGCAACCCTGAATCAGTATATACCTTGAATACACTTATGCAAGGTTACATAAATTATACGCTTATGGCGCACTTTGGCACCGCTTTGTCTATGGCTGAACGCAAAGAACTGATTACAGACAACATCATCTGGCCTGAAATCATCTATCATCAATGTCATTGCTGAAGACACGAACCCTCTCTATTATACATGAGTCCTTTTTCTCCATTATTCACACTCCCGTTGCCGCCAACGATCCCTCAGCGAATCCCGTTCGACCTTTTGATTTTCCTCGCATGATAACATTCTCATAATCTCATAAGAACCAAACCGCAATGCAAAGTGTTGATGTGACATTTCGTTATTCAGTTATCATGGTCGTCGTAATCCATGAACGCGTTGGCAAAAGCAGAGAACACATCCTGGAAAGGCACCTCAACAAGGCGATAACATGAGAGTCGGGGTGGGTTGAATGAGTGAATTAAGTGCAATAAGATGCCAACACAGGACATCGAGATATGGCAAGTGACAAATCTTTGACAGATCATTCTCCGAGTCGTAAATCATGCATCGTGAACGATTCCAGGCACTATGCCAACCATGGGTCCAAAAGTCTCTTGTCCGGATACACCCGTGGACTCAACAATGGCGACAGTGGCGAAGTCTCTCAGGCCAGCTGGACGCCGTTGCCCTGCTCCTCACTCTTGTCCTCGTCTAGGTCCCCGAGGGACGCGTACGGGTTGTCCGTGGGGATGGGGAGACTGGATCCTATACCACTTGTCGGGCTGGTCGAACTCTGGGAGGCCTGGCCAGCCGCGCGAGGGGGAGGTGCAATGGGGCCAAAGGGGGACGGGTTCCAAACTAGCAGGCAAAATGGTCAGTTGGCTCTAAAGTCAGGGAGAAGACAAAGATTATGGCATACCTGAGGCGCTGAGTGAGCCGGCACCGTGGCCGCCTACGCCGGTGCCTGAGCCCAACTGGCTCACGCGGCCTCGGTCGTCGCTCCCGTTGTTGCCGAGCCCCTGGCTGCGCTGTCGCCAGGCAAGAGTGGACGCAGTATTGGTCGCGACACTTCCACCGCCACTACTGAGGTTGCCTCGGCCCCCAAGACCACCCACAGACCTCTCACCGGCGGCTCGAATTTGGTTGACGCTGGTGCTCAACCCCTGGCTACCACCGGCCCCTGCCGTGGAACACCCGCCAGCCTGGGTGCCGGCGGCGGCCGGGACGTCCCTCTGGCGCGCCAGCTCGGCCTGGTGCTTCTTCCACCAAGCCGGCAGGCCGTGGAACAGGCCCAGCTGGTTCTGCGTGGCCTTGTCAAAGGGCATCTCGTGCTTGTACTTGCAGCCCTGCTGGGTGAAGGCACATACGCCCTCATGGACCCACTTGTCACAGTAGATCTTGGGGCGCCGCTGGGGCTGCTGTTGCTGCTGCTGGTGGCTGTGATTGTGGTGGTGGTGCTGCGGGCCGCCATGCGAAGAGCCTGCCGAGCTCGTCGGGTGGTGGCCGTGTTGCTGGTGGTGGTGCGTCGGGGTAGCCGGGGTCGAGGCGACAATGTTGTCGATTCGGGACTGTTGGCGTGTGAGAGACGGAGAGTTAGCCGAAGTTGATGCCGAACTTGAGCTTTGACGAGGTTGCCGCCCCTGTGTTTGCACAGGATCAAGGGGGCAGTACAGTTGAGCAGGGGTAAAAGAAGCAGATGAGTAGGACTCGGGGTTGGCAAGAACTGAGTAGCTTGAATATGTAGGAGACGCATCTGCGCCAGCATGAGAATTTCCTCGATGTGACAGTATGCTCACCTGAATATTGTCCGTAGGGCTTGTAGGGGTAGCAGGAGGAGTCTAAGCTATCTTGTCAATTCTCCGAAACTAAGTGTTCATGCGTCCGCAATGTGTAAGGAATGCCTTACCCTGAGGTCTACCGGCTCAGTGTTACTCGATCGGCCGTTTGCGGGAAAAGATCGAGGTTGGGGCAGAACGATCATGCCCTGACAGCCCTGCTGAACGGCTGGGATGGTCTGGAGAGGCGGAAGCATATCGGCAGGTATAAGGCGGGTGTATTGTCCATTACCTCGATCGAAACAGTAGGCGTAGCTGTTGTCAAGCTGAATGTCAGAGAAGGTGGCCATATTCGCAACGATCATCCCGGTCTGCTGGTTATCCATTCGAGCAGGGGGCCCGAGCGGAAACGAAGTCGGAGTACGACTGCCATAGCCCATGGGAGCACGGGAAGCAGAATCGAAGGGGTTGTATAGATTCTCATTGACAGCCTGAGCCATAGACTGGGTTCTCCAGTTGTTGGAAGTGAGGCTTCGTGTTGCCTGGACGCCAATGGTTCCACTAGATCTCAAGGCTTGAGCCTGCTGGAACGGTCGCTGAAACTGAGAACCGTCATGGTCGGGTGTGTTCTCGCTACCACCCTCAGCGATGAGCTTGTCCCGACGGGCGTTGACTGGCTGGAAAGCTCTTCTGTCCATCTTAGGCTGAGTATCGAGCAGTGTGTGGTTGGCGCCCTCTATATGCGTCGTGGTTAGATAATGGAGATCGAGGAGGGGGGAGGATCGACGAGAGGAAGTAGCAGGAGACGTGGTTCGAGTTGAGGTATGGGAAGCTCCAGAGGAATAAGACACGTCGGAAGGTGAATGGGCAACTGGATCGGTGTGAACGGGCGAGGATGTGGATTCCATGGTGAATGGAGAGATGAGCTTGGACTGGGGTATGAGAGACATGGGGCACAACCAATTCCACCCAAAGGAAAGGAAGTGAGCAAACGGAGCTGGGTACGTGCTATATCACGTCGCGACCCTCACCTCCGAGTAGTAGGCCACGTCCAGAACGGCGGTACAGAACTCGGAGGATGTCTAGAACGTCGCTGCTGGACCAGTAGTGAGAGATGAGATGACAGAGGGTCGAGACAGCAGAAGAGAGACGGCCCTTTAAGCGGGTTTGAGACCCTAGGACCGGGCAATCCAGTTGCCAAAGCCATAGTTGCCATCACGACCGTTTGCTGGGAAACGTCAAATAAGGTTAGATGCATCTTGACGGTTACCTGCAGTGAAGCCTTGTGTTTCCCACGTGACAAATCCCTGTATACACTTATTGATCAAACACGAAAAAGCCCTGTCTCAGCCATGTCAAATGTTCAGCAAGTCCGCAAAGTGATGTCACAGTGATTGATTTCTCTATGCTCAATTCATATCCCAAGCTACCTTACTTGGTGTTCATTGCTCAGTGGGTTCATTCCTTAACATACAATTGCTCAATGATGATGGCTTCGAGCTCGCCAGCTCCGTCCTACGCCATTCCGCGCGTAGGTTTCAAGACACTGTGGCCACCGATAGCATGTTTAGTTTCCTTTGAGTGATCTAAGCTCCTGTGCTAGCTGCGCTTTGGCAGATTTGACTACGGCTGGATCGGCTTTCGAGGTCCTCAAATTATCCATGGCCAAGCGCACGTCGATTTCTGAGTTTCTGTTTATGCAACTCATGAAAGGATGGCCATTTCTGTTGCAAATGACGCAAAAAAGCTCAGGCAAGTTGCGCTTTGGTTGCCTACTAGGATCGTTGTCGAGCGTCGTAGTTGGCAAGGTTGGTATTAGATCCCCTGTGGTAGCATTTGACTTAAGCGCCATCGCGGGGGGGAAGGGTATTGATCTCTGATTGAGGGACTGGTGCTGAATAAAGTCGGTTCTGTCAGGCAAGTAAAAGCCCCCAGCCACAGATTGTTGACTTTGTTGGCCGCCGGGAAGGGGTACTACAAAATTGGAGTTAGCATTCCGGGGAGGTTGAGACAGCAACTGGCTCATCTGCGGATACCCCGATGGCAGGAACGTGGGAGTTTGCGATGGTACCATCGACGGGTGCGGTGTCGTCTGCTGACTCGGCTGTTGCTTTCGTGGGATCGAGTTCGGAGCCTTGAGTGGCTGGGCTTGCGCCGGCGGCTGGAGTATGTGTTGGGACATCTGGTTCTTCGGCACGCGTGGTGTTGTCGCCTTGTCCGTTTTCGGCCTTCGGCGAACTTCCGGGCTTGCATTGGTCCCGTCCGGCCGGGGCTTTCGCGGCCTTCCCCTTGGCCTTGGCCCCTGTGGCAGCTGCGGCGGCTGCGGCGGCTGCGACGGCTGCGGCACCTGGGGCGTTTTTGGGGGCGGCCGCAGTTTGTTTTGGGGAAGCACGGCTTCTGGTTCCGGTGCTGGGTGTTTTGTTAGATGTCTTGTTTCTCTTGCTAGCACGGGTCGGTGTATTTGTAGTGCTTGGGGTATTCAGTGTAGGAGCAGTGCGCTTTCTACCTTTGTTTCGTTTGGCCCCAGCTGAGTTTTCTGAATACTCTTCTTCGAGGCCGCTGTCTTCGGACGCATCTTTGCCCACAAAGTCGCCGTCTCCCTCCGATGAAGCGTCGTTGTCGATATCGCCCTGCACGTGAGACTGCTCTGCTGTCAGGAAGTCATCATTAATGCCTTCAAGGAAAGCACCTACTCCGTCGTAGCGGATATCCTGTTTAACGAAAATATTAACATAGTTCCAAGGGAGTGACGTTTTCAAGCGGCATCTTACCTGATTGCGACGACGAGCACCGCGGCCGTATTCTTGTCGCTGGGCGGCAAGCTCCCGCTCGTGTTCCTCCTCCCGCTGTTTGAGGATGTTCTCCCAAACACTTGAATCAACTTGCCCGTTGTTTTCTTCGGTATCTTCAGTAATATTAGCAGTGAGGGTGCCCTCGTCGTTAGCCCAGACGCGGGCAAACGAAAATTGGGATTCTGCTGATTCGTCTTCGCCGGCGTTCGTGCTCTCGATCAGACTGCGGTCAAGTAGTTTGTCAACAGATGCCTCATCATAGACGATCCTGTCCCGAGCATCTCCGCTGAACAATGCTTCCGCACCATGCTTGAGAATCGATTCGAGGCCGTCGCCTGCATCGTCAGACGCGTCCATGCTCTCGATCAATGCGTGATCAAGGGCCATCTTTTTGCGTCCTATCTGCATTATTTTCTCCTCCACGGTATCCTTGGTTGTCATCTGAAAACAGAGGACCTTGTCCTTCTGCCCGATACGGTGAGCTCTTGAGAGGGCCTGTATGTCTTGGTGGGGGTTGAAGTCGGGGTCGTAGATAATCACAGTATCCGCGGTTGCAAGGTTAATACCCACACCGCCAGCACGTGTGGAAAGCAGCATTGCGAATAGGGGTGAATCTGGCGCATTGAATGCATCGATACGTTTCTGCTTCTCAAGGGCAGAGAGATTGCCATCGATGCGTGCATGTTGCAGACCTATAGCTGTCAGGAAATCCTCAATGATGGTGAGACTCATAAGGAACTGGCTGAAGATTAAGACACGATGACCACGCTCTTTGAGCTTGGGAAGCATGATGTTCAAGAGCATCAGCTTGCCACTGGCCTCAACAAGGTTTTGCTGAATTTTTTCGGGGTCCGTGATGGTACGATCTTCAACACTGTCGCTGAAGAGAAATGGGTGACACAAGCAACGGCGCAGTTCCATGAGGATGTTGTTCAATCCTTTGCGCTCTCCTTGCTTGACTCTCCCTTTCGAAATGATGGCTTTGATAAGATCGGGATTTTTGGCAATGATGGACTTGGAAAGCTTCTCCTGCAGGTAGGTCATGGTGACGGGCAGGATGATCTGCGCCATGGGTGGAAGGAATTTCAGGACCTGCGCCTTGGTTCGTCGAAGGAAGTAGGGTCGGATCAAAGCGTGGAGTTTACGGAGATTCTCTTTCGTGACCTCCGCATACTCCAGATCTAGTGCTTCAGCATTATGTTTCGAATCGATGAACTGCAGAAGATTGAACAGTTCGCGTTTGTTGTTCTGGAGGGGTGTGCCTTTGACGAGATTAGCATCTTCACTGCACTATGATCTGGATAAAACTCACCAGTTAACAGCAGCCGAAATGGAATTTTCATCTCTTTCAACGCAAGGTATAGCAGGCTGCGATCGTTCTTCAATCTTTGACCTTCGTCAACCACCAGGCCTGCCCACTTGACAGTACGGAACGCCTGCTTGCAGTCCTGAGCTGCCTCGTAGGACATAATGACGACATGAGCCTTCATTCCAGCTTTGACACCATCGGGGAACAATTCGTGGTCGTACGCAAGGTCTTGGGCAGCTCTCCCGCCATGATAGGTCACTACACGTAGCTCAGGCGCCCACTGTTTCAGTTCGCGACGCCAGTTTGGACAGGTGGAGTTGGGAACGACAATGAGATATGGCCAGCAGTTAGGCTTGTCGTGGACAAGAGACGTGATGAGCGATACCACCTGAACAGTCTTGCCGAGACCCATCTCGTCTGCGAGGATGATATTCTGGGCTTGGTGAAAATTAAAGAGCATCCAGTTCACACCCTCGAGTTGATACTCCATAAGCTTCCCGCGCTTCAATCCTTGTGGCTGTGTCTTAAGCTGGCACTCTTTGACAAAGTGGAGGCCGCGGTACTGCTTGATTCGCTCCGCCATCTTGTGATCGGGAACATGCGTAAAGTATAGGCCGTGGATATACTCCTCGTAGGCCGCGCAGAAAGCATCCCACGGAGCACCAGAATCTTTGGGGGGAGGCTCATCCCAAACAGACTCGGTGTAGCTCAGTCCTTGAAACTTGACGAATACTTCCTTCACATCAGAAATACGGGAAAGGGCCTTAGCCTCGCTCATGCTTGCGACGTTGCGGCCAAAGCGAACGTTCAGAAGGACGTCTGGGAGAAGCCATTCTTCGTCAATGGCAGCCGCAGAAGTAAACTTGGGCAGCATGGTTTCTTCACGCTTGTTGAAGGCGACACGCATGGTGCTCGCAGAGGTGCCAAAGATCCATGCACCTGGCATCCAGGTATCATGGAAGTGCGAGCGTCTCTCCCAGTGAACCAAGTACTCGATCTGATCCTCCGTATAATCGAAGCAAGTGGCCCCAGCCTGGTAAGAACCTTGGTCTACTGGGCGCCAAGCAACCAAAGCCTGTATCTTGTGGTGTGAGTCGACGCAGTCTTTGCATCTCCAATCCACCATGGAATATTCTTCCAGGCGGTTGGCACGAAGATCCTCTGGTAGCACCTCATCTTTTGTCATGGGAGGGAGGTGCTCAAAATGATAACCACGCTTACAAGCAGTGCAGCGGAATAAGACCGTATCGGAGTTGTTGATGAGGTCAGGCTGGACATCAGTGACTGGGTCCTCACCACCGTTCTCTTGGCGCAATCGCTCTTCATACTTGGGAGTCTTTTTGGTCGAAAACTCTGCACAAGACGCCCCGTCCGACTTGCAGGTCTGACACATCGCATGATTGGGTGCGCGTGCATCTTTGTTCTGGTATGTGCCTATGCACGTGCGACACTGAAGGACAAAACTGTCGGTGCCAATCTTGGTGACCCTGTGCTCTCTCTGTGATCGTTGGCCCAGGCACACCTTGTGGAATGATAGTGAGCAGCCTTGGCAGGGGATGAGGGGACCTTTGCCAGAGCGGGAGTCCCCGCCGCATGTATCACACGTAATCATGTGCATGTGGACGAATTCGGAGTCACGAGGCAAGGGAAGGAATATCTCCTTCACTGAGACGTGCTTTGGGGCGACTGTAGTCCTCTCCTCCACTGCCTCGTACTCATCGTCGATATCCGGGACAACATAGCTTGTTGCCTGCTTAGTGCGCCCGGACTTTCGCGTAGCCTCGAACTCAATCGAGGATTCCCGACCGTTCCTGCGCCTCTGTTGTGGACGAGAGAGCCTGAGTCGGCCCTTTCGCCGGCGGCTGGACGACTTTGGCATGATATCAGACTGGACAGGAACGAAATCGTCCTTATCATCATTCACATTGTTCGCCAGTTCATCGTCGGAAGACTGGAAGTTGTAGGTGTATTTCTTCTTGGTCGAGTTTCCAGCTCGGGTAGTCCTCTTGTTCGGGCCCAGGCCGGGCTTGGCTTCCTCGAAAGGGTCGTTATCGTCATCTTCGGAAATTCCGATGCCAGTGAGGTCATCGTCGTGGCCGTAGGTTTCATTCTCGACAGAGTGCTGTCGGGAAGTTGTCTTCTGTCTGGTGCTACGCCGAAGAGGCCTGGTTGGCGGGGCGCTGTCGCCGTCCCCTGAACCATCTGATTCGTAATCGTCGCGGCGGCGCTTGAAACCGGTCGACGCCATGCTTGCCTGTTCTATACCATAATCATGGCCCCTCCGAAATCTGTTCAAGGCATGTGAGCCTCGCTCCATCGCCGCGAGGTCGTCGTATGCAAGCTGCGACGTCACACGTTAGCCGTTATTTCATGCAAGTTTACTCTCTTTGAAAACAGGAAGGCACGGAGAACGTGGTGAGGAATAGAGGCACGGGACAATCCGAGATGGCCCGAACAATATGGGTTGAGATTGAACGTCAGGATGCCAGGTAAACACGAAGCGAGGAAGGGGCATGGCCAGGCTACATCAAGCTGTATGCAGTACAGATATGTGTGCCGGGAGGACATACCACCATCTTGGCCGGGGCAAGCGTTCGGGCGAGTCAAGTTGCGATAATGAGATGACGGGAGGAAGTGAGCCGGGATTTATTTGATATGGTGGGGGTGCAAGGTGATTATTGCACCTGGTCAAATAGAGGGAGAGAGATGAAGTGAATATCTCTGGGGGCCTAGTGCCTTTTGCAGGGTACGCATGAACGTGCCAAGGGTGAGGGGTGGAGTTGAGGAACACAGGTATCTGCTCTGCAGCAGAATTGAGAAGGACGAGGACGAAGAGAAGATTGTCAAACGAAGTGGGAATTGGGAAGGTTGTGTGGTGTGGGCAGTTGTGATGAAGGATGAAGGAGGGATGGAGAGTGAAGGGTGGGCGTTGTTTGGTGTGGAAAGAAGGCGAGGAATACGTGATCAAGTGACGCAATTTGATATTGATGGATCAGACATGTCGTCGTAGTCAAACGAAGATTCCCGAAATCAAGTCCGCTTGGTAGGTGCATACTTTCCCGCTGGCCACTTGGTGAACAAGCGACGAGGTGCAAGTACGGTATGCGCAATCGTGAGAGTAGGGGTATACAGAAAAACCACACTCTGACACGTACCTGGTCTACTCGACCGTCATCAAACTCGACACTATACCATGTTTCATCGCCGAAATAGATCTCTTCAATAACCCTGAGGACCACCCAGCTCGGTGGCAGTGCCACTTTTGCGTAGGAGTCCGGGTCGGGCGGTGGGCTTAAAAGCACCTCGATAGGAAATAAATGAAGTTTCGCAGCGGGGGGGTCAGTGGCCAGGCTGTATTCGGTGCCCTTATCGCCCGTTTGGGGGCGTGTCGAATCCACAGACTCGGGCGTAGAGGGTCCGCCTTCGTCCGTGGCTTCGTCCTGGCCGACATGCATGTTCGCTGCGGGCGGGTCGTGCTCCTCGGCGAGCTCGGTATCGGGGCCATCGCTGGCGCTGATGTGGCCGTCGGGAAGAGAACCGGCACCGTCATCGTCCATGTTGGCTTCGGGGACCGGCCCGTGGTCGTCCATCATGTCACGCGGATATCCACAGACATACCTCCTACTGTGCGGTTCGGCGCGGGGCTGAAGGAGCTGGGATTCGAGTTACGAGTTAGCATTGCGTTGCCGGCGAGGGCCGTGGCAGAGAAATAAAAACCTGTGGGTGATCGCATACCTCTGGCGAGCATCGAAATGTAGTACGTGGGGTGATGCAGAGTGGTGGGGGGGTGGAAAAGCGTGGTACAGTCGGCGAGGGTGGGATGTGAGGTGGTCTGGTGAGACGCGCTCGTCGAGTGAATTCAATAAAGTCGAGGCCGAGTGACGCGCAGGGCCCCGGATCCGCTAAAGTGCCTGGCTATCGATAAGATGCGGCAGGGGTCCCGAGGGTCCCGCACTCAACCATTTGGCACTACTGTAGCACTAGCGCTGTCTTGCACCACTAAAAATAAGACCCGGCCAGGGCTGTGGCACGTGCTGGCGCATTGCATTGCTATCCCGCCCGGGACTGCAGGGGACTGGAAAAATTTCTGGGACCAGCTTGACCTGGAAGAGCTGCCACCCGCATGCAGTTTTGCGTGCACGCAGCCTCCCTCCCGTCCCATTCTCCCTCCGTGTGCTATTTATTATTCCTCCCCTAGTACTCAACAGCCCATTGACGGCACCTCTTGCAGCTAGAGCAGCTGGTAGTATGAGATGAGGCAATTCACTTCTCTGTGCTCTCCATGCAGGCGCAGTGTATTATTATTGAAGAGCTCCCCTGCTCTTGGCGCAAGCCACGTGCCCATCCGATACTCGTCCCTCTCGGCCATCCATCGGGGACTGCGCGACTCGGAAAAGACCCGTCCGCAAGGCTTCGCCAATGGCGCCTTGAAAACGACCGGCTCGTCACGGACGAAGAGGAACACCTCGAGAAACCGCCGCGATCAAGACTGGACCCCGCCCACCTTTACCATCAAGAAGGGCAAGAAGGACATCACAGATGAGGGCCCCCAGCCCAAGTCGAGAAAGGCCCGCTTCAATGACCCTACCGAGACCTTCGGAAAGAAGAGTCTGGTCTACCAGATGAAGCATGGCGACCTCCGTCAGAAGCTATCAGCTCTTGCCGGTGGGAAGGAGGACAACAATCGCTCCGCAGATCTGACAAGCTTCGAGGGCAAGTTTGAGAGCGCCTTTGGTCCGAGCAGCACGCGCGGCGCAAAATCCAGGGATGACGACCGTCGTGGAAGGGACTCCAGGGCCCGCGCTCCTGATCGGAGATCTGACCGCGGCGGCCGGCCATCTCGTGACGACCGACCGTCCTTCGACCGACGCCCAGGTCGTGATGGACAAGCATCTTTTGACCGACGCCCAGCTCGTCCCAGCCGGCCATCTTTCGACAACAGGCCACCTCGCGACGACCGAACATCCTTCGGCGATCGAGCACCTCGCGACGATCGGCCATCATTTGGCGGACGGCCGACTCGTGATTCCGACTCGCGGAGACAGCTGCCCGACCGCACTCGTTCCACAGATTTTATGAAGCCGGGTGACCGCCCAGCTTTCTCTCCAAGATCAAGGCCAACGGAGGACGAGCAGCCCTTCCGTAAAAGCTCATTCAGGGATGATCTGCCCATTCGCATTCATCATACCACAGCCGCGTCCCAGTTCTTATATGGGCGCTCCGTGGTCGAGGCCGCTCTGAAGGATTCTCGCAGGAAGCTATACCACTTGTACCTCTACGCCGGCGAAGACCGCAAGAATCTCGTCCAGGATGCGGGACTGCAGAACCTGGCGGAACGGAAGCAGGTCAAGATCACGAAACTCACAGATAACGATGGGTTGCGCATGATGGACAAGATGAGCGTTGGCCGGCCACATAATGGTTGTGTGCTCGAGGCCTCGCCGCTCCCCCAGTTGCCCCTGAAGAGCCTCGGTGAACTCTCCGAAGACCCTGAGAAGCCCGGGTTCAGCATCGAGCTTGCTCATCAGTCGAGCGAAGAAGCAGCCATCAACGGAACTTCGGACTTCATCTCCTATCGCGCGCCGCCTGGCAGAAAGCCCTTTGTCCTACTGCTTGATGGCATTCTTGACCCAGGCAACCTGGGCGCAATTCTCCGCTCGGCTGCCTTTCTAGGCGTCACCGGTGTCGCAATCAGCAACAGCGGATCCGCGGGTCTGACGCCTGTGTCCCTGAAGGCTTCAGCGGGTGCGTCTGAAGTCCTTCCGTTGTACTCGGTGTCGTCTACTCTCGACTTCATCCAGCGGTCCAAGGAAGCCGGCTGGATGATTTATGCCTCCGTGGCTGCTGGGCCTCGATCCAGGGGCAACTCGCATCTGACCCTCGAGCGCGTCGAGGCCTATGATCCTCTTTCCGAACATCCCACTATCCTCGTCATTGGTAGTGAGGGCGAGGGTCTTGGCAAGCCCGTCAAGAGGATTGCGGACTTTGAGGTTTCCATTCCAGGCAACGCCAGCTTGCTAAGTACTGTCGACAGTCTCAACGTCAGTGTCGCAACGGGCATTCTTTGCTCGTCTTTCTTGAAGAAGAGCCAGGGTTTCGAGATTGAAGAGGCGATGGACGACATCAAAGCCAAGGAGGGCGAAACAACCACGCTCTGGTAAAGCATAGTATCATAATATCATGTACGAACACTGTATAGTAGGGGAGGTTAAAATCATAGAACGTGGAAAGGAACGAGGATCTAGCGATACCCCATACACATGCATTCTCGGTTTATGTAGACATACCATCTCAATCTCAATCTTACGACGCACATTGAAAAACACTGAAGTAAGAATCTTTCAATAGGGGGCTTTAGCTTTGCTAATTGGTGTAAGCAAGGATACAGAGATATAGTCTAAAATTATCACTCCCTGAGCCAAACGCAGCGACGTCTAGAAATCTAAGTCCAGATCGACCTCCTAGACATGTTTGCACCATCAGCTCTCGCACCTCTAGCCGCCGTCGAATTCGCCAGCGCCAGACTCAACAGCTTGTCGAACAACGGCGTGCCGAGACCCGTGACGGGGTCCCAGCCGACCGTGGCGTTCCAGCCGGCGCCCGCGATCTCGGGCGTGGGCATGCCCGAGTACTGGCTGCTGGGCCCGCAGCCCCTGCTGCCGCCCTCGGTGATGTCCGTCAGGCCGCCGGCCGCGGCCACGGTGCCGTAGAGCCAGGGGTTGAGGAAGCCGAGGGGCGCGCGGCCGCTGGCGACGAGGGCGTTGTTGACGAGCCCGACGAGCGCCGCGAACGCCGGCGCGCTCGCCGACGTCCCCGCCACGCTGGTCACCTGGCCCTGCGTCACCACCTGGTACCCGCTGCCCTGCGCGCTGACGTCCGGGAACCCGCGGCCCGACGTATTGTACAGGCCGGCGAAGACGTCGGCGCCCAGCTGCGACAGGTAGGCGGGCACGTGGCCGTCCTGGTACGCGGGCCGCGCGAAGTAGTCCGAGAAGCCGCCCGACGAGAACGACACGGCCGTCTCGGGCCGCGTCGATGTTGTGCCGCCCACTGAAGTGATGTACGGACACGCGCCGGGAAACATAGGCGTGAAGCGCTTGGTCTTGGTGCCGTCGTTGGTTTGGCAGGCACTGCCTGGCCCAGTACTAGACATAAGCAGGTCAATATATGTGCGGAGAAAAACACAGCTGTATACATCAAGGACGTGTTTGGAAGAAGCTGAGGAGCCTCAGTTGCGAGACTTACTCTCCTGAGCTGAACAAAACACTGACGCCTCTTGCTCCAAGTTGCCCAAACATCTCGCAGACCTTGCGGGCATAGACTAAAGGAATCTCTCGCTCGTTATCGCCATACGATGTAGTGAGTGTCGTGGGAAGGTCCTCATCTGGCAGGGCGAGGAGGTATGTCACCAGCTCCAAGTACGGCTCATCGCTGTTTTGCGACAGATACGGTTGGTCCAGGTCCGGAATCAGCGGCCCACGGCCTCCTGTCGAGTAGAAGCGAATATCGGTGTTGTAGCTCAAGGCTGCGACGTACTGCATATCGAGGTTCGCCTCGACGTCGTCGTGGACCATATCGGTCTGGTTGTTCTGACCTCCATTGATCAGAGCTGTTGTGAATGTCTGGTTCTTGGCATACTTAGCAAACCTGCCGAGGAATGTTTCGAGAGCGTCATACTTGGCATATTGCTGCGGTTTCGAGTTAGTAATTAGTGTTAGGGGGGAAAAGAGTATAATGCTCTGGGGCGTGCTACCTCGAGGAACCCGCTGACTCCAATGCTTGTCTTGACGCTTGGGTCCGCAGTATGGTTGCCGATGCGATACAGGATCCGCAGACAAGCTGGGTTCATGTAGTATTTGCAATATGCCACGGCATCTGGTTCGCTCGCTAATTCGTGAACTGTGAATGGTGATTCCTCTACCTTGAGGACTTGGCTGTTGTGACGCTGCAATCGACCGAATATCGTGGTGGGTTGGATCATGGTAATATGAGACTTGATCTCCTCGGGCACTGAGTACCTGCAGTTGGTCAGCAAAAGTCTCTCCGGCCATGGCAATTAGACATACTGCAAAGTCCGAATTCTCGTGGCCTCGGTGCCTGCGTAGTTATAGACGCCAAAGTCGGCATCTAGCAAGCGCTGTGCTTTTGCGACTGATGTCTTGAAGATGAGCCACTCCTCAGATGTTTCGATATCAGAGGTCTCAACACCAGCCGACAGAAGCCAGTTGATGACTACCTCTGTTGACTCCGCACGCGGCTGTACCAAAGCTCTCAACTCCTCCCGTGATAGATGCTGACCATAGAGAGAATGATCCGGTGTTGACAGACCGTACAAAGTCTGCTCAAACTTGCCGTTTGTGATATTTGGTTGCTCAAGAGCTATTCGAAGTCGGATCGTCTGCGATGTATCGGCGTTCTTCACCTTGAGCCATCCATCCGGTGCGCTGAGCAGAGACTCCACGACGAGGTTTTTGCTCACTGCGGTCGATTCGAGCAGCAGCAAGGCCGCACCTAGAAGCGCGGGTCGTCTCATGTTGAGGAGGCGTTCCTGTTTCGACTCACTGTTGTGTTCAATCGGAAACGAGGTTTCTCTTCTGGGATGAGGGTTGTACAAGTACTGCAAGGGGCCCTAGTCATCTTAAGAGTGGATGCTTACATGGCATCAGGTACCATGCATACCTGATATGCAAAATTCGTATACAAATCGGCTGACATCCAGCAATCGCATTGCACAGCATAACTCCCTTGGTGCGAGATCGTCGATTGCCGCTGGAAGAGCTCGTGTTCTGAGGCCCGCCTAATGGACCATATAACTTCATAGCAGGAGCCGTCTGCCACCTGTGGTTAAGAACCAGGACCTTCCATTTCTTGGCAAATGGAGCTGGGCACGCGAATGTGGTCTGTCGCAATGAGTGCATCACGCCGGCAATGCAGTGTGGGTTGCCAGCCGGCCGGCCCCGTCGGTTGAGCAAGGTCCGAAATGATTGGTATCCAGGTCAGATATGCAATGCTGCTTCCACAAGGGAGATGCAAAAGACAATGCGAAGCCATTTCATCAAGCCCACAAACACATGCCTCATTTCGATGTCTCACCATGGAGGGTTGCATGGCACCGTGATCGGCAAGTGGACTTGCAGAAGCTGGTACAGGACGCTGGCCAATCAGGGAGCGCAATGGCTATAGTAGCTGCCATTTTGGGCTGACGTTCCTGTGCCGCAGCTGGTTCCGGCCCCACTAGCCACCCCCGGATTGCCACTATAAGCCTAGGCGACCGCCTTCGTCTACCTCAACACCTTCCAAAGCGAAGAGGTCTATTCGCGTGCCACACGCTAGGATGATCCAGCAGAATATAGCAACCAGTATGCAAAGGTCCCGTCTGGAATGATTATGGGGCGAGATCCCATCTTTCGGGGTGTTCACACTCCCGCAACCTCCGAAAGCTGCCAAGTAATTTCGATGGCAGCGGCTCCTAGAATCAACGGGCGAAAACTTATGCCTTCTCCTTTCACGTCATTGCCAATAATATATGAATACCCCGCCCAAAGTGGCACATTACTAGAAATAATGATGTACAGTTGCGGTCGTCGCAAGTCGGTGACGTGTACCACATGAGATCACACTCTAATATCCTCCGTCCTCTTCTGTGAGACTTGAACCTACCAGACTTTTCGGTTATTTGTACTGGATGCTACAGCGGTAATGCAGCCACACCATGTAATTGAAGCAGCGTAAGCAGGTTGTCATTTACATCGGAGAATTTTCGACTTGGCATATTGAGCCTCTCATGGACTCATGCCAGCTCCATCCACTGATCATTTCAACATCAACTTGGCCGCCACACATCAAAACTTAAAGAGTCTCTGGGGGAACTTGGGTACTTAATCGGGCAGTGCCCTAGTGGCTTGCATAAGTCTACTGCAATTCTGCATCAAACATTTTGCATAGTCCAACAGGCAGGAGTCCAGTCGATGCCCAGGTTCGTAGACATTGTTTGACACTTCATGCATCCGCTGGTAGCCACTCCATTGTTGACAGTGTGGTCTCGGATGGAGAACTCCACAAGATCAGCGATGTCTTAATTTCCGAAGTAGATTCCATACTCCGGGATGCCGCCTCCATCGGACCCCGCTGCGAAGACACACTGTCCGGATGTGACCAGTGGTAGGAAAACCCTACTTGCTAGATCATGTTTGTCGAGCAACCATGCCACCTTGTTGCTTCGAGCCCATTCCATTACGCCCCGGCAATCTGCCACGGATGGTACGTTGGGCGGGTTGTTGCGGACAAAGGTGCTGTCGTTGCATACGTTCACATCGAACGGCTCGGGTACCTTTCGATATCTCGAGTCAGTAATTTCCCAATCAAATCACTTTGCCGAGGCTGGTGTCTGATCAGGTCCATTTGTGGTGCGTGTGGCTCCTCAAACCTACCTGATAACGGTAGGAATGGTTTCACAGTTATACGTACCGGGTTGGTGCTATCTTGTGCTGTGGCATTTCTTGACTTCCAAGGCATACCGTCGACAACTTGGCGATCATGGTTGACTAGAATCGCAGACATTGTGCCATCGGACTGTGTGAAGTCGTGGCAGACCATTCCAGTGACTGGCAATGTGTTCGCGCACGTAGCAGCCAATGCCACAGGGAACAGAGTAAGGAGAGTGGTGAAACGAAACATTGTGAAAGGTTTGCCGAAGTTCATTATTCGCTGAAAATTGATGCGACTGTCGTCTCGTTTGGTAAAGTAGTAGACTCAACCATCTAGAAAAGAACCCGGAACCTTGCACTAAAGTAGAAACTCGTATGTGAGTGTGAATATATGAAGTGTATTCACAAGTCAACAGAACTGGATTATCCCTAGGCGGCCAATTTACCATAGCACTAATAATCGTACCCTATGCCATTAACGGATGATTTATTCTTGTGAAGAAAGCGTGCTGCTTGCAATGATACCAAATCAGCACCTGTAGGAATACAGACATAATGCTTTTCAGTTCACCTCAATTCTGTCAGAGCCTATTCAAGCTCGAAGTTTGCGTCATTTTGCCACTTAATGGATTCATAACTAGAGGCTGCACCGAACTTGGTAATTACTGCGCACTAATGAGAGATCGTGTGAACTACAGAGGGAACGAAGAGCTATCGTACTGACCACGGAAACCGCCAATACGCCTTCGTTAGTATTCATAGGTGCTATGGACACCGCATAATAAATTCAGTATTAATCGAAATCAATAATACTACGTTGACACAAGAAGCTCATTCATCGGCAGTTATGCAGCAATGCGCACTGTCAGTATCAAACACCACTTGACACAGCAAGCAATGAAGATATCACTAAGGAGGAATGGTAGGGCCTTGGCACTCGTAAATCAGACTCAGCTACGAAATACGTCAGCCTCAAATAATTGGAGGATGAAAAAAGGCACTGCGGAAGAACGTCGCAGTGAGTAATGTAGCGAAGAAAGACAGGGGAGGAGGGGAAAAAAAAAAGGGGGGAGTCGCATCTTCTTGTGATTGAACGTCAACCTTTGTGCAGGGGCGATGCTAATCTTCTCTGTATTGTTTCAATGTGACCAGTTGCACTACGGATTCCCCGTAGGCAATTGGGAGAACATTTAATTGCGGCTATATGCTCAGAAACTCTGTCCTTGAGTCACACATTGCTGCCTGTGAACCAAGCCGGACCCCCGTGCCGCCGAGCTTTTGCCACTTGCACGTGCCTGCCGCACCATCCTTGCCAGAGCTGTATTGCGCATCACCTTGTTTTCATTCTGACTGTACGAAATTGATGAGAAATATCCGAACTGCTACCGGTGCCGTCTACATGTCCCCAGGAGCTGCCTTGCCGGGTGGGTCCCGGGAAAAGTGGGACAATGATCGGTGCCTGGCCGGGTATCACAATGTGAAATAATCCCCCTAGATTTCACCAACAGCCGGCGTAACAACTGGTGTAGTGGCTTGACGGATCAGTCCTTCGCTCCGTATGGCCAGATGTTAGGGTACGGAAATCTTGACCTTTGGGAGACCAGGGTTCAGGTAGGGGGGCCCCAGAACCCTCTACAGTTTTTTTTTTTTTTTTTTTTTTTTTTTTTCCTTCTTCTTCTTCCTGTTGCGTACTTATCGATCTTGCACCTACCACGTCAATATTCTTCACGAGTAGTGTCAGTGTTTTCAATCCCAGTCCAACCTTGTTCGTTGGTCAAGTCACCCTGTTAGTGCCGAAATTCCGGCCTTGGCCTCGTAATAAATGACATCGGACGAGCCGCCCTCATATTTTGCTATCTTCACATTGAAATGATTCACTGGCTTCAGCGTAATCTCAGATGCCTTGAGAAAAGACTAGGGGGCCGGGAGTATGTTATTGAAAAGTCAAGTCCTTGACGTTTTAGCTTGGATGTGTTACACCTCATCGACTTCGGCTTCTTTGCCTGTTTGGAACAGTGAATAAATGATAGCAGCTTGTGGGATCCGATCTTAGCATCGCATTTGAAAGAGCTTGCTTCTTCTAGACCAGGGACTAGAATCCATTCCGCCCCATCGTGATACCATCTAGACTCCTGAGAATTCACAAACCGCTTCGCTTTACTAGCTGCTCCCCAAAAGAAAGTAGTGGTGCAGTGACGGTCCACTCTATTTCAGCTCTCCAGGTTCTTCTCCATTTTTGTTCTACAATCTCTCCCAATATCCTGCCGATTTGACTGGGTTGCCGCTCTATTTGCCTACTCTAAGAGCCTGCCTTAAATACTTGCGAATTCCTCAGCAACGACACATTCGCCATGGCGTTCTTGAGTATCACCGCACTGACCAGCTTCTTTCTTGTGGCCATATGGACCACCAAAGCTACCGGTCAAGATGGCTGTCAAACTATGACTGACTCAGAGAACGGTCAGGTCACTTGCGCTCCCATCCTTGACATCCCAGCCGCTTCTATTGAGGCTGCGTCCACTACCCGCACCACATATGGCCCTATCTGGGGTATTCCTGTGCCTACCCCAGACTGGCAAACTTCTGTCGTATCAAGTAAGTGCATTTGAGTAGCAATTGACCTTCTCGTACCACAACACAGCGCTGCTCCTGGACCTACCACATCACAAGGTGCCGTGTAACTTGGCGCTTAGTCTTTTCTATCCATCCTCCGCGAGTATGTTCAAAAATTTCGCTAGTCTCTGATTTTTATGTGTACAGAACGGGATTTGTCAGTTGCTGCTGTTTCCCCCTCGAACACCTGCGCCGTTGAGGTCTACACTACCACGGAAACCGTCCCTCCGCTCACGTTGACCTTTAGTGGCACTGCATTCTCTCAGGGCGAGTGGACTGTCACAAACACCTACACCAGCACTGTCTGTACGGGTAAGTCCTGGTGAAGTGCTCTTCCGATCAGAGCACGAAACGTGAGAGTCTTCATGACTGCTCAGCGGCTGATATGAGTTGGTTCTAGAGCCTGCCGCCAACTCGAATTCCCAGTCGACGAGTTATCACTTCACCACCAAGAAAAATACTCATACCTCAAGCTCAGCCGCATCTATGACCTCCCTCCCTGCTTCTGTCTCAGCAAGCTGGTGGGAGTCGCTCCCTGGATTCACTGCTGATTCGGCGACTAGCAAGTCTTTCTCTCGCAAGCTCCACAAAACCTATCAGTGCTTATGCGCATCCCAAGTCCTATTACATTGGACTGTAAAGTTATGGAAGCTCGACTGACATGTACGGCCCAGCCCGCGGTGTTACCGACGAACCTAGTGCTGCCAAATTCACGCCTACACCTCACCACCATGGACCACCATGAGAACATACACTTTGAAGCCCCAGGCCGCTGTCTTCGACATCCAGACATGGAGGTTTGATAAACTGACTGGTAGCGGTGCGGGCGTTGCTCTTAGTTGAGCCAAGGGAAACTGGGCAACCAAAGGATGAGACAGTGGACAGTGGTGGATAGCGACGTATCATCAAGGTGGTGAGACCATCAAGAACCTGTAGTTCGAGACGACTGAAACATACGGATGGTGTCCTCATTACGGACTCTCTAGTACCTTATGAAACTTGTATCCTTGGACTGTTCTACGAGCAGGCCTTCCTAAATATTCCCAATGCCACTCCAGCTTCCCTTCGTTTCCCATACCCCCACGTCACCCCATCCTACCAGTCTATCGCCTTGAACCCAGCTGAATCTGATGTAATCAGGCACGGCTTGCGGTGTACGGACCCATTCCAGCCCGTCTGCAATATCCCCCTTCTTCTCGTTCTGGGGTTCAAAATATCGCCGCACCCGCTCGACGTCATTGACCAGCATACTGATTCCATCGACTCCGGCCGGGGCTGGGGTCTTCCAGGCGAAGCTGATATTTGATGACCCATAGTTTATGTGAATCACCGGGTCAAGAATTCGAGGAGTATCCAGGGAAGAGGAACGAGTATACGCGGATTGCGCCGTCGTAGCCGCTGGAAGAATGAAATTTGCTAATACGGTAGAAATATCAAGATGTGATAGGTTATAGACACAAAGGCCGATGAGTAGTCCGTGTGAGAGATTTAGGAGTCTAGCTTGAACTACATGGCGGCGAAAGAGGACGAGAAGGAAGACTGGCATAGATATCTGCGCGGTAGCCTGCAGCCTGGGAAAAGCCACGGAGACGATGGCGGCGACCAATGAGAGAGATGTGATACACAGCGAAAGAGGCTCATATAACCTGCGCTCGGCGGAGAGATGGTATATCTGTTGAAAGGCGATCAAAAAGAGAACGGCGGCGGTCAGCCTGTCATGACCTTCGATAATTGCCTTGAAACAAAGGGTGACCCAGAAGCTCCCAAGCCAAAGGAGGGGTTGCGCGCTTGGGGCATTGGACCTGAGGACATGTCTAGCAGAGTATCTGAAAGCCAGGATAGCGCAGCCGAAGGCAAGCATAAGCTTGGCCACTTTCGAGACCATGGACCCGTCGTCGTCGTCGTTCAAGGAGCCAACTCTAGCCGCGGGATTTATGGTAGATGTGACATACATGAAGCCAACTCCGAAGGACGTGAAGTAAACAACCTCGGCTGAAGTCGTGAACAAGACCACAAGGCCTGTAAAAGTGGCCGAAATATACGGGAGCACCCAACTCTGGTCCACCACCCGACACTCAAACTCAGAATCAAGCTGAAATTTGAACGAGCGGGGGAAGTAAGTCTTGACGGCTATCGAGGCGATGCCGTTGCCGTTCGACCCAGGATACGAGTTCGTCTGGCCCATCCGGGTCACGACGCCGCACCCGCCCCTGGCGTCGTCGAGGATGCCCGCGTGCACAGCCGACGGACAGATCCAGGAGTCGGCGCGGTAGATGGGGCCCCCGATGACGAGCGGCCGGTCCACGATCTCCTGCGGACCCACGAGATACGGCGCCTGCAGCCTTGTGCTGCCGCAATCCGGCGGACAGTGGAAGGCCATGGAGCCTGCCGAGCTGCCGGCGCACTTTTCGCCGTCGATGCCACATCCCCCGTCGGTGGCCCAGAAGGAATCGGTGCAGCTCAGCTGCTGCACCGACTGATACGTGCCATCGACTTTGGTCGGCATGATACTGGCGTCTGAGAAGATTGTGAATGCTATAAGCCAGGTCAAGCACAGTCCTGCGAAGAGGGCCGCCCTCGGCCGTCGATGAGGGAGCCTTCTCTGGAGCCATCGCCGCGGCAGCTTGAAGATTTCATGTGCTTCTGGTGTTGAGACGAACTTCAGTAAAGTTTTCTCGGCTCTCGCATGCTCTGTCCCACTGAAAACCTCGTGGTGTCCAGAAGTACATCTCCGATCCGGAAGCGTAGTGGCGTTTTTCATATCAACCGAATGCATTGTCCTGCTTGAAAACCTCAAATAGGAGGTCTCAGCCGTATTGGATCTATGAGGGTAGCTATGATGAAAGATAGAGAGATCAAGTATTATGAGAGGAGAATAGCAAAGTTGATAGTCTTGGAATGGGAAACATAAGGGTTGGAGTTTGAAGACTTGTGCGATGCGGTCACTCATATCAAGAAACACTCTTCCTCATAGGATCGCAGGAAGGAACGGGATGTCTAAGCTGCTGGTCAACTAGTTTTTGTATCTTCAATTGACTGGTCCTTCTTCTAAGAACATGAGACGTGTTTCGCCCTCAGGCTATAAGGTCTGTGCTCCGGGTAGCCAAGGCCTCCGAAAGTGACTGTAGCTCTAGGGTTGTCGGCGGTGGCGCTAAATGCCATGATAACCATCAGGGTAGATCTTTATGGAGAAAGTCGTGTTCTTGAGATATCGGTTTTGCCCTCGGGTCTATCTCTAATCGAGATGCCTCTATGAGCAAGCAGCGCGCAACGCCTATGTGCAAATCTCGCCCAATTATTGGACGGCCCTTATGTACGCTGTCTGTATAAGCAGACCCATCGATATATGTTCCATGCTTCAAAGAGATGACGCAGCCTCGGCTACGCCGGCAGCCTTGAAGGCCTTCTTGTTCGTCCATCTAATTTCGACATTGTGCGCCCATTCCATGTATCTCGCCCAGCCTGGAGAAAGCGACAGTCAGTATGAAATCGCTGGGGCTAGGGGGGGAGGGATGAACCTACTCCAGTATGCGAATTTCCGGCCAAAGTACTTGCCGGCAAAGGGGACCAAAATCATGGTGAGCAGCAGCTGTAACTGCTCTAAGCTCCGCTCCCACTCGCGCTGTGCATCGTAGTCTTCGTCCTCGGAGCTGAACGAGTCGGTGGTCGAGGAGGGCAGGGAGTCGATGTCATCGTTGTCCGAGACTGAGGCGTCGGGCATGGCGAAGGAGTCGGACAGAGACATATTGGCAGTATGCCAGGGCCGAGGGGCTGTGGAAGAGGAAGTGGGCAAGACGCTCCGCGGACGGAGCTGGGTCGGCGGAAAGGGAGGGACAGCGAGCTGTTCGCTAGTATTGGCAGAAGCGATGCATCGAGCCAATCCGCTGCTACGAAGTTTGCGCAGAAGCCAGAGCTGGCGCCGGTGACGGATTCGCGTCGACGGGGGAGGAGATGCGATGGGAAGTCGACAGCTGCTGCGGGTTTCAGTTCGGAGCTCTCGACCAATGTCCGGGACTGGTCGTGGGCAGTGGCTTGCGATCAGGTGTCGTTGTCGGCCATGGGGGCCGGGGAATGAATGCCGGTCTGCTGGGTCGGGGTCGGCCATTCTGATTGGCGGGCGGAGAGGCATAAGGCTCGACGGAGGGTACAAGGCGCTGGCCTGCAGGCACGGGGCGCCACGGTACCTTGGGCCAGCAGCAGATGATGCGCCAACCGCGAGGTACCTGTCACCGGGATGCAGCACAGCAGACAGCGGTGAGTGGGAGCCCTCCAGGCTGCAGGCTGGGGCCCAACCTAAGCAGCAGCTTGCGTGGAGTCACACCTGAGTCAGAGGCTCCAGAGGGCAGAGACAGCACCCAAACACACGGCCCGCGGGCTCGTAGGAGCGTGAGGCAAAGAAAAGAACAAGGGCCACTGCTGCAGTCATATCGCTCGTCGTGCCAGAGTGACTCCCAACCAGACGTCATTTGGACAATCCGTTCCCTTTCGCGCTTGCATCCCGACAAAAATCACTCTCGACCTCTTGCAACACCCGGCAGACGGTCGCCAAAAACAAAGCTACAAGTCACACACATTGGATCGGAACGCATTCGACACCTCGACGCGGGCAATTCATCTCGGCGACCAAGCTCCCAGGACCAGGATCGTTCACCAAAGCCCAGGCCTGGACTCGGGTCGCACTACAGAAGGATCAGCGCAATTAACTTGTGAGGGGATCGCAAAGATGGCGGACGCTTCAGAGGTGAGTCTTCATGTGCTACTTCTTGTCGCATCTCGATCCCGTCCGGCATCGCAACTTCGCAGACGAGCACCCGAACACCGAGTGGTTTGCTTCGGATAGTGCATGCTCGTCTCCAAATGACATATCACCCGCCCGACACCTTGCGCGCGCGCATGCAGCCCAACACTAGCTGGGCAGCTCGAGCCCGCAGTTCCCGAGCCCTCGCCTACCATCGCCAGTAACCTTGGAACCTTGGAACCTGCTGCTTGCTTGGGTTGCTTGGTCGCTGCTGGGCTGCTGGGCTGCCAGGCTCCAGGGCTGGCAGTGGAGGCTGGCAGCCCCCCCAGGTAGCACTGGGAGCTGTTGCCAGTTGCCCCCCGTCCCCTCCCTTCCAGTGGAAGCTAAATTTTACCCCTCCAATGGATGATCTGTGCACCCCGACCAGCCGCCCACCACTGGTGCAAGACGCACCAAAAATTCACGGAGCCACTTGGCGATGACACACAGTCATACCTCCCACCCACCCCCAAGACGACGTGATTAATCCCGAGGGGCGACTGAGTTGACATCGACCCATCTCAACACCACTTTTTTTTTCCGCCATCTTCTCTTTTCGTTGCCTTCACGCATCGCCGCCGCCGCCGCCGTCCGTGCCAGTGTTGACATTCTAACTTTGTAGGACCGTCCTGACATCCCCGATCGCAAACAGCGAAAGTCGGTCGTATTCAACTCAGAGGCCATCGTTGTCGAAGCAGACGGCAAAGTCACCACCATGGCGTCCACCGAAGAGCCCAAGGATACCGCCCAGTCCCATTCTCCCAGTACGCCGCCGTTGTCTGCCGCCCTTGGCGCTTTTACTGACCCCAGCCAAGCCCCCGCCGACGATGCGCCCGCCGACGAGCCTGGCTTGGACCTCTCCTCCATGAAGAAGAAGAAGAAGAAGGTCAAGGCCCCCGAGGAGGCCGACGGAGCCGAGGCCCCGGAGGTTGGCGAGGACGGGCTGGCTCTGCCCATGAAGAAAAAGAAGAAGAAGAAGGTCACCAAGGACGAGGCCGACGAGCTGGCTGCCAAGATCGCCGCCCTCGAGGTCGACAAGGAGGGTGGCGAGGACGAGGCCGAGGTCGAGCAGGAGGAGCAGTCCGGCGACATGGACCAGGGCACCGGCATCTGGCAGCATGACGAGACCAAGGCCATCAGCTACGACCTGCTGCTCAGCCGCTTCTTCAGCCTGCTGTCCCAGAAGAACCCCGACCACGCCTCGAGCGGTTCCCGCAGCTACAAGATCCCCCCGCCCCAGTGTCTGCGTGAAGGCAACAAGAAGACCATCTTCGCCAACATCCAGGAGATCTGCAAGCGCATGAACCGGACGTCGGAGCACGTGGTCCAGTACCTGTTCTCCGAGCTGGGTACCAACGGTTCCGTCGACGGCAGCAACAGATTGGTCATCAAGGGTCGTTTCCAGCAGAAGCAGATTGAGAACGTGCTGAGGAAATATATCCGTAAGTCTTGCGTTCTTCTCGCCGCGAGACGGCTTTGCCTTTGCCTAGATTTTCTAACCATACCCCCCAGTTGAATATGTCACGTGCAAGACTTGCAGATCGCCCATCACCGAGCTCAACAAGGGAGAGAACCGTCTGTACTTCTTGACCTGCAACTCGTGCGGTTCTCGCCGCTCCGTCCAGGCTATCAAGACTGGTTTCTCTGCCCAGATCGGCAAGAGAAGAAAGATGCGTGCTTAAGCTGTATCTGTATGATGGACACAACTGGTCTTGGTCTTTCTCTGTCACATGTAGCGCAGTACGGTTGGGGAAAGGTCACGTCCTTGAAAAGCAAGCAGATAGATGCCCGAAATGATATGGCGTTTATTGTTTTCTGGTGATCATCTATGACTTTCCGGCCGCGAATATGGTTTAGAATTTCGCTGGAATGTTGCACATGGTCTGCTCCGTCGCTCCACGCATAAGATACTACGCTACCAAGCGTGAAGCTACAATGTAAATTTAAAAGCACGTCTTGACTGCAGTTGTTTCCGAGTACAGCACGGATGTCGTGGATCCCTCCCCAATAGGTCTACTCTCCAATCTGCGTACGATCGTCTTTGTGCTCCTCCATCGCTCCGCCCCTATTGGCCCCACCATCAATTTGATATTCGCCCGGTCAGCGGCCCGTCACCGCCAGTAGCCCGGGAACAAATCTCTGTGTTTACATCACTCTCTGCGATCCCCAGCCTGTAATCCAGTCGCAAAAAGCATGATCGTCCCAGAGCTCCTACCTGGCCAGGCCGGCCTGCCGGTCAAGAACCCGACAAGCTCGTACTGGCACAAGGAGCCGTCCGAGAAGCTCCTCGGCCACCGTACCACGCCCGACCTGCCCCACTCGGCCGATGTTGTCATTGTGGGGAGTGGCATCACGGGCGCCATCGCCGCGCACACGCTCAAGGAGCGCAGGCCGGACCTCAATGTCGTCATGCTGGAGGCGAGGGAGGCCTGCTGGGGTGCTACTGGCCGTGTAAGTTTTCTATCTCTTCCCAGTCCAGACCGGGTGTGGGAAAGGAGATATACGGCGGGAGCCCTCTCTCAGGTTGGAAAAGGGGGAACCTGAGCCCATATCATCATCGCCAGGTGATGGTAACGATGGTACTTTCTACCGGCTTCCAATTTCAGAAAATGATTTGACACCCTCAGTGTCGGCAAGCCATTGTGACATAGCTCTCGTCTTCCTTCCCAGATTGTCGCAGTTATACGCAGTTTGCCAAGCCATGTGCTGTGACTAACATGATACCAGAATGGAGGTCACTGCCAGCCGGCCATGTACGCTGCAGCACCACACATTGCCTCTTTTGAGCTTCGAAACTACACGTATCTGAAGTCACTGGTCGAGGAATATTCCATTCCCTGCGACTGGCACTCCACTAGCGGCGTGCATGCCTTCTATTCGGAATCTCTCTTCAACCTCGCCAAGGATGTCATCAAGAACCTCAGCGAGAAGTACCCAGACCTTGCCGCCAACGTAGCCATTGTCACCAAGGGCGAGAACGGCGGGCCTTCGTATCTGCTGGAGGGCGAGCGCAAGGAGTTGTCTCTCGAGGGTCTACGAATTCCTACCGCTGAGGGCGCCGTTGTCCAATGGAACGCCGCAAGTCTCTGGCCCTACAAGCTCGTGGCCTTCGTGCTCGAGCGCCTACTGGCAACAGAAGCCGGCGGCTTCAACCTGCAGACCAACACGCCTGTGGTGGGACTGCAGAAGGTTGACCCGCCTGCCAACCTGATGAGCCCAACGGCCGGGAGCAACGCATCAGACAGGAAGAGCGGATCGCATCCGACATGGATCGTTCACACACCGCGCGGCCACATCACCGCACGGGCGGTGCTGCTCGCCACCAACGCATACACCTCACACCTGCTGCCGCAGTTCACCGACCTGATCGTGCCAACGCGCGGGCAGGTCGCCGCCCTGAAGCCGCCGCACGAGCCCTCGCAGCCCGGCGAGCCGCCGCTAGACATTGGCCACACCTTCTACTTCGCCGGAGACAGCGACAGCCCCGGCAACCCCGTAGGCCGCACTGACTACCTGGTCCAGCGGCCTCCGCCGGCTGCGGAGCTGGTCTTCGGCGGCGGCCGCCAACTGGCCCGCGACTACGCCGTTGGCGTCTGGGACGACGGCGCCATCGACGAGCCCGTCAAGTGGTGGCTCCGTGGCGAGCTGAGCGGCAGCATGGACCTCAGCCTGCGTGAGGCGCTGACGTCGCCGGTCAAGGACCAGGCCGAGGCCGCCGCGGCGCACCGCGGCAAGACGGCCTTCGAGGCGCAGCTCGACGCCAAGCAGGACCTGGTGCCCACGCACGAGTGGTCCGGCATCATGGGTTACTCGCGCGACGCCAGCCCCTGGGTCGGCCCCGTGCCGCCCGGCCTGGGCGGCGGCGACGGCCTCTGGATCTGCGCCGGCTACACGGGCCACGGCATGCCGAACGCGGCGCTGTCGGCCAAGGCCGTCGCCGAGCTCATGACGGGCGCCGACGAGGTCGACCTGCCCGAGGAGTACGAGATCAGCGAGGAGCGCGCCGAGCGCGCGGCCCTCCGCGACTCGGTGCTCGCGGCCGAGGCCAAGGGCGGTTTGCTCTTCAACCTGACGACCCTGGTGTGAGCGCGCGGGCGAGTTAGACAGGGCTGGTGTGTACCTTGGGAGTTTTATACCTGTGTGGACAGAGGGCCGTCTCTGCTCGTGCCCATGTTCACAGGCGTGACTGGTGGAAAAGCTGGCGAGCGGACCTCATTCGGGTTGCGCGGAGTAGAGTATAGTAGAAAGCTGGGTATCCGATAGATGGGATTATGCCTGGCATGACGACTGGCTTGGCCCCTGAAAATAGCGAATAACGCCGCATCCACGTTTTGGGCATGTCTCTTATACATACTCATGTCACGGAGTGATAAACAAATGTCTCGTGAGTTGATGGGAAGTCGGATACGGAGTCTACAGCAATAACCGTGATTTGTCCGCGGGATATCCAAAAATTCAGTAAAGCAGAATCGCCAACTTAGATCCTTGAAAACTACCGCTCGAGCTACTTTACATGCGCACGTCACATAGCCGACAGTTCCTCTTTAGATCTCGAGGCTCCTCCACTGCGAAATCCCGCCACCCACCAAATCGTCATATCCGTGAAGTTCTCAATCATGTCGTCGTTTCTCCCCCTTGCAACAGACTCGCCATGCCTCGTCAGCCGGTGGTGGGGCTCCCTGTTCCTTGGGAAGTGCTTTGCGTAGAGGTACTCGTTGACACTGTTTGTGAAGCAGTGCTTCTGGACCCTACAGATGAGACCGTACTTGATGAGGATGATGACGATGCTGACGAGCCAGTCGAGCTCGTTTCACTGGTTGTATTTCCCGTCGGTCCTGTGGATGAAGGATGGTCCGCTGAGTTAGAAGATGTGCCGCTTGGTCCCGACGATGAGTTTGTACTTGATGACAATAAAGACGACGATGAGCCAGTCGTGCTCATTCCATTGCCTGTGGTTCCTGTGGATGAAGGGTGGCTCGCAGAGCTAGAGGATGTGCCGTTGGACCCTCCGGATGACATTGTACTTGACAATGACAACGACGACGTTGATGAGCCAGTCGAGCTCATTTCACTGTTTGCGGTTCCCGAGGATTCTGTGGATGAAGGGTGACTCGCTGAGCTAGAGGTTGCGCTGGTGGACACGTTCGATGAGGTTATACTTGATGACGATGATGATGGTGACGATGACGACGACGACGACGACGACGACGGGCTAGTGGTTTTGGTTCCATTGCCTGTGGTTCCCGTGGATCCCGTGGATGAAGGCTGGCCCGCCGAGGTAGAGGACGTACTGCTGCTGTCCTCGCTAGTATATGAGGTGGTCAAACTGCTACTTCTCATTGTGCTTGTCGACGTGGCGCTGGATCCCGAGGCTGTAGTTACTGTACTTGTTATAGTGCTGCTTGCCCTGGTACTGCTTGTCATGGTACTGCTTATCACGGTGCTTGTAGATGCGATACTTGATCCAGAGGTCGTAGGCAGCGTGCTAGTCATCCCACTGTTCGAACCTTGGTATGTTGTTCCGGAAGAGCTTCCTGATGAGGTCTCATCTTTGCTACTCGATTTTGCCACGGTGTTCTGGGACTGTGTTTGGATCTGCGACGACGGCTCCGCTGCACTGGACTGTCGGCTGGTGCCCGCAGAGGAGAAGCTTGAGCTTGAAGTGGCTCCAGAGGAGTGCGTCAAGCCGCTTGTACTGCTGGTTGGGGTGTAGAGGCTGGTGGTCATAGAAGACTCTGCTGTACTTGTGGTAGTGATCTTTGAGGACTGGCTACTGTTGGAGGTTACTTCACTAGTAGCACTACTCTTGGAACCAGTTGAAGAGCTGGTGGCCAGCGCGCTGGAAGGAGAACTGTCGGAATGAGTCAGACTTGTTGAACTCGCTGAAGATCCTGGCAGATTCGTAGCCGAGCTCCTGGATGTGGTCTTTACGGTGTTGGAGGTTGTCATCTGTGGCTTGGAGGATGAGAAGATGTTGCTTGAGACTTTTTGTGAAGATGCTTCAACGGAGGGCCCAGTAGTCATACTGCCTGTCCCTAAATGCCCCGATACCGTCTCATTTGCGGATGGACTCGTGCCACTCGATTGAGCCCCTGAGTGAGCTGGGTTACTGGAGACACCACTGCCCGAGGTGTTAGTATAGGAGCTCCAGGTCTGTGCTGTCGTTTTGCTGGAACCACCATTGCTACTCGATTGTTTGGTACTGATCGAGCTCGATGACTGGCTGCTGCCCATGAGAGAAGATGTGGCAGAGTGCGGTTGCGAAGCTGACCAGGAGCTTGAGGTGTTATGTGTCACGCGATCCGAGAACATCGAGGAGCTAGGTGACGGCTTATCTGGTGGCCTTGTGCCTGACACGTATTCCGTTATTGTACGGGTACTTGTCGATGTGACAGTCGTTGTAAGGTCAACCTCTGATTCTTGCGAGTAGCTCACCTCGGAACTCTTGGAAGGCATCGACGTAAATAATGTAGAACTCGTAGCACTCGAAATGGTTGAGGCCGAACGAGTATGACTCGTAGCATAAGTGCTATTTCGAGCGCCTTGTGAGGGACCCGAGGATGATCTACTAACAGGGTGGCTGGATGACGAGGAAGAAGAGAATAAAATCTTCTCGGAAGACGTGATTGGTACGACGGTCAGCACGCCATCAGACTTCGTGGACGTTGACGTGAATACCCTTGGAGGGTTGCTAGAAGTGGTTTGATTACGAGAAGCACTGGAATATTGTCTCCCAGCACTTGTTGAAGTAGACAATCCAGTGCTCCAGATACCGCTTGTACTGCTAGTCCTACTCATATTGGTGAATGAAGAACTGGCATAGCTGCTGAATGCTTGGGTCGATGTTGTCCTCGACCCTGACGCAGTCGACGAGGTTGCAGATGCGATTTCGCTCGCATTCATCACTGCTTGAACATTGTCTAGCATTTGGCCCACTGACAGCAACTCCACCACCACATTGTCGGTTACGTTCCGTAAGTCAGCAACGCTCTGCCGGATTCTGGTTAGGGCGTTATCGATATCAGTTTTGTCGACTACATCACTTCTTCTCTGTATACTGGTCTCCTCCTTCTGGTTCCGGTGTAGTTGTGATTTCTCGGGCGGACAAGACAACTGTGTCGGCCACGGGGAAGCTCCAGGAAAGGGCCCACGGTCGACGACCAGGGCTTGATCTCCGTGAAATGCCGGAGGCAGCGGCAGTCGAGGCGGCAAAGCTCCAGATCCTACAGAGAGGAGTTGGACCAAAGCAATAAATATAGAGACGAAATTCTGGCTTCTCATCTTGCAGACGATGCAGAGGTGATGAAGTGAGAGAGAGAGAGAAAATCGTATATACCGAACAGGATTCAGAGGAGGCCATGGTTCTAGGGATATGGAGCCTATGACTCTTAGTCCAGTGTTCGGAGAAAGTCACCTGGCCATACGATCATGAGGTGCGAGAATTGTGGCCCTGCTACCTTTGTTCAGGGCCTAGGGACATTGGTGTTGGTTTTGGCCCAATATCTAACCGAGAGAAAATCAAGTTGGCCATCACGGAAAGCCGAATGAGCCAGGTTCTGCAACTACGGGACAGTCAGGCCACAACATACATTGCCTCCTTAACAACACCATCATTGTCGTAATAGTAGAGCGGCAATGAAGACTGCCAGTAACGACATACGGAGAACTGGTTCAAAAGCTCCCCTGGCTGTTTAGCCCCTTTGGTATTTTAAGTCAATGATGTAAGGTACGGCGTTGGAAGCTTGGTTGAATCAGCTATACAGTCGTTCTCAGTAAGTGCGCCAATGGAGGAAAATGAAGGGCATGGGTTTGACGCATGGGAACGATGGAAGTTCTACACATTTGGATTGATAGGTACCATGTATGAGCATTGCGCCTCTTGATATGGCCAACAGAAACAACATTGGCCTTCTTTACGGGTAGCATCACTCTGCCCCTTCTACTTAGCAACCGTGACTTTTGATACTGTCACTATGAACCAGAGCGCCGTATGGTCACCACCCAGTACAGCTGGTATAGCTCGGCCTGTAGTTCTGCTTGCACCACTGTGATATCGTAGACGTTCACCAGTTTTCGTAAAAGCTGATCGGTGCACAATTGTGTACGTGCTGAGCCATGTCAACAACTCGATGCGGCGTGAAAATTTAATGCAACCCGCCATGAGACTGCGGTGTTGAAGGGGGAAAGGCTTTCTTTGGCATTTGGGGCATCATCGGAGGTGTGTGATCTCAGCCTGGGAAAAGGTGGCGGCGGCGTGCATAGACTCTACCCTCGGTTGATGCACGAAGCAGCCCGGGCTAGGTCTCTTGACTCGCACACTTTTACACGTTCTCGGATACCAATGGAGTTGCGACGGTGATGCTACCTGCAGTCGATGCTCTGCTTTGAATTGACAGCTGCCTTTGGATGGGTGGTACTCATCAGCCGGCAGATTCCCAAGTTCATGCAGACTCGAGAGCAGCCGGATTGCAAGGCGCAGGTGGCTTAGTACTTGTTCTCATGGCAGGCTGAAATAGACATGTAACCACAACTGCTCTGATGCCCAATCCTGGTGGAGGGGTCACGTTTGCATCTCACGACTGTGCGAGGTGCAAGGCAGCTAGAGTTTAGCTGTGATGGGGATGCGACGGCACGGGGAATTGCTGCGTGGATGCCCAGAGCCTGGACCAAAAGTAACCCACGTCCATGGATGTTGGTTTGTTCTTGCATCACGAGCGCTACGTTTTGCCTTTCCGGCAGCTGATCCAGGGTGCTGGTGCTGTAATTGAATGGGTACAACTTCGGCTGGTATCAAAGGCACACCAACGAAGGCATCGGAGTTGGTTGGGATCCGGGAGCAATCGGATCAACAGGCCCGAGTCAATAATTTGAGAGCATCCCTTGATCGATAGTTATTAGGGGGCTAGCCAGGTTCCCAGGAGATGGTTATGATGGAAAGTGGCCTCGCCGTGACGGTTCTATTGGAAGACGGGCGGAAGATTACGCTTGCGCTTACGATCGCCACGGGGTGTATCAGTACTGCGCATGGTCAACAGGAAACAGCTGGATCCCCACGACGATGCTGGGCTATGCTTCGAACCGGTCCTCGGTCCTTGGTCCAGACCCGGCACGTACGCAGCCAAACTTGAATCGTGCAACCGACACACATCACAATTTCTGATGAACCCCAACGCTAGATGGCCACTGTGCGTGAAGATGAATGGCCGAGCGAGGACAGGGGGCGAGGCAACTATCGTCCTCGTTGGCTAGAAACGGCTGGATTCTCCTCTTCCATCCAGAGTTCAACTCCAGTTCAATACTGCGGTAGACGGATACATATCAACTAGATGGTCGAGCACAAATGATGCTATGCCAATGCTCATGAGGACAACGAGGACAATGAAGCCCGAGGCATGCAACTCGACCGGGGGCGGCGAGAAGACACATTGGACTTGGGACCTCGTACGGAGTAAGACGTGAGCATCTTGGCGCTGGTGGAGAGTGGATGGACGGGCTCCATGAGCCACAAAGACGCGAGCGAGGATTTTAGTGCCGCAAACGGGAAAGTGTGAGTGTGTCTCGAACAATTCGCGCCGCGTCGGCCGTGTGAGAAATGGAGGAGACGTGGACGAGCAGGCTGGATTGGGGACTAGCGGGCAGCCGGGGGAGAGGATCAAGAAGAAAATCAGGGAGGCTGCCATAGCATTTCAGGGTGGTGCCTCAGGCCACAATGGACCAGACGGCTGACAGGGGACCCGAAGCTCTCGAAGCTAGGTACTGTGTAGAGCGTGGCTTTCGGGACAGGGGGGGGGAGGAGGGGGCGGCTGGTTGGCTGGGCTGGGCTGGGGCGGTCATCCGGCTGTGGGTTTGCGCGCGAGAGAGCAGAGAGCAGAGAGCAGGGACGTGCGTGCGTGCGTCGTCCCTTGCCCTTCTCGCCCTCCGCAGGCAAAAGGTGCGGTGCTGGGAAGACCACCGCAGACCAGACCTGACCCCAAGCATGAGCATCCCGTCGTTTATTGTTGTCTGTCACGCCGCCGGGCGCTGCGACCAAATGCGAGAGAAAATGAGACCAAAGCCCCAAACCTACCAGACATCATGGCTGCCCCCATAATAAAACCCAATCCTCCCACCACCTGCCCCCGTCACCATCGCCATTGTTCCCATCCATCGTCGTCGCCGCCATTCCTGTCATTCTGGCCTCTGGGACACGACGCCCGAACGACCATCGCCGCCGCACCGCACCACACCACCGGTGCTAACGCCGACGGCCCTGTGTGAACAAGCCAAATTTGCGTCCGGCCCCTTGCCTTGCCGTCACGCATCCCAAAAGCCGCGGTGGATCAGCCCTGCCTCGCATCACCAAACCAGCCAACGTCCAGAGCGAAGCCCGTCCTGCACAAAACCACCCACCCAACCTTGCTTCACCTCAACCTCACCACCACACCACACCCTCAACCCTCACCACCGAGAAAATTCTTGCCTTCCCACCCTACACCCGTCGACCGCCACCACGACCACGTCTTGCCTGCCATCACCAATAAACCCAACCCACACCCACCGCAAGGCATCACAGCACCTCAGCTCACCTCACTCTCAATTGCCCGACACCAGCAACAGCATGCCGGCAACGACCAAGACGGCGACTCCTGCCAAGGAGAAGGATCGACGAAAGTCGGGCGGCAAGCCGTCGCTTCTCACCACGCTGAGGGTTTCACCCAACCGCCTGCGCCAGCTGCTCGACCCTTCGTCGCTCAAGGCCGAGACTCCAACCAAGGAGTCTCCTGCCACCTCGGCCACCCTGCCCACCGAGACGGCTGCCGCTGCCTCGAATGGCGACAACGCATCCGAGTCGAACCCCGGGACGCCGGCGCCTGCTGGCACCCCGTCACAGGGCCCCATGGGACCTCCGGCCGACGGCCCCAAGAAGAAAGGTGTGAAGAGGGGTGCTGCTGCTCTCAATGGCGAGCCCAAGATTAGAGGCAAGCCGGGCCCCAAGAAGAAGCCCAGACTGTAAGTGTCTTCCTCCGCACTACGCATCGTCCATCCATGTTAGTCCATGGCTTGGACTGATTCGTGCTTGTTCTGATTCTCCCCTATACTAACATTATATTACAGCGAGGATGGTACCATCGACCCTACGGCCCGAACGGGCGCTGGCACGTACCACAAGCTTGGCCCCAAGGCCAACCAGGGTGCTATCAACGCTGGTCTTCGCGCCCTCGACCGATCTGGCAAGCCCTGCCGGAAATGGGCCAAGGGGGGCTTCCGGCTGAAGAGCTTCACCGGTGTCCTGTGGGAGATTCCTCGTTGGACCGCTCCTCCCAAGCCGCTCCCCGTCGATTCCACCCAGGAGTCATCTGCAGCATCTGCCGAGAGCAGCAACAAGGAGAACAAAGAAGGCAGCCAAGTCAAGAGTGAGAACAGCGCCAGCGCCAGCGCCGCAGACGCTGAGCAGCGAAGCTTGCCGCCGAGTCTGCCGGCTGCCAGCTCACCAGCCCCGACGCCCGTTGCTGCTGCTTCATAGCCAGCCTGTTTCTATACCTGGATTTTTCTTGTTTTCTCTTGCTGCATTTGTTTGTGTGGTCAACATCAGCGGGTTGGTTCACTTGTTCGTTCGCTCCATACAGAGTAACACTGTTTTTGCACGGTTAGGGAGTCACGGGGGCTGAGAAAAGCTCGGCGTTCTGGTCAAAACAAGGGGGCTATATCTTCCCTTGGATTGCTGCCACATGTTGCTCGGCACTTGGAGGGAGACCAGGGACGGCGTTAAGGATTAGATGGCAGTATTGACGCTGCATCGGCATGGCGGCCACTGAAATGGATTGTACTATATGGCTGTTTACTACGTCGCCTGGGCGTAGAATATAGACTGCAAACCCGGGTTGGAACCCTGAAATCGCTTTCGAAACCTGCTTGTAGAGACCACATGTGAAGGCCCCCTGTTTCATAACTGTCAACGTTCCGAATATTGCTTGCTCTCTTAAGGTTATCCTGCCAGTCACTCGCCGCGAAATCTGTATCACGTTGGCCATTCTCTCGCGAGCAATAGGCCGTCACAGAGCACGACACAGGCCTTCCAATCTCCATGAACGAACAATACAAGATAGGGCGATGGAAACTTCCAGTCTCGCGCACGAACTAGCCATGTAGAGCATTTGTCAGCCCTATCCCATCCAGAGCTCTGTCAGCGATCTCCCCCACGATAGAACGTTACTCTTTGTGGTGCGGCGTAGACTGGAGGTTAGGTTTAGCACAAGCTTTCTGCCGCCACGTACTTCATGTGGGAGGATTGGAACAGGAGCAGACCCTGCGATATGCCTTCATGCGGCTCGCTATCTCACACTATGATGATCGTATGTCAAATAACTCGCGATACCGATGACGTTGGATGCATCCATCTCACGAGCTGCAGAAATCCGGATTGGGCTCCCCGGTGATCAGTCTTGAGTGGTTCACGAACAGCCAGCTGTCGCCATCTCGACTTGGGAGCCGCGGTCGGCAGTCGGAGACTATCGACCCCCTGTTACATAAGCCGCCGCAAGCACCTTTCAGACCCTTGGGCCATGGAATGCCAGAACCCGCCACTAGGATAACCCCCCGCCTCTTGTCTCCATTAAATGATTCGTCATGGTCCTCAGCTTGTGAAGTCGAGAACGGGAAGCTCGCAAGTTCCCCGGCGTGCTTGCAATCTGACTCATTGTAACGAGAGGAGCAGGCGGACAGCAAAGTCTTTCGTGTTGTGCACCATCGCTGAGTGAGGGATTGCTGACGAACAAGGCCCAAGGTTTCGGAAGGACGGCCACCTGTCCAGTGCCAGCCAGCTAGTTATATCCGGTGCTGTCTCAGCTCAGCTCAGCGCTCAGCGACCGACTACAGCGACTACAGCGACTACAGCGCCTAATTAGGAACACGCCCTCCGCCATAGCGCCTAACTTTGATGTCGTCCATGCGACTTTAGCGTGCTTAGAAGGCTAAGGCCCCAGGCTAACCCAGACGCACGAGACGCTCTGAGCGACAACCTCCGACCTCGTGATTGATAGGCACTGACTGCATCTCTCGACGTGGGCTCTTCTCCGCAGCGGCCTATCAGTTACATGCCGACGGATTGATGCACTTGCTGATGCCCATCCACCCATTCTCAAAACCCGAGCCGCTGGAAAACACAGAGATACGTCGATACCGTGCAGCCTGGACATGATATCTCGGCCCTGAGTGACGACATCCGTGGGAGCTCTGGCCAAGCTCCGCCGTGCGTATCCGCCAGCACCGGTGCCTCGACATCCCTTCTCATTGCGATATTCTGGGACGGTAATCCCCAGGAGAGCTTCATCTCGAACTGTTGCGCTTTCTTACCCAAAACCCACCTTCCAGCCCAATCCGGGCGCTCTCGGCGCTCCCCCAAGCAATCAGAGCCAGCCCCCGCCTCTTACACCACCTATCGTATGTTCAGTTGCCCCGAGACTGAACGTAGGAGCACACTGCCGTAAATCATGTCGAATCCCTTCCAGAACTCCTCGGGCGGGCCCCCTCACGACAGAGGACAAGGCGGCTTCATACCCCGTATGAGGGGCTCCTATGCGTCGGTAGCATCGAATAGCGGCTCACCCGTGATGGCGTCACCCCATCCGCACTTCAGCACCCTCAGTCGCCCGTTCAGCTACGCGCAACATGAAACGACCCCCGAGCTATACACGACGCATCAATCCTACGTCCGAACCTCGAGTCACGACATGGACTCGGATAGGCACGAGCCCGCCCAAGATGGCGGAGCAGCTGCTCTCGGGCAGCGTGCTCCCCAACTACCATCCCATTCGAGAGCATTCGAGGGTTTCATAAGTCCGGCTGGGGACAGTTTCTGGTCGAGCCAGCATAGACACAATGGCTTCTTCACGCCCTCCTATCTTCGGGGCTCAGCCTACATCCAGAGGCTTGAGGAGGCGCACAAAGCAAAGCAGGCACAAAAGGAGAGCCAGCAACAGGCGGGTGGCGGCGGCGGCGGCGGCGGAGGCAGCGCTCTACAGACAAACCAGGCCACACCTTCCATCACACCCAAGCCCGCATCACATCTGGGCATGACCTATGATTTGATCGAGCGACCCCCTTCTTTCGAGAATGACGACTTGGTAGACCCTTTGCCCACCAAGTGGAACCGGGACGACAAGTACGGTGGTTTGGAGGTAATAGCCGATGGCCAAGAGGTCAAGTACACGGCACAAAAGCCGCCTGGCGAACGGGAACATGAAGCATATGCTATCCGGTCCGACCATGCCATCGCAAACCACGTTGGTATCTACTACTATGAGGTTGCAGTCCTGTCTAGAAAGCGAGACGAGTATGTTGCTTCAGCTTCTATCATTTTTGGACAGCTTTCCCGCTAATACGTCTTGTCAGGAGCACAATTTGCGTGGGGTTCACTGCAAAGACAGTCTCGCTCGCCAGACCACCCGGGTGGGAAAGTGACTCGTACGGCTACCACGGAGACGACGGGAACATTTATAATGGTCAGAATGTTGGCAAGCATTACGGGCCTCCATTCGCCACTGGCGACACGATTGGTTGCGGCATCAACTTTAGGACAGGCACTGCTTTCTTCACCAAGAACGGTGTTTACCAAGGTATGTCACGGTGTATTCCATGAGTAGGTGGACGCCAAAATAGATTAATCATGTTGAATACAGGGATCGCTTTCCGGGACGTTAAGGGGAAGCTATACCCCGTTGTTGGAATGAAAAGAAACGGCGAGCATATCCGAGCCAACTTTGGACAAACTCCGTTCATCTTTGACATTGATGGCATGATGAAGCAAGAGCAAGCCAAGATTAATAATGCTATCTCCGAGACCAACACGGCAAACCTAACAAGGCCGCCGATGAACGAGACTGACTTGATTCAGCAGCTGGTGAGTTGGACCATACATAGAGGATTCGCAGGCTTCGCTCACTAACACGGACACAATAGGTACTCCAATTCCTGCAGCACGATGGCTATGTTGAGACAGCGAGAGCTTTTGCAGAAGAGATTCAATCAGAAAAACAAGCTCTGAACATCGGACCGAGTGCTCCGCTGGAAGGTATCAATATCAAGGATGATGAAGATGCGAACCGTAGACAACGTATGTTGATCTCCTGTTTTGGAGGCCTTGCTCGTACTGATGATGTACAGGTATTCGGAGAGCTATTCTCGAGGGTGATATCGACAAAGCGTTCAAGTATACAACTATGTACTACCCTCAGGTGTTGAAGGACAACGAGCAAGTGTATTTCAAGCTACGGTGCCGGAAATTCATTGAGATGGTACGGAAATCGGCCGAACTGAGCAGCCAGACACTTGGAAGCAGCAAGAAAAGCAACGGTCATTTCATCGATGGCAGTCCAAATGAGATGGACCTCGACGAAAACGGCTTTCCAGACAAGATGGACACTGAAGACGGACTTGACGCACTGGGAGGCGACGAGGCCGCGTTGGCAAATGCGACCATTATCTATGGGCGGGAACTACAAGAAGAGTTCAAGAGCGACCCGAGGCGTGAGGTCAGCAAGGCTTTGCATGACGTCTTTTCCCTCATGGCCTACTCGAACCCACTGGAGGTTCCTGAGATCAGTCATCTGTTCGACAGGAGAAGCAGGCAGACAGTGGCAGAGGAGCTAAACTCTGCCATCCTACGTAAGTGATCACAGTCTGTGGAACGACAGTGTATAACTAACAAGAACAGTATCCTTAGGAAGATCGTCTCGGTCGGCCCTGGAAACCCTCTACGGCCAAACCAGTGTCTTATTAGACTACCTGCGCGACGATGGTGGGCCTGGATCTTTCGTTACGATCCAGTCGGTGATCGACGAGATACCCAAATCGCCATACTAGAATGGCAGCGATGCTGTGTGTCGGGAACACAGTTTGCCTCCTGATGCTGAAGTGATTGAAAGCTTCATTCAAGCGTGCAAGTCGAATAGATAAGCCGTCTTGGCGCCCAAGGCCGGCTGTCTTTCTAGCATTGTTCGTCGCCTTTGATCGCGGGTCCGTTGCTGGTCGACCTACGGCTGTGATCATTATCTAATTTTTCCTGTCCCCGCGGAACTGTGTTAGCGAGCGACATGGAGTGCTCATGAGCTTACCGTTTCGCTTTGTCCACTGATGCATTTACTACACCCTCGGCGAATTGATCCGCATACGAACTCTCGACTCTTGACTTTTGTCTTTTACTCATTCGTGGCACACTCTGGACGGCGTCTACGGTTGAGAACTTCACACATAGACAGGACGGCATACCGGGATGGCAGGTATATCCGATTGTTTTGCTGGGTTTTTAACTGCGGTGTGCATTTAGTGTCATTGTGTGAGAGGATTTTCTCTTTGCACGCCGCGGTTGCATTTCTTCAGTTATTTCCTTTTGTCCTACTGAATTCTCCCCTCGTATCGTCCCAGCAGCTTCCACCCAGGGGCCAAAGGATGGGGAGAACAGCCAATCGCGCGAGGAGGGAGAGGGGAGGGTGGACATCAACTGAAGATGTGGAATGAACCGCAACCAGTCAGGCTTGTCCTAGAGGGCGAAGGGAGGAACAATCGAGGCAGCGAAACTTGTACATTCGGTGAGAATGGGCGGCCCGAAGCGCTGTAGCTAGCTAGCGCACAGCACCAGCGGGACATACAGGTACATAGATGAGGATAACCATTGCTGTCCTATACGCTGCTGCCGTCTCGATACACACGTCTTGTCAGTGCCGCTGCGATCGATGTCGCCACGTCGGATGTCCAGCTCTCATCGGCAAGTGGGCATGAACTGCCGGTCTAAAAGTCTATGGATGCTATGCCGTATTCAGCAGGCTTGCAGTGCGTTTCACATGTAAGCATGCTGTTCTGGGCCGGGCCGCCAATAGAACTGGTTTGGACTTGGATGGTATTTCATGCTTATTTTATGTGTGAGCTACATAGCACACCGCGGACCATGGCCGCGGCCCCATCCGCCGAGCCTCTTCTATCCGAAGAGAGTGTATCGAATTCAATGCTGCCGCTTCCGCCCCGCCCCTCTCTATTCCATCCTTTTTCCCATGTTATGGCATAGGAGGAGAAACGCCCCGAGGATATCATGCCCGCAAAAGAAAATGCAAGGGGGAGGCTCCCAGAGTAGAAATCAGAAGAATTCAATGACGGCAAAACCAGCAAGGCAAGACAAAATACATATGTTGTTTCCACCAACGCCGTGACGCTCTGAGATGATGATGATATATAGGTAAAGGAAACGCACACCCAGAAGAAATGACACAGGGTAAACAGTTCGAGGACAAAACGACACCACAAATCACAGCCGGGACTCCCCGTTCTCTAAACCTTGAGATGTATAGGACCCTTCTTTGCCAGGAGAACGACCCGATTTCCCCGTCTAGTGCGGATGCGAGCAGAGCGGGAAAGGGTGACAACGAGCGTCAGACCAGTCATGGTCGTCGCCGCAACCGTGGTGGCAGCGGTCAGCCACCACCGGACGGAGGGGGCCAGGGCCAGGGGGAGCGATGTGTACTTTTTTTTTGGTTCCTTTTCTTTGCCAGCGGGATGCCTCCATCGTCCCATTGCCGCGGTCCCTTATCGCGAGCCGGTGGACGCCAATGCGCTACCCGCTGCGGCGACGAGCCAGCCAAACCAAGGTAGCCCGAAATGCCGAACCGAGAGCAGATGTGGGTCTTGGTCCAACAGGCCTGACCCCAGCCCCGAGCGGACGCACGCGAAAACGAACCCAGCAAAGCCCAGAGGACCCACGTCATAATCGAGCACCCCGGGTTTGGTCAGTTTTCGATGGTCCCCTAGGGACTCGAGGTTCCGCCCGCCGCACCAGCGCCAAGGAATCGCATCGCGCGATGGGTTCGGTGTAAGAGCGAAGAGATCGTAGGGCCAGCAATCCAACGGCCGCCCCGTAAGTGAGCTAGACACAGGGCTAGACAGAGACGGAGCAGCCTGGATGGAAATAGAAAGGACTGTCGAGTCGGGGGAGAAGACAGCTGGCCTATGACAGCCCGCAGCTCTCCATGTCCCGCATCAGGCAGGCCATCTGGGCCCGTTTCGCGGCCTCGGCCACTAGGTTGAGATCGCGGATGAAGACGTCTGTGCTCGCCTGCTGCCGCGGCTGAGGGCGCGGCGGCGCGGGCGCGGCGAACTGCTGTGACGGCGATGATTGCATCGACGTGGACGAGGCTGTCGACGACGTGCTGTGGTGGGCAGCGATGGGCGATGAGATGGGGGCGTCCATGGTGGATTGCGTGACGATATGCGAAACCAAAAAGAAAGTGACTGTATACAGTTGGGCCGTATTAGTTTTCTCGCAGAGATATCGCCGGCCTTCGCGGAAGCTTTTCTTCTGAGAGCTTCGAGGAAGGTGGTGAATGAGTGAGTCGAGGTCGAAAGGCTGACTTGTATCACCCTTTTTCAAAACGGGTGGTGGCAAGCGAGTGCGGGATGGCGGCGGTGGACAATAAGGTTGTGGCGCCTGATCTGTTTTCTTCTGCCTGGTGTAGGTCGTGATTGTCGATGCCGGTACGATCAGGCAAGGAGGCACAAGACAGTTCGCGGCCCAGGTTTGGTGTCGTACGGCAGGAGAGACAGCAGGCGCAGGTCGATATTCTAGGAAGTTGAAATCTAAGCCTCGGTCTAAATACTGGTCTCGCAGATGTATGTAACGCCGGCTGGGTCTATGAGAGCAGGATGTCTCTTTGAAACGTCAAATAAACGCACTCTATCCCCGGTGGTCCTGCTGTCGAGGGAAACTGAGTTGAGGAGAATGTGCGGAGAGTTTGGGGTCGACGTGGGTTAGCAACAGGCTAAAGTGCAAGGAAGGCTGCCTTGTTATATCGAAGATTGAAGCCGGTGTTGCTTTTGCACGAATCAAAAGGAATCAGAGTTTGGGGTTGGCTCCCTTTTGCGTCGTGGTGGTGTGTAAGACGGGGTCAAGGACGGGATGTTGGTCACTGGTGAAGCCTGACAGAACAGAAAAGATAGGATCTTCTCCAAACTCTTCGATCGATAGATTTAAGACAGGGCAGCAAAAGTCTTGGTACGGGATGTCGAACCCTGAGTGGTGACGATCCTCCGTCTGGTGTGTCGTGTCACCGTAGCGTTGCGTAGCTCCGTAATGAACTCTGGCCTGGGAGGGCGTTACCGAGGCTGTGACGGTCTCTCAAGGGATCCAAGGTTATGCAATGTTAATGTTGGGTTTTGTGTCCAGCGAATGAGATGAGCGTCTCCCAGGGAGGATGGGAGGGATCAGCGTTGCCAGGAGTTGGGGGACCAGCGGGGAATTATGTAAATGGTCAAAGACGGTCTCAGTACCGCGAGGCGAGCGCCGCATAGGGATTAACATGAGACAATATGGCACTATTGGCCACGGTGGATCGCGATAGAGATTTGCGGACAACGGGCGCCGGATTACAGGAGCCAGGAGCGGACCCTAGAACAAAAGAGTTTTCTGCATCAAAGACGGGCCTTGGGCCTGGGTTGCGAAATACCGAAGACGGACTACGGCCCAGTTCTCGGAGACAAAGTGGATAGACACCAGTTCGCTCAAAAGTCGCGATAATGCGACAAGGGAGCTAAGTTTAAGCGGGAAAAAAAAGTTGGCGATAATGACGGTTGCAGGACGGATTACGGCCGCGCCCCCAGGTTGGCAGGTTAGTTCGTCCGACGTCTGTTCCTGTCTGTTCCTGAGACTCTGGGTGACGAGTCCCCCACCTCGTCCGCATTTTTGTACTCGGGACACCGTCGAATTGGTCCTGCTTCACTTCACTGGCCCTGATGATCTATCCACCCGTCCGGAACCCAGGAATCCATCTATCTCCATATCTGACCAAACTCCGGGGAAGGTTAGCAAAGCATGATAAGACCCCCGAGGGAGCCCGTGCTCGCGTACAGAAAATAACCCGTCCCGTCCAATTGTCCAAGATACCGTAGAGGCAAGGCACGCACGTGTCAGAAGTCGAGAACTAATAATGAGCTCCCGAAATTAGGTAGATAAGAACATGAGAATAGTCAGCCCAACGACATCATCATACAGTGCAGTACTTGACAGGGGTTGCAATCCGTCGGGGAGAGATAGATAATTGGCACGGGGAACTTAGATACAGTACGTGCATACAGTAGTCCAGAGGCCAAGAAAGCGGAACTTGAGCTTGAACGGTGCCTGTGCAGTGCTGCTGTCCTCGGCTGGCAATAGGCGCGGTTATGCGGCTCGTCTGACCGGTAAACTTGGCCTTTCCTATTTGCCCCGGTTTTGGGTTTTTGGTTGGTTCCAATGCATCCCCCCGGACGGAGGTCGTAAAGTAACGATGCACAGGCAATTAAAGGTCACGTCGAGCTTACTATGGTATGCCGACCGTATGATATCTGCTACCGGCTTGCATGTATAGGCCAGTCTGGCTCCTGCGAGGCTTGGTCCTTCTCACGTAATACCGGTAACCCTTTGCCTGGCAAGAATGGGCTCATCACATCACCACGATGGTACCTGGTTGATTAATTGCTGTGAGGAGGCAGGATCTGGGAGGCTGAAGTGCCGCCAGCGATGGACGGACGGAATGGATCGCCCACGTGTAAAAACCGGCGAAAGGACCCCTATCAGTCGCATTGGGAACCCCCCACGCTTTGAGTGGACATCCCCCGCAATGCGCCCCAGACTCCGGGCTGACCGTGATCGCCACTCATGGCTTCTGCCTTGGGACAAGAACGGAGAAACGGACGGCGCAAAGAAGTGTTCGAAAGCTTCCATCATGAGTCGTGCGGGCCAGCACGTCACGATCTCTTCATGCTTCCAAGATGTGCTCCCCAGAGGAGAGCCAACCTAAGCATGTGTGCGTCATGCAGGTGCATGGGAGCTTCGCTAGGCAAATGCAGACCGGATGCATGCGTGCTGGGCCTGTGCTGCCGGGCTCTGCCTGCTCTGGTGTTGCTACCCAGACGTGCCAGATAAGAATTTTCCCGTCTGCCTCGGGATGGTTCAATGGCGAGGAGGAAGGAAAACGTTGCAGCCCGGGGCTCATATGTTGTAGTGGAGCCAGGACGTGAATTTTCCGGGTTGTGGTACAGACGCCAATGGGCCTCATCGTTCGTTGACCGGACGCTTTCGGTGCAGACAACCTTGAAGCAACCCCAGGCCCCCCAGCTGGCTGCCCAAGGTACGCTGGTACGAGCTAAGGAAAGGGTCCTGGGGTTTCCTCGGGTCTACCTAACATTTGGGGGCTGGAAGGCTGGACGGCTGGACGGCTGGCCCGGGGTCATCGGCCCGTTGATGGGCCCGTCGGTGGGGCCTGCCGCCCTTTTTTTCGACTGGGGGGATTGTCGGCCGGTGACGCGCCGCGAACAGTTTTGCGACGGAGCAGCGACCGGGACTGACGAGGGTGCCGTGCAGCCAGGAGAGCAGAACATACGACCGCCCGGCCCCAGCAGTCCGACTCACACCGACACTTCGACGCCAGGAATATGTCGCATCAGAAGAGCGCTACCGGTGCAGATGCAGACGTACCGGCCAGCGCCGCCACAACCTCGAGCACATCCTCGAGAGCCAGCTGGTTCACCATCCCGGCGCCCCTGGCCCGCGTCTTCAGGAGGTTCCCTCTGGTGACCTACCCTGCCAATGAACTGCCCGTCCGATCGCCGACACATCGCCACCTCCCTGCCCTCTATGTCTTTGCTTCCGACGAGGATGCTCTGAGAGGGTGGCCGAGCTTCAATCCTTCCTGCTTAAAATGGCAGGTATGTCATATTCTGGCCTCCGTCGCGATGGGAACACGAGAACTCACGCTGCTCTGTAGACCTTTCTGAAGCTAGCCGGCGTCCAGGTCCGCATCGTGCCTTCGAATAACCATGCTTCGCCCACCGGTGCACTCCCCTTCCTGATTCCTCCCTCAGCCGCAAGCGATGCCGACTCGCAGTTGCCCGTTCCCTCCAACAAACTCGAACGCTACGCTCTCCAGCACGGGCCGAACCAAGTGCCGGATGTTGCTGGCACGAAGATGGACGCATACCAGTCGCTTCTCGACCACCGGATACGGAATGCGTGGCTGTATGCGCTATACCTCTCCCCGCCAAACTCGCAGCTTCTGTCGCAGCTCTACGTCGCCCCCGTATCCTCGTCGAAACCCGTCCAAACCACCGTTCTCTACCAGCTCCGACGTGCCGCTGAGGCCGAGATACTGCAGTCAGTGGGTGCCAGAGTTGTGGACTCAGCAGCTCTGTATAACGGAGCAGAGCAAGCGTTTGACGCTCTGGCGACGGCTTTGGGGTCGGAGGCTTGGTTCTTTGGAAGCTCAGAGCCAGGTCTTTTCGATGCGACAGTTTTTGCCTACACCCACCTGGTCCTAGATGAGACCCTCGCATGGATAGACACACGTATGAAGGCTGCTCTACAGAAATTCCCCACCCTTGTCGACCATAGGGCGAGGGTGTTGGCTCGATGTTGGCCTGAAATGGCCGCTGGTAGTGTATAGACCTCAGTGTCCGAGGACAAGAAACAAAGGGTGTTTGCTATGGAGAATGGCGTTTTAATCGGATGATTGTTAGGCTGTAGACTAAGTCATTATACCCCTCAGCATCAGGGCGGCATCATATGTGTGATGTTATGCTCTTGTATAATACACAATATTGTAAAGCAGCTACAGCCTGTATCCCTCTCAATGCTTGCACAATCAAGATCAAGTTGATGACTCCCAAACTAAGGCTAAATGACGACCACGCATACATGTTTTCTTACATCTTGGACAAGTTGCTAACACCACCATCGACATTGATAGTAGCCCCGTTAATATATGATCTATACTGTCTGTTAGCAACCTTGGTTCAATGCAATGTCCACTTTGTTACAATGGGCCGCGTTCAGATATACTCACCCAGCTCGACTGGCCAAGAAGATACAGGCCCCAGCAACATCACCGGGGCTGCCGATCCGGCCCATGGGGTTGCCCTCCTCGATCTCACCCTTGAAACTCTTCATCGCAAACGCCGTCATCTTGGTCTCGAACGGCCCGCACGCCAGCGTGTTGACCGTGATGCCCCGGGGGCCCAGCTTGGCGCTGAGCACCCGGCTCAGGTGGTGCAACCCTGCCTTGGCCGCCGAGTACGAGTAGTTCTCGAAGACGGGCACGCGCAGGGCGTCGATGGAGCCGATGTTGATGACGGCGGCCGGGTCCTGCTTGGACTCGGCGCCGGCGGCCTCGAGCGCGGGCAGCAGCAGCTGCGTCAGGGTGAAGACGCGCTGCAGGTTCAGCGTCAGCACGCGCCCCCACTGCTTGTCCGGGAACGTGTCGAGGGCCTCGCCCCAGGCGATGCCGCTGTTGTTGACGAGCACGTGGACGCCGCGGGGCTCGCGCCGGCGCAGCTCCGCGGCCAGGCGCTCGCACTCGGACAGCTGCAGCAGGTCGGCCGGCAGCGCCACGGCGGTGCCCGGCCCGCGGGCGTTGAGCTCGGCAGCCGACGACTCGCACGCCTTGGCGTCGCGCGACGAGATATAGACCTTGGCCCCGTTGGCGATGAAGCCCTGGGAGATCATCAGGCCGATGCCCTTGGCACCTGGGAGAGGGTTAGTGGAGGTGCGTGACGAGGGAACATGGGATCTCAATTAACCTCCTGTGACGAGCACCACCTTGTCCTGTGAAGCGATGAGCTGGGTTCTCGGTCTCCCGGTTGACGGCATCGTATAGGCATGACTTACCTTGACACTAAACAGTTTGTTCACCTCCATCTTAGTCCTTGACGGCAACCTTTCTCTTTCTGAACCCAAGGATACTCTTGGTATATATATGACGAAAATCTCCGACGAGAAATAGCAAAGAACGAGAATGCGGAACTGAAGAGCAAGTGCACATGATGACTTCGCAGGCAGGTCCAAACGCGGTTAACATGGCTGTTGAGCTCATGTGGGGCCGAGGTTCATTCTGGTGCTCAAGCTTAGATAGGAAACACCTCTACTCCAGTGGAGACTTACATGTCTTTCAGGTAGCTTGCATCACTGCCTCACAGTCCTGGCCGAAGACTTATATTTATGAAAGACATGCTTCTCAGGCTCGCGGTAACACTCGATTGTGATTTTGTTGCTACGTCCCTGGTATATCAAGGCGTCACTGTGGCTAACATCCCCACCGGCCTGGGTGCCTACGAAAGTGTACATTTTTGGCAGCATGGCTTGTGTTGTATCTCTTTGAGGTGAGAACTAATCATCAACAACTGTATTATCATATGCAGCATACTCTCGGCTTATGGTTCCCTATAAGCGAGGGTTGGATAGCAAGGATATCACTATTGTATCATCTGCAGCACTGCTCAGCTTATATTTATCTTTGAGACAAGAAATCGTATTCAGGGATTGTAGCATTGTACGGAGTAATTCATGAACTGGTTCATTCAGAAAAGGGTAATTGTAATCAATAGTTGTGATATGGAGGGCTTGGCATCCGACCATACCTGCCTGAGTGATCGAGAAGGATTGCTTGCAAGAACAGACGGTCCACCAGAGTGTTTTTAGAGGATGCATGTATAACGCGGGGTGCATGCACTACTATGCTGTGCGGTCCAAAAGCTCGGCATTTTTTTGGTGACCACACCACACTTGTTGCAAAATAACCCTATACGGCTTCCTGCAGTTCCATCAAGTTACCATCATACCACTACTATCACCGGCTTTGCCTCCCAAGAATTAGCCATGTTCTACAAGCCAGGCGAGACACACCATGGGTTGCCCCACGACCCGTTCAAAGTGAGCGTCTTGCCTGCTATCAGAGCTCTCTAACCATGCGCAACAGGCTTGTGTCATACCGCGGCCTATCGGATGGATATCCACTGTGTCTACCAGCGGAGAGCACAACCTAGCGCCCTTCAGCCAGTTCAATAACCTGACTTTCGACCCGCCGCTAGTAATGTTCAGCTCCAACCAGACCATTGACAACACCAGGAAAGACACTGTCAACAATGTCGAGTCAACCGGCGTCTTCTGCTGGCAGCTGGCTACCTACTCTCTGCGGGAGGCCGTGAACATCACCTCAGAGGCTCTGGAGCCATCCATCGACGAGTTCGAGAAGGCTGGCCTGAAGAAGACCTGGTCGCAGACGCTCAAAACGCCGGTGCCCATGGTCGAGGCGAGCCCGGTACGCTTTGAGTGTGAATACGTCCAGACGATTCGTCTTCCGGGTAACCCGCCCGCCGGGACCGTGGACCTGGTGATTGGGCGAGTTGTTGGCGTTCACATCGACGAAGCTGTTCTCACAGACGGCAAAATTGACGTTAGGAAGACAAAGCCCATTGCGAGACTTGGCTACTATGATTATGGGGTGATCGAGGATTCGTTCGAAATGATTATTCCCGGTGATAAGAGGATACTTTACGGCGTAAGTCGCTTTCCATGCCTTCATGCGTTGTACAATGTGACAGGCGAAGCTAACGTTCCATATATAGTTGGAAGGTAATGCTCAAATGAATCGCGAGGAACACGAGAGACAAAAGAAGAGCCAGGAGAAGGGACAAGAGACTTAGAGGGAATGATATGCTTTCGGTGCCACGACTTGTAGTGATACCAGAGGAAATGGACGCTATTGTTGACAATGCAACCTTACGATATTGTCAACTATTTATTTGATTATCGAGCTGGATACTCTATTAGGCTTCGCAGGAACTCTATATCCCTTGATGCAACAGAATATTGGTCGATATCGTCGCCACCATACACAGGACTATGAAGTTCAAGCCTTACGTCTTTCTAGTTGCTCCTTTTCTCCACACATAACCCTTCCACTTTGGCTTGGCCAATCCGAGATTATCAATAGTTTATGATTTCACGAAATTGTCGTGATCGTGTTGTTGACTATTAAAACCAAGAACCAGAAGGCTATCGACGCCGAAAACCATACAGCGCGCAGAGAATTAGCGAGCCAGACGCCCAAAAAGTGAGTAAGGCTGCTATAACCACTGGCGGGACAACACCGGGCATCAGTATTGTATCCTCGACATATGTGACAGCATCGACATTGACAAAAGAGTCTGAAACATAAGTGCCATTGCCGCTTATATAACCCACACCGCTGTTGTAGACAAGTGCTAGTGCGTATAGCGAGTAGGCGCGGATCAGTGAACGTTTCAACTCTTCAGCTTGGAGGTAGGAACTCTGCAGGTTGATCTTGTTGCCGACCCACATGTAGTCTTGTTGCGTATATTCTTGTTGATATTTGCCGACCGAAGAGTAGGAGGGGCTCAGCCATTCTGAGGGCGAAGAGCTGGCTAGCGCATTGGCGAAAAGCAGATTTGGTACGCCGAGAGAAAGGCGCTCGGCGCATCGAAGGCCACTCGTACCTTTTGGGGTGCTATCTGAGCGATGAAACTCCGCGAAAGTTGACAAGCGTCCATCGACTCTGGCTGTCCCAACTTCTGACACAGACGTACATCGTACACCGATGGCAGCCATTGGATTTTGCGTTTCTGCCCCGTCTTGGTCGTACGTATGACGAGCCCCAAAAAGCTCGGGGATGGTGTTTGGAAGTGATTGATCAATTGTTGGCGGATTCTCGACATCAAAATTTGTCGAAGTTAAGTTCTGCCACAAAGCAAATTCAAGGACTTGGGGTTGAGCCAGCCCCGGGTAAGGTATCGACTCGTCCCGAGATAACGGAATTGGATTATAACATTCCGAGGCTGCTGGTGCACTTCTTGTCTGCTGTTGATTCTTGTTTGCTTCATCCCAACCGATCTCTGCGACGGCTTGGATGTTGTTCGCAAAGTGGACCCGGACAGACGTATCGGTTTCATTCCATACTCGAATGATAGCATTCCCTTCGTTGACAGTATATGTAGAGCTACCAACGCCAGAGGATCCGTTGCGGTTTTGTCGGTGGTTCAAAATGGTGAAGTCAGCCAATTTAGTTACGACAGTGCAGTTGTAGCCAAACCGCAACCCCCAAGAACTACCGTCGATGGGATGAAGCGCTTGCGGAGCAAGAAAAAGGTCTGCCACGCCTGTGTCGTTTGGAAGTGTATTTGGTAGGCTTGCCAAGTAAGACACGCTCGACCTGTCTAAGTCTGGGCTGGAGTAGATGACCCCCGATTCAGGCAAAGATAATGGAGCACCGTTATTCCAGTCAACGAAGGCTCGCTGAGATATACCTGCCTTGAACCGCGAATTCCAGCTGTCATTATTGAACCCTGTCGTCAAGGGATTAGCCTCCGAGCTGTAATAGCCATTTCCAAAATTCATAGCCAATCCTGACAATGGAAGCCCGATAAAACCAAACATCGTCGTAATGGCTAAGCTTGACCAGAGTTTCAAAGACATATGAGCAGAATGTTTCTTGCGGTGAAAAATGCGATACCTGATCACGCGAAGCCATCCGTCAGGTCGCGCCCATGTGCGATCTTTTCGTCCCGTGGTATAAGACTGATATTGACTTGCCGACAGACTGTCCAACTGAACACTTTCGAGTCCGTACTGAGAGATGCTAAGGCCCAGAGTTGCAATCACAAACCATGAATAATATATAGCGTTACCTCCTGGTTGGCCAAAGATGAGACAATTGCTTGCTGTTGGAGTGTTGAGTACGAGGCGCCAAATGACCCAAAAATAAACAGTAATGGCAAGAGGAGCTAGTGCGCCTATGGTAGCACGGAGATAGGGGCGACGCAGATGTTCAGCAGCAATCTGGGGTTTTCTTGTCAACTTGACTTGGTTGGTATGGCCTCCAGAAGTCGGTCCATCAACCTGGGAATATCTCGTAGCAGCCATGGTAAGGTCCTGCGGAATCTCGAGGTTCTCGAACAAAGGTTCCTTAGTCTGGCTTCAGATCGTCTCCGTGCTGTTTGGAGTTTGGAAGACACAGAAATTACATCCCCTTCAATATATTGGCCAGATAATTCGAATGGGTGATGCAAAATAGGAAGAGTTTTCGCGGCCTCTAAGGACCAGAAAGCAATCTCTCGACAACCGATGCGTAATGTCCCTAAGTGGGAAAGTCTTACGTGATGTTCGTTGTGTCACCGAAAATGCAGTCAGCGGGAAGGCTGCGTGCAATTCGTCACATTGTTTTAATCTACAGGTTCATCCTCAGCGGAGAGAAGCCAATCGAAGGAGTAGATCGAGTCAGCGAGAGATATTGCATCGGCATCAAACAGTATTATTCGCGACCAGCCAGGAGAACGCGGCCCCCAATGCAACCTCTGAAGGCGACCCTTGCCGTTGACATCAACTCATACTGATTCAACTTATGATCAAGAGTCAGGCACACAGCCGTGAGCCACCAAAAAGCCTTGCAGGATGGAAAACAGGATAATGAGCCCTCGCTCCTAACATTCAAGTAAGTCAGTGCTTCTGGCTTCTGGTCGGGAGCCAACCTTAGTCTGTCCAGGGACGTGGGTCTGATTGGAGCGATGGTCGTATCGGGGCATTCAATTACGGAAACCTCGGCCTCGTTACACGAATCGAAATGCTGCATTACCACAGTCGTCCCTCAACATGCACGGACGAGCTTTGCCTTCGATTGATTTGATATAAGAATAGGGACGCTACTTTGTTGGATTTACTCCATTTAAATATGGCAGCAGAAGAACAGCCAGCTCGGACTCTCACCGAGCACTTCGGGGACCAACCCTTCTCCAACCATCCCGAGCGATGGAACTCGTTGTGGCAAGATGAATGGACGCCCTGGGACCGTTCGGGCCCCAGCATGGCCTTGTCTGACCTGTTAGAGCAGCACACAGAGCTGTTTGACCTGCCTGGCGCGACCACAAGAAAGACTGCTCTCGTCCCCGGCTGCGGCAGAGGCCATGACGTCCTCCTCCTCGCGGCATTTGGCTTTGATGCATACGGGATGGACGTCTCCACGTTGGCGATCGAGAGAGCTCGCAAGAATGCCGACGCCGTAGAGGGAGACCCAGTGTACACGCAGCGGGGAGCGCGAGCTGGCACCGTTCATTGGATCACGGGCGATTTCTTCAAGGGTGATTGGGGGCGCGAGATAGGTATCAATGCCGGCAGGTTCGATCTCATCTTTGACTACACTGTAAGTGCCCTGGTATCCAAACATTGTCACGTCCAATGCTGTCTAACAATATTCAGTTCTATTGCGCTCTTCCACCGCCCGTCAAACCTGCTTGGGCTCAACGCATGGTGGAACTATTGGCGCCAGGAGGCAAACTTGTGTGTCTCGAATTCCCCGCCAGGAAACCTTCCTCCGAACCCGGACCGCCCTGGGCGGCACCGTCGTACTCTTATGTTGCATATCTTGGTCGGCCAGGGCAAGAGCCCGTCAGGGACGAACACGGTGGAGTTGTCGAATCGGAGGTCCAGGAACCGAGGCAAACGGATGGCGGGTTGAAGCGTGTTCTACACACCACACCCCAGAGGACTCACGCGGCCGGGACGAGCGATGGGGAGATTGTGGATCGCATCTCTGTTTGGGAACATATCTAGTGCGTCTACTAGAGTTCACATTATCCTTATTGAGAGACGGGTGCATCATCATTTTACTGTCAACCCAAATACCAGATGGGATGAACGTGGATAGCCACATCTGTCCAACGTCCCCTGGCTAGAGGAAGTGGTTCTCTTTATGGAATACTGCGAATGCAACATGAACACCTTTGTAGAGCAACAATCACCTGGATCCATGCAAGCCTATAGACTATACGAGCATCCTTTGCCATATAGGTAACACGTTGAGCATGCGTCAAGGACCTGTTTGCGTCATAAGTGCCGCTCAACCACCTATGCATTCATTGATTCCTGGGTCCAAGTTCCCTATGTTAGGGTGCAAGTGGGCAGACACGAAGTAACATCGCCAGTGTACCTGCTCTTGCCAGATCTTAAGCGCAGATTTGACTTGCATTTGGCGCAATGTTGGAAGGCTGAACGTTCGACTTTTCAAAGAAGAATCAGTGTGTAGTCAAAGCTGCGAGAGAAGTAGTTATATTCGCAGACTGACACCTGTCAGAAACCGGTGACGATTGTCACATGATGCTCTTTTTTTTTTTTTGGAGTCCTGTTTTTATTCATCTATTCACGCAAATAGTCATTTCATGAAAGAAAAGCAAAAACCGTAACGTCTCCGTGTTTGTCGACTGCTTCATATACATGGTGCGCATTTATACACCAAGAATGGAAATTGCAATGCGCAACAGAAAAACATGAGTCGCTAGGGTAATCCATACACTACAAAACAATACTCACTTTAGTGGACGACCCCGTCAATGCCAGACCTAGGTGAAAGAAGAAGAGAGAGGAAAGAACAGAAAAGGTCACATTGGGGTAAAAATCAATTGAAGGCCAAAAAAATAAATCGAAGCTTTCCCTCGAGCCGGATTTGAACCGGCGACTTGCGGATATCTTGTAACATTTACAGTCCGACACTCTGCCAACTGAGTTATCAAGGGTTTGTAGCTTGTTGAAATATCGGCGTGCTAATTGTGGCTAATATGTAATCCTGGGGCTTGATGGGGTCCAGTGTTATGAGTGGGTCTTCCTCAACCCCACCTGGTCGACTCGCCTCGCTTGAACGTCCTTCTATGCGAACTCGTTATTAGCAATGCCTTGTGTCTCTACAATAAGATGACAGCATGACTCATGAGCTACTTGCGAGATATTTCATAGGCTGTAGATATGAACGCTAGAGGATGATTGAACGTGGAAACCACTGGTATGCGAGTTAGCCTAAGTGCACGCTTCCCTCAAGCCAGTGTCAGGCGCTATGTCTTCATAGTTCGTCCCTTTCCGCTTTGCTTCGCTCTAATCTCCCACAGCAGGTTGCTATCTCAACCTGACCATGTCCATAGAAGCATCTTGAACTTTTAGGCCTGCGGATAGTGTTTCTGACAACTGCACATCTCCCAGCTTGGAGCTAAACTCGTCACGTTTTCACGCACGATACCTCTTCAACCTTTTTCTTAAATTGATCTGTGGCGCGGTTCTTGGGGAATTGTGACAGTGGTATTTAAGTACAAGACGGAAGAGAAGTTCTGGTTGACAATGGAGTTCGCAGTGCTAAAATATAGCAAGCAGAGGCATTGTCCAAGCGCAATCTGTTTGTTTATTTAACTAATTACTTTTCGTTCTGTATACTAACGGCCTTGGGAGTCTCGGGCTGGTCTTGCCACTTGATGGAGGCTTGAAATGCGCACATAAACATCCGAGTCGCCTTTTTGGTGTTGGCATGTGAGTGGCATACAGTGATCTGATACAAACAATCCTTGATTCACGGTTGGATCCGCTTCTGATCCAAGCCGGAACCCGACCGGGCTTGCCCTTGCTGTCCGAAACGCAGTGACGTAAACAAGTCGTTATACCAGCCTATGGCGAGTTGAGAATTGCAAATATCATTGCAGAGGCTCTGTTGTGCATATTTGTTCTAGCGAAAGTTAAAAAAGAATAGAGTATTGGAAACAAAAGTCTCAATATACTCCATGATGCCTGATGAGTCTTATGCCGACGCCGTCAACGGATGACCATCATTGGTCAGCTCAATTGAAGGCGTGTTCGTCACTCAAGAGCGAAAGCCATGGATTGAGCCCGAGCACGATGAAGGACTACCACATCCAGGTAGGGTTTCCCACTCATTTTATGGTCGACTTATCGCAAGAACATCTCGCTGAGTGAGGATTATTCAGGCACAGGGCGTGCAAATATCGCCGCAACCTATGAGCGACCGTCAGGCACTACGGAAAGAAGTTGGGCTGCCAATCATCGCGATCAGACGGTACGTGGCCATGCAAGGAGGTGGCCCATTAGTTTCCTTCAAAGTAATGCGTCATGTGAGGGCGATGGGACAGCTCGCTGATCGATAAGACAGGTACTTCAACAACATTGCGAGTTTTTCGACACTGTAAGTTGGCGGATATACCAAGGGTGACAGCTATGAGGAAGGTTCAAGCTCAGATGGCTTCCTAACGGAGATTAACCACCACGACTCGTAGGACAAGGACGGCACGATATGGCCTCACGACACCTTCATAGGCTTCCAAAAGCTGGCTTCGGCGTGCTACTATCTCTGCTGGCCATTTTCATTATCCACGCCAACTTCTCGTACCCAACAGTCTCCGGCTGGCTGCCCGATCCGTTCTTCCGGGTCTTCACTGAGAGGACTCACAAGGATAAGCACGGGAGCAATACCGGTTCGTACGACACGGAAGGCCGCTTTATCCCACAGAGGTTCGAGGACATCTTCTCCAAGTACGCGGGTGGATGTGACTACATCACTCTCGACGACGTATATCAGCTGCACAAAGGGCAGAGACTTATTATGGACCATATTGGCTGGTTCGCCAACATCTTTGCGTCCCCGTTAGATGGTAGTTCAAAGCTTCAGCTAGAGTTTCCAGAGTTGGGCATTTAGAGAAAAAAAAAAAAAACCCTTGAGAGATACTTGACTTTGTATTCAAGGTAGACTTGGCGCGGGGATAGACTTATATCAGATTAGGTTGCATTCTATGCCAAGCGGACAAAGCCAGGCATAAAGCCTCGGACACCGTTGCTCAACCAGCAGAACTCGCCGTCGGTGATGCTGCTGGCCAGGATAACCTCTTCCGCCGCGATGCCGCTGTGAATCGTAAGCTCTGCGTGATCAGTTACTGAGAGATGCAGGGGCACTTACCGTTCTAGAGCGAATCGCCTCGTGGTCCCGTCGTTCCCGCCCCAGTGAGAATGTATTGAGACTGGGGGAGTGACCCATCGTTGATTCCTCCAGAAGTAAGGCGTAGTTATCGTTCCTTCCATTACCTCGCCATCCGGATTTTGGACCAGGACTTCGGTGCGCTCCGCTGGCGTCAAGTTGAAACGTGACCGGACGTCGTTATACACTTCTCGTTTTGTAGTCTTGAAGTGGGTGAAAGCATCCGGTTTTATGATTTGAACGTCGAGGAGGATCACCCAGGGAGATCCTGTAAGTGCCGGTTTTGACGAGTCAATGGATACAGAAGGAGGTATGTCTGAACCAGTAGGAGCAGGGAGACAGCTAGGGAATAGATTGTTCAACGGGGTGACGTCTTGGACGGCATCACTAAGGGGTGCAAATTCAAATTGCGTGTTGCCAGTGTGGCCCAGCAGCACCTTGACGCGCCACATCTTGGAACGTCGAGCTGCGTACTTTTCGTCATACTCTGACTGTAGCAGAGACTCGAACCTCCTCAGGCCGGCTTCCCCTCTATATAGTTGGTCGAATGACTGAAACCCAAAGTATTCGACGGCCCTCAGCATCCTGTCTCGATGGTAGTCCAGCATGTACCATGGCGACGGTGTCCGATTCCAAGCGGCTGTCGGAAAGCCCTGGCCGGGCAGTTCCAGAAGTCTGGCATCGTAGCGGAGGGTGGTGATGATTTGGAACTCGGCGGGCGCTTCCGTGTCTGCCATGCTCCGGATGATTAAATGTCCAAGCAACCCGGACAAGGTAACATAGTCGTGGCTTGTATTAATGCAGCCCTGCGTTATGCTGTCTACCAGGCGGGTCCTAGTCTTGCATTTCGGACACTAGTTCAATTATCATTTTCGGACGAGCTGGTTTGGGTCAGTACAGTAAGTAAATAGATGGACCACACAACGTCGGCTTAAAGACCCAAATGCTGCAAATCCATAGAATCGTTTTTTTTATTTTTATTATACTCATATAGCGAGGTCTATCCCAATTCGAGAGTACATACGTATGACTATGTACAAAGCCCCTGTCGTCCCCATCCAGGGCTTGCTGGCACTGCCCCCCGTGCTACGCAGGCTGTACTGTCACTACGAGTTAGTGGACGACGACGTCAACGGTGGGCCCGTGCTCGCCGGGAACAAGTTGGGAGCTGTCCAATTCGACCGAAAAGTCGCGCTAGGAAATTTAGAAGTTTTCGCGTGCAGAGAAAGCTGCCAGCTCTGACAGCATCATCGAGGAGTCCACGTCCAGCCCTCGACAACACCAGCATTTTCCTGTATATTCCTTGCATCGCGACCGCCGTATCGTCGCCGCCGCTGCCCCCCTCCCCGGCCCATTCAATTCTCTTTCCACAGCTCCAGCTCCGAGTCGCAACGCAATCATGTCTGGTGCTTCCGCCGCTCCGGCACCTCCCCTACCCACACCCCCCGTCACAGTCCCCGTCGAGTCGTCGACATGGGACCGCATCACCAACTGGGCCTCGGAAAACAAGACATTGGTCTACACCATTGCCGGAGTTACTCTAGTGGCCACTGGCGCCGGTGTTGTCTACTACCTGAACAGTGATGTTGTGCGTCCATCCATCCCATCTGCGCATCGTGCCACTCTGGCCCGGGCCCGGGCCCCTGTCAGCCCACGGCCGCGACGAGTCCGACGGACCATGCTAATCGACCGTGCCATCACAGAAGCCAAAGCCCTCGCAACCAAAGATCAGCAAGAAGGAGAAGCGGAAAAGAAAAGAGGCTGAGCGCCAGGCCGAGGCCAACAAGGCTGCCGCCGAGGCCCAACCCGAGAAGCCCAAGGCCGCCTCGGTCGAGAGCGCCGACGAGCTGCCCCAGATCACCGAGGAGTTGGTCGCCACCCTGACCGACGAGCAGCGCAAAGACTACGCCCTGCAGCTGAAGAACGCCGGAAACAAGGCTTACGGCAGCAAGGACTACAACAAGGCCATTGACCTCTACTCGCAAGCCATTCTCTGCAAGCCCGACCCCATCTTCTACTCCAACCGCGCCGCCTGCTACAATGCCCTCAGCGTCTGGGACAAGGTCGTCGAGGACACCACGGCCGCTGTTAACCTGGACCCCACCTATGTCAAGGCCCTGAACCGGCGTGCCAATGCCTACGAGCACCTCGAGCAGTACAGCGAGGCCCTGTTGGACTTCACTGCCAGCTGCATCATCGACGAGTTCAAGAACCAGACCAGCGCTGACTCCGTCGAGCGCCTGCTGAAGAAGGTTGCCGAGCAGAAGGCCGACAACATCATCAAGTCCAAGAACCCCGACAAGCTCCCCAGCCCGACCTTTGTCGCCAACTACATCCAGAGCTTCCGCGTCAAGGACCGGCCCGCCGGCCTGGAGGACTCGGTCGAGCTGTCTTCCGAGACTGGCAAGGGACAGCTGCAGCTCGGTCTCCGGGCGATGGACAGGAAGACCCACGAGGGCTACGAAGAGGCCGCTGGCGCCTTCGAGAAGGCCATTGAGCTGGGCGGTCTTGACGAATACGAAGCCCTCGCCTACAACCTGCGAGGCACTTTCCGATGCCTCAAGGGCCAGCAGGAGGAGGCATTGAAGGACATGGACAAGTCTCTCGAGCTGGATCCGGCCATGACCCAGAGCTTTGTCAAGCGCGCAAGCATGCACCTTGAGAGAGGTATGTACCCACCCTTTCGCTTTCGGTTGATTATGATCTGACCAAATCGTAGGCGCACGGGAAGAAGCTGCTCAGGACCTGGAGAAGGCCATCCAGCAGAACGACCAGGACCCTGACATCTACTACCACCGTGCCCAACTGCACTTCATCCACGGCGAGTTCCAGGAGGCCGCCAAGGACTACCAGAAGTCGATCGACCTGGACACCACCTTCATCTTCTCCCACATCCAGCTGGGTGTCACACAGTACAAGATGGGATCCATAGCCTCCTCGATGGCCACCTTCAGGAGGTGCGTCAAGAACTTTGACAAGGTTCCCGATGTATACAACTACTACGGTGAGCTCCTTCTGGACCAAGGCAAGTTCGACGAGGCCATTGCCAAGTTCGACACCGCCATGGAGATGGAGAAGCAGACGAAGCCGATGGCCATGAACGTCCTCCCGCTCATCAACAAGGCGCTTGCCCTCTTCCAGCAGAAGCAGGAGTTCACCGAGGCCGAGAAGCTCTGTGAAAAGGCCCTCATCCGTAAGTCCACCTGTCATCTTAACTACGGGAAACTCTTTTTATTGACATCGTGCTAGTCGACCCCGAGTGTGATATTGCCGTTGCCACCATGGCGCAGCTCTTGCTGCAGCAGGGCAAGGTTGTTGAGGCCCTCAAGTACTTTGAGCGTGCTGCCGAGCTCGCCCGCACTCCAGGCGAGATCGTCAATGCCCTGTCCTACGCAGAGGCCACGCGGACTCAGCTCGAGGTTCAGACCAAGTACCCGCAGCTTGCCGCTAAGCTCCAAGGCATGAGCGGTGCCGGAGCTGGTGCTTTCGCCGGAGCTCGCTAGATTTCCCCGTTGCTTGTACAAGATAGGTTCTGGAGTTGTGTATATACGCTGTACACTCCCAACTCCCCGTTGATGTTTTGATATTTGGATGGGGCCCCGGCGAGGCGGGGCCGTGTAGTGTAGACAAAAGGGTTTCTAGTCTTGCTGCTTTATGCAAAAAAGCCGGAACGGAAGAAGTCGCGGGGCCTGCCCGAGGAGGATCGGCTTTCGGCCGGGGCTCTATCACCTTCTTCTATGGAGTCCCCCCGGGGAGCGGACCTGAGGACTGGGGCGGGCGACGTTCGTCATTCTCATTGCAAAGTGTCGGTTCCCTTTTTTTGATGAGCTGGAAATCTCAGGGGTGCATGGAGTTGGTCTGACTGCATTTGCGGCCGGTTCTCGCAACGAGAGAGCGCGAACCAAAGAGATCATGGGCTGGTTGTGCTGTACATACATACCGTAATTACACCTCCTCTTTGTGAAAGCTCGCTCCCTTGGTGTGTGCTCGTTCGTTGACTGTGATGGGCTTCTCGCTCTGTCTTTTTCTGGTTTGTTGCAATACGCGGTTTAGCGAGGCTCTTTGCGGGATCAGATGTGTCTATGGTTGCATCTCTCAGGGTTAAGTTACGCCTTTGCGTATAACAGTATATTGCTATCGACTTGGGGTCGTGGCGGCGCTTGGCAAGGCTGGCACTGTGTACTTGGTAATTGGCTATATACCCGACCAGGACGATCTCATGGCCTGCCTCAGCAGGTTCGTCTCAACGAAGATATATTACCGTCTGTTATGATCGATATGCGGCTGGTCAGTGTGCGATGCATGGGCAGAACAGTCCCAGAACTGTGCTCTATATATGCCGGCATACGAAACAGGCCCGCCACAAGAGTCGTATCTTCTTCAATTGCACAATGACAAGCTACCTGGGTCCTGTGGTGTACTTGAATCATCACTTTTCCGAATCATACAGGAGATTTTGCCCCATGGCTGGGCTCAGTGAAAACCATTAGCCCTGAGCCGTGGCCTTGTACATGCTACGCGACGGGCACTGCGTGTCTTTCATGCCCCAGTACTATTCGTAGTGCCACGGGCCTGCCTTCTACGGGGTAAATCAACCAGATGGACGGGCTTCGAACGATAGCTGACGACGACTTAAACTCGTTGTGGCTGGCTCGTCAACAGGGACCCAACTAGTCGACACTGCGCGTCCAGGTCTAGGGTCAGAGCACTGCGCCGAGGCTCAAGCACTTGATCATCTTGTACCTGGGGGAGCGGGCTTGCTTGGATATCAATGTAGCCTCGACAATCTGTTTCGACTATGAGCGATTCGTACATCTTGGGCCTTATTGGCTCTCCGATCTAACAATCTCATCACTTGATTGGACGGCGCCTCTTGAAGCGCATGTGTTACGTACGGTAGGGAGGACAGTTGCCTGCGAGCTACTGCTTGACAGTGAGAGCCATGAAAGACGAATGTGCATATAATGAAGTAGTCCAGAGCGGGGAGTATTTGAGGATAGCAACTGGCGAATGTAACGATCGCCAAGACGGCAAATAGTAGAGAGGCTCATGTAACCAAGCTCAGCTGGCCGGATGTCGATGGAACATTGCACTGCAGGTTTCCGGCCAGACCTCTCGATTCCTCATTTCCTTTCTTTTTCTCTGTGTCTTTTGGCTTCGGCAACGTTGTGAGCCGTTGGAGTAGTTGGCGCCGCCCGCTCGCCGATCCAACGGCATCGTGTGCTTCCGGACCCACTTTACCACACCAGCGGCGCGGCCCCGTGACGCTAGTGGGCGATGTTCATCTCGGATGGTGTGCGGTTTCTCTTGAATACTTATGCCGAGCAATAACTTGGAGGAGCTTTGAACCTGCAGATCTTGGGCATCCTGAACGAGAGTGCCCCGTCGTTTGAAAGGTGTCACCCACTGCTGTGCGAATTTACAGAATAGCTTGAGGTGGTGACCCTGAGTGCTGTGCGTTGCGGCCTTGCTGTTGTTGGTATAGGAAGCAACAGAGGTGCTATGACGCTGCGGCTGAAGGGTCAAAGACAGAGGCCCGAGTTAACTAGTACCACAGTAATCTTAGACTTACTGCAGGCGGTTAAATAGCACACCCGAGTTGCTGGATAGCGATACACAGGACAACCGAGCTCATACCTGGCCCTCATGAACCACTGCCCTGAACTGTCGACGTCGGATGACCTCACACGGAGATGAAACGGAAGCACGCAGCGCTGGCGGCCGAACAGAGCCCCAGCTCCCAGAGACGGGCGGCTTGCCAACACACCCCTGGCTGTCTACTCTCTTGAAACCTGACGGAGGCATATGAGTCGATTCCCAGCCGCTGTCATTCTCTTGCTCTGGCCCGCCAATCGACGGCGCCCAGTCCGGGGTCGAGCAGGCCCAGAATGGCAGGTTGTGCAGCGCTGGGATTGGCCCGCCTGGAGCCTACCACAGCGCCTTAACCCGCTGGCCGTGCCAGTGGGCCCCGGTCTAGCGCCTGCAGACAGCAGGGGGGAGGCCCTGCAAACCCTGGCTGGTGGTAAGTTAGCGCACTGGGGCGCTGGCTGGCTTGGCTGGAGTCGCTGGACCCTGGCGTCACTGCGTCTGCCAAGAATCTGAGACGCAGGGCATGTCGTCGCAACAAGAAAGTGACGAGACACGACACCACACTCCACGCACGCACACACTCACTCACTCACTCATTCCCGCTCTCTCATCCCACACGTTTCCCCGTGAGCTGACTCAAGCTGCCCTCCAGTCCAGCTATCACCCAACCCAGACCCAGTCAATGGGCAGCCCTTGATCCGCTTGCTGTCTTTGTGTGTTCCTGGAAAGAAACAAGCTTCTCGGCCCAGACCGTCGGGGCTGACTTGTATCGCCACAACCCTGCTTCGTATATCTCACCCTCACGTCGCCTATCGGGTCCAAGATCCCTAACCCATAAGATCACCTTGGGTCGCCCCTCTTCCCGTGTTTCGTCCAATCCTGCCCAAACTGCCACCCACGGCAACAACTGTTTCCCGTGCTTGTCCTGGAAAACCACCCCAAAGGTTACCAGAACACCATTGCACCCTTCGGTTCCAATAACCCAATATCTACACCCTCAAAAAAAAAAAATCATGGTAGCAATGACGGATTCTCCCGCTGCGGCGCCCGCCACGGCCCATGTGCCGAAGACGGACTCTACGACGACGTCAGACGTGCTGCCACCCACCGAGACTACAACGGCCACCACCAATGCCTCGGCCGCTGGAGCTGAAGCTCCCAAGCTCGATACCACAGCCGAGACTGCTGCCCCCGAGGCCAAGCCGCCCACATCACAGACAGAAGTGACACCCACAGCTCCCGTGGCCGCACCGGCGCCGGTGGAGAGCGCCAACTCTGCGAACGGCGCCGGCGCTGCCTCGTCGGCCACCTCGACGACCGTCGGCGGCGGCGGCCTCTCCAAGGATGAGGCGACCACCCTGGAGGACTTCCAGGGCGATGTGCAGACGAACAACAACCTGCCCTCGGAGGAGACCTTGAGGAAACTCGAGAAGTACACGGTCCTCGACGAGAGCGGCAAGTCGCATACCTTCAAGAGCTTATATACCGGCCCCAACGTGGCGCGGCGTGTGCTGATCATCTTTGTGCGCCACTTCTTCTGTGGTGTAAGTCTGCCCCCCCTTCGTGTTCATGTAACTGACTCCGGGAACACCCCGAGAGACAACATGGCAAGAATAGAACAAAATCCGCTGACTGACGCCTCTTTTTTCCCTCTCGCACAGAACTGCCAAGAATACCTGCGCACCCTCTCGGCCGCCATCACGCCCGAGGCGCTGCTGTCTCTGCCGGTGCCGACCTCGATCGCCGTCATCGGCTGCGGCAACCACAAGCTGATCAAGTCGTACCTGGAGGAGACGGGGTGCCCGTTCCCCGTCTACGCCGACAACACGCAGCACCTGTACCGCGAGCTGGGCATGCTGCGGACGCTGGCGGCGGGGGCGCGCCCGGCCTACATGGCGCGCAAGAGCATGGCGCAGACGGTCGTGTCGGGCATCACGCAGGCGCTGCGCCAGGTCAAGTCCGGGCTCGTGCTGCAGATGGGCGACCAGAAGCAGGTCGGCGGCGAGTTCCTCTTCGAGCCCGCCAGCCTCAGCCTCGACACCCCGATCGCCACCCCGCAGGACGAGCGCGCCGCCCCGGCCCCGCTCGACCTCGACGACCGCGCCAACGGCCACGACAGCGAGAAGAGCGAGGACAAGAAGATCACCTGGTGCCACCGCATGCGCAACACGCGCGACCACGTCGAGATCCCCGAGCTCAAGGACGTCCTGGGACTGACGGGCGGCGACGACGACGACGGTGCGGCGGAGGGGGACGCGAGGAAAGCGGCGCCCGGGACGGGGGCGGGCAGGCCGAGCGCCGAGGCCGGCCGGCATCACAAGGACCAGGAGAGGTGGGCCAAGGCGCTGCGGCAGCGCAAGGGCACGGGGCTGAGCATGGCGAGCCAGATGAGCCGCATGAGCCTGGACGCCAAGGCGGCGTCGGTCGCGGCCGGCGGCAAGGAAGAAGGGGGCGTCGTCAAGGAAGAAGGGGGCGTCGTCAAGGAAGAAGGGGGCGTCGTCAAGGAAGAAGGGGGCGTCGTCAAGGAAGAAGGGGGCGTCGTCAAGGAGGGGGTCCAAACGGAGAAGAAGTGAGGGTAATGTGAGGCGACGATGTGCGTATGCGACGAAAATATCATGGGCATGCTCTGTGGATGGAGCGAGTGTGTCAAAACTACGGTGGATAGGGGCGAGGTCAGCATCGGCATTGTGTCTTGTTTTTCTGGCGAAATACCTAGCGATCCTTATACTTTCGCGTCTTTAGATATTCCATCCCATTGGCAATGATACCTATTTTTCGTTCTCATTTGGACCCTGGAAAGGCATCACCTGGGTCGGTCACACGAGAGAGCGAGACCAGGCACACATGAACAAGCAGTGGGGGAAAAAAAAGGAATGAGCCGGCAACATGCAGTAAACGAGTGTGTATTAATGAACGTGTGTGGGTGACGAAAAATAACCATGGTCAATCTATCCACCATCAGCGCGTGTGATGGCGTCTGTACGCGCAAGCACCGGAGCAATCAGTTCAGGCCGGCTGCCGGTTCGGTTTCCGGCAGGAGCTTTGTCCGCCCGTTGCAGGTCGCTCGGTGCAGGAGTAGCAAATAGCTATTGTCCAGTCGCAAGCCGCGGCCGGTGGCGGCGGCAGCAGTAGTTGGTGCCGTACCTCCTCGCAAACACAGCATCTCCTTCTGGGGGTGATACAGCACTGAGTGATCACACTCCCGAGCTCTCCGCATCCGTACGAGCACGAGGTCTATCCTATCCCGTTGGGCGGAAGACCGTTCCTCGAGGGAAGTCCATTTCTCCCGCAAGGGGACGAAGTCTCCGGCTCGGGGTGCACAGCAAAGGCAAAAATTTCGCAGATTGCCCTCCTGACGGGTTCACCGAGCCACCGTACGTCTCCGTCGATGTTTGTGCAAACCGCGGGGTCAGGGGTAAAGTCCAAGTTCGTTGCAGCACCGACCACGATGCCCGACGAGGAGCATCTTGTCTACTTCCGCCTTCCTTTGATGAATTTGGCTGGAGTATGAGTCTTCTCGAAACTGGCCCAAGATAGACTCCAGTCATCCGATTGATGTCCTGGAATGAGTCGACGTAAATTCAACTGACGTACAGAGGGAGCCCACTGTCGAAATCGATAGCCAATCAATCAAATCCACCGCCAATCTGGCTTGCGAAGGCAGTACTGATGGACTTCTCGTCATCATCGTAGCGACGTCCGTAGCCGTTGGAGTAACCGGGTCGGCCGGAGTTCTCAACGTACTGCTTGAGGCGATCAGAATGAGTGAAGGAGGTAGGCCGGGCCCGAAGTGCGTCCTGAAGACCAGAGCCCAGACTAACGCCGCCCTGGCCAACACCCTTGGCACCAATCACGCTGGCACTGGCATCAGTGTACTCAGAGGTGGCAACGCTTTCGCCAGCAATGCTCTCGGTGCCGCGACCGCCTCTCTTACCTCCGATCCGGCTGCTCGAAGCGTTGAATCCAGGAAGACCAGGCCATTGCTCGGGGTTGAAGGACGAGAACATCTGCGGGAATGCGGTGTTACCGAGGCCGGCGCCTCCCAAGGTAGAGCTGTGGATGCTCGAAACATCGTCGGGGATGAAAGACATCATCGAGCCAGAGTCAAAGTCCTGCACAGAGGAAGGCCCATTGAAGCCGGGCCCAGAACGGCCGTTGGCGAAGCCGCTGGAACCGGATCCGTACGAAGCCTGGTGAGGTCGCTGGCGGAACGTGTTCTTGGGCTTGCTGAACTGAAGGAGGGAGGTCTGCAGGTTGGTCAGGGGTCCCTCTACCAAGCACTTCTGCTCCTTGAAGTGGACAAGGAGGTGATGCCACAGCTCATGTTTTGCCAGAACCTTTGGATTGCCGATAATGACAAGACCATACTTGGCACGCGTGAGTCCGACATTGAGACGACGAGGGTCTGACAGGAAACCGATGCCCTGGTTGTCGTTGGACCGCACGCAAGACAAGACAATGAAGTCCTTCTCACGACCCTGGAACGCATCGACGGATGCAACCTCGACCTCCTTGTAGGCATCTTTCTTGAAAGTTCCGGTATTCTGCATGGTTTGCACAATGTAACTGCGTTGACCCTCGTACGGAGTGATAACTCCAATGTCGGATGGGCGGACGCCCGCCTTAAAGAAGCGCGTCACAACCTTTTCCACGTTCGACGCCTCGGTTCGGTTGAGGTACGATGTGCCGGAAGCTGAGATCTCCTCATTGCCCAAGTTCGACCACATCATCATCGGCATCTCTGCGACCGGCCAGGGGAAGTCCACGTCCTTGCGAATCCTGCTCGGGGCAGACACGCCGTTCTGCAGGGAGCCCTCGTAAAACATGTTGGAGGGGAACTGCGAAAGACAAGGGTGCATACGGTACTGGATGTTGAGACGGATAGGCGTGAAGCCAAGTCTCACAAGACGTTCGAAAAGAGACTGGTTAAGTCCGGCCTTGGCAGCCTTCTTGTTCATGATGACGGGGCCCAATTGTTTGTGATCGCCGACCAACACAACTTGCTTGCATCCCAGGACCAGAGGAATCATGCACTCGGGCTCTGCAGACTGGGTCGACTCGTCGATCAAGACATTACGGAACTTCATCTTCTGGAGACGGGGATCTCCAGCACCGACACAGGTGCAGCAAACGACATCGGCATTGCTCAGAATCTCGCGCTCGGCGGCGCGGGTCAGCTGTTTGAATTTCTTCTCATCCTGGCTCGAGAGCTCTCCAGCGGCGGCCTTGAGCTGCGTGAGCTTCATCAGCTCTGGGTTGGAGTCCAACATGCGGACCTGCTCATGGAGGGCAAGGAAGCTGACGGAGGACTCGACATCCTCACGGGATTTGGCGGTCAATCGCACCACCTTGAGACCGGTAAGGTTGATGCGCTCGCAGAGCTGGTCAACAGCAACGTTGGAAGGCGCGCAGACGAGGACCTGGCCGTTGTTCATCTTGGCCAAATGGTAAATGATGGTAGCGGAGGTAACGGTCTTTCCAGTACCGGGCGGGCCCTGAATCAGACTCAGGGGTGTCGACAGGACATTCTTAATGGCGCTGATCTGGCTGCCGTTCAGCTCCGGAAGACCGGGGACGCTGAACTTCTTAGGCAGGTTGGTCTTCATGGGGGCGACGGCAACTTCGTGGCCGAGCAGCTTGTGGAAGATGTAGCCAGACACGCTCATCTCGTCAACGGCGAAGGTCTTCATGGCGGCCTGCATGCGGTCGTACGAGGTGGCCTTCCAGACGTAGTCGGCGGCGAAGTTGTGAGTGCATTCGGTTGGGACCGACTTGTCGTTGCCCGTCTTGCGCAGTTCCAGAGTGACCTCGTCCGACTGGTTGTTAGGAATCTTAATCACATAACCAACACCTTCCCAGGGAGCGCGAAGCTCTCCCTTGTACTTGAGTCGCATCTCGTCACCAACGGCGAGCTTCACATCGCCAGACTCAAGCTTGGGGAACGTAAAACTGGCCAAGTGCTTGTTATTCAACCCCAAATCCCAGCGAACGACCAAGCCATCCTCAGACTGGGCCTCCTTGAGCTTCTTGTCGTAGTCGGACTCCATCTTGACGAGGGGACCAAAGATGTTCTGGTATTGGAAGGGGTCCTCGTACTTGAGAAGGACAGGGTGGGGATCGTCGTCGACGCTGGCCGCCTTCTCCAGGTCAGCCACGGTGGCCGAGGCGTTGTCCTTCCACATCTCCTCGAGCCGGGCGATCATGGGCGGGGTCAAGTGTCGAGCACGGAGCTGCTCGTTGTCGCTCGGGGGTGACACAAGCCAGGGGAGAAAGCCGCGGTCCTCAATGAGAGGCTGCCAGCGGGAGATGTCCCAGCTCATGTCCTTGGTCGAGGTGGAAGCGGCGCAGGGCTGTCGGCACAGCAGAACGACGACGGTGTCGGACTTGGCGGGGATGAAACCGAGGAGGAAGACGTTCTTTGTGCCGCAGTTGTAGCACTCGAGAATGGTGTCGCCGAGGGCGGATTCGGGGTGGAGCTGGACCTCCTTGTGTCGGGCGCGGACCAGATGGTTGACGATGTGCGAAGAGCTAGCATTGCCACGGGCGCTGCAGAACCACTTGTTGCAAGCGAGACACTTGACGACAGAGCCGGGAGAGTGAATACCGCAGTAGCTACAGGGGGGTGTCAGTATACACACAGAAGAGGATGAAGAGGGGGTAAATTATCGAGGCACGTACGCGCAGGCGTGGGCGGGCAGGTCCTTCTCCTCCTCAGGGTTGTTCCTGAGGCTCATATCCTTCATGGCGCCCACGGGGACGCTGGCCATGCTCATGTCATCGTCGTCGTAGGCGGCCTCGGTGCCGTTGTCATCGTCGTCGCGACGGCGGGCGGCTCCTAGGCCCTTGCGGCCGGGGTACTTGCCGTACAGCAGGCTCTCATCGTGGTCGAGGGCTGACAGATCATCGTCGCCAGCATTGATGGCAGCGGCCGAGTCGGAAATCAGGTGGTTGCCGACGTGGGTAAAAGCACCCTCCATTGCTGGGCCTGAGCCTGGGCCGGGGCCGGGGGCGAAGTTGGGGAGTCGACCGCGGGTAGATGCTACCTTCTGCCGGGGATAGTTAGTCGCCATGACCAGCCCAAGCGCACAACATGGCAAAGGAAGAAAAAGAACGGGGGGGAGACTTTGAATCGTGGTGTAGAGCAGGTGTAGAGGCGTGGGTGAGACAAACCTCGCAGGTCGGCGGCGCCAGAGGCTGGTCTCCGAGAATTTGGACCGGTCAGGCCTGGGTCTGGATCGGCGTAAGGAATGGGTTGGTGGTTGCGGGAGAGCAGAAAATCGGGCGATCACATTGCCGTGCCGCCAAGTCGTAAGGGAGGAAGGACGTCGCAGGTGGCAGGCCTTTCACGCGATCGCGAGGAGCGCAAGCGGTGACGGGAGAAAGGCGCAGTGCAGAGACAGCCGGCGTGTCTGGGGCGGAGAGAAGGGAAGACGAGGTGAGGTGAGGTGAGGTGAGGTGAGGTGAGGTGAGGTGAGGTGAGGTGAGGTGGGATTTTGGGGCAAAATGGAAATGCGCTTCTGACGAAGTTTAGGTGCGTCCGGTCCGTCGATGGAGTGCGGCAAGGCCACGGCCCAGCACAACCCAAGAACTAATACCTAAGTTAAGTACTGTAAGTACTCAAGGTGGGCTGCTGCAGCACCTGCTGGACCGCTACAATAGCGGGCCCAAACCACCACAGCGAACCCCCCCAAGGGGCCCCCCGATAAGGGGCGATAGCGCGGGTAGCGGACTTTCCAAGCCCCGATAAGGCCCAGGCACAGTAGGATTTGCGCCCCATCCCTGTCCATGGAGGGAGAAGGGGAGAAGAAAAAAAAAGTTCCCAGGCAAAGCTCCCAGAGGGGCACCACTACCGTCCGATAACGCGCTTATCGGTCTATCAGATCTCCAGCGACAGCACTTTTTTCTTTCTCCAGCGCCGCAGCGAAGCACCAGCTGGATATAGAGCACCATTGACACCGCCCACCAACACTTGACGGACAGACACATTCGCCCAGCCCACAGTTCTTGTTCGTCAATACCGCAATCATGATTGTAAGCAGAAGAACTCATATTCGCACCGTCCGCCTCTGGTTCATAGCTAACCCCGGACGTCTTACAGCGCAAACAAGCCCGTCAGAGGCGCGACTACCTCTACCGGCGCGCCATGCTGCTGCGCGATGCCGAGATCAGCGAGAAGAGGGCCAAGCTGAGAGCCTCCCTGGCCACTGGCAAGTCGCTCGACCCGACCATCGCAAACGACAAGGAGCTCCGCAAGGACTATGCCTACGACGAGTCGCGCGACAAGACCACCGCCGAGGAGCTCGACCTGGACGACGAGTACTCGCAGCTGTCTGGCGTCGTCGACCCGAGAGTCCTGGTCACGACCAGTAGAGATCCCTCGGCTCGACTGGCTGCCTTTGCCAAGGAGATCAGATTGCTGCTGCCCACCGCCGTCCGCCTCAACCGTGGAAACCTGATCCTCCCCGACCTGATCAGGTCCGCTCAGTCTGCCGGCCTGTCCGACGTTATCCTGCTGCACGAGCACCGTGGAACGCCCACCGCCCTGACCCTGAGCCACTTCCCTCACGGGCCTACCATCAGCTTCTCGCTGCACAATGTCGTCCTGCGCCACGATATCCCCAACTCCATCCGCGGCACCGTCTCCGAGTCGTATCCCCACCTCATCTTCGACGGCTTCACCTCCAAGCTGGGTCTGAGAATCGTCAAGATCCTGAAGCACATCTTCCCGCCCCGGGACCCGCTCACGAGCAAGACCAAGCTCGGCAGCCGCATAGTGACTTTCAAGAATATTGACGACACCATCGAGGTCCGCCACCACGTCTTTGTCCGTACCGGTCACCAGAGCGTCGAACTCTCCGAGGTCGGCCCACGCATGTCCATGCGTGTGTTTGAGATTCGCAGCGGAACGCTGGAAAACAAGGACGGCGACGTCGAATGGCACCTCAACCAGTACACCAGAACTAGCCGCAAGAAGGATTACTTATAAGCGAATGTCGGACCCCGTCTTTCCGGCTGACGAGTTGGATCCGCGTATCGCTCTGTTTCTGATACTAAAGAAATATGTGATTGACGGACGAATGGTGAAATTCGTGACGAACCCAGGCATACCTCCACACGATGGAGTAGCAGCCCTGGATACCGGGCTCAAGGTGTCCACTGACGTAACGACCCCCTAGAGCACGCAGCAATTCGGCGAGCGTCCAGTCCCATAGGCAATTTGCCATGTTGAAGGGGTCATCCGGTGACGGCTATCACCATGGAAAGAAGTAGGAGGACGAGGAGGATGAGGAGAAGCGGTGTGCTGTGCTAGATGCATCCTGGTACACAGCATGCCACGGTCAGAAATCTAAGCTGATATATAAGATCTGACCTGGGGCCTTGATTTACCATGTCGACCGGATGAACATGGAATTCGCCCGACAGAGAAAACATTCTCGTCGAATCTAAAAGAGAATTACGAGGAGTGAAAAGGGCGCAGAGGGTCAAACTGTCTTATCGCGAAACATTCGAAAGAGGCTCTTCCAGAGGGCCCAAATCGACCTTCTGTCGACAACTACAATGATAGCCAAGTCGGGAATACTGGACCTGGGCCTGGAGACATTAGGCGTGGGAGAACAGGTCAGGCCGCTCCGCTCGCACCTTACGAGACGCTCTGGGATATTCGTGAGGCACCCGCAGTCGCGTGAGGGTATCAATATCACTAGGTAGACAGCTACAGAATCAATGAATCCAACAAGAGTAATTTTTCCAGTTCGATTCCCGATACCCAGGTTCAGACTGTTATGGGCATGGTCACAGGTTCCGGCCAACACACATCCAACCAGAATGATGAATGTTCAGGTCGACACTATTCAGTAGTCCTTCGAATTGTTGCCGCCTTTTCAGGCAACAGTGAAGGGCAGATATTGCCCAATGAGACTCAAGCACAGCGTACTTGTACTGATCTGATGGTTCAAACTGTAGCATATGGGTGCCTGGCTAGGACCTCAGGAACTGGAGGGGTGAAGGCCAGCCGGAAGCCGAACCTCCTAACAATACTGCTTTTGCCAGTAGAAAGGCGAACTATAAGTGTGACTGGCAAGTATGGACGTGGTGGAATGCGAAAACGAGTCGGAAGTGGATCCTTGGCGCTCTGCTTCAGCATCGCTCAACTCGTCGGTCTTTCCAGCAGTAATACAGAACTCCTGCGGCGAAAAGGCGACGACGCCGCTCTGGTGTCTCGTAAGGCTAGCTGGGCGTTCACACAGCCACCAACGGTGACGACTGAAAGGCAAACGCTACGAGTAGACACAGCCAATCCCGGGCCTGGGCTATGCTTATTTTTGGCTACAGCGATCGCTTGAATCTCGGCGCCCGCTGCGGTTCCTGATCGGCACAGCACCTGCATGGCCATTTTCGCGGCGGCTCAAGACTGTCCGCGGATTCCACCTGCTGCGGCGCCCTACCCTGCCAGCCTGCCGCCAGCCAGCTAAGTTAGTTGCCTGCTGGAACTGGTAGTTCAAGTGTGTGCGTACAGCAGGAAAAGCTGTGTTGTACCTTGGCCACCCGACTCTTCTGACCCCAAGCTACGTTAGCCACCGCAGTCGACAGTACCCAGCGCTACGCCCCAGTTGGGAACGGGCGACTCGGAGAGAGAAAACAGACTTTTAAGTAGAACGGCATTGCCTCATCATCAATCAGATGTGAGTGTGTGAATTTCTCCGAATTGTTCTGTCATTCTCACTCAGTCATTCCCAATTGCCCCTCCCCCTGCTCCCCCTTGGTCCATTGGGTTGCCATATACGGAGAACCAACATACCTGCATTTTCTGCTGTGTACACGGCGGGCCCCATTAGAGAAGAAGGAAACAAGTTTCAAGTAGACAGAAGAAAACGACGGGGTTGTTTCTGTCGCCCTGCCGCTAGGAAACGAGACGTCATTTCCTTCTGGGCCCCCCAGACCCGGGTCTATCCAATCTATCCAATCCGTCCAATCCATACCAGTGCTGGTACCGTAGCGGCCGAGCTCAGGGCAGGCTGCCAAGCAGAGCAGAGCAGAGCGGCGGGCAGCTTCCTCATTCATTCCCGTCAGCATCAGCCAACGGAATTCTCTGAAGGGCTGATCATCGCCTTCATCTCCCGGCCTGCCACCACTCTCGCATTCTCCCGCACAGACTCCCGGGCGCGCAACCCGCTATTCTGCCTCTTGCAATTTCCTGCGACGAAACTCTTCAGCAGTTGACATCATTTGCTCCCAGTAAACAACCACTGAGAACACGACGCCGCAGACAGACAGGCAGCTAAGACATCATGTCGTACGGCAATCAGTACCAGAGCAATCCCTACGGGGACGCCGAGCAGGGCGGCTACAACAACTACGGTGGTCAGGTAAGCAGCGCGGGACCTTGACGTCGACGTCCGTTGTTGCGGGCCAGTTGCAGTTGGGCGAAAACATGCGCTGCAGCTGATGGCCGCCGACGACGACGGACGACGATGACACCAGAAAAATGGCCGTGGGAAAGGAAACCTAGCTGACAGTCTACGACCCCAGGCTACCGAGATGCAGTCGTACCCTCAGCAACAGACCTCCGACACCCTCTCGCAACAAGACTTCCTGCAGCGCGTCGGCCAGCTGCGCGAGCAGGTCGGCACCATCACCACCAATGTCCAGGCAATCGCTTCGCTGCACCAGCGGGCCCTGGCCGAGTCCGACGGCGGCCTCTCGTCCCAGCAGCTGGAGCGCATCATCTCCGAGACCCAGGCCCTGAACGCCGGCATCCGCGACCAGCTGGCCTTCCTCAACTCGGACGCCAACCGCACCACCGACGGCAGCAAGAGCATGAAGCGGCAGCAGGTCAACACCATCAAGGCCAACTTCGAGCGCGAGCTTCGCAGCTACCAGCAGGAGGAGAACAGCTACCAGCAGCGCTACCGCGACCAGATCGCCCGTCAGTACCGTATCGTGAACCCTGACGCAACCGAGGATGAGGTCCGCCAGGCCACCGAGGCCGACTGGGGCAACGAGGGTGTTTTCCAGACTGCTGTATGTTGCCCGCCGTCATCCCATCTGCTGAAATACCCTTCGTCCTGACCCTATACTGATCATCCTCGCAGCTGCGTACCAACCGTACCGGACAGGCTACTTCGGTCTTGGGGAACGTCCGCGCCCGTCACAACGAGCTCCAGCGCATCGAGCGCACTCTTATTGAGCTGTCGGCCATGTTCCAGGATCTGGCCATGCTCGTGGAGCAGCAAGAGGTTGCCGTGGTGGCCGCCGAGCAGAACGCAGAGAACACCACCAAGTACACCGAGGAGGGCAATATGCACGTAGGAAAGGGTATCAAGAGCGCTCGCAACCGCCGTAAGCTCAAGTGGTGGTGCCTCCTCATCACCATCCTCATCATTATCATCGCCGTCGGTGTTGGTGCCGGTATGTACCCCTCACCTCACATTCGTTGACTTAGCATAAATGCTTATATTGTGTCTGCAGGTGTGGCTTGCTCAAACGGACTCTGTGGCGGAAACAAGAAGCAATGATTTCACCCATCGTGAGATGGGTTCGCGATGATACCACGCCACCGTTCTCGGCCTTCCGTGAGCAGAGGATGAATGCTCGTGTCCCTCTATGGAGATGCAGGCCATGGGGTGGGCGACGAGAAGAAAAGAAAAACAGCAACGACCAGGTTGTGACACCCATTTGAACTTGGATGTCATCTTGCACTACTAGACTCACCTTAATTCTTGGCAACACCGTCACGGCATCTGATACAACATGAACGGATAGGAGCCTCTAATGCATTATTCTTTTGTACGTATAGTACCTTTTTTGTTTTCCTTTCTTGAGGAGGGGCAGGGACGCCCTGGGGCCGGGTATGATGAAATTTGGATGTCCAAGGAGGGTATTGACCCCCGTGTCCCTTTGGAGCTACGCGAAACTGTAGATAGTGAAAATTGATTCATCATTGCATGGACGTCAGTTTACACGCTGTCGGGGAAGGTTTACATCCGTGATCTCAGGCCATGTTTCTATAGCCACGTCCTGTCCGCGAGGAACTACTCGCCTGTATCCGCCGAATAGGCCTTGTACCAGTACTGGTAGATGTATCATATCAACATATAGTTGATCCAGCACCCTCATCCAAGGCCCTCCTCCGTACAGCTGTGCCCGTTTCCCTCTTCCACACCCTCCCACCTCATCGTGCGTCTCACCGTCCTGCGATCTCCAGGTTCCAAAACCTGACCTCCAGCCCTCCCCCTTCGCCCGCCCGGCCCTCGGGATCCGGCCTCGCCGCAAAAGCGCCGACCCACGCCGCGCTCTCGTCGCCCTCCGCCACCACGCGGTCCTCGGCGTCGAGGAACACCCACGGCACCTTGCGGATCAGCGTCTTGTGCTCGCCCCCCTCCTCCCCCTCCGCGCCGTCTGCGCCGCCGCGCTGCCGCACGTGGTGGACCAGCAGCGCGTTCTTGGCGCGCTCCAGCTCGATCGTCACCGCGACCTCGCGGCCCAGCCCGGCTCCGGCACCCTCGGCGTCCGGCAGCGCCCCGAGGCTCCAGTCGCACCAGCCGCCGGCCGTCTTGGTGACGACGCTGAGCCAGACGGCGCCGTCCTTGGCCTCGAGGCCGGCCTTGACCCAGGCGCTGTGGCGGCCGACCTGGCCCGGGCGGCCGTCGGCGTCAGAGGACGAAGCGCCCAGGAGCAGGGCCAGGCCCGCGTGGTCGTACTGCAGCGCGGGCGTGTACGCGAAGGACACGCGGGCCCGGGTAAAGGCGGCCAGCGGCCGGGCCGGGGCGCCGAGCACCGCTGGCGCCGTGAAGATGTAGCGCGGGGCCGGCACGGGCGAGGCGTGGATGTCTGTCTTGGAGGGGGCGGTGAGGGTGAAGGCGGCTGGGTCGAAGGGGGTTGATGAGGTGGAGGGGGGAGAGGGCTGGTTTATGTGTATAAACCCCGGCGCTGCGGACGACATCTTATGATTGGGGCCTGGAAAGAAGGAAGATGTGTTGTGTGTTACTGGTGTTGGTGTTCTGGGTGTCGCGCTGTGAATTGACTTGTTTGCTCGGGTAGGTGTTCAACGGGGAGTTTCAGTTGGTCAGTCAATCCAAGCAATGGATGGAACTTCTGTTGCCTTTTGTTAATTATCTTTGTATTTGTATGCTATAGGCCCTGTTGTTACATAAAAGGGTGATCTGGCATGATGATTAATACCGGTTGTAGTAGAACCTTCTTGCGGGGCATCAAAGAGCCAAGTCTGGAGTTAGCCATTGACAGCCCCTCATGCAGCTATTTTGAAAGAGCCAAGCTTGAGACTAACATCTTGTGTTGCTGCGGGCGTCGTCGAACGATGTAAGCACTTATTCTGGTATAGAGCTTGGCGGCATGCAAAGGTGACACATTTGTGGAGAAAGTATACCGAGGTCGGTATCTATGTGAGTCCCGTATGATTATGAAACACTGAAGTCCAGGTATTGTTGGACACAGCCAAAACTCCTTTGCTATGATGATTCAAAGAGAATATCCCCTGTATGGTATAGAGGTGACGCCTGCTATTCGTCAAAATTCCAGCGCCTTTTCATGTTCATGGTTCTAATGAACAATCCCGTCAAGGACTTCAAACCCAAACGAAACTGTCCTGTCTTGAAGGATGTTACTGCAGGAGCATCGCATCCTCATCCAATCTCCCAAAAAGAGCTTCGACTTCTGTCTCTACGTTTTTGAGTTCCTTGGCGACCTGGCCAGTAACCAGAGCGTATGCATACAAAAGAGCATAATCTGGCTCTTCAATGGTAATGTTTCCGAGCTTGGGGACTTCTCCCATGGCGCCTAGCATGGTGCTCGTGCCCTTACCATTGCCGTTCTGATTCTGCTTCATGTTCTCACCGGCCTCCTCCCAGCCGCCATTGTGTTCTTTTCTGAATCGGAATATTTTGCCGAGCAGTCTGTCTCGGGTACCGAGCACGCTAGGAATTGCGTCCGTGAGAGGGTACTCGAGCATGATGCTACTGGCCAACACCTGGAAGACGTGGCATATACGGGAGCACAGCTCGGCACGCTCGTGGGCCGTGTGGTACAGCAGGGCCTTTTCTCCTTCGCTTAGCCTCCCATGCTTTTGCGTCACCAAGCTCATAGCATGGAAAGCATCGAGCAGGCGCTGGGTTGAGGCCATGACGCGGGCGTAGGCTTGTGTAGGAAACGGCCCTCGGAGCTCGTACTCATTAGCGGCAGAGGCCCGAAGAGTCTGTAGCTGGTTGGCGTAGCGCTGCATCGCAGCCTGCTCGCCCATCTTCATATAGCTGTCGGTAGCATCGCTGCGGAGCAGGATAGCAAGTGGGCCTCGCTTCCATATTAGGCCCATTTGCAGATACAGGACGCAAACGCCATCCTTGAATTTGCGACGGGCAGAGACCGGCCATATCACGCGGCATACAATGAGACCCCAGAGAATACCAAGGGAAACAGCGACGACTCTGTGATAGGCAATTGTTTGAATGACAGGGTGAAGCCCGCCTTCATCGTCATCATCATCGTCCACCTTCTGGGTTAGCGAATAGGCGTAGAGTGAAGATACGTTGTAGGTGAGGAGGATGAACCGACCGAACGGCGCGTTGCCTCGATCAATGGTGATGTAAAAGGCGAGGAACGACACTGCCCAACCGAAGATTGCGAGCGGGATCGCGTCACCTCCTGAAATCCACCAGCTGATGATCACAAAGCCAGCCCCCATAAGAGTACCGACAAATCTGGCAAAGCCTGTGGTATTCGAGGCGCCGACAGTCATGCTGCAAACAATCATGAACGACAGTAGACCCCATTCGCCTCGCCAATGCTGGTAAATGGGTCTCGTCTCGGGAATGAAGGCAAACATGGCGTAAAGAGTAGCTCCTATGCCAACCTTTAAGCCAAAACGAACTGTTCAAAACAATATTAGCTTAGCTTCCTTGACCAGCACAAAGGCTACACTTACCATCGTCCCTAGCGAGAAAGCGGAATAGTTGCAAGAGATGCTGAGAGATCCACTTCCTGGCGGCACTGACTTGAGGTTCGGCATCCCAAGCAAACGTATCACGCGGGCGAGTCATACTATCTGGTATGCCACTGGGCATCTTGGATCTTCGTAACGGTCTGACTGGGGGCACCAGAGACAGCTGCTCGGGGTCCCGCGGGTCAGACTTGGACCTAAAGGGAATGTATCTCCAGAGTTTCAGGAAATTCCAAGTCCGCTTGTCCTGCTCGGTAACGTACTTCAAGTCGTCGAGAGAATCCAGATACCTTTGCATCTCGTCGGCCAGACTAAGGAGACTAAATGAAAAGTGCCCACATGCTGCCGCTACCTCCTCGTAGTCGGCTTGCACATTCTCCGGTCTCGACTTTTCAAGTTCGATGACCCTGTATAACTCCTCGAGTGCCTTGCCTCTTTGGCTGTTGAATAAGGCTATGGCGTCAGAAACACTCTGCTTGAAATTCTCGTTTACGGTAATTGGTGAGCCAGGGGCACCGAATGGGGGGTCTCGCAGGATCTCCGATAGCGTGTGAACAAGCGATTTCATGGAAGGGCCAAGGCGGGTGATGAACAACTCGAATATATCGGATGGTGACCTGAAAGCTCCTGGGGACATGATGCTCGGGTCGAAATAGCTCTCGCTCAGTGGTGTCGGCTCGTCTTCCCTATCACTGCGCTCATCCGGAGCTTCATCGATGGCCGACAGCACCGCAAATCTGCTGCTGCTCTTGAAATGCCCCGGCGTCGTCCGGCCGGGCGAAGGGATGAAAGCATCCGCGCCGGGCGATGCTGTTTGATTCCCGAAAAGGCCGTCTGTCTTCTCCTTCAGAAGCTCGAACTGGGTATTGGCAGCACTTCTCAGCCCCCCAAGAGACTGGGCGAGCCGTTCCATCGACCTCACAACAGCCTTGTCTTGTTTGTAGATCTCCTCGCGGCCCAGTAGATAGTATTCGTACTTGGATTCCCGCAGATGCTTGTTCATGGTCGTCAACGTGGAGGTAAAAGAAGCCGACGTCTTGGCGAAGCCCTTTGAGGACAAGTCTTCCTCAGCACCGCTTAGGAACCCTCCCGTGATCATGGACAGCATTTCGCCAAGATTGACCGAGGCACTCCTCATCGCATTCCGGAGACCAAACCGTGCCGAGACGGGCCACAGCAGGAGGTTGACCAAGGTGGATGTGGTGGTTGCTATGAGCAGGATCTTGAGAGATTGGATGATCTTTTGGTTGGTGAAAACGCCGGTGTGGACTGAGTTCTCCTTGGTTACGATGGTGATGATACCAATGGACGCTATACTGGCACCGACACTAACGAGAGGGTTGTTCAACCTCTGCTTCACCCAGCCGACAAATCCCAGGCCGCCGCCGATGAAGACGATCAGAATCAGGGCATACGACAGCTTGACCTGATCCCAGACGGACCCGACGAGGACCGATGTTCCCATGGACAAGGTGCCAATGAACATGGCGTACAGGACGGCCACGACGGCACAAGCGACCGCCTCGACCTGCGAGCCTGCAGTCCTGGCCGGGTGGAAGTACACGGTGATGGTGGCAACGATGTGTTTCCCGTCCATGGGGCCGAGCGCCGCCGCGAATGGGGCATAGAAGGTCCACAAGCTCGCCAGCAGGTAGGCCACGGAGCATTTCAAGGTGCCCCGTCCCTTGGGGGATTTGAACCACTCCCACAGGTTGCGGGCGACAACCAGGCCGTTGTGCATGGCGGCCTGCATCCTCTCCATGGCGGTCTCCTGCTCGACGAGGGAGCGCATCTCGTAGTCGCCGGAGCCATCGGTGAAGGCATCTCGGAGGGTGAACTGGCGGCGCGTCCGCTCGCCGGTGCCAGGAATGATCCAGGTGCCGTTTCGCAGCTTCTGTCGCCGGGGCATCTCTGGTCAGCTCGGGCGCGTCGACGGAAGCATGGGTTGCGACGGGCGGAGGATGGCAAGCAGATGGGGCCCAACGAAAGGAAGAGAAGAGAAGAAAAGACTACACATACACTTCGCGCTGGCGGGCGGGCTCGCCGGGGCGGCCAAGGATTCGAGGAGCTTGAAGCTCCAGCGCTAGTCGCGTCACTCATCAGTCGTCTTGGCCCCTGCTGGGCTCTCTCCAGACTGGTGGTTGGGTCTGCCTAGGAACCTCTGGAGCGGCCGGTTCTCGACCGCGTCATGGTCGCAAGGGCGTGAGAGCTGTCGGTCGGGGAGGAAACGCAACAGGATGCTATGCCGTTCGAAAGACAGCGGGCAGTATCCAAAAACGTACTTGTGTCTGTACTATGCGCAATGCAGAGCTACCTAAGAAGTTACGGGTAAGATCAGGTCACACCTGGAGGCTCGAGGAGGATGGACGCTACCGTGCCTCAAGATGCGCTGGCGGCGCCCGTCGTATGCGCTAACGCCTCCGGGTTATTGGTACATACATACCTTTCGGCCCCCAAGCAACCTGGAACCAGGCTGCCCAAAGGCGTGTAACGAGCAAACTGCAAGGGTGCCCACCAGCCCACCTGCCCACCAGAATCGTCACATCGCCCGCCAGGAGTGGGGTATGGGCCCCGTCCAGGGCGCGTCATCCCGCAGCTTCTGGCTGGGTTGGTTGCATGTCGTAGCTGCAGAAAGCGGCAAGGTGCCGCCAAGGCTCTTTCGGCCGCGAGGTAACGGCTCTAGCGCCGACACGGGGGCTGGGTTACGCTCTGGTAACTCTGCCGGCCATTCTCATTGGCAACCCGGGACTTCATCTCCCACTCTTCCCCTTCTTGACTGCCATTCACCTGGAGTGCTATACTGTAACTACCTAACTTACAAGTGTCTTTACAACCATTTCCCTGTGGATTGTACGTACCAAGCCGGCAATACTTCAAGGCCGTCCCCCGTTGGATATCCTCGACGCATTTGTCCTGGACACTCGACATCATGGCCAACCTACCGTCTCAGCACCCCAACCTCTCCCTGCACATGGTTGATCGCACTCTCACCCCCTTGATCACCTCATCTCGAACACAAGACCAGTTGCAGTCGCTATCCTCGGTGTCTCAAACCGCGCTGCTGGCCCATGAGGCTGCATTCCGCCTTGGGCTTGGTGCTCCACAGAGGGTTATGGTCGAGCATGGGCCGAATGGTCCTGTCTTGCTTCACTCATATGTCAGCCGCGCAGCTTCCAGCATGGCTCAGGAGACACCATCGCCCAGGGTCGTTCAGATTGACGGCGAGGCTGGCGAGCGTGCTGGGGGAGGAAGCTCGGCAGCATTCGCACCAGGCCACGTTGAGTCAGATGAAGACGCCGTTGCGCCTATGCTAGTAGGCACCGTCATTGCCCCGAGCGCGGACTCGGCACTCGAGGCTAGGCGCGCTGCAGCACGGCTGGAGAGGGTTGGAAGAGAGGTCCAGACGAGATGGGCTGAGATGCAGCAGCAGGATCAGTCGACCGCCAACAGGTCGTAACCTCACGCACTGGGAGATTCTCGCCAGACGATGCCAATGCTGGATGAAGCATTTGATGCTCTGCGATGGAGATACAACATGCCCATCTGCCCACTCAGGCAGTGCAAGCAATATGGATTTGGTGCGCCGCTCAGTATCGGGGCTCGAGCACGCTCTTATCACGCTGTTGGCGCCTTCACCTCCTGATTCACGGCCTTAATGCCACCTCTCACACGGACAATGCCCTACACGTGATACTTGGTGCACTGGCAATCGGCGACTGTGTACTTCCTGCGGGAACGATGCTAGTCAACAGGACTGCTGATTCGAGCTGTTGCTTTAGATGGACTGGCAGAGACCCGTCCCATCGCTTCATCGTTGGTGCACACGGTCGGCAGAGGGTGAGGCAACGACAGTCCTTCCAAGTGACTGTCGATGACCATCGACGGCCATCGCCGGCGAAGGAGGATTCCGCTGGGCGATGGGTGAATGAAAGATATCGGTGCCACCTGGGATCAAACTGCAGTCATCTGTTTGCATGACTTTTCCTGGTTTTAATCTTCTCACTCCAGATGAGAAAGCTTGGAAAAGCATGTTTCCTACGACTGTATAATCAAGGCCCATCGCGAACTCTGTTTCTATCGTTTCCGAAAAACGCGTTCCAGGCGCAAATTTCATCAGTTATTTGAGCCTGCCTTAGGGGTGTCCTCGCTCCTTCTGGTCATCAGCACCATATCGTACGCGTTCTTGCCTCTACCGTTGAGCTGCAGGCCGCTATTGTAAGTAATAGCGGCACCTCAGGATGTCGCAAGACGATCAGATGAACCCTCATCCGACCAAACCCAAGGACAACATCAGCGCCAGGAGCATATTTGGCGACGGCAGTGCTCTTGTTATTCCGAAACGCGAGAAAGCAAAGGATGCAGGCACGCTCTTGTCTCAGAAGATGGCAATAATGTCCATTACGCCAACTTTCACGAAGTTCGCCGAACTGCCGCTGGAACTTGAGTTGCTATTCTGGCAAGTTTTCATCCGCGAGGAAATCTCCCAACGATTCGTTCCTCTCCTATGTGATGGAAGGCGTCCGCACATTGTGCCTTCCAAGCACCTTTTCTCCCCAACCCTCGCCGTTTGCCGAACCAGCAGGGGCGAGGCCCTGCGATACTTCTACACGTGGAAGATACCGCTGTACAAGCACGTGGAGACGCGGAGCATCGTAGTTCCAGATGGGCTTATGAATGGCGTTTACGTCAGTCGTCAGTATGCCCACTGGGACGAGCCTAGCATCGCGACCGCATTCTCCAACGAGGTTCGAGTTGGGACCCTCTACCTTTGCCCGGAACGAGACCTGTTCGTCCGCGGCCTGCCGAACTCGGGCTTCGAGGGCTCTCTCTTCGACAGAAACGACACCGGTCTGCACACTCTAGCGGACCAGGTACTGGAACTTCCCCACCATAGCACCCTCTGGCTCAAACGTCGCAAGGTCCCTTGCCTCACGGTCGCTCTGGGGCCCAACGATCTCGCTCGAGTCCGACGCCTCGCCGTCGCCCACTACTACTTTCGAGACGAGCTCGCGGCGCAGGCCTGGAGGTACGCCGGGCCGTACCGGATCGACGACGGCGTCGCCGCCAACACGGCCTGGTGGGACGAGGCGACCTTCCCGCGCGTCCGGGAGCACTTCACCATCTACACGGACGCGCTCACGCAGCTGACGACGGCCATCTACGAGCATCCGGGCAAGGTCGCGGACGATTACGACCTGCGCCGCTGGACGCCGTCGGCCACGACCTGGCGGGGCCGGGCGCGGCGCCGGCTCGTCATGGGCAAGGACCGCAGCGACGGCCTCCCGCTGGACCAGACGGCCGACGAGCCCGAGGACTTCGACACGTGGTGTTGCCGGTGCCTCCCGTGGGACAAGGTGCCTCACCCCAGATATTTTGTCTAGGAGAAGGCCGATTGCGTATCATCGACATGCGGATACGTTTCGAGTTGATTGGAGTAGTTGAATACTTTTCACCGTGTAGGATAGGGTACTCTTCTTGGGCATAGGACCCCACACTCAGACGTCTTTCTTTCGAGGTCTTCGGTCATGGTTATAGGGGCGAGAGGAGGAGTACTGAGGCTCGCCAATGCATCTGACTCGCAGATCCGGGCAGATAATAAAAATATAAGGAGCAATACACCCACATCTCAATTATACAGCGACCTGCGTGTACACAGAACCCAAATTACGACAGAATTAACCACCCTCGTCCTGTGCTGGTTAGCAAGATTTGCCGGATATTAAAAATCCTCGTAACATTGATCATTCACTCTGGGTCCCATGATGATGTAGCTACACGTCTTTTACACTCCAGTCGAGACATCATTGTAAAGCAGTGCAAAGTTGGTACGAAATTGTGTCAAATTCTATTGGGTAATATCCTCGTATCGTCTCACGTTAAGTCTCCTCTGATCTATATACCGAGGGCCCTCCTTTTAACTAGTCCTAAAAACGTTGTCATGACCAGCTACGCACAACACATAGCACAACGCTTAGATGAGCTGCTGGAAAGCTCTGTTGATAGGCGAGCGGATGTTAGGGACGGACTTCCAGAAGTCAATGGTGGCAACGGCTCTCTTGGAGATGCCCTCAGGAGTGAACTCGAACTTCTATAGAAGGGGTTAGCAGGAGTTGCGGTGGGACGTCGTGGGTGAGCGGGAATACTTGCCTTGTAGACATCCTTGTAGGCACCGGAGGCACCGAATCGGTTGAGACCGAACTGCTCGTGAGTGTAACGCTCCCAACCCATGGTGCTCATGACCTCAACGGACAGCGAGGGGATGCCGTCGGGGAGAACGCTGAGTCTGTACTCCTTGCTCTGGGCATCGAAGACCTCGAAGCAGGGAATGGAAACGATACGGGCCTTGATGTTGTGCTTCTCAGCCAACTCCTTGGCAGCATCAACGCAGATGCAGACCTCGGAACCGGTCGAGACGAGGGTGATCTGGGCACCCTCAACCTCGCTCAATACGTAACCACCCTTGATAGCGCGGTCGATGGTGGAACCCTCGAGTTGCGGCAGGTTCTGTCGGGACAGAGCCATGATGCTGGGGGTGTGCTTGGAGGTCAAAGCGATGTAGTAAGCGGCACTGGTCTCGTTGCCGTCGGCGGGGCGCCAGACCATGCAGTTGGGGAGAGCACGGAAGTGTGCAAGAGTCTCGATAGGCTGGTGGGTGGGGCCATCCTCTCCAAGACCGATCGAGTCGTGGGTGGCAACCCAGATGGCGCGGACCCGAGACAGGGCGGACAGACGGACAGCACCGGCGGCGTACGACACAAAGTTCAGGAAGGTACCACCGAAGGGGATGAGGGTACCGTAGGCGGCAAGGCCGTTCATGATACCACCCATACCGTGCTCACGGACACCGTATCGGATGTATCGGCCAGAGTAGTCGCCCAGACCGGTGGAGGGGGGCTGGAAGTCGACAGCGCCCTTCCACCGGGTCAAGTTGGAGCCAGTCAGATCGGCGGAACCGCCAATGAGCTCAGGAACGACATCCGCGATCTTGTTGAGAACGGTCTCGGACAGCTTTCGCGAGGCAACGGCAGCGTCGGCGGGGGTGTAGACGGGGAGGGCCTTCTCCCAACCCTCAGGCAGCTCACCCTTCAGACGGCGGGCCAGGTCGTCATGCTCCGACTTGTACTTGGAGGCGTACTCTGCGAACAGCTTGTTCCACTTCTCCTCGGCGGCGGCGCCGGCGGAGGCAACCTTGTTGTAGGCATCGTAGACCTCCTGGGGGACAGCGAAGCTCTCCTCAGGGTTGAAGCCGAACTTCTCCTTGAGCTGCTTGATGTCGTCGGCCTTCAAGGGCGAACCGTGAACACCGTGGGTGCCCTGCTGGGTGGAGCCGAAACCGATGGTGGTCTTGAGCTTGATGATAGAGGGCTTGTCCTTGACCTCGGTGGCCTTCTTGATGGCGGCCTCAATGCTGTCGAGGTCGTTGTCACCATCGCCAACGGTCACAACGTGCCAGCCGTACGACTCGTAACGCTTGACGACATCCTCAGTGAAGGCGCAGTTGGTGTCACCGTCAATGGAGATGTGGTTGTCGTCGTAGATGGCAATCAGGTTGCCGAGCTGGAGGTGACCAGCCAGCGAGGAGGCCTCGCTGGAGACACCCTCCATCAAGCAACCATCGCCGAGGAAGCAGTATGTGTAGTTGTCAACGAGGGGGAAACCGTCCTTGTTGAAGGTGGCGGCAGTCTGAGCCTGGGCCATGGCAAGACCAACAGCATTGGTGATACCCTGGCCGAGGGGACCAGTGGTAACCTCAATACCCGGGGTATCGTGGGCCTCGGGGTGGCCAGGAGTGATGCTGTCAATGGACTAGAGCATTGTTAGACGCTGGATACTCGGGGTGCTACTGAGAGGGTCAAATCTTACGCGGAAGGCCTTGATGTCGTCCATGGAGAGGGCATAGCCAAACAGGTGGAGGAGAGCATACTGAAGCATGCAACCGTGGCCGTTGCTATAGGCGAGCGGCGATCAGCATACTGGGACTGCCGGAGTGTCGGGGGATCGAGGTTTCAGGGAGTTGGACACTTACGAGAGGACGAATCGATCACGGTTCAGCCAGTTGGGGTTCTTGGGGTTGAACTTCATGAACTTGCTGAAGAGAACGTGGGCGACCGGCGCCATACCCCTGCGAGATTGTTAGAGGTGTTTCGCGAGTTTGGATGGCAGTTGCACTCACATGGGCGCACCAGGGTGGCCAGAGTTGGACTTGGCGGTAGCATCGGCCTGGAGGAGGCATCGTCAGTATGAAGGCCCTCTGAATTGAGTCTGGCAGGTGCTTCTGGTCGTGCGTCCCCGAGCGTTGCGGTGAAAATGCTTCACGGGATTTTGTTGACGATGGAGGGGCAAGGCGGGGGCGGGGTGTTGGGATTTCGTCACAGCAGCGCGCCAGCACAGAACAGCACGGCACGGCACGGCGAGCGGGAGGGCGGAGAGCTTACAGCAAGAACACGGATCGTGTTGATGGCCAACCAGTCCTTTTCGGTGTAACCCATGATTGCGGTGTTTCTCTGGTATCAATCTGGGAATGTGCTAGATGGAGATTTGGGGGAGGGAAGCAAAGAGAGAGAAAGTTGCGGGAGGGCGGGTGTAGGAAAAAGGATGAGGGACGGTTATTAAGCTGCGAGACGAGTTTCCATTTGGCAGCAGCGCACCGGTCCTGGTCCTGGTCCTGGGCCTGGTCCTGCTTCCTGCTTCCTGCTCCCTTTGCCTGGAGCAGCACCCGCGCAACCGCGAACCCGCTCCCGCTCTGGCCGTGGGCCACTGACACAGGAAGTGTGAGAGAAAGGTGGCTGCTGGTTGCTCACTAACGACCACCAAGTGGGGTTGTTTCTACTTTGCCATGCGAGAGCTCTGGTCTTCCGTTGAGGCCGGATAATACATGTCATCGACACCAAGCCAAGCTGCTCCAGCACAGTTTTCATGCACCGCTCCCTCGCTGCCCCTTGTACCTGTCTACTCGCTAAGGAAAACCCCCCAAGGTACCTTTCCCCCTCTGCCCCTCCGACCTATTCATGGATGTACATAGCAACCCTTGGGGCCGTGACGATGGCCAATTCGAGCGGTTAGCCACCCACTTGACGGCGGGCCCATCTTTTGTTTCAGGCGGTAAGCATGAAGGGTCCTCCAAGAGCTTTGCGGCTTTGCAGCCTCATTCCAGTCCCACCATATGAGGGGGGAACGGGACAGAAATCTCACGATCCTCCGGCCTCTATATTCGAGCTGCTTTTCCGCACTTCACACTTCTTGTCTCCGGCGCCGCCGGCCTCCAATGGTTGGCCGGTTCTTCCGGATAATCAGTTTATGGCTACTGAAGCATGAGGAAAGTCTCTTGTGCTTGCCCCTCAAGCCCCGGGCCTCAAGCCAGCCAGTCATCCAGCTAGCCAAGCCTATTTGCTGAATCAGCGTATATCACTTCTCAAAAATGATCTCCCTGCTATCTCTTACATATTTGCCGTCACGCAAATATCTGCAAAAGGTGGCAACTCATCCAGCTGTCAGGGCTGTTGTCCCCAATGACGATAAGTGCGGCCTTTTTCGCCGACAGATGCCTCTACGCCCCAGTAATTCGCGGAATGGCTCCTGTCAAGCCAGAGGTGATTTATCCGTAATGACGATGAAATTATGGGACTTGCGCCCCAACTTTCGGCGCATCTGCTCGAATCCAGCACGTTGACTCGCAGCGCGCCAGCTCATTGGCGAGCATAGGCACTCGCTACCAGGTCCCGGGATATCGCACCAACCTAGCCCGACGACTGACTCCGTATCGGAGGGAGCACTAAATCAGCCTTACCGCCAAAAAGCTGCGCTTGGCAATATACCTCCGATATAGAGCCCGCCTTCGCAATCACCGCTCAGATCTGAGGCAATCATAGATATATCGCAGATCCACCAATAGAGCTCGGCCTCGAAGTCCAGGAGGCAGGTAGCATCGCTCAGCGTCGCTCAAACGCACAGCAAAGCGCCATCTTCTCAAGAACTAAGTTCAATCAACGATTAGCGAGTCCATTGATAGGATACTCGCTTATCTGATATCCCGTAGCACAGTTTGGGGGCAAATCGCTATAGTAGAGCTGCGGTCAACAGCTCTCAAAGATTTTTAAGTAACCGGGTACCCGGCAGTATCCAAGACACTCTCTGTTGAGTCTTCTTGATGAGGAAACGTTCGACCCTGAAAGTTGCAAGATCCACGCCATGGCTTATCCAATTTTGAGCTGTTCAGAAAGCATCCGCGGAGATGGCTTATCGGCGGGCTTCGAGATCGCGGGATTAATCAACTTACTTGACGCTACGGTGTGTGGCTGCCTCGCAATAATTGGACCGCGTGACGGGGTTCATGGACAGAAGATATCGTGACTCCTCTCCCTGAATTCCTACAGCAGCGGACTTACATGGCGTCCATTTTTCTGGGCGTAGATTGTGTGCTCGTCGGAGGCTCGAAGTTTTCGGTGTCTGCGGTCTATCGATGAAAGAAAGGTGGCAGTCGAATTTGCATCACAGGTGGAAAGCCACTGAACACCTGTGGTAGGTCTCACTTAGCGAATCGCACAAAGTAGAGGAACCTGGAGATTGCTTATGTATGATTGGCCCATCTGGTTCCGATGGCTCAACCACAAGACTATACGGCACACTACATATTGATTATTCTGGGAGCATAAATCATTATACCTAATATGCCATCCCAAAATTGAAAAGGACCAACTTATAGAATGCTTCATGTGAAGAATAAAATAAGCATTGGCTCTGCATCCGAACACCAAAGAGCACAGAAGAAATGAGCGATGCTCCGTCAACAGGCCAGCTTCTATCACATTAGAGCAGTTGGGGCTTTTGGAGCACCCTTGAATAGTTGGGGCGAGCGGAAGTTTCGCCACATTGCATGTCTAGATGCTGCACTCAGACAATTTGTATGTTGAATTAGAATCTGCTGGTTTCCACAATACTCGGCATCCTGTAACTACACTGCGACTTATTCTATATTCCGCCTGTGGATTTTATACCGCTCTAGTATACCTCCATAATAGTAAAGACGCCAATCGGACAAACATAACGATCTTCCAGATCCTATTCATATCCTTTGTTCAGTCTACATCTGCGTGACGAAAGAACATCCTTTGTCCGCTGTTGAAACATGGCAAGGGACAACGGAGGAAATAACGCACATACATCTCGTTTCGGTCTTTGTTATCCCTCAGTCACGAGAGTGATCCTACTTCTGGTACCACACTCGAAATATCAAATACGTTAGCTGACAATGTTATCCGCTTGAAAAGTCTCTTCCGGTTTGCAATTAATTCTCAAACAGCTGAGCGTCCATTACATGCAAGCAGCAAACACACAACGTGCAGACCACTTACAGACAATCAAATTTACGATCCCCGACAATACTGCGATAAAAGTAGAATGCCATCCGAAATCTACCGTCAGCTACAGGCCCGGGTGCAGGCTGTCCGCGCAGCGAGCTCTACCCAAGCATCTCGGCCAACACGAGCCCGCACCAACGCGGGCGTCAAGAAGACTGGTAAGAGGAGCACCAGCACCGGCGCCACTAAACCCAAGCCGAAGCCCAAGCCAAAGCCCAAGTCCAAACGCAGGGCCAAGAAACGTAAAAAGAAGTCCCGCCACCACAGCCTCGGCAGCATGGACTCGATCCTCGCCGACCCGTGCCCGGACCCGCTGGCGCGGCAGGACCGCTGGATCCCGCCGCTGGGCCAGCGGCCGCAGCGGGTGTCGCCGCCGCCGCCGGAGCAGGTCGCGCCGGGGCTGTGGGCGGCGTACGCGGCGCTGGACGACTGGATGTACGGCGAGGCGCATAGCGGGGACGCGGCGGCGGCGGCGCTGGCAAGGGGCGCGCGGGCGCCGCCGAGCCGCCGGCCCGCCGGCGTCGACGGCACGCTGTGGAACATCTACTGGCTGCTCGAGGCGTGGGTGTACCGGGCGGGCCTCACGGCCGAGGAGGCCGTGGGCCTGCCGACGTTCGACGAGATCATGAAGTTCCAGGACGGCGGCGGGCCGCGACCCGTCACGCCGCTGGGGTGGAGGTGGGATGGGCTCGATCTGGAGCCGGTTGCGGCGGAGGGGGACGAAAAGGAGGAACAGTAGGTGACGATGAGAGCCGAGAAGGGGGTGAGTGACTAGAGCACTCTTATAGCCATGGAAGACGACTAGATGGTGTCGGGGTGGTTGTTATATGGCGAAATGGGATAAAAAGGGGAGTGGGGGGGGGGGAGGGGAGGGGGGGATGATGGATTATGACAGGAGACGGTATGTGGTCTTGCCGGTGAGGCCGAGAAAATGAGTTCACGGGACGGCGGTCTTGTTTAAGGTGTTGTATTGATGAGCCAGACTCTGCTCGGTCCTAACTCACCGAAGGGCTACCCTTGAGAAAAACGTAATTCTATTAGACCTTCCTTACCGAGCCGCCATCATATACAACCAACACAGTGAATCCGTATGCCCCGTCGCCAATGCCATGCTATCGTCGTCAAGATGGTCATATTTGCAGTCATAATGATGAGACCCAGTATTCCCATTATCGCTCCTAAAACAGACACTCCCTCACCTGGCCCTTACCTCCCAGTCCGTATTCGATCCACCTTCCTACACCCCTGCGTCCGGCGACGAGCACCGTCCCGGGGTTCATGACATGGCATCCTTCGTAGGTAACACAGAACGGCGGCGCCGTGGCATCTACGAGGACCATGGCCGTGGGAAGCGGATATAGGTGTAGGGCGGAGGCGTAATCCCAATGGACCGGTCTGATCTGCTGTCTGAACGGGGCTAGATATCCCTGATCCAATATTGTCTTGACAAGCTTGCGGGCGGCTTGCACGTCAAAGGACACTTCGGATGTCGTAGGCTTAGCACCTGCAGCGTCAACGTCCATAGTGTCGGCAGCTAAGACCTGGTCCTGCAGGGCACCCGACATGTCCATATCTTCTGCGGGCTCCTCAACGGGTACACTGTTCTCCTGGTCTTCAGTGTTGTGTTTGGTAGGCTTTAGGCGCACAGCTGTCCGTCTCAAGCGAGCAGAGATATCGTCCCTAAACAGCACGAGTTCGTGAGCAGGCCCGAAGACGCTGAGTCGTGCCGGGTTTGACGTCCATATGGCCTCGCCTCCTTTCTTCACCCCTGGCTCTGCATTTGCGGTTGCGAAGGCCCTCCGAACCCGAGACGTAAACATGTCTGGCACAGACTTACGCGGCAGTGGCACAGCAGCCCCTGCGGAAAATGAAGATGCCCAACCGTCGTTGTCCCCGGGCACAAAAATGAAGTTGGCTGTCTGCAGGAGGGTAGGGAAGTCGGACAGGACAGAAGCCAAGGAGTCATAGTACTCCTTGTACTCAACGCTGCCGCCACTTGCCCCACCACCAGCCATCACAGCATGCTGCGTGAAGTTGCCTGTAAGTACGAATGTCATGGGCGAAGAGCCCTCGGGTTCGGTGGCGTAGATGGTGAGGATCTTGTGGAGTGCTTGCAGAGCACGCGGCTGGTCCAGGTTGAGCTCACCAAGGATAACCACGCGGTCCCGACTCGGGGCCTCAGGGTCATCCGACTCAGCTTGGCGTAGAACGCGTTGTTCCACCTTGCGCATCTTGGACCCTACAGCTCGCTCGCTGCCAACACCCAGGAAATCGATCCAGCCAAATCCACCTCCTATAGTGTGATCTTGACCGCCGTCCAAGCCGCTTACGCCTAGTGTGGCCTTTCGTTTTTCGCATGGAGGTTGTCCAATGAAAAACCCCTGGAAACGGCCGCCGATAATGCCGCCAATTCCGTTACTGGCTCCCAGCCCTTTGCCCACAGACTCTTCCTCCTCCTCGTATATGCCATCGACAAGCACGATCATGCCTGGGGTAAACCAGGCCGAATCCTCTGGTATCGACACGGCTTGCGTCAAGTCAAGGGATATGGTTCCGGTCAAGTCATTGATCGTCAAAGTTCCAGTAGGAGAGATGGACAGTAGCCCCAAGAGCATGTGATGGCTACCGTGACGACCCAGCAAGTTCGCGATGGGGGTAATCTTGTGTGTCTGTTGATTGGTGAGTACCGATGATGAGGAGCGTTTCAAAGCCGGCGGTCCCGCCTTTGTAGTCGCAACCGCTGAGGTCTGGAAAGACTCGTTCCGTAATAGTCTCTGATGTATGACGTTATATCTGTTCCTGAAAAGGGTGGTCTTGTGTAATGCCGAGGGCATCTGAGATGGTTTGGAAGGGTCCCGCTCGAAGTGCTTCTTAGAGACATTGTAGAGCATCCTGGGCTGGTCATAGGCGCTGATGACCTTCATCCAATGGCGAGGGTCATTCAGGCCTTCTTCGTCCCCAGTATCCTCCTCGTCCATGTCGAGGGCCGACATGCCAAAACTCCTCTGGCTATCATCACGCACCAACGTGGTGGGTCTTAACCCAAGTCGAGTGTTTGACAAATCTGCCTCATCCAGGGCTTCGATGGCGAGGCTGTTGTGCCTACTAAGCTCGCGACCGGTTGCTACCCTTCCACCGCTCATGTTGCCCTCGAGGGTCTTGAGGATGTCCTTGAGTTCCTTGCTCGATCCGTCCACGATGACGCCGCCATTCCTATTCTTCCAGCCCTTTGCGACCTCTTCCAGGACCTTCTCTGCCAGACCTTCCTCGCGCCATCCTGAGCCGCAGTGTCTGCCGATAAACGTAGCTAGTTCCTGCAACGCCGACGATGTGAGCGTCAAGCTGTGCTTCTTGGTGAACGTCCTGAACGCCAAAGGTCGCAGGGTCGCCGGCGGGAGTAGAATTGGTAAGATGGTTGCCTTTGCGGGCGCGACCGAGAAGGGTTTGAGGGTGCCAGCGGGGGTCGCGAAAGCTGGTGACGAGGAGGGGATCGGGTTCGAGGCCTTCGGGTTCGGGGTCCTCGCGGTGAATATCGAGGGTGCCTGCGGCTTTCGCGACTGCATTTTGCCACCTAGTTATTCAAGCGACAGTGATGCGTTGGGTCCTCAGGCGCCCGGGTCTTCTTTTTCGTTGCTCCGTCGAGGTATCTGAGAAACTATCGTCGTCAAGTCAATATTGGGGAACGCGTAAAAGCGCGACTGGCGAACCCCTGCCGAATCGACAGCGCGTAAATTGGCCCGTCCCACTGAAAGCACCCAGCCGGTAGCGCCTACTCAGGGGGTCAATCGGATCAATCCCTGGGGTCTGGGGCTTTGGTCAATGAACGACGTCAGCGATAGGCGAGCTCTTAGCTACAAAGTTTTGGCCATTGGCCATTGGTGACAGCTGAAGCCAGAGCTCAGCTCCAGAGCTTCACCAAGCTTGCCTGCAGAACTCCAGCACACAAACCTCCGTCATGCTGTTGCCGCGACTGCGAGCCACACCGGCTCTGAGGAGCCTTCAACCTCGTCGGCTGGTTTCGACATTATCGTCGAATCCGCTCATAGTCAGTACATACTCTGTGAACCATGCAGACTCGCTAGCTAACGACAATGTGGTGTAGAAAGTATTTCCCAACGCCGCGCTGAACGGTGGTCATGTCCTCACCTATCTCGACACAAATCCTCCTTCGCAAGATCTAGCAATCGGATCAACCACAGAGCTGCCTCCCACCCCGCGCTCGTTCACCGAGAATCCTAAATTCATGTCTATCCTCTACGAAACCCTGGCCAAGCACGCTAAGAACGACCCGGGCTTGAAAAGTCAAGCACAAGCATTCGCAGGCCCCGGAGGAGCAACCCTGGGCTCAGGAGGTGCCTTCTTTCCACAGCAGCGTGTCAAAAGGGGTAAGAAGGGCCAGGCTGCTGGTATGGGCGGCGGCGGCGGGGCTGGTGGAGGAGGAGGCGGAGGTGCGAGTGCACAAGGAGGAGCCGGCGGTGGAGGTGTAGGCGGCTACGTTCATCTGAGCGACGGCAGAAACCCACCTGACTTCGGCAGGATAGCATGGCCAGAGGACATACTGGGCAGCATTGAGGTCAATGGGCAGGGTGAAATTGTGGGGGAGTTCGAATCCAGTGGCACATATCGCGTGGTCACAAATGAGGGCATGTAAGTCAACCTTCCATGTTTCACACCACCCCCGTCAAGTCTCTCTCCTTGGCCGACGAATGGCTAACATCTCTTGAACTGTAGTCTTGGACTCAGCGAGTTTCTGAGTGGCAAGGTGCGTGAGGAACTTCAGAAGTTGGAGACGAAACCATGAAGATCTATGGACGATGTTATGTACCCCATCGACCAAGACGTAAGCCGCTGCGGCAACCCGAAAGTTCATTCCTTCGTGCAAGATCGATGATTGTACACAAGGTCGGGCGTTGTAATAAACCCCAAGCATGAAGCCGATTATCATGGACAGGCTCGGCATGGGACAGGCAGAAGCGCATGTTTCAACGAATAACATCGGTGAAGCTCTGAAATCTGAATCGCCTTTATTACCCACGTCTGTCATTGTGTTTGTTGGGAAGAGCAAATAGCATCGACCGACCTACGCACAACTCAATATGAAGGATCGATCTTACCTCGATAACCGCATCTGTTCGTGACATGGGGGGACACGCGCTTGCACGCGATGCCCTCCCAGCCCCGGCCAGTATAGTTTGAATCGCTTTCGTCATAATCACGGCCAAGTGAGTCACACAGGTTGTGAAGTTTAACAACCGTTTGTTGTCGACTCCTGGTCTCGGGCGTGGACCCTGATATGCAGGCAGGCGCTTGCCCCTTGATCGGCCCGCATAAGGTTAGGTTCCGACCTGCACCTCGAGTTTCTAGAAAACGCAGCAGAAGCCGACGTTCTTCAGAGGTGCTCCCATGTGACAATCAACTCATTTCCATCGTGAACAGTGGTCCTGGTCAACCTCGTAACAAGGCACATGACGTCTAGACTGTGTGCGCGAGCCTCGAACAGAAACCCCCGCAACCCCTGACAGGGCTGAAGAGAGGAAAGCATCTTCCTACCCCAGACAGGATGACTGCATTCCCCCCCTCCGCTCGCATCATTTCGAAACTCAATCTGGCTTCAGACAGGTGGCTGCCTTCAATGTTGGTTGTCTCTGTGCCTTTGTACCTACTGGGATAGTAGGTACACAGATGCACAGCTACCCTACGCGAACGGAAGCTTAAGTTTCCATGTGGGCCTGACCAAAACACCAGGATTGTACTCACCTGATCTCACGATCTTTTCTGGACTAACTAGATCCACGTACTTAACCCACGTCCTCCTCCACAACCACCTGAGCCCTGAACGTTATTTTTGTGTGAAGACCCTTAGGACCCCTTCGCCTCTCTTGCAACATCAAGTCATCTCTCTTTCGTCTCTAAATCAGCCAGACCAGGCCTCCCGCGCGCTGCAATCTGGGCGACCTCGAGATTGCAGCCCAATAAGAGCTCCCCACGATTGCTGGTGGGTTAGCTCGCTCCGAAGCTGAACACGTCCGCAATTCCACCTTGTCCCCCCTCTTCAACGATTGATTCACTGTCTCCTCTCTCCATCCACCATCCACCATCCACCATTTACCATCCGACCAGGAGATTGCGCCGTACCATAACTCGCTCTTCCCATCTCAGACACTGTCGTCAGGCGTCTGAAAGTTGACGAGGCCTGCAAAAGCCTAGATAACCTTTGCCAGAAGGTTTCTGGGCTTGCCTTCCGCGCACGCAGCAGCGAGACATCTGATAACCGGGAAACTTTGCCGTCTCCGTCACTTGCCCAACAGACTGCGCGGGCAGAGTTCAGAGCACAGACGGTAGCCCACGCCAACCTCGGGAGCAGATCCGGCTCGGTGGTTGCGGTACGGTACACAGGCCACAGCTCAAGGGGTGCGGTGCGTTACGGCCACAGCAGCCAATCGCCGTCTAGCTTCGCCCAGCCCGGTTCCAACCCGCCCTCTGGCCCTGGTCGCTCGCCTGGGACCGCCCCTCGACCCCACGTGCATTTGGAGCTTCTAATGACGACGTGCGGATAGCTTCACTTCCATATCTACATCTGATTCCCCTTTCCTCCCGCCACGTCAAGCCCGAGGGTGAGCAGGACACTTGTTCAACATGGCGCCCAGACCCTTTGATGAGGAGGAACTCTCCATCTCCCTGTCCCCCTCGCAGATCCAGCGCCGCCGAGTCCCCGAGATTAATGTCACGCATCCGGCATCCGAAACCAACAATGGCCACCAGCGTGCTGGCAGTCGCGGCCTTCCCGGCGGCCCGCATCCTCATTCCCGCGAAAAGGTCAAGGCCGAGCAGCGCATCGACCAGTACAACATCGTCCGCACCCTGGGCGAGGGCTCCTTCGGCAAGGTCAAGCTGGCCGTTCATCGGAGCACCGGCCAGCAGGTTGCCCTCAAGATCATATCGCGCAAGAAGCTGATCAGCCGCGACATGGTCGGCCGCGTCGAGCGTGAGATCGAGTACCTACAGCTCCTGCGTCATCCCCATATCATCAAGCTGTTCACTGTCATCAAAACCCCGACAGAGATCGTCATGGTGCTGGAGTATGCCGGCGGCGAGCTGTTCGATTACATCGTCTCCCACGGCCGCATGCAGGAGGACAAGGCGCGACGCTTCTTCCAGCAAATGATCTGCGCTGTCGAGTATTGCCATCGACACAAGGTCGTCCATCGTGATCTCAAGCCCGAGAATCTGCTCCTCGATGAAAACTTGAACGTCAAGATCGCCGACTTTGGTCTCAGCAACATCATGACAGATGGCAACTTCCTCAAGACAAGCTGCGGCAGTCCCAACTATGCCGCTCCCGAGGTCATCAGCGGCAAGTTGTACGCCGGACCCGAGGTCGACGTGTGGAGCTGTGGTGTTATCCTCTATGTGTTGCTCATAGGAAGGCTGCCGTTCGATGATGATCACATCCCTAGTCTGTTTGCAAAGATCCAACGCGGCGTCTTCACCATTCCCAACTGGTGCCCCGAGGCCTCAGCGAAGATGATCCGAAAGATGCTCGTCGTCAATCCGCTACATCGGATTACCATCGAAGAAATTAGGCAGGAACCTTGGTTTCAGACGGACTTGCCGTCCTACCTCGCTCCTCCTACCGAGGAGTTTCTCAACACGGGCGTGGACCCTAACAAGGCCATCAAACCAAGTGACATTGCCCCTCATGCATCTCAGAAAGTCCAGGAGAAGTTGCACAACGAGGTTACCGATAAGATCAGCAAGACCATGGGTTATGGAAAGAGGGATGTCGAAGAGGCTTTGGGCGCCGATGAGCCCTCTGCAATCAAGGACGCATACATGATCGTGCGTGAGAATAAGCTCATGCAAGTGAATCGTAAGTTCAACCCCATGCGACCCAGTTGGTGCTGCTTTGTCGTGTCGTCAACCACGCTTTTGCCATGGTAGCAAGGCCTTCGCAACTTTTCCTACGAAAACGCTGTCATTTTGGTCTTCCACTTTGCGGCGAAAGCTCAAGCTTATACTGACATATACGACTATAGCTGCATACGGTACTGGCCAGGACAACCCGTACTTCGCAACTTCGCCTCCAGTTGGCAACACCGAGCAGGTCATAGGCAGCATCGGCCAAACTCTGAGCAATGCAGCCAAGGACACTGAACCTGAGGCTGCTGCTAGTCCTATTGCAGATTCAACTAGATCAAACGCCTCAACAGTCACCAGCGTGTCCCCCCGTGGCTATGTCAGCAAAGTCGGCATTCTTCCTACCAGCTTACCTTCAATACACAATCAGTACTTGGAGCGCCAGAATGCTGGAGTCGACGAGCCACTAGACAGTCAGCCTGCATCCGATGATGTACCTTCTTCACAGCTTAGGTCGCCTGCGGAGCAACAAGAAGCGGCGCGCAGACTTAAGCCACATTCAAAGAACGCTGTCAGGCTAGATGACAGCCAGGCTCGACCGCAGGCAATGACACCCGTTGCTCCCAAGAAGGCGAAGCCTGTCCGCTGGCAATTCGGCATCCGTTCCAGGAACGCTCCTTGGGAGGCCTTGCTCTGCATCTACAAGGCTCTTCACAAGTTGAAGGCGACGTGGCTTGTCGACGAGGATTATGACAAAGTCCTTGGTCCAGAGAGCGAGCAGTGAGTACCTCTCCCGATAATTACTTGATCTTATTATTAACATGAAACAGGGATAACTACAAGGGCAGCAGGAAGGATCAGTCTTCAAATCCCTACGAAGGCATGAAGCCCGAGGACATAAACTTGTCGACCTTCGATCCACTCAAGTACTACAAGCTCCCAGCCGACCCCTGGCACATTGTTTGTCGTTGGAGAAAGGATGGTATGTTTGGATTCGTCTCCTCGGACCTTTCGTATTCATATTGACAATAATTAGACCTACGCCCGTATACACCAGCCTCAACGGGAGACAGCCCAGAGGACAGTGCTCATGTCATCTCTGTCCTGGACAACCGCAAACAAGACTTTGTCAACATGCGTATGGAGATCCAGATCTACGAGATGGAGTACGGCGTCTACCTCGTCGACTTCAAGTGCACCGGTTACGAACGTCCAGACGGTACCATGCTTGAAGAGAAGGATGTCATGAGCCCTTTCCCATTCCTTGATATGGCAGCTAAGCTCATCATGCAACTTGCGGAAGCAGACTAATCGGTTTCTGTCTTGCGTACGTTGATGTGCACAATAGCGTCCCTTCTTCGGGAGTAGTGCAAATCAAGCGTACATCAGTTAGCGACGATGAGATGCTTGCGCTCCGACTCTGGAGCTGGATTGCGCTCATCGTCTGATTCTGTCAAGCTGGTCTGATTTTGGCGTTCTGCACCCGGCTTTGTGCGTTACAGTCTCAAACATGAGCTGCGCACAATCGTCTGCCCCCCAATTACACTCGTTCTATTACTCTGGCCGGTACACTCCTTACACTCCCTGGTGTTCTCTGACCATGTCGAGCGGTACCGAGTCTCTTGTTTTTGGGCTTCTCAATTCAGCATTGTACGTGTGCGGACCGCAGCATCGGAACTGGAAAAGAACAACGCAGAAAAACAAGTTTGGGCAAGCGGAGAGCCGATGGTTTTCGGCATCTCAAGGTTATGGTTGAATGATTTGTGGAAAATTTGCGAACGGAGTTTTAGGGAACATGAATGGAATATGAAGGAGTTTGCTAAGTATACCCCAAGGGACGGTCGATCTGTTGATTTGGTCTGGTTGGTATGGTTGGAATGAGGTTTCTTTTCGAGGCAAGGCTACCCGCAACTCTCTCTCGAGAGAGAGAGCTGGGGTCTTCAAGGGAGTCGTCTTCGCTGGTGCGTCATGCATGGCTGCCAGCAGACACTTCTACTTATCTGTTGTGGAACATTGAGGAGAACAATAAGGAACGATCGGCGGGCATTTTGAAGTGCTGCAAGGGAGACTGTTGGCGTTCCCTTCCCTGTTTGATAGTATACAGGCCGCGTAGACATTATCAATCGGATGTCTTTGATCATTATCATGAGCAGTACTTCCGGTTTCCAAGTGGTGTTGTTTATGTTGGAGATTATGGGCTTATTCGGCGTATCGTTGTAGGTGGTCTTCCCAACAAATAATATTCATCGTCGCCACAAGGCTGCAATGTGGTACTATGGAAGCTGGGTTTCATGTTCTCACACGCCGCTGTACCATAGTAAGCCTTGCCACAAGGTCAATCCTACGCGCAGACTGTGGCTCTGAACCGGGAATCTGGGAGCAGACGTCAGGTCCGCGTCTTAACCTGACAACTGTCGTATCTGAAATTGGATGAGCCCGCGTTATCAAAACACCAACAATTGTTGCGGTTCAGGGCTCTAAATGGCTGTCGGCTAACGCGAGCCTCGCGCTCAGATCTGCGGAGAGCTCCAGCCATATCCGGACGAAGTTGTTAAGAGTTGTTAAGTGGATGCATTGAATCGAGCCGCGTTTGTTGCGGTGCCAGATCTACCATGTGTTGAGTTGCAGGGTGACTATATTGGACAGCTGCACGATGATATCTCATACCCTGCTCAGGACTGGCTGAGGTCTTCCGCCAAAATCGGGGAGGCGGTGGCGGAGCTGGGGAGCGGTACGAACTGCGATTGGTTGGTAGTTTTCTGTAATCATACGCACCTTGAACTAATACACGTCAGCCCTCCTGCACACAAGAACATCTATAAAGTCCATACGCTTCTCCCAGTTTAGCAGACATCGGAATGTTCAATTCTCGTGGTCAATGCAGTATATATTTCCCTTCCTATACATGTGAGCTCATGGCTTCGGACGAGGTCATCGTGGCCGTTGCTCTCGGCCTCCCATCCCTCATTGTAGCCCTTCTTGCGCTATGGGTAGCCTATCTCACATACAGACAATCCCGCCATGCATCAATACGTTCGCAATCCTTGAAGACAAACGGCAAATACACCTGGCCAAGCGATAGAGTATCGACTAGTTCGACGACCATCGAACATCAACTTCCCACTTACCCTGACAATGTACGGCAACGGAGCCGTTGGTAGTAACGCCAGAGCTTCACTGTGTGAGTACGTCCAGTATCTCTTGACTCCAACCTTGAACTCGACCGCTCATTTCAACCATCAGTTTCTATCTGATAACCCTTAATTGGTCCCATCCCATGCTCACACAACTCGACCAAAAAGTTTCAAATTCTTTAACATCGAATCCATGCAAACGAATAAGCCTCTACCACCCCCATGCGACAATACGGAGGTCCCCATTCGGACTTGTAATCCAACGAACGATCCCCAATCCACTGACACGACCGCATACCATTTAACGTAGTGGATGCTCCTCTTCACACATACGTTAAGACTATAGGCCTCCATCTGATATCTTGACGAAGCCACGCGCTCCACGAACCACGCATAATTTGGCGGGAGGGACGGGCGTAATGCACTGCAGCAAATTGAGATTGTAGTCATCATGCTCAGCATGAGGATAGAGTTGGATAGCTATGACTAGATCAGGGCACGCATTGTATATGCATACCTGATGTCCATATGGGGGGTAGGGGGAACATCCCCTCGATTGCAGAAAACATGCCGTAGGAGAAGCCTCAAGTTTTACCTGTAACTAGTGACTAAACATTAATCAATTCGGGGGCTTTGGTCATCTCATTTGACTCGAAGGAAATTCTACGTAGGTCGGCAGGGGTGTTTCATGCACGCGGAGCAAACATGCAGGGTCGCCGAACTCCTGCCATACTATTTCTCTCGGTACCACCCTCTAAGGGCCTGTCGGGTAAGCGAAAAATTGAGAACTTTTTAGTGAGCCGGCTAGTTCGGTGGGAAAGGAGAAAACTATTGAGTGATTGGCCTTGAATATGCTAGATGCCAGGTTGACCGAGAGGTGAAAGAGGACAAAAGAATGAGCAGCGAGCTATGACTACGCTAAAGAAAGACGTCACTGCATTCATGTCCTTTTGCAGACTTAGCCGCACAGCTACTGTCGGACGTTAGAAGCCACATTCCATTACCGCGACATGTCTAATGTCTGCTGAGCAGCCATACGGTGCGACCTTCTAGGGGATCCTTGGCTGCCGATTTCTATCAACAACGCACCTCTAACTTAGCCTTGCCAATGTCTGTGCACCTCAAATAGAATCCCTACATTTTTCTTGCCAGGGTTTCAATATTTCGCAGTGTATATAGTAAGTAGAACTCACCCATCCTCATATATCAGGACATGTTTCAGCCCCAACTTCTATCCCATCTGTTGGAGCCCCAGCCCACTCCCCCAGAGCCTCACTCTATCGGCCCAGTTCATTGTCAAATCCTATTACCCTATTTTAAACATAATGGCCTCAGACAAATTGTTGTTGTCATCGCCTTGGGCCTTCCGTCCCTGATGGTCGCCACTCTTGCGCTTCTGGTGAGCTATATGAGCTATCAGCATTCCCGACGGGCCTCCGAAGCTTGAACAGAGCACAAGTTCCTCTCAATCGCATACACAGCTCTCCGCTAGATCATTTCCCCATCGCCCAGCACTCGTCCCAGGAAGGCAAGCCTTCGCTGAAATGCCGAACCTCGACGGCTTAGACAACGAACACCAGATCCCTTATTAACTATTATAGGGAGGGAAGTGTGTGCTCAGCACTGTGTACCTCTCTATGCCACCACCAGACAAGAGCTAGTACCCTAGCGGGATGAGGTTCCAGAGTGGACTCAGAGTATTTGCTTTGGCAGGGCAAGGTCTCGAATGGGTATGGCTGGGATACCCATATTGTACCTACGTCTGCATCAAAGGAGTCAACAAAAGGAGCCAGCATTATTATTAATCCAAGTGGGATATGGCATCACTGGTGTTCTAGCATGTACATGTTATACAGCATCAGATTTTCCAAAATGAGTTGGGCAATGATCAGTGTCATCATTTGTGACAAGACAGGCCCTCCAAGTCCTCCAACTCGTCCCCACGAGTACCCTGACAAAACAGCGGAGGAGGCTCACACTACCAGACCTTCATGGCCAATACTTTTCAATTCGAAGTAATATATTGTTCTGAACCACATGCCGTGGGCGGCGATATCAAACCTCAACGCCACTTGCGCTATGCTGTAGTACCAAGATCCCTAGGCCTAGAAGCCCTCCGGGGGGTATATCAACTGATGGCAGTATTTGTCCTCCCATTTGTGCATATCATCTACAACATGCAGACTCCATCGTCTGCCCTCACTCACGTTCCGGGCCCATCAATCACAGCCGTAGAAAGTACGACAGGAACCCCGTTCTTTCCTATACACATTATACTACTAGTGAGCCAAGCTCAACAAGCCATCAATGTACTTCTTTGTATCAACCCCGATGCCCTGTGCCAGGCGGCTGGCGCCATCGCCCCAGCCCTCCTTCATCTCCGAGATCTGGGAGAGGCTGCGGCCTCTCGACGCGCCCTCGCCGGCGCGGCGGATGAGGAAGATCTCCTTGGAGACCCCGGGCTGCCTCTGTCTCCGGCGGCTGGCAGCGGTCCCTGGGCCGCCTTGGCGGGCGTCGGAATCGGCGGCGGCGGGGGACGGCGATGGAAAGGCGCTGAAGGTGGACTCGACCGTCTCCGCCGATACCGCTGAGTCCTGACTGCTCTCGGAGGGCAGCTGCGGCGGGCCTCCACCACCGGAAGCAGGAATGTCTCTCGCCTCCGTTATGCGCGTCCATACGACCCACCATCCACGGTTAGTCTTGCAGGTCCGCTCGACCTCAGTAGTGTCCTGACGGGTGCCGGAGAAGGTCTGCAGGATTTGCGTGTGCGTACTTATAGCCTCGATCCGAGTCCAAACGGACCGCTGACTCTCTTCCGAACGGACTATAGCAAGTGGATCTGGTATGTTCGGGATAGTCGAGTGAATGGTCAGGGTCCGAGGGTCCCAGATCAAATCGAAGATATGGCTGGATGCAGAGCCGGCGTCCGGCTTCTCGGGACGATAGGACGTCGATAGAGCGAGAGGCCTGCGGAGTGGTTCGAGTTGGTAGTGCAGCTTCTTGTAGAGGCTATCCCAGGCGAGGGAATCCGTTCGGTTCTGGAACAGAAAGGTATAGACGAAGGGCTTGCTGACATAGACCACCACCCGCATTTTCTTTGCCTTGTTGCGATCCTGGCTGTCAAACTGTGAGGCCGTGTTGGCAAAGTCTTTGCGGCCAGATTTGGAAGTCGCGAGCTCATGATCACCGCTACCTAGGTCTTGATGGATGTCCTCTTCAGCGCGACCAAGCGCCTCACTTTCTAATTCGACCGTCAAAGTTCGTACGAGAGTACGAGAATCGAGGTCTTCCCCATCGGTTCCTTCGCTTTCCGTAGTGTTACTCTCGACATCGCCCTGAAGTCCGATGAGATAGTGGCCCGCGCTGGCGCTTACAGACGGTCTTGATGAGCTTCTCGCCTCCATTTTCGGCCGTTCTGGGCCTGCCTGCGCTCCCTGAACACCCTGACCAGGCGCTTCAGAGCCTCCCAGCGACCAGTGAGTACCATAGCCCAGCTTCAAGTAATGCATGAGCTTGCTTGATCCACCATCATCTGCAGCAGCGGCTTCTTGTTCTGCAGTCCCTTTGTCCTTCGAAGTTTGGTCGTCAGTCGCAGTAGCGCCCCCATCTCCAGCGTGCTGACTGGGCTGCGCTGGAGGATCAGTCTTGCCGCTCACGGATTTGAGTCTCTGTCTCTTCGCCTTGACCCTTGTGGAGGTCGGGCTGTCTTTGACACCATAAGCATCCTCGCCCCAGGTGTACACGTCCTCCATCCAGAAAAACACATCCCTAAGCGATTTGCTGGAGAGAGCGCCGACACCTAAGAAGATGGCCCCATCTTCAGCGCCTGGCTCCTCTCCCGTACCTAGCCATTTTGCCGAGGGGTCGTCAGACCCCTTTATCGGGGATGAACCCTCTGGATCTGCATCCCCGAATTTGGCGACGACCACGTCTACAAGTCCTTCGACTCTGTCGACGAAGCCCTCGAGGACCTCGCGCTCGCCGCTACCCCTTTCTTCCTCACCTACACCTACGCCAAGTTCGCCGCAGGCCGCTATCTTTATTCCGCCATACATGCTGCAAGCGGGGTTGCCACGGAGCATCACACTCCAAGTCGACAGGAAGAGGTCCCAGTAGCGGCTCAGCAAGGCAACGAACTTGGTCCTCTTGGTTTTGACAAAGAGTGCGCTGAGAGACGCGGCATGGTGCAGCAGAAAGGTCGAGTGGGCGCGCAACAGATCCTGCAGGAGGAGTGTTGCAGGTTTGACCTCGCGGGAGGAATACTCGAAGTTATCCGATGCGTCGTCTTTCGCCGCAGCACCTAGCCGGGGAGGAAGCGGTAGTTTGGTCAAGTCGATCGACTGTGGTACGCCCGTCAGAATCAGAATGCATGTGAGAGCATGCCCCCAAAGGGCCGTTCTGCCCAGTTAGATAGTGAGGGTGTGAGAGCTTACAGCAAGAATCCACCAGCCGGGCTCCAGTTCGCGCAACACGACGCGAGCCTTTTCGGTGTCGATTGTGTCCACAGACCTCCCGTCGGCAAAGTCGCGACCAAAGTCGACCATGCCCTGGGCCAGACCGATCTGGCGCAGTCGCTCATTGCGCTCGTCGTGGGAAATGCCCTCGGTCGGGCGGGCATGCGAGCCGCGGTGGCGGCGGCGCGGCGAGGCGGCCGTCTGGGACTGGGAGTTCACCGAGGCATAGTAGACGATCTGGTCATCGATGGTCTCGTCTGTGGCACCCAGGGTCGGGTTGAAGATGGCGAGGAAGCCGACCTGGGCGGGGACGAGGGAGGCGGGTTGGGGCGAGGCCGGCAGTGTCATTGCTGACGATGTCGGAGTTGTGAAGGCATATACACGATGTTCTCCTGGCCGAAGGTCGAGTCGAGCAGTTGGAGGTGCCGAGCACGATTGTCCAATGGGGTCTCAACGAGGTAGAAAACAAGACCAGCAACGGCAAGGCTCGTATGGGGAGAAACGAAGGGATCACTAAGGGGTCCGAAAAAGCACGTTCAAGAAGAGCAGGTCCAGACCTCGCACCTGCATGGGCACCAGCAACTCAATGCGCAGCGGGGGGGAGGTTGAGACAGCTCGAGGCCCAGCCCGCGGGGACGAGAGAGTAGGGCTGAAGTGCGGGTGTGGTACTTTGGCAACGGCCGTGATGGCTATTCGCGCTTGGGCAGGTCCCCGTCCTTGCGTCAACCCTCTAAAAAGGGCAGCAGGCCTACCGGTGAGAGTGCTCAGTGTATCTACAGGAGACGCAGATGCAATTGTCGCTCTTGGATGGGAAAGCTGCCAGGTGCGCTTGAGGATTTGGATCTGGAGAATACCTAATGTGCCGTACCGTACTGGGTTCTGGGTTACAGTGGCAGATGGCCCTTGTCCCACACCTAGCTTAGAGAGCCCCGCTGACGCAAATGTGGGGTGCAAGCCTCAGAAGATCGGCGTTCCAGGTATTGATCTCGCCGAGGGGATCGTGATCCCGTCCCGTGGAAATGCAACCATCCCGGGGCCAAGAGACTCACTTGTCCAGGCCTAGAACTGGCGGTGTCTGAATTGGGACGGGACTTCATCGAACCTGCAAACTAATGCACTTTTCCCTGCAGCCGCACGAGGCCGTCCAATGATACTAGTACCCGAAGCCCTATCTATCTCATCTCGGATCGCGATTGTCCTCCTTGCAATCCTGCGAGAATCAACTTGCATAGCGAGCAGACAAAATAGCACGGCAAGCACTGAGCACACGAGCGTCTCTAAGAAAAGACGAAAAGACGAAAAGACGATCTTCATCTCGGCAGTGTCAGTCACATACACTCTGATACGCTCGGTCGACTATTCGTCACTTGTGCAAAAGTTTCTGATTTTCCTGCTCCATGGGCATTTCCGAGTCAGTCACAAGAAGATCGACGTAGATGTTTCTTTGATAAAGAAAATCAATTAGCAATAGCTTCGGTCGCCGAATGAAAAATAACGGCGCCTTTCTAACCATCATGCCAAACCAGCCATGTGTTTCCGTGTGCTCCCAGCCCAGCTGCTCCACTTTCTCACGGATTGAGCTTCCTCGCTGCAACCTCTGCTTGTTCTTACACTGGGCCGTGTACTGATACAAGTATGCTGTAACTCCCCGCCTCTCTTGACGCCTACTTCCATGCGGTTGACGATGTTGCAATGTGGTCGTCCAGACTTTGGTCAAGGAATGCCTGTTGTACAACGGCTGGTTTGATCGTGCACTTCTCGGGTGGAGGGGCTGATTTGTGATGCAGCCCTCCATCTCGAGGCTAGTCAATATGGGTTTCTGTCGGTTGTAGCATGGTGCTCAGAAACATCTCGAGTATTCAAAAAAGCCCTGAACCGTACGAGCCCAAGCATCCGTGACGGCTGACGACATGGATGGAATTCCACTTAGATGCAGCCCAAAGCAATATAACGCCGGTCCCCATTTGTCATATCAGTATCCATATATGAACAAACACTTGGACATGAGTCCGTTTTTGTTAGAAGAAACCCCTCTCGTGGACGGTCATGTACCTCCTCTAGTGGTCATAGCCGGCGCCTCGTTGCCATGGGCTAGCAGTCATCGTTAGTTGGATCTCATATCACCAAGGCCACGTCGGCTTGACTTACCTGGCATTGTGCTGTGCCCGGAACGCCGCTGGGTTGTTGCCATACGGACTCGGTGCTCGTGGGGGGCCTCCAGCGGCCGGGAACAGAGGTACGGATGGGTCCACAGGTGACCGCGGCGGGTTCATGTTGCCGCGAAGAGAGCCGGAGCCGGCGTGGTTGGGCGCCCCCATCAGTGAGGTATCTGTCCGGCGACGCATCGACTCCGATGATATCGATTCGTTGTCGTCATCCAGATCAAGACCGGGCTTGTATCCGCCCTTATCTCCGCGAGCGGTGGCAGCGAGGGCGTCCAATTCGGTAGTGCCCGTCAACTGGCTTTGAGACTTCATAAAGGAGGCTCGATCATCAGCCATGAACTGGTAACGGGTGTCCGGGTTGTTGCGCCAGAAAACCAGGATGGTGCTGACGATGACCATGAGGAGGAGAACCAAGGCGAAAATGGCGTTAAGGAAAAAGAGAATCAGACCAATCACACCGTTGACCAAGGGCGGCTGGCTGAAAACGTCGGAGAAGATCAAAAGGAAAATCGAGTTGATGAAGTTGATGGCCGCAATGGCGATGTTGAAAGTGTTGGTGCTCTTGTCCATCCATGGTCGCATGACACTGGCGGCGACAAGCCAGCCGGCCTCGATGAGAAGCAGACCAACGGCCTGGGCGGTGCCGCTCTTCTGCGCGAAGGCGATGAACATGCCCTTGATGATGAGATATCCGAGCACGGGAAGGATAAAGTAGTACGCCGAGGCGCGGAACTGGATGTACAGGAATCCCCACTTGTTCAAGGCCTGGGGATCAGAGAACAGGATGTAGGCAGGGTTGCGGTGCATGGCAACAGATCTGCGTGCAATGCGGATCACCTTGGAGGCGGCCCAACCCAGAGTTGCCGTCATGCCAAAGAAGAAGAAGACGGCCAAAACCACCTCGGCAGGCGAGTCGACCTGGGTGAACTCCCACAAGCAGAGAATAGTCATCTGGGGGTATCCGATGAGGGTGAGACGGAACAGAATGCCCTTGAGGACAGTAAGCCACCCGTTTCGGAACTCGAGGAAGGTGTCAGGCTTGATCCACTTCTTCTTAGCTGCCAGCTCGCACCAGCCCTTGAAAGCAGCAACGCCCAAGATCGTGAGAACGACAAACAGGCAGAAGAATGTCAGACCGGTCATGAACAGGTTCGTCGTTTCAATGCCGGCCTTGAACGCAACACGCTGGATACCGTAGACGATGTAACTTCCAGAACCCGTCTGCACATTTGCCCGCCTCATGAGGGAAGTAGCAACTCTCGGGACGGCGGCGACTCCTCGGCGGTACAAGTTAACAGCGGCGTCGGGAATGGCGCGCTTCTCGACCTGGACGGACACGGTGGTCAACGAGTCAAAGATGGTGGAAGCAGTGCCACCAGTCGCTCGCTGGTACCAGGTGAAGATGTCCTGCATGAATTCCACCTTGATGATACCCATGGACCACTGGAAATCCTGTGTCCATGAACGCACGACAGGAGGCATGTGGACGGCGGTCAGGCCAATCATGGCCTGGGCCTGGAAGTAGCCGAACAACGAGAGGGCACCGGAAGCGATGTGCGCAGCGGCATTGGAGTGTCCCAAGCCGTTGACAATGGCGGAAGCAACGAGAACGAGGCCGGCGATAACTGCCAAAGCCCATTTCACTCCAATCAGATCAACCGTCTTTCCATTGGAAATATCAGCTTCGACACAGGCCACACTCTTACCCGTGTCCGTCATGTTCAGGAACACACGCACTGTGGCATCCAGGTCAGGGAAGTTGTAGGCAATACCGGGAATCTGTGAGGCGGCATCTGCGCCGACGGGTAAGTTGAAGTTCAAAGGGATCTTTCCGGCAGTCATGGGACACAGTCCCGCCAAGCCAGCCTTGCAGGGGTCAACCGTCGTGCGAATAATCTGATAACCGTAGGCCGAAATAGCGACGTCGAAGACGACATTACCCTCTACCGACGAAGTGGCCACAATATCTACCGACGCCGAGTTGTTATTGGGTGTGTAGACGACGTTGAAAAGACTGGCCGTGAAACTCGAATCGTCCTGGCAGGTGTTCAAGGAATTGGACGTGAGCATAGGCTCGGCCGCAACGAAGGCCGGCAACGAGGCGAGAAGGGCGAGACGCCCTAATGATGAGAACCTCATGTTTGTTGATGTGCTGTAGATTGCAAGCGCAATGCTGGTAGAGATGTGCGAATGTTGTGGATGTGCGTCCCCCGGAGTCTTGGAAGAGGGAGGCGTTCCGCCGCGTGTTCAGCTGTGTTGTCCTCCCTAGAAGTCGTGGTGTAGCGCCTTCTCTGGCCTAAGAATCAATCACATGCGTCGAGACGATGAGGGCGAGAAGAAAAGGCAGTCCGGGTGACTGATATTGGGTGGAGCCGTGTTGAGCGGCAGCGCAAGCCGTGTCGACCGACTACGATGCGTTCTGATGAATTGGCGAGTTTGTATTATTGGTCTTTACTTTGCTTCGTCGTCCTTCCCAATTGATTTGTCGGTCGGTCGGTCGCTGGTCTTGGGTTGGCGTGGCTCCCGTCCTTTGTCCGCGGGTTGTCCTTTTTTTTGATTTGATTCACTCCTGCCAACTTTAAAGCGAGAGCGCGCTTGGTGGTACGTCACCAAACGAGGAAGTAAAAAAGGGGGCCGGCGGCCGTATTAAGCGAAAGGCAGAGTTTATTCCGGGGCTCGCGGCCGGTTCACGAAGACGATGATCAACCCGTTTCGCGGAAAGGGAGTCTTCGGTGAAGGGGAGCGAGAGGTGAGTGAGCGAGCGAGTGAGTGGTGATGGAATTGGACTGAGAATAGTGGAGAGGTGAGTGGAAGAGCGAAGGACAAACAGGAAGCGAGCGAGTCGAGACGAGACAATGGACGGAGCACGGGAAGGGGGCCTCGCGTTGGGGTGTGAAGCAGAGAGAGTCAATGAAAGGAGGGTCTTGGGTCTGGTCTGGTCTCAAGAGCGACTGGCATTGACGGGGATCTGCCATGGCAATACGGGGGTTGGCTAGTCCCCCAATCCCCTACACAGGCAGGCCCTAGCAGGCCCGCCGAGCGCCAGCATGGAGCCCACACACCGCAGGCGGCCTGGTTGGCCCTGGAGGCTGGGTGGGGTGTCTGGGTGTCGCCCAGGAATGGCCCAGCAAGCCCAGAGCCAAACATCACCCAGCCCGCCCAGCCCGCCCGCGCTACCCGGCAGCTGTGTACACCCCTTATTTCCCCTCGGGTGGGGCTGCTACCTCTCTAACAGAGGCGCCGGCTCGTTGTCAGCCAGATGCGACCCATCTTGGGACCCCGCTGCTAGTGCGCCATCGTGCAGGGGACAAACCATCGGCACTCGATACCTTCTGCTCCTCTCCCACCTGTTCTCGGTCGCACATGAGATTCAGCAGCAGACAGCCCAAAGTTGTGCTCTGCGCTCTGCGCTCTGCCCGGCCGGCGCGAGATCCAAGCCGCTTGGCTTTCGACACCCGCCCACTACGACGCCATCGTGCCTGGGCATGCTGGGCTTGCTGGGCTCAATTCTCGTTTTTGGGCCGACACCCGTCATGACCTAATGCACAAACCTGCCCGCATAACAGTCCTCTCCAGGCATGGTCACACGTTGATTACCACCACCATCAGCGGCATTTTGACGGGGCACGAGGCAAGGCACGAGGCAAGGCACCATGCACAAGACCGCCACCCACTCGAACAAGGAAAATGCACAAATGGACACGATGATGACGCACCACCCATGCACAGGCTGCATCAGAAGCATGCAGTGCTGCTTTCCCCAGACTCTGTCCTGTCTCTGGCGGCTTCGCAGGCCATCACGCTTAACCTAGTAGGCCGATCTGTATCCACAAACACCAGAGTCTTTTGCTGCCATCCCAAGCAATTGCCGTAGCCCCAAACCAAGGCCACGCTGATAAAACTTCGACAGCTGTGCTGTGGCATGTAATGACATCGTCCCGCAGCCAGGCCAATCTGTTGTGGTATCGCTCTGCGACACGGCGTGTTTTGGCTCCGGGGCCAACAGATCAATGATCTGCCCTGCTCGACCACTCAAACTTCAAGCTGGGTTCGCTAGACACTCTCCAGGCTTGCACAGCCACCAGCGGACTACCAGCGCCGTAGCATATCCGATCAATCCGGCCCATTTCTCAAATTTGTGAAATCGACTGGCAGAAACCTCGTCTCATGTCAAACACGAACGGCAGCAGGTGTAATTCATTCCTAATAATAATCACCGCGTATGCGACTGTCAGGATGTGTAGTAGTAGTAGGCCGTGATCTCTTCCGTGTTTCTTCTCACCATGAGGTAAGCCGGCGTTCGACCACGCTGACCATCGAAATGGCGTTGGCCAAGTCGGGCATCGTCTTGGCACTAAGCCCGGAAGTCCGTAGCTGCAATACACAAACAGTGACTACGAACATGAAATACGAAGATGCGAGAGCGTATTCTCTGCTTCCGTCAGCTCCAGCTGGGCGGTTCGTAATATTGGCCCTTGTTACGAGTCTCTCTCTAATGAGACGCGCCTACAAACTCAGTACACAGCCTCGCTCGCGCCCACCGTTCTGTAATTGCGACCTCGCTGGGACTCGTCACCAAGCGACGCCCACGGCCCACTGGACCCAGACCCAGAGTTCTTGGGACTGGAACTTGTTTCTCGTCTCTGGTTCCCGAAATTCGCGAAACACCATAACCTTATCTCTGTCTTATTGAGCCCGTATCGCATCGTGTCAGCATCTCGCGGGAACCCGGCAGTCCATCGACCGTTCAGACCATCCACAGAACAAAACCTCCGCACTGCCCCCGCGCACATCACTCAGTCCGTCCAAGGGACCACGACCATAAATGGGGACAAATACTGGATCCCGCAGCCACAATAGGGGCACCCGTTGAATGGTGATGCACGCCTCTAACCTTCCCCTCGTAATCTTACTCAGAGACTAGTCAATCGTTTCACGTTGTCTCTCTCTTGGTGAGGCTCTACGCTCATGGCCCCAAGACCTCACAGCCTCACTTGTTTGCGATCTAGCACGACATCGGCAGCAGCGGGCATTCCGGGATCCGTACGCTGGTTTGGCAGACAACTTAAGTTAGCGGGCCAGTTTGAGCTGTACAACGGTACATCTCGTCTAGTCCAGCCGTGACAGCCGTCCCGTTCATCCCAGATGATGATTGCCTCTTAGGCATTCCAGATTTCATGCTTATCTAGCTACAGAACTGGAAACATATCGACGATGCTCCAATTGCGTGATTGCCTCAGAACCCCGAGCAAGCCTAGTTCGATTCTCCCAGATCCTGACTGCCCGATCCGTTGGCTCAATCCTCCCGCTTCGACGATGCACGTCCAAAGTGGACCCGGGTAAGCTCTAATGCAGGTACGGCACCGAAACCCCTACGATCGTTATCTGCCGTTGAAGGATGCGGATCCTCGCAGTTTCAACTTCGTCTAATGGCCATCACACTCAATTGCTCAGAAGGATGAAAGCCCAAGTCTATCAGAAAGCGTCTGAAACAGCACGCCTGGCTATTGCAAGTCCACCAAGTGCTCTATACCGCCTTGCGCGGCACAGGTCTATCCCAAGGGACACTATCATTGGTAGGCGATTCATTATACTCTACTCCGCTATTCTACAAACAACATGCTACTGGTGATCTGTGCGACTGGATCGAGCAACACCAAGATGAAAGTCTATCTGCATCCCAACGACTACCTGGAATATCCAGCCATTCCTTGAATACCCATTCGAGTGCATTGGTCACACACCAATACTTCCAGAAGCGATAGGAATATATACATTGATGTTTAGTGCCGCCGTATATCGCCATTTATAGTGCTATTCCCGGGCCAGCATATAGCTCGAATATCAGTTGACGCCGATCCTTATGCTTGATTGTATTCGAACGCCCCTGGCAAGCCATTACTCGATGTCAGAAACTCTTCCAAGAATGTAGTGTTTCCACCCAAATAAGACAACAGGCATGCCACAGCAAGATCTAGGCGCTCTACGGAGCATGAGTCTCAAAACAACTGCCACTCGCGATCCCACGGCTTGTTGCCCTTGGAGTAGTCGATGCCGTGCTTGTAGTTGCCCGTCAGCTCCTCCTCGTCGACGCCGCAGTGCGTCAGCCCGTCGCGGCCCTCGAACCAACCCAGCCCGTACGTCTTGCCGATGTCCTCGAGCCTGCCGACCATCTGGGCGTTGGTGAACTTGGCCGTGCCCACGAAGTCGTACAGCATCTTGCTCTGGTGCATGAAGGCCAGCACGCTGGCGATCGTGTTGGGCTGCCGCGGCAGGAACGGGTGGCGCCGGCGCGCAAACACCGTCGCCGCCACCACGAACATGTACAGCAGGATGAACACGGTGAACACCAGCGTGATGGCGAAGGAGAGCACCGTTTCCTGGCCCGAGTTGAAGTCTCGGTTCGGCGCGTCCGTCGTGGAACCTTTGGAGGCGTCGTCTTGCGCGTGGCGGATCTGGTCGATGAAGTCTTTGCCGTCGACCGTTGCGAGCGAAGTCACGAAGATGGTCAAGAATTCCGAGAGCACCGTGCCGAAGCCGACGAGACAGACGACCCAGTGCTTGTTCAACATGGCGCGGAAGGCCACCCAGGCGAACGGCATGGCCGTGTAGTCTAATGTGAGAGTCTTGGAGGGTGCATGTCGTTTCGACAAGATATAGTATGGCTCCATCATGCGAATGCCCGTGTCCAGACTGCCCCAGGCGAGCTTGATGCAGACCGCGAGCGCCGTCACAACCCATGGGGCCTTGTCCGTAAGCTCACTCGCGGGCGTGAACAAGAACAGGGGGATGAAGCCGAGAAAGAGCAATATGCCGAGGATGAAAGGTATCCCGCCCTCGGCCCGCAGCATCAGCGGATGGGGATTTTCAGGTAAATGCGCCTCGCGGTACTTGTCCTGCTCCTGTCTTGTCATTGGTGAAGCCTCGTCTGGAGCTAGTGAGGAGTTTCGTAGTACGTATCGGTGATTCCTCAGCTTGTAGTGGATGTCCTGTGGTTTTGCGACATCCATGTCCTTGAAGTCCGTCATGATGTGGCTTACAACCGCCATGGAGGCGAGCCCGGCGATGCCCTTCACGTCTCCTGCTAATCCGGAACGCCGCCTCTCAAGCTGATAGAACAGGACCATGCCTAGAACGGCGATGGTCACGAACGTTGTTGTCAAGAGGCGAGACAAGGCCGGGTTGATGGTGATTGTCTTCTCCACGTCGAGATTTGCGTGCCGGGTTGCCCTATCTGGCCCCAGAACTATGGCAGCCGAGCCCAGAGTCGGCACTAGAGAGACTGCCAGGATGCTCGTTATGGAAGATACGGCAACCGCGTAGTGCTTCCGTTTAATGGCATGGAAGGGCCTCTTGAAGTTGAGTAGAGTAATGTAGTCGATGTTGATCGATTCCGCTGCCAGCGCACCACCGTCCTTCGACATCTGGTAAAATGCTTCAAAGCGCTTGACCTCGACGTCCGTGATCGACCATAAAACACCGAAAGTGACGGTTACAATGGTAGGTAGAAATTTCAGGACAAAGTAGTCGAAGGGCTTGATATCTTCCGGTTTCTGGAACTTCATGAGTGGTGCAGATGCCGACTGTTGGTAGAGTAGTTCTTGGCCAATAGCCAGGCCAAGTGATAGAACTATAAGACTTATCAGATAGGGCCATCGCATCGAAAAGGGCTTCCAGTTTGGTTGCGGGTAGAAGACCTCCGTTTTGGTTTCCGACCTGGGGAAAGTTGAGCGACGCATCTCGGGTCCGAGACCGATAGGAGCTGGTCCGGTCATGTTACTCAGGTCGATCTCAGAGGGTTCTTCTATGATGAGTTCGATCACTTCTCCGGTCTTGTTGGCCGCGGTCTGTCCGAGACCTTTGATCCCTGCCTTTCCCATAGTTGAATTCCTCTTGGTTGAAAGTGCTCGGGCGAATGAGAAAGAACGACTCAGTGTCGGACTGGTGGCCAGCAGTTCATCGGTGTTCATTCTTGTGTCCGGTCCTATCCCAGCCCCCAAACCGCCCGTGAGCTTTCCATTGGCCTCCTGCTCCTGGAGCTTCTTGATGAACTCGTGGTCTTGGGCGCTCATAGGCCCAGAAAATGTAGACAGATCGAAGATGGGCTCGGCTGGCTCCTCTTCAGGCACCGCAGCATATCTGCTAGTGCCGAAGGGAGCAGCCGATTTGAGCAGGGACATATCGTAAGACTCATCATCCGTCATTGCGTCTTGCGACCATGCACGACGAGGTTGCTTCCGATCCTTACTGGGGCTGGATGTAGCTGATACCGGCGCATAACCTCCCGCGGAACTAACTTGCCCCGACCATGTGGAAGCCCCAGAGTAGACATGCTCATCATTCTCGGCGGCAGGGCCTAAGCGCTGCGACCTGTAGTTTGAGTCGAGCGATACGAGAGACTCTCTACCGTGGAGTCTCGCCGGAGCAGTCCTTTCGTACGGGTTGTTCGACATGGGCGAGTCTCTATGCAAAGTGTTTCGATCATTCCTAGTCGCATCCCATGGCGCATTCCGTGAATAGTCTTGATATGCCATAGCTGCCGTAGCATCATGTCGTCGAGCTGAAAAGCACCATCTCAAATGTATTGGCGAGAAACGAGCGACGAAATCATGGAGGCAAGAGGATGCCTCGTCCTCCTCTAGACACCACTCAATATGGCGCAAAACTGAAACAGATTGTCCAGCTGAAATCCGGGTGCAAGAACACTGGTCCGCGCAAAGGCCTCTCCTCGCCGAAGAACGGTTTTGACCGACTCAAGAGCTCGAGACTCTATTTCCGAACAGCGTGGACAGAAAGGGATACCGAGGTGACGCAGCCAAGGTCACGTTGTTTGAGGAACCCAGAAGGATCGGCCAGGAGCAGTGCGGCTGAACTTAGCAAGACACAAGTACAGAAGTCCGTCGGGCTTAAGTCCCGTCGCGCAATTACAGGCTCACAACCGCCAGGTCTTCAGTTTCCAGGTCAGTGGATTTGAAGAAATTAAGTATCCAGAGGTTCGACTGGAGTTAACAACGATCCGGAGGACGGCTCCCTACTCGGCTCACCGAGGCAGTGCAAGAAACGCTCGGTAAGTCACCCTCTCCAAAACCAAGGATTGCGAGCCCCCAGGAGTGACAGGGGATGAGCGATCCAACATCCCGCTTCTTCAGAGGCGCTACGCGACGGCTTCAAAGTGGGAACCGCCAACGCGGTTATTCTCCGTGCATCGGGGGGGCTGAGATTCGTTCTTCTTGGCCTCGCTCACGCAGCTGGCTTCTGGGGGACTATTTGCACTGGAGCCAAACACCGTGACTACAGCGCTCCAACTGAGCGGACGGCCTCCACTTTCAGACCCAATAGCTTACAAGAACTGTGGAGACTTGGGCGCTTAGAGGCAGCCCTGGAGGTTCCTAGCAACTCTAAATTGGTAATCTGGCCAATGAGTGCACGGGGGCCTTCTCTATTAATAGACGACTGCTGCAAGTGACGTCCCTGACAAAGACCACACAGGCTTGTTCAAATATAGGTTTTATACATGAGCACCTGCATGTGTTACTGATTGAAAGATGGTGCAGACAACCTCAGGGCTAACGGGCAATCGACGACTGTCTAAAACACTTAGCGTATCGTCCTTTACAGCCCTAGAGCGTCCAGCTGCTACCGGTGGCCCACCGAATCCGGGGCATTTCATTCATACTTGAATTTACAACAGTAAATGGCTTCCTTTCGGACTCTCATCATCGGGGTTGTCGATCACGTAATTGTAACCGTTATAGCACTGTCTTAGCAGTAAGTCTACTGAGCTCATCCGGACAATTGATTTCGTGATGCGGTCAATAACACACGAGAGTGGCTATCCTCAGCCGGGATCGGACTGGTAGTGGAGTGCATGTCAGTTAGAGAAACCAATTCAACCCAACTCACGGCGTGGTTTGATTCACTTCGACGTAGAGCTCCGCATCATGGAGGAGGCTACGTCATGAGTAGCCAGATATAGGGGCTTAGGTCTTCAAGGGCGAAAATATGTTTGAACCAACTCCAATAACGTGATCGCAGCACAAGGCTTTGGTCAATTGGGCAAGTCACACGAATCCAAGAAGCACGCGAACGGCCTTCAGAAACACAGCGTCAGGGACTGAATGATCTTCCTTGTGGTAATGCTATTATAGTTCATTGACTAGTTGATATCTTAGTCTTCACTCTCCTCTACGTTAGACACTTTGACTTGCGATCCCCTCCATTTTTGTAGTAATGGCAAGCCGATGCCGGTCCAAAGTGTTAACGCAGCAACCATTGCCAAGGAGCTCGCCCATCCGTGTGTCTGCTTGAAGGTCGGCGCTTGGCTACTCGGCATCTGAAGCTGCTGGAAAGGAATCACGACTGCCTGGCCAACAGAAACCATGAAGCCCAAAACAAATGCTCTCTTTTGTTGGTCCCCTCCACAAGCCTCATTGGCCCAACCGGCCAAGAGGGGTGTATAGCACCCATAACATCCTACCAGGATGAAGACAGCCAGTCGAAAGGAGTGCGAAACATTCCACACAGTTAGCACGGCGTAGTCAAATGTCAGGAGGCATCCGACTGCAAAGCACACTGGCCCACGGCGGCCGATCTTGTCCGCAATGAATCCGGTTGCCACCATGAAGACAAAGTTGACAGCGCCCACGGACGTCGGGATGTTATTGATCTCCGGGACAGTGTACATCTTCGTCGATTTCAAATATAGGGTAAAGTACTGGATGATGTACGAGCCGCATGTCAAGGTCCAGAAGCAGTAGGCAGCTGTAAAGGCATAAACCTGCCACGATCCAAAGATTCGGCGGATGACGCTAAGGTTCAATTTGCCGACAGGCTTGCGGCCCTCTTCATCGATGCGTTCACAGGCTCGTCGCCTCTCCCATTCATTGAAGTAGAATGCTTTGGTTGTGTGGGGCGTGTCAGGGAAGCAGATCTTTTGTGAATGTTAGCCAGGTAGGTCTTATCGTGACATAATAAAGGGAAAAAGAACGCTTACCAAGCCATAGACCACGACAGGAACAGCGATGATAAAGTCAAAGATGAAGAGCCACCTCCAAGCGGATATTCCGCCCCTGCCTTCCATTCCCGAGTAAAGGGCGGATTGGAGGTAGCCAGAGAACATCTGACCTAGGACACCGCTCATGACAAAAAGGCCAGAACGACGAGCAAGCTCGCTCTTGCGATACCAAGACCCAATGCAGTACATGACACCAGGCCAGGCAGCCGACTCAAAAAGGCCGATGAAGAAACGCAGTACGTAGAACTGGTGTGCGTTTTGGCACTTGAACAGGAACAGCACGAATAGTGACCAGGTGAAGAGGCACCCGGAAAGCCAGAAGCGTGGGCGAACGACGGTGATGACCAGGTTCGCGAAGGATCCGCCGATAATGACACCGATGTTGAAGTACGTATTCATCCAGGAAAGCTCATCTCCAGGACCAAAACCGAGCTCCTCAGACATGCCAGAGACATATGCATTGGCGATGTTATTTTGGTCCAGCTAGACAGCTGGGTCAGATCACTTTGGCAAGGCGAGGTCTATCGATCTCAGTCTTGCTTACCTGCTTCACGAAGTACATCAAACAGCTGAAGCTCAAGAGGAACCAATCCAGCTTGAAGATGAGCTTCTTCTCCTCCGCTGACGTGCCGGGTTCGTGCCAGTGGAACCATCTGGCCGGCTCCGGCTGTTGTGGAGTTGTAGTCTTCGAAACCACGCCTGCGTCTTTCTCGGAAGAGGCGGACCCTCCATCGTGGTCCCGGACGTGAATTGTGTCCGGGTCTACGGCCTTGATGGCATTCGCCGCGTTGCTGTCCAGGTGGGCCATGGCGAGGTCGGTTGCCGTACGGTAGCGTGGTCGGAAGACAAGCAGTCACAAAAGAGGCCCCTCTGCACGATTGACTCCTTCGTGGGAACGACGGATGCAAACGCAAAGTTCTTAAATCAGAATTATAATGAGTATAGCAACTATCTCATCAATGGCGCCATCTTGGGGCTTGATGATAACAATTTTTTCTGGGTCGTTGCTTTACCATTTGTCCCCCCTAGTCATTGCAACGGTAAGGCAACTGAGTCGGGCGTCGCGCGACACCCACGCGCTAGCAATGATATTGGTGGTTTTTGATCGGGCCAGCGCCGACTTTGCCTCCTAACTATCGAGAAAGCAGAAACTCTGTCGGGCAATGCCCGAAGCGTTGCCGGATAAGATACAGCTTATTACGACGCCTTCTATCTTAGTCCTCCATCCTAAAGGAAAAGGGAAAGCGAATAGAAAGAGAAAGTAGGGAGAAAGGCAAGAAGCAGACGAAGAGAAAGGCTGATCCGTTGACGGGCACCATGGTGGACTTCGTCGAGGTAAATAATGCTCGACTTGCTTACCGCATCGCGGGTAGCGAAAATGCCCCTCTCATGATAACACTTCATGGCGGACGAGGCTTTGGTATGTCCAATAGTCATGCGTAGAGACCTGTGGCTTACAACCCAAGCACAGGAGATCATAGATCCGATTTCAGAATCTATAGCCAGTTAAGCGACCAGCTGCGTGTTTTATCATTTGACTACAGAGGCCATGGACAAAGCAGCCATACCAAGCCATACACGTTCGAACAGATCGTCGATGATATTGAAGGCCTCAGAAAACACTTCGCCGGCGACAAACAAGTCATCATTTGTGGTGGAAGCTTTGGGGGCTTCCTTGCTCAACATTATGCGATCAAGTACGCGGCTCACGTCTCGTACCTGATCCTGAGGGGCACAGCTCCATCGCATCATCGTAGGTTCTCCATCACGAAACCATGCCTGATCTATATTCGTTCTCATCATCTTCACAGACGAAGAGGGGGCGATCAAGACCCTCGAAGAGAGAATACACCGAGTCCCGAGCTTTTCTGCCCATATGCTTAGGAGCAAAGTGTTTGGCGCATTCGAGAGCGATATAGAGTTCCAACTTGTGTACTTCGCCATGCTGCCCCTATACGATGAGAACCAGGACCCAGATACTGGTCTTCGAAAAGCCCTCGATACTGTCTATAATGCAGAATCACACAGTATGTTTGCCTTGAATGTGTAGGTTAGTTGACAGTTGTGGCTGACTCTGGGTCATTGCAGATGATCTTTACTCTGAGGAAGAGAAATACTTCGACTACACAGATCGCTTATCGGAAATCACAGCAAAGACACTTGTGATTGTCGGTGACAGAGACTGGATCTGTCCACCAGGTAAGAGGATTCGCATATAACAAATGCCCGAGTCAAACCACTGACCGTGTTTTGCCTTTCAAACTAGATAACTCGAAGTTGATCGCCTCGAGAATCCCGAGGGCAGAGCTGTTCACGGTAGAAGGTGCAAATCACGGCGTTCATGCTGAAAGACCCGAGCTGGTGCTTGCTAGGATTCGTAAACATGTTGATACAAACATTTAGAAGAGTAAATCGGCTTATAATTCTTATTAACCGGATTGTGCTGCATATCCACCGTAGTCACATTCGTTCAAGAAAGACATTGAGAATGAGTGACGGTTGAATTTCTTCCAGCCATGAGAAAGCTAACGTTATCGACCAATTATAGACGGTTGCTTATCAGGAGCGCCAAGTGGGCTGCTATCTGTGATGAATGGGTTGCCACTAATTAGTCGGCTTCAAAGTACTTCTATAGCACATCGGAAGCGTTTGGCAAAGGGGCATCGCAACGTCCTCCCGCATATCGCTTCTCTAGTCGCGACAGCGATATGATTGAATATTTTGCTGGTTACTAAGAGCTATTGTGTACGTCAGAATTGACACCAGTGCCGAAAGCCATTCGGGATGATACCACTCATTGGCTACCATGAAGATCGGCCGTCGTCCGCCAGCTGCGCATCAAACAACACCACCTTAGCTCGAGAAACTCACTGAACACAGACAAAACTATCCAGCAGTAGCCATCTGGCCTGGACTGGAGATGGCCGCATGGCGTTCGCAAGTCTTAAAACGGTGGTGCCGGGTCCGAGGCGGATGCACAAAGGGGCCGTCCTATTTTGCCAAAATACAGCCGAGTACGACGTTGTCTCAGCATCAAACCGCGTTACATATAGGTGACCTATGCTGCTCTACACGAAGCAATCTGGCACAATCACGTCATTTATTCATCCACTCCATGGCTAACCGCGTAGTCAAGAGTCTGGACTCCGCCAGTGCATAGTCTATTGCTCTTTTCGCAAATCACCACCACCTGCAGAGCTCGCAGTCATGTCGGGCGACCCGATATGGTCAAACGAGGAAACACAGTACTTGAAGGCACTACTGTCTTTCAATGCATCCGCGCCAAGCCTCTCGGTGACACCCCAGCCAGAGGAGGTGAAGAAGCAATCCGTGGGGGAGTTCAAGATCTTGGTAGTCGGCGCGAAGGGCTGCGGGAAATCAGCGGTGATCTCAAAGGTGAAACTGAGACGTACTTGCTTTGGTTCTTTGGCAGACTAACCGTGTGTAGTTTCGGACGGATGATCTGCCTAGTGCACCCGTAAAACGTGACGACCACTTAGAGACCAGCTGCCGGCATCAGATCCAAGTTGATGGATTATATTACACAGTCGAAGCCCTCGAATACCCATCGAGAGACTTACTTAGCGACCCACAACTCTCGCATGCTATAGACGTCACCGAAGCCGCGGTGTTGATGTACGATATCAAGAACCGTGATTCTCTGCAACTGGTAAAGGGCATCTATGAGCTGGTGCGAGATACGGTAGGGGTCTCGGATTATGGTCTCCTGTTGCTCGGCAATAAGTCAGATTGCGAAGACGATGAGAGAGAGATACCATGGGCGGATGGCAGCAAGGTGGCAGCCGCGTTCCAAGCCGAGACAACGTTCATGGAAACGTCAGCGGAATCTGGGGAGAATCTTGAAAGGATATTTCCGCATCTGGGCAGGGAAATTCTCAGGATCAGACAATTCAAACTGCAGCGATGGCAACAGTTTCTGGCCGCAGAAGCTGCTACGCAGGAAACCAAGGGGCCAACGCAGCCATTGTCCAGGTGGAGAAGGTGGTTTTGTCCATGGTATCGACGGAAGCCAGCTGGGCCGACTGTGGTCCCTGATTATCTCTAGTATCTTTGATTCTTATGTTTTGTAAATCTGATTACACTAACAAGTGTGAGATGCATGTTCTTAGCTATATAAGGGACTTGGTAACGATCATGATGACGGAAGCTGTTTTTAAACTTGAACGTCTCTCTCCATACGAAGCAGGAAAAAAAAAGAGCAATGGCGGAGTTAGGATACACCCCTTCAAGAGGACTTGTAAGTAAAACTTAGTCCTGTGCTATTTGTAGCCCGGCGCATCTGATACTTCAAAGCGTCGTAGTCAGCACTACGTCTTCGAACCAATCGTAGAGCTCTCTGTCCTGAGCTACACTTCCGCTTACTTGCTTAATGACCCAGTGGTCTTATAAGTGGGGTAGGCTTCTCCAAGTACCAATTTTTGTACCATTGCAGGAACCATGAACAGTAGGACCCATGATTGCTACCAGCATATAACACGTAAGCTTAGAAGCAAATCCATAAAGTAACGATGCCAAACCAAAAGCCAACAATTGCTGTCATCCCGGGCGCCTGGCTACCTCTCGGTGCATATGATGATTATCTGTCAGCACTCAAGGAAGCTGGATACCCGGGCCTCGGGATCGGCTACCCGTCCTTGGACCCGGAGGACCCGTCTACCACAGATATCGCAAAGGATACGACTGCGATTCGAGAGGCGCTAGTCCCCTTGCTTGATGAAGGGAAATATGTAGTCCTTGTACTGCACAGCTATGGCAGCATGCCCGGAGCGGCGGCCGCTAAGGGACTCTCGACAACCGAGAGACTGGATGCGGGCCTGCCGGGCGGAATAGTCGGGCTCATATATGTCTCCGCATTCGTGGTCTCGGAGGGCGTGAGCTGCGTCGGCATGACGGGCGGCGGGCTAGCACCCTGGATCCTACGAGATACCCTCAAGGCCGGGCTTACACTGCCGGAGAAACCCGCGCGCATGTTTGGCAGCGACTATCCTCCAGGCGAAGCAGAGTCTCGGGGGGCGGCTTGCAGGCCACATGCGTCCCTGGCCTTCGAGACACCCCAGCTGCCGCCGGCCGCAGAGGACGACGCATTTACGGGGAAACTGGGCTACATCGTTACGACGCAAGACGATGAGGTGCCCAAGGAGGCCCAGTATGCCATGATTGGCGGTCTCAAGAAGGACTGGGTTGTGAGGGAGATTGCTGGGAGCCATATGTCACCCTTTGGGGGACGACGTCTCGCAGATAGCATCCAAGCCCTTACTCAGTTGATCGAATCCTTCGAAAAAGTCTGACCAGGGCGGCAATAGATGCTCAAATAGGGCAATGACCAAAATGCGCTGTTAATTCTAATTCATGGTTTCATCCTCTTTAATCTAAGCGATGCTGTGCCAATATACTTTCACATGAGTGATCATCAAGGTGGATGTAAATATGACTAGTGCCGCAATATAGCTCTAGAGTTGACCTTGGTATATGACTATGCGCAGGCACAAGATGGGAGACGAAACGCAGAGACCTATAATGCCTGCACCGGCCCGTTGGGCGAGGAATTTTGAAGTAGCGAGCGTTGGTGCGTTTGATCGTCTCACCGCCAACCATGTGACCAGATCCGTAGATGATTGCTGTGACATTCCATTGCTATGGACCACCAAAGTATATACATTAGAATTGAATTCTATCATTCCCGTCCAAACGACGAGGTAGCCTTGCGGGCTCTTGTGGCCGCACCAAGGTTTTTTTTCCCTTCCCACGCATCCAAGGGCAGAAGCTTAAGTCTTATCCACATGGCCCAATTGTCAGTCCGTAAACGCCGGTTTTATTTTACGTTAAAACAATGCTGACAGGACCACTAGCTGGTATCTGCAAAATCCAGACAAGTGGCTTCCGGTGCTATAGGCAAGATGGCTTAGCCACTGAAGCTGTTGTAGGACCAAGTAACATCAACAACACCGGCAGTAGTCGAGCCCATGAGGTCGAGGAAGATCTTCTCCGACACATCAATGCTGTCTGGCGTAGGGCAGCCAGGGCACTTGTCACGAATGATGCCAGTAGTGCTCTTGCCGTTAGCGGCTGTAATGGTGATCTCTTGGCCACACAGAGGGTGGGCGGGTTGGTTGAGGCCGTAGCTAGTAAGCGAACTGATGGCATCCCAGACACCGGCGCCCATGGCGACGATGTTCATGGTATCGTCATCACCGGCGTCGTCCCAGCCGCAAGAGCCAAGGCCGACTGTGTAGTAGGTCATCTTACCACTCTTTGCGCTACCGGAGCTGCCACCAGAGCCAGCGGTCGTAGTCGGAGCGGGTGCAGCAGCAGTAGTGGTAGACTCAACTGGGGGCGCTGCGTAAGTAGTTGAAGGCTCAGCTACAGGAGTCGTGCTGGTGGTTGGCTCAGGGGCGGGAGCCTGGTAGGTGGTGGGCTCAACCACAGGCTCAGCAGTGGAAGTGGGTGGTGCAGCAACCGAGGTGGTGCTGGTGCCAGCCTGGAAGAACTGTCCAGGAGAGCCGGAGGCAGAAGCGGCCTCGGTCTTGGCAGCGGGAAAGTAGGTGTTGGTAGCGGACTCGTCAATTTCGACGGTGACGGTCTCGTAAACTGTCTCCCATTCGACGACAAGCTCGCGCTTCTCGTGGTGGTGGCGGCGATGGGGACCGTGGGGTTGGGCCATGGCAACAGTGGCCAGCGCAGCGGCAGCGATGATTGCGGACTTCATTTTTGCGGTGAGGGTATCTGCGGTTGCAAAAGCAAGATAAAATGCTCAGAGGACCAGCCGGGAGTCGTGTTGGGTATGTTGGTATGCGAAATTGTGTGAGTCCTAGATCATGCGTGCGGTGTAGAACCGAGTAGATGGCGTCGCACTGCGTTCGGTGCGAATGAACGTGATCAGCAGCTTTTGGAAAATGAATGTATACAGTGAGCACTGCTCGTGGAAATGAATGTGTAGTTCGTGAAGATCACAACTGAGAGAGGCCGCGAGATCGAGAAGAAAGGACTGCCGGGGCCTTTATTACCTCTGGGGCAATGGCAGGGGGGTTGAGGGAGGGAGGGACAAAGCAAATCTAGTCTAGGACGAACTGAGCAAGGTCTGGACGATGCGGAAACAAAACACCCAGGCCAAACTGGCTCGCTTTCTTCCCTAATTGGACAACGAGGGGCTCGGACGATGGGCGACGGGGGTGCTGCGCCTGCTGGAAAACGGGGCAACCCGTACCTGGGTCGCAACGAGGCCGGAGTGAGGGCACATCGCAACTTGCGTCTCTCGTGGTCGAATGGGGAGCAGGGGGGGTACTTGGGCGTATCCCGGGCTTGCAAGGCCAGCCGGTGGCCCTAGAGCTGCAAGGCACCGCCAGCGCTATATCGAGCAGCCAATCACCCCATCCAGATCCCTGGGATAAGCTTAATGCAGGGGTATATGTGCCTGGCGATCCCTCGAAAAGCCCTCCCGACCGTCCACGACATCCGGACGCTCCATCCTAGCTTGCATTAGCAGCTCATGTCCGCGGATGATGGCGCCTTCAGATGCAACATGGGCTGACTCCTCGAGGAGCGCTGGAAAATCTTGCAACTCCACTAACCACCAACATGTCCCAGAGCCCAGCTACGCCGCTACGCTACGGTAGGCATGTGGTGGCAATGGAGGCAGCCAGCGGGCCAGTCACCGTGCGGTCCAAATGGTGGTGCCAGCGCTGGATTACCTACTAGCTCAAAGATGATGCGGCCATGGCTCGAACGATGGGCTGGTGTCGGGGTGCTGCGATAGCCTATAGCCTTCAACATATGTGCGCCTGCGGTATTTGTCTACGAGAAGCCCAGCTTCTTGGGTGAGGAGAAACGTAGGCTGGCTCCCATGCCTGAATGTATGTAGGTATGTTCAATAGTTGACTTGGGGGCCCCACGTTGACGGGACGTGGCAGGGTCCGCTCACGGAGATCAGCAAGATCTCTCGGCAGTCATCTTCCAGAGGGTTAGTTACTGTAAATTACGTACTTGGGGACTTGGTACAGAACATTATTCTCCGAGACGCAGACACATGCAGCTATGCACGCACAACATTCTCGCCGGTGGTAGGTAGTATTTATGGAGATACATGTCGTGGTTGGCGCTTGCAATGTAGCCAGCTAAAAAAGCATTGGAGCAGACCGGAACATGAGCGGTAAGGGGGCACGTCTTACATGCAGCCCAGGGAGAGGTGTGGGAGCGAGGAATGTGCGAAACGCTGCATCTTGATTTGTCTAAACAGCCTCACCCTATTTGAGAACCAGTGCGGTTCGTTGTCTTACTCCTGAAGCTGTACAGAAATAGCCCTTGTCGACTGAATACTGGGCGGTCCTCATCGTGGACTTCAGCCACATCGAACGCCTTCTGCGCCTTTTTGAGGAACTGCATGTCGGCGCGGCGTCTCTTCTTGAAACAGAAGTAGATTGTTGCCGACGGGCACAGAGACAGGAGATCGGAAAGCGTCGTCATGAGCAGAGGGAAGGCTGGCTCAAAGTACACACAGTCGGCAGCCAGAATGACATCTGGTTGGAAGTCTACGATCTCCTGCGCAAGCGCCTCTCCCCTAGAACCCCGCTACTTGTCAGAGCCTCTGCAACCACGCGGCAGAGATGGCCACGCCCTTGCTGCATCTTTGAGCGGTACGAGACCTCGGGAATTGCTACTTACCAGTTCAGAATTGCAGCCTTGACGCGACCCTGAAGCTCGTTCAATTCGATGTTGTGTCCCATCAGCGAGAACATCTCCAGCTGGTCGGTAATATAGAGCGGGTTTTCGAGCTCGCAGCCGCTGGCGACCGCTAGGCCGACAAGCCCGCCGCCGGCACCGAGCTCTAGACTGTTGGGGAACGTACCATCAGCGAAAGGATTCAAGGGCTAGACGTCTGCCATGGTACGGTGACAACGCATCGGGCAGTTGACAAACCCACATTCTTGACTCGCGCAGATCCTTTTGGTGGTAACGGAGCATGTGCTTCGCCAGGACCATACCCGCCGGCCATGTCTGCCCACCACAGCCAGAAGTCAAGTCCTCGTGTAGCCGCAGAGGTTTTGCAAGGTGGCCATCAAAGTCGAAACCAGCCGTGGCCGCTGCTTTGTATGCGGGCAGAGGGGCAAGATCGACGCCGACTGCCAGAGGCGAAAACTCTGGAGTAGGAGATCGGCTGCCAGCCATTGTATTTCCTTCGGCTGAGTGGAGGGTAAAGGTATGTGAATGGGTGCTTAATAATATGCCAGAAGACGGGGATTGGAGAAAAAAAATGGAAGTGGTGCTGTTGGTGAGTGAAGCTGCATCGTCAAGAACTGGTTAGTGCGCCTGTCAAATTCGACTGGATCTTATCTCGCCCGAAAGGGCGAGGGCTAGTGCAACAAGCTCCCGCCTATCGATTCAAGATGCCATTCACAGCTTGCCCGTCTCCCTCATCTTTCCTCGTCGTAATATCGAACCACCATGCCTGTTCCTTGTTCTACACACATCCTGAGGCCCCATTTGGGTCTTTGGCAATTTGATACGATCCCTCGGGGGAGTTTTACGTAGCCTGGATGCCTCCGAGGAATCTGATCCTCCACCAACCCCATACTTTGAGCAATGCCATATCTTCGCGTGGCAAGACATCGAAATTCCTACGATGAATTACGCGCATGTGGCCCGCGATGGGCCTCTGCCCAGCCACTCTACGCGTTTTGCAATCTGCAGTGGCTCTACGCATGAAAGGGCAGGCAGACTGTGATGTAAGTATTCTGTGCAATGGTGAGCTTGAGAGCAACCAGCTCTTCAACCACAACCTTTCTTGCCCAGATCTAGTCACTATATCCTGTCATCCTACCATAACGACTTTTGCTGTGTATAGCATGTTATCCGTCCACTGAACTCTATTGCGCACTCTGCGCCGGCTCTCTTATACGCGATTATATGCGATTCTTAACCTCACGATGGTAGCAGGATGGGTGCTATTGTCCATCATCTTATCATGTACTCAGCTGATTAGGTCTGCGCCGGTCGACTACTTCCCTATTAACTCCCAGCTGCCTCCAGTGGCACGCATTTCCCGGCCTTTCTCCTTCGTCTTCTCTCCTCTGACCTTCTCATCCCCGGACCCGATATCGTATACGCTGGTGGATCCTCCTTCTTGGCTCTCCATCGATAGCAGCGATCGGCGGCTGTTTGGAACGCCAGAAGATCAAGATATTCCTTCAGGAGAAGTAGTAGGAATACCGATCAGTATATTGGCCGAAGATCAGTCAGGTTCCACCACTGTTAATGCAACTTTGGTGGTATCCAGAAACCCGACACCAGAGGTTACGATTCCTCTCTCGGAACAGATCACAAAGTTTGGGCGTTCTTCAGGCCCATCCTCACTCTCCGTCAAGCCGTCGGAACAATTCAGGTTGACATTCGATCCCAGAACCTTCGGCGAAACTGACTTGGAGTATTACGGGGTCTCTAGAGACAACACACCGCTTCCATCTTGGCTTTTATTCGACCCCAATAGTCTATCTTTTTCTGGGAATGCACCTGCTTTCGAGTCATTGCTTCAACCACCCCAGAAGTTTGACTTGAAGCTCATAGCATCGGACGTCGTCGGCTTCAGCTCTGTGTTAATACCATTCTCTATTATTATCAGCGTTAGCGAATTGACGGTTGACTCCCCTGTGGTAATCTTACAAGCCAGAAGAGGGAACGCATTCCGATACAGCAATCTCACCCAGATCATCAAGCTCGACGGTAGACCCGTTGCTGCAACGAATATAAGCTCTATATCGACGAACAACCTTCCCCTATGGCTCAATTTCGACGACAGAACATGGGAGCTTAGTGGAATGCCGACGCAGTCTGATAGCACTTCAAATGTTACAGTAATCATCGTCGACAAATTCTCAAATGAGGTCAAAGTCACTTTGGTAATAGACATAGACACGGAGATATTTCGCTCGGATATACATCCCTTGAACGTCTCTGCTGGGACTGAGGTGTTGGTCGATATCAAGCCCTACCTGTGGAACTCGTCGGATGTTGAGTTGAAAATTTACAGTGGCCCAAAAACATCTTGGGTACACTTTGATGCCTCCAGATTGGCTTTGTTGGGGACCGCCCCAACCTCGTCTTCGGCTTTAGACGCTGAAGTAAACCTGAAGGCAACATCAAAAACGACGCAGGAGACAGAGTCTCGCCGCCTATTGATCCATATCACCGCAGCCCAGCCAAGATCACTGTCCAGAATCCCAACGGCTCCAACCTCGATACGAACAGATAGTCCGCCTTCCCAACTCCCCAAGGATCTGGACACCCAAAAAACGCCCAATGACACGCTACTCTTGGCGATTCTCCTGCCCCTTTTCCTCGTATTCATCATACTAATCGTATCACTTTTCTGCTTCCGAAGGCGTCGTAGGAATCGTGATCATAATCATGTTATCGAAGTTTCAGCACCTATTCCGGGCACTTTCGTAAAACACGACGCCAGCAGCCTCGAAGGGGCCGCTCTGCACGGATTGTTTGATATGGGGTCCCGGTATCGGGAAGCGGCTTCTCGAAGTGGGAGTATTGGGGCGGCAGCAACATCTTCCAGGTCAAAGGGGTCCGGAATTTCAAACCTGAGCCTCAGGAACAACCTGAATCTCTACGTGATGCCCTTGAAATTGGCTAGAATAAGACCGGCGAAAGCAACAACAAAAGCCCATGCACAGCCCTTTCCAGCATCTCCAAGCCTGTCACCCGGCACACAGCCAGACGAAGGAAGCCTTCTGTCGGACACTAGTATTGCCACGGAGGGTAATGGTATCCAAGGCGCAATGCCTGCGCTGGTGATGGGCAGATTGAGCGCAGCAAATGGCGAAACCCTGCGAAAGTCTCCAGCTCTGAGCGTCCCTATGGCTCAAGAACCATTCAGCATTCAAGCTACGCCCGAGGTTGCGTACATCGCTGGTGGAAACAGCAGCGGGTCAGATGATGAATTGGACAAGATGTCGCCAATATGCCCTAGTGCATCATCTTCGATGATTCAGGGTTTAGGTATACAGCCTACGGGGGGCTCAGTGCTTCACGGCAGGAATAGGAGAGTGTCCAATGCATGGAAGCGGGGAAGCCCCAGCCGACTACTTGAAGAATACAAGCGAAAGACTGATCAAAGCAACTCCACCGATCAAACAACCAGAACGAGTTTCTTGACTGCAGGGGCGTTTGAAGACCCTGTCACGGCGAATATCATTTCCCGGCCGACTGTGGTCCACATCCCAAGCCGTCCTGGCGACGGGCGACATGGCAGCAGAAGGGTGCACGAGTCTAGCCCTCTGTTCGGAGGGGGCTCAGTCGTAAGATCACCGAAGAACTTTGGAGTAGTAACAGGTACTCCTCCGGAGCCTTCTCCAGATGAGTTGGCACAACCACCCCTTACGCTAGCCAGCGACACCGCCAAGTACCGTGAAAGAGATTCACCCGCGAAACCGACTGCTAGAAACTCGTTAGGAATTGCTTATCAAGATATCATCAGCAACGACCGGGAGTCTGAAGACTTGATGTCGCCAGACCGATGGCCCAGGCCAAATGTGGATGGTATAGCAACACCAGGTCCGTCATCAAGGCAGCCTCAACTGTCGTCTATCTCCTCAGGCCCCGTCCCTACGACGCCGATTAAGAGCAAGAGAAAGATGAATCCCGGTGCGACAAATGAGTCCAGTCCGTCAACTGTGAGTAAGAGAAGAAACGCCTTATCGCGCGAGGAGCGTTTGCGCATGAGCCGGGCGCGAGAGCAGCAGGCTCTCAACAGCTTCAAGGCCCTGATGTCGCACCCGGAGCCTGCCTGGCCGTATCCCGAGCCGAGACCCCTACCAGAAACGCCGACGAGGATGCCGCTGGCCGACCGGCCGAATGAGTCAAGGAGCGGCGGTCCTGCCTCGAGGACCAATGTACATAGAAAGTTGGACAAGTCGACCAGGGGCGAGTGTACGGAGGCCGATGACAGCTGGGAGGACGTCGTACCTGAGCCTACGCCTGGTGGCGAGTTGTTTGGGAGCTCGACGGGGAGTTTCCCCGTGTTTATATAGACGGCAGGTAGACTGCACCCTCCTGTACTAGGCTGCGGGGTTCAAGAAAAACGGGCTCGGATACTTGATACGTCGCTTACTATAGATGTCGTAAGATGGCTTGGAGACTCGGTCTGTTGCAGTATCCGTAGAATGTTGCGTCTTCACAATGTGGTATGAGTATGCATTTCCCTCGTCACATCTGGTGGGACCCGTCTTTCGGCCACTTAACAGAGCGTACATGAATATATATATATCAAAAATGAGCTTGTGATAGATTAACTTTCAGATTCTAGCACTCACTGTGATTCTGTGGTTCTTCAAGCTACTTGTGCCTACGCTGCCAAGATCTCCCGCAGTAATGCTATCAAGGGCTCTCCTATAATTTTCACAAACGTGAAAGCGGCTATCAGTTGTACAAGTACAATTACTTGATAGCGTAGCCGGGGAGTACCGAGCACTCGGTCAGCTCCACCTGCTAACTATTGGTAAGCACCTTGGCGGTCAACACCCTAGGATGACAAGAGCAAACATCACCCAAATCGACATAATAAAAGGTTATCTGAAGCCTGAATTGGTGCCTTTTTGTTTAGGGGAAAGTCAAGAACTAGCATTAGTATACATGTGGTTTTAATAGAAAATTACAAAAGTGCCTCGATGCTACGGTGTTGCCCGTTGTATGTAACGCAAAAGCAACGTGGAGCGAAGGGCGAGGCTTGGCCGTTGAGAGGATGCCTGCATCACTTATGCAGCGGCTTACTCCTTTCGGGTCAGATCTTCAGTAGCCCGGCTGGCTGGACTGTTCGAAACAGAGGTCATTATGGAAAGAAATTTTCCAATAACCCTGCGACAGCAGCCCAAATGGTGAGGGGCCTACACAGACATCAGAAGAGAGACGCAGAGGAAACGATCATAGGGCAAGACCTGGGTCTGCACGAGACCAGTCGTCCTCATTGTGTGAAAGATGCGACAAAGCAGTTTGCAATTCTCGAGATGCTCTTGTTAGTGACCAACCAACCAGGGGAGTGCCGCCGTCCGTCATGGATTGGAAAAGAAGCTCGCACTTGGGCCAGCTCACGGGCCAGCTGTTGCCGCCTTCGCCTTCCCCAACCATGGCTTCCCCAGGTTCCAAGGCTGTCAGATTGCCCATCGGGATTCGGGCCATCCCACGTTGAGGAAAACCCATGCCCATTAATAAGCGGTGCGGCCACTCTTTGACCGGCCCTCTGCTGTGCTTGTACGGTACTGTACCCCGGCGGCTGCTCAGGCAGACAACCGCGTGGGACATGATGTCAAAGGCGCGAACTGGAAGACTGGCGGCCACGGCGCATTCCGGACAACAGCAGCCCAAGGATCGCCGTGATTTTTTTTGGCCCGGCTCTGACCAGGCTGTCCTGAATCAAAAGGCCCGACCAGGCGGGTTTTTAGAGCCCAAGGCTGCTTGCTCACAGCACGTAACTACTAATGCACTGGAGGCCAGGGTCAGTCAGTCCATGTCTGCCTTCCGGGGCCTGGAGGCAGGGCAAACCGCAAACCGAGAGAAACATGGTGGAGCCTCACGGAAACCAGCACCTAGATTGTAGACTTCAGCTGATCCTCATGTTTGGTTTTTAATTGTGTCTTGGGAGCCTCTGTCGTGATGTCCTCTCCACATATAGATCTGGGTACTACTACTGAACCGCCTTGTAGACGTGATCGAAATCAAAACAAAGCAAAGCCGCCCAGGCACCCGAGTGTTGTCTTGCCTTGGTGCCCGTTCGATAGACGCACCGCTTGCTGACCTCCAGGCTACCTGGGCCTAGCCAGGCCTGTAGGAAGTATAACATCCCAGAGAGTCGGCTCAGCGTGATAAACCTCCCGTCAGAGTCGGGCGGTACATCATCATTGCTTCCTTGGGACTGGATTAATCAATCAATTTGTCGCGTGCGCAGGTACCCTTTGCCGCATACATATATTAGGTCGCTACACATATTCACAGAAACACACACATACAGGTCTCTTCGCATTCTATGCGCCCTCTCCCTGCTGCCTGCCTGGATAGTTGACCGACGTACCTAAGGCACCTAGTCAGTTGCTGGCCTCGGGATTGACTGGAGACGTGCAACCTGACTGGCGAGGGCTGCACCGTTTTCTTCTTTCGCCCCCGACATCCCCCCAATTTGAGAGCGAGCTCATCTCACACGCCCCCCCAAAAAAGACACCAGTCCCAAAAACGGGCCCCCGATCCCGTCATCAGCAGGCGACCTACCAGACCCTACCCACAGCGATTTCTGAGAGGTTAGGACGGAACCCCGCCTTGGTTTGTTCTGTCCCGGTCTGGTTCTGGTTCTGGTCCTGGTCCTGGTCCTGGTCCTGGTCGGTTTTCTCTGCCCGCAGACCTCACCACTCCCACGCTCTCTGCCACTTCGCCTCAACCAACCATTCTCTTCGCTGCCCAGCCTGTCGTGCGCTTTGCCTTTGGTAGAGAGAGAGAGAGACAGTCGCTGCTCTTCCCGCCCACCACCACTACCACCACCATCCCTCTTCCCGTCCCTTGAAAAATTTCACCGCATCGCCGACCTGACGCCCGCCCCGACGACGAACCTGAACAACCCCTCCCTCCTCCACATAATCCTTCCCGAGACGACACCGTAGCCCACGCGACGCGGTCCAAAGTCTTTCGCCATGGGACAAACACTCTCGGAGCCCGTCGTCGATAAGGTAAATATTCCATTTTCCGCCTTTGACCCCATCGTGTGTCCGCTTCCGGTGAGGCTCGCACCGCGCGTGCCTCATCGCATGCCATGACCTCATCACAACCTGATGTCTGCTGCACCTGTGGCCAGCCGCGCGAACGCGCCCGTCTGTCCATCCGCGACAAAACCTGTCATATTTTCCTGGCATATCACTGACATAACCTTTCCTCCTAGGCGTCCGCCAAGGGCGAGGATGGTCGCATGCTCTACGGCGTGTCTGCCATGCAAGGATGGCGTATCAGCATGGAGGACGCCCACTGCACTATTCTTGACCTGCTGAAACCCGATAGCGACGAGGCCAAGTCGCACTCGTCGAGATTATCCTTCTTCGGCGTCTTTGATGGTCACGGAGGCGACAAGGTGGCGCTGTACGCCGGCGAAAACATCGATGACATCCTGGTCAAGCAGGACACTTTCAAAGCCGGAAACTACGAACAGGCCCTCAAGGACTGCTTCTTGGCATGCGACCGGGCGATACTGAGTGGTATGGAACACCGTCGAGACAGAACATGGCAGACATATGGACCAGGCTGACACGATACCGACAGATCCGAAGTACGAAGAGGAAGTGTCAGGCTGCACCGCTTGCGTCGGCTTGATCACGGAAGACAAGATCTACATTGTTCGTCCCCGCTGAGCACAAAGACGTTGTTTTACATATCATACTGACCCGTGTCCAGGCTAACGCTGGCGATTCGCGAAGTGTTTTGGGAGTCAAAGGTCGCGCTAAGCCCCTGTCATTTGACCACAAGCCACAGAACGAAGGTTGGTCATCTCCCTGTTATTCCCGCGGCAACCCATTACTTACCTGTGTCGACGTGTAGGCGAGAAGGCGCGTATCACCGCCGCCGGCGGGTTCGTCGACTTTGGTCGCGTGAACGGCAACCTGGCCCTGTCGCGTGCCATTGGTGACTTTGAATTCAAGAAGAGCGCCGAACTTGCTCCGGAGCAACAAATCGTTACCGCCTACCCTGACGTAGTTGTACACGAGCTGAGCGATGACGATGAGTTCTTGGTCCTTGCCTGTGACGGTAATAGCTCTCAAACCACGTATCTCGGCCCCGACTGACAATGTTTGCAGGTATCTGGGACTGCCAGTCTTCCCAGGCCGTCATCGAGTTTGTCCGGAGAGGCGTTGCTGCCAAGCAAGACCTTGACAAGATCTGTGAGAACATGATGGACAACTGCCTGGCCTCCAACTCGGAGACCGGTGGCGTTGGCTGTGACAACATGACCATGATCGTCGTGGGTTTCCTACGCGGCAAGACCAAGGAGGCTTGGTACGAGGAGGTCGCGAACCGCGTAGCCAAGGGCGACGGTCCTTGCGCTCCTCCGGAATACGGTATGCCATCTTGAGAGTCCGGGTCACTGGGAGAAACTGACAATGTGGGACTCAGCCGAGTTCAGAGGTCCCGGCGTCCACCACAACTTCGATGATAGCGACAGCGGATATGACGTGGACATGGAGAACAAGTCAAAGCCTTTCGGCATTGGTGGGTACAAGGGTCGTATTATATTCTTGGGCGATGGCACTGAGGTATTGACAGACTCGGATGACACCGAGATGTTTGACAATGCCGAAGAGGACAAGGACCTAGCCAGCCAAGTCTCAAAGTCATCCTCGGGAGACGACGGCGAGGAGAGCAGCGGCCCCCCGCCCAGAGCCCCCTCGCCCCCGGCCCGAGAGAAGAAGTCCAACAACCCCACCGAGAGCAAGTCGGAGTCCACATCAAAAGATACCCCTGCGGAGGCGGCCAAGGCGGAGACCAAGGAGGAGTCCAAGACGGAGGCCAAGGAGTGATACAGGAGTCGGGTGTTTTCTTTCAGCCCCAATACGGTGTCTTCAGTGGAATCTTGAAAGATTTTGGTCTCATTCATACGGGTGGGTGGCCTCGGTTGAATCATTCCAGATCATCGAGGAACAGGTAGACATGGTCACAATTGCGGCTCAGCGAGAGGAGAAGAGCAAGAGAGAAAGAGAGCGAGGGTCACTGCTTAGTCCCTAGTCACTAGACTGAGTAGGGAACGGACAGTGCTGATCGGAGGAGGAAGTGTCATCTTTGTTTAAAGAGAGAGAGAGAGAGAGACACAGACAGTCCGACGAAGCCAGGGCATTACGGGTCACTGCTACCAGCTATGCTCGACAACGGTCCCTCTGATGGTGAGTGATGTGGTCTCGCGCTTGGTTTGCAAAGCATCGGCGTTAGCGGACTGCATTTGCCAAGCAAGCGCCGGATTCCATCTTTGCTAGAAGGGGCCCGGGCATACACACGACTTGATGGATTCTCAACGCTTTCTTACGGCAGTCTCAGTGGTAGCATAGTTGACGAAATGTAATAATGCCAACGCGACATGCCATGGCCAGCCTAGTGCGAGTGGCTGATATTTCCATCGCGTATAACAACAGACCGCGCGGCTGGAAGTGGTTGATGTGTCAAATCGTCACCATGGATGCCCCACCCGGATCTGAGCCATGCCGCTCGGAGCCCGCGCTTGGCCTAGACCTGACCGGACGTGGGCCGCCATCTGAGCACGTTGTAGAGACAGAAGCAGTCTGCAGAACTATTTGTCCAGCGATTAAACCACAACCGACCCCCTCTTATGCACCAATATCGTCGACGTAACCAGAACGTGCGCCGCGAGACTTTGATACAGAGAGTTTCTGTCCTTGGTATACTGCACGTTGTATAGATAACAGATGCGCGACTCGAGTGTTCTGCGGGGTTTCACCTTGGCGTTGGCGAATTTACAGGTTTCTTCCCACAGAAAGGGTACATACCATACGCCTTGGGTCTCTCATCGTCGAATGTCGAAATGGTAGGAGAAGCTCGAACCTCATGGCTGGACTCTCAGATGATCATTGCACAGAGGATACGAAATATTTGTATGCGCGCCTCTGGTCGAGGACGACCTAGACATTAGCAACTTGCGACATGTGATTGATTTCATTCGTGGGCTTGCGCGCCGATACCCGAAGGAATAAATAACTCGTGCACTCCGGCTGCCAAGCTCTGCGGGAGATTGCCTGGCGGTGGCGAAAAAAAATCCATTCTTCACGCAAGCCCAGACTACGTGTACGAGAGAGCGCGTCACAGCTTACGTCTTGTGATGGCCGGAGTCTTTGGATGGGTTTCGACTTGTGTCTCTATACGTGGTTCCTCATGTCTCTATTGTACTGTGTATACGTTGAGTTGTGTGTCAAATAGTCAGTCAATCTAGACTCTCTCTGTCAGACTTTTACCGAGCACCAATTTGGACCTGCAGGCTTGGCAGGGATCAGGCGAACAAAGCAGCCAATCCCTTTTGCCCCTGAGACCGTAATGGATACGTCACGTTTCCATAATGGGGAGTGACCCCTAAAGCCCAAAACAAGACCTGGAGCTTATATTATCCAGCTAAGTCGATCACGCTAGCGAGTTTCAAGAAGTAACACGATGAATATTTCACCATAAGGAATTTTCCACAATAGGAGGCCCCAATTCAGCAGCCCCCCTCAACGGTCCTGCTAACGAACTGCTCCCTGCAACATTTAACATCTGACACCGAGTTTATCCCATCCGCCATAGACGAGGAACAACCACAAGAGAACCAACCCAACGTCCCCCTGGCTCGGGCTACGAGTCTCTGCCTCAATCGTTCCAGACCTGTCAACACCTGCAACCAGCAAAAATGGCGACCAAGACAAGCACCACCACAGTGACGGACGAGAAAATGGCGGCGACCAAGACATACACGCACATCTCGGAACAGCCCATGACATGGTCCAACTGGTATCAGCATATCGACTGGTTCAAGACGGGACTGCTGGTCTTCATTCCCCTGGTGGCCTGCTACTGGGCCTACTACACGCCACTGCAGCGTCCCACCCTCATTTTTTCCGTTCTGCTGCACCTCTGGGCCGGCATTGGCATCACGGCGGGATATCACAGGCTCTGGTCTCACAGGTCGTACACGGCGACCCTGCCCCTCCAGCTGTTCCTTGGCTTCGGTGGCGCAAGCGCCCTCGAGGGCTCGATCCGATATTGGAGTTGGGGCCACCGGGCACACCATAGGTTCACCGACACCGAGAAGGACCCCTACACCGTCAGCAAAGGCCGTGAGTTACTCTCCAGCGTGTGAATGTAGTCCTTCCCGAGCACTCACAGCGGCATTTTGGCAGCTTAGGCGGGACGGGTGCTCCCCCTTGATCAACGAACCTATTAATGACACTCGATATTGTATAGTGTGGCACGCACACATGGGGTGGCTGTTACTGCGCCAGGATTACAAGAAGCATGGCCGGACCGATATCTCCGACCTGAGCAACGACCCTTTCGTTGTCTGGCAGCACAAGCACTACGCCGCGATATCCATCTTCTTCGCCTGGGTGATGCCGACATTGGTCGCTGGTCTCGGCTGGGGTGATTGGAAAGGCGGACTGATCTACGCTGGAGTTCTCCGCGTTGTCACCGTCCAACAGAGCTCGTTCACCATCAACAGCTTGGGCCACTACTTGGGCGACCAGCCCTTTGACGACAGGCACTCTCCGCGAGACCATTGGATCTCGTCTCTCTTCAGCTTGGGCGAGGGATACCACAACTTCCACCACGAGGTCCGTTTATTCTATCTTGACGATCACTTACGACCGCGGGGCATCTCGCTAATCAATCTCTAGTTTCCCACCGACTACCGCAACACTACTCGGTGGTTGACGTACGACCCCAATAAGTGGTGCATCAACACATGGAAATGGCTGGGTCTGGCAAGTGACCTGAGGACTTTCTCGCAGAATGAGATCGACAAGGGCAGGCTTCAGCAGGAGCAGAAGAAGCTGGACCGCAAGCTCGGCCGCCTGGACTGGGGCAGGCCGGTGCATGGCCTGCCGGTCATGGAGTGGGACGAGTTCCTGGAGGCGTCGCAGAGCCGGGCGCTCATCGCCGTGGCGGGGCTTGCCCATGACGTGACGGACTTCATCGACGAGCACCCGGGCGGCAAGGCGCTGATCGCCTCGGCCATCGGCCGCGACGCGACGGCCCTGTTCAACGGCGGCGTGTACGACCACTCGAATGCCGCGCGCAACCTGCTGGCCAAGTACCGCGTCGGCATCATCCGCGGCGGCGGCGAGGTCGAGATCTGGAAGCAGCGCGCCGTGCAGCGGCTCGACAAGATTCGGGACTACGACTACTCCATCGTCGGCAAGGCCCTCCCGGCCAAGATCTACACCGACTGATTCAGGGCTTCATGTATATTTTTTTTATTTGTTCCTCGCTTCGGAACGCCGACACAGACACCCTTCTTACCTATCTAATCATGTAGGGGACCCGGGCAACATATTGAGGACTGCTGCTTCATTCGTTGTATTATTCCATTTCGCCCTATAGAACACGGCAGGCGTGCATGCTTTATTAGAAAATAGAGAGCAAACTCAGACTATTTCACTAAAGTATCAATTACCTTCACTAGATTGAGATGGAAGCTTCTGTGTTTGTGCTGGCCAATGAACCCAATTTATAAGTAGACAAGCTGCAATCGCCAGCACATGAAACCGTTATTCCGCTGTGATCGATACAGTGACGAAGCCGAGGACTACCATGCGACTGTAGTTGCGTATAGCAATCTTGAATATTCAAATTGTCCGTTTCACACGGATTCAGACCCGTGGTAATGGGTATTAGAGGCTCCTCAAAGGTAGCTAACCAGCAGAGTAGAGCAATGACATCTTCTGCAGCTGCCGACAGCTGCAACTCTCCCATGACTGGACCTAGCGCCAAAGCTTGACAACTGGCGCCGTCAAGAACTGGGAATTTCTGCGACGCGCCGATGGCGGAAATTTCTGGAGCTCGTGTGCTACTTCAACAGCTGCAAAGTCCAAACCGTCGACAGACACTCTCAACCTGGGCCCTTTTGCTTCCGGATCTGGCCTCTACTTCTGCCTAGGATATGCTCTGCTCATAGCTCATGTCCCTGGGAGTCCGATCAGTATGGAGAGCTCGTGCCTGCGCCTCGACTGTCGGAGGGCTCTCCTTGATTCCCAGGGGTGTCCCTCGAGGCCAGGCCGTCGTCTACCCAAGATACGACCCTCGACGACATGTGTCCACTGAGCCCGCCTCCCATCCCGTGCACGAAGCCCTTACAACCCGACGGTCGACACCCCCCCCCGCGGATCCCGCAGACGAGTTCCAAGATGTGTTTAAAGAGGCCTTTAGTGGCAAGTCCCAAGACGCTCCCAAGGACGAGCCGGCCACTCGCTCTCGCTCGGCATTCCGGAGGGCCGTCCTGCGCCGGGTGATCAAAAAGCGCAGCGCCAGCGCAGAAGATTCGGCGCTGGTGAAGCCGTCGAGGTTCTACCCCAGCAAGCACGAGATTGACCGGAACAACCGCAAGAGGAGGCAGAGCCAGGCACGGCAAGTTCTGTGGACATCTGCTCGTGTTGCCGAGGGAAGACTTGGCACCAACTGGAGAAAGGTGGAGCGCGCCTTGTCCAAGCTCACGCCCAAGTTTGGCACGATCTACGACTTCAAGGTCACTGTCGGCAGAGGAGCTGCTGATGAGGTGCGCAAGTTCTTGCCGCGGTCGCCCACCAGTCCCGGGCGGCTGCAGGAGAGCACCCGAGCGATCGTCCGGATCAACGACGTCGACGAGGCAGATGGAAGGCTGAAGTTGACGCTGACAGGATCTGAGCATTCTGTGCGCCGCGCGCTGCTGGATCTGCTTCGGGCATCGGGGCAGATATCTGCCGTCAGGGTCATGGACAGCGATTCCGAGGGCATGCTCCGGGACCTTTGGCGGAGAAAGGACACGCTGCGTTCGGTCGAGTTGTTGAAAGAATGTGATGCCGTTCCTAATGACAGGGTCCTCACCCTCCACAGGGAACAGTCGCCGGTGATCGCCCTGGGGAGCCGGCCCAAAAGGCACAACTACAAGTTATCTCAAAGGGCTGACGACATTGCTCGACCCGCGATATGGACAAAGGCATCACTAGAGGAATATGTCGCAGCCTTGGTCAGTGGGGTGGTGCCGATGCACTTGATGGGTTCGCTGTACCCCCCAGATGGACCGGATCACCAACAAACGGTCGTGTCCTTGCTCGTCGAGTTGTTCCAGTCCGAATCACTCAGAGACAGCATTTCCACCGAGGCACTGGCCATGAGCTTGGCTTACATCCAGGAGAAGCATCTCACGTTTCGACCGGCTGCCCGAGCTATCTTTAACCAGGCCGAAATCTCCAATGTTCCGATGGACACCAGGATCTGCAACCTTCTTTTGGAAGGGTCCTCTCGGTCCGGAGACATTGACGGCTTTGACGCCGTGCTGAAGATGATGACCAGGAGAGGCTACCATGCCGACAGCGAGAGCTGGCTGCAACTCTTGATGCTGGTCGAGGATGCCAAGGCGAAGCGGGAAGTGCTGCGGAAGATGAAGAAAAAGGGGCTCAACCGCATAGAGTCTACACTTGCCAAGGCTGGACGACACATGGCCCCCTTTGAGCTCGAGGATGCCTTGCCGAGGCTGACGTCGATCGAGCGCTTCGTGGAGCAGCAGGACATGAAATACGACCCGGTTTGGCTCGACGCCGTCACACTCAACCGGTTACTCGAGATACTGGGGAGGAACGAAAAGCACGCAATGGTCAACGAATTGCTTGGCCTGGTATCCACGTCGAGTCGCATGCAGCCGGACGTGGTCGCCGTGAATACGATCATCACTCACCAGAGAAACATCCGAGACCTCATGGAGACTCTGTGTTTTATAGGGTCAAGGTGGCCTGGTACGCGTCCAAATCAGGAGACGTATCATATTTTGTTCCGGATAGCTTGGAGAATCAGGAGCCCGAACATGCTGCGTGTCATTTGGCACTATGCGTGCTACGACCGGCAGGCCGGCCACAAAATGCGCCATCAGCTGAACGTCTTCTACCGCAAGGAAGAGAACCTCGGCCGCCTGTCGCTCCTGAAGACGTGGGAGGATAGCATACTCGGCGAGCAAGCGCTGGCTGCGCTACGCGATGGTGGCAGCAACCGTTTTACCAAGGCGACTTATGCCGCAAGGTGGCACGGCGAAAGGTCTTTGTCGTCGAAGCCGGAAGAGCCGTTCTTCTCCAAGCTCGCCGAAGCCCGCGAGATGGATCGAAGGGTGCACAACAAGATCAAGGAAGGGGAGGTAATTGCAGCTTCGGTGAGGGATGCCCTCACGATCGAGATTCCCTTCCAAGACCACCGGCAGCGGAGAGGTCATCAGCCCGAAGGGTCATAAGCCCAGGACGCGCAGGAGATATAACAATCAGGAAGAAGTTACTGTACATAAGACGGCCAGTCCATAAGCCATGGCTGGAAAGGCTCACACGGGTGTTTGCATTGCATAGAGCTGTACCATATACTCCAAAAGGGACTGTTCATCTATAGACGGCGCGACAGGGCATGCGATTGGGCCTTGGGATTTGTATACTGTAGCATAGCATAGCATGAAAGAATATACCCCACATCAACTCTGCAGACGATCGAGACCGAAGGAGCCTTGTCTAGCCTGGACATTGTCTGGCCACGACACAGTAGTGATGGAATATGCCATTGCAGAAAGGACATCAGTACGTCTGTACATACGCCGTGGTTTTCTGGGTGCGTGGAACCTGTGTGGACACCTTCGTTTCCCAGCTTCCCCATACGGCAGGCGTGGATTAGTAGACTAGGCTCGTCCTGGCCAGCAACCTTGGAAGTCTTTTCCCAAGGCCTTGGATAGCCGCGCGCTCGAGTTTTCCAGCAGCTTTTCGTTACCTAACTGACCTCGACAGCAGGTACCTCGTCCCCTGTGGCTCCAGCCCCCAGGACCCCTAAACGTACGCGACACCAACTAACACCGAGGACCTCGATGGTTTGCTAATGCCCCTCTCGCCAACTCGACCCCTCCAAAAAAGCCACATCCACTCCCACATGCAGATAGACGCAGATGCAGATGCCCCGCACGCAGCTACTCACACGACTATCCAGTCACGGCCGGCTTCCATCGCCGGCGCCCTCCGCTGTGAAGCTTTCTGCTCTTCTCCCACTCCGTCTATCGTCCTCTCCCATCCCCTCCAAGAGCCAGACCAGCTGCCATAGACGCTTGTTGCACTGCGCCCCCACCGCGAATAGCTTCCCGTCCCGACCAACCCGGGCTACTGCTGCTGCCGCCGCCGCCGCCGCCGTTCCTCTAGTCGTCCGCCAGACGAGAACCTATCTCACGCCGGCCCTCCGCTCCCACCAGTCCCGCAAGATGGCGCCCCAGCTCGACGGCTACTTCTCCCAGGTCGACGCCCTGTCGGACCACTTCATCGACCGCCTCGCCAAGGCCGTCGCCATCCCCTCCATCTCGTCCGACGCCGCCCGCCGCCCGGATGTCGTCCGCATGGGCGAGTGGCTGGCCCAGGAGCTCAAGGCCCTCGGCGCCAGCGTCGAGCTGCGGCCCCTCGGCAAGCAGCCTGACAACCCCAGCCTCGACCTGCCCCCCGTCATCCTGGCCCGCTACGGCTCCGACAAGGCCAAGCGCACCATCCTGGTCTACGGCCACTACGACGTCCAGCCCGCCGAGAAGAGCGACGGCTGGGCCACCGAGCCCTTCACCCTGACCGTCGGCGACGACGGCCGCATGTTCGGCCGCGGCAGCACCGACGACAAGGGCCCCGTCCTGGGCTGGCTGAACGCCATCGAGGCCCACCAGAAGGCCGGCGTCGACTTCCCCGTCAACCTGCTCATGTGCTTTGAGGGCATGGAGGAGTACGGGTCCGAGGGCCTGGAGGAGCTGATCGAGCAGGAGGGCAAGGCCTACTTTGCCGACGCCGACGCCGTCTGCATCTCGGACAACTACTGGCTCGGCACCGAGAAGCCCTGCCTGACCTACGGCCTGAGGGGTTGCAACTACTACAGCGTCGAGATCTCGGGCCCCGGCGCCGACCTGCACTCCGGCGTCTTCGGTGGCACCGCCCAGGAGCCCATGACGGACCTGGTCAGGGTCCTGGGCAGCCTGGTCGACACCCACGGCAAGATCCAGATCCCCGGCATCATGGAGCAGGTCGCGCCCGTCACGGCCGAGGAGGAGAGCCTGTACGACAACATCAGCTTCACCATGGACAACCTGCACGAGTCGCTCGGCTCCAAGACGACCATCTTCGAGGACAAGAAGTCCACCCTCATGGGCCGCTGGCGCTACCCGTCGCTCTCGGTCCACGGCATCGAGGGTGCCTTCTCGGCCCCGGGGGCCAAGACCGTCATCCCGGCCAAGGTGATCGGCAAGTTCTCGATCCGCACCGTGCCCGACATGGAGATCGACAAGACCAACGAGGTCGTGGCCAAGTACGTCGAGGACGTCTTTGCCAAGCTGGGCTCCAAGAACACGCTCAAGGTCTACCCGCAGCACACGGGCAAGTGGTGGGTCGCCTCGCCCAACCACTGGAACTTCCGCGCCGCCGGCAAGGCCGTCGAGCGCGTCTGGGGCGTCCAGCCCGACTTCACCCGCGAGGGCGGCAGTATCCCCGTCACCCTCACCTTCGAGCAGGCCACCGGCAAGAACGTCCTGCTCCTCCCCATGGGCAGCAGCACCGACGGCGCCCACTCCATCAACGAGAAGCTCGACAAGCGGAATTACATCGAGGGCATCAAGCTCCTCGGCGCCTACCTGCACTACGTCGCCGAGGAGGAGCAGGCTTGATTTTGATCTTGGATGTTGGACGGTAGAAGGGGCGGATTACAGCATGTCGGGTCTACCTCCCTCAGAGTGGAACTGGTAGCATGGTAGTGAGATGAGGAGGCAAGTTTGCTTTCTGCTGCTGTGTACAAGCAGCTGATAGCGCAAAGCCTGGCCTGGGCTTTTTATTGGGAGTATGCTCGTCGTGATAAGAGGGCATGGTGACACCATACGCATACCCCCGAGTGTCGGACATAGCATGATGAGATAGGTGACGAATTTGAAAACATGCTCCGAGCAAATTGACAAAAAAAATCAAGCCAACAACGTGGAGCCGAGCCACGATAGCTTTCTGTCAAGATGTGAATCTCATTGTTATTTGTCTTGCCCGCTGGTATACTGCACCATCCCCATGTGTGCTGTTGTGCCGTGTACTCAACTCGCCTGCTCTCTTTTAGAAGAGAAAAACAAAAAACCAACATGGCGCTGCGCCGAAATGTACATATGCATGCCCCATAACGCCTGCTTATTTGCCTCGCCAGACTTTGCTTTGCTTTGCTTTGCTTTGCTTCGATTGCTTCCCCCGGAGACGCCCCCCCTTAACGCAGCAACATCCCCGTCCCGTCCCTCCGCCTCGCCCACGCCTATGGGTATAAGACACAGAAAAGATTAAATGTTTCCACAGTCGCTCATCCACCGTCTCACCCCCAATGATCCTCACATGTCAAGATCGTCAACCTCTCGTATTAGTATTATGCCCCCCCGGTTGGCTGGCACGACTCACGGCCACAATTCACGGCAGCTCCTCCTTGTTGGCGCCGAGCCCGCCGCTGCGGTCGATGCCCTCCCAGCCGGCCTGCCAGCCGTGCTCCTCGTCGACGGCGCCGCCCGACGCGGCGTTCTCGGCCATGCCCTTGACGTCGCTCCAGTACTCGAGGCGGCGGACCTCCTCGTCGGCGTGGTTGATGGCGTCCGCCAGGTTGGCCACGCGCCGGCCCAGACGCGCGGGGTCCTCGTCCGCGGGTAGGTTGGCCGTGGCTGGGGACGTCAGGTCGTCGCCCGGGGACGCCCCGGTCTCTTTGTCCTCTGCCCCCCCTGCGTCGTCCTCGCCCGACTTGACGGCCTGCAGCCGCACCGTCGGCGGCGTGGGCCCCTTGGGCTCGTCCGTCTGGTCCTGCTTCTGGCGCAGGTGCGTGTACCCGTCGTGGACCTCCATGAGCCGCGTCAGCAGCAGGCGGCGGCTGGCCTGGAACACGAAGATGGACATGATCTCGTGCATGTGCGCCTCGAGGCCCGACAGGTCGTCGTGGGCGTGCTCGAGGTAGTTCTGCACGGCGTCGAGCTTCTCGCGGTCGATCCGCGAGCGCCGCAGCAGCTCCAGCAGGGTCTCGATGTCCTCGATGTCGAACTGCAGCTCGATCGCGTCGTCGTCGGCCGTGAAGACGCTCGCGCGCGAGGCCCTCTCGCTCGCCCCGGTGACGCTACTACCGTGCCGCGAGTGGCGCTTGGCGGCCGGCGAGGTGACGGTGAAGTAGTCCATGTTCAGGAGGTGCGGGTCGCCGATCTCGGGACCGTGGTCCTTCTTGATCCTCCTGCGTATCCACGCCCGCCTCCTGACGAAGCTGTTGTACCACCGCGGGCCGTGCCAGGAGAACTTCCGGGCGAACATGAACGAGTACTCCCAGCCGTCCTTGTCGGCTTCGATGGCGTCGTCGTGGTTCACCCGCCAGCTCGGCCATGCCCACTGCCAGCTCGGGTCCGGCACCTGGGCCGTCCTGATGTTGGTCGGGCTCGGCTTGTGGGCGGAGTTGGTCCAGGGGGCCGGGTCAAGATTGCCCAGGGCAGCGGACGAGAAAAGGGGGATGCCGCAGAAGAAACCGCCGCGCTCGTTCTCGTAAAGAATATCTATGGCCGTCTCAGGCGTCCTTGGGCGCGGGTGTCTCTTGACTTGGTCTATGGACGCCTGCTTCTTCACCCCATTCCCGGATGGCAAGGGCTCAGTGTGATGCTCTGTCGTGGCCGAGGGCCCTCCCTCCGGAGCCGGCGTGGGGGGCTCTACGGTAGGTGTCGCTGGCCTGTCTCGAGCCGTGTCGTTTTTGTGATCTTCTCCCGCCTTTTGTTGGCCCGGTACCGACTCCTGGGCAGCCTGGTCCCGGTCGGCGCTGGCGAGCGGGGCGGCCGCATCAGCGAGGGGAGCGCGGCTCTCGAATGAGGTCAGGGTATTGTCGTGGTCGGCATCGTCGTCCGGGCTCGGGGAGACGGCCCTGCTAGAGCCGGCAACCGAGTGGTCGACAAGGTTTATCTCATGGTCGATGTCGCTCTCTTTCAGGGGGGGCACGCGGCGAGAGGAGCGCACCTTGGGCATCGTGTTGTGAATGATGCTGGGCTCTGGGTGCTCACAGCACAACGCAGCGTAGGCTGGCAGCCCGCGGGTTTGACGAGCTTAGGGACGAGCCATCAAGGTCTGGACGTGCCCTTGGTAACGGAGCTGGCCTGGACGGGCGCACAGTAGGCAGGTTGGAAAGCACTGGGGACGAGTAGTACGGCGCTAACTAGAGAATTGGCGTGGTAATGACCCTGAATCAGATAAAAACACAATTAAAACTGCCCGAGGTAGGTGTGTGTATCTCCAGGTCTGTCAGTGGCAGCGAGACGAAAGGGGCCGGGTGCCGTCGTCGTTCGTCGCCGTCGTCGTCGCGCTAAATTCCCAGGCAAGAAAGAGGGCTAGGTACGTAGTTAGGACGGGCTGGCGCATGGACTCAATCGGATGACGATGACGGAGGCGGCTACAGAAAACCTAATTTATCTAGTGAGCGCTGGCTATCTACGGCAGACGGCAGAGTCTGGCAGGAGGCCCTTCCGAGCTGAAGCCCAGACGCGGTATAGTCGAAGCTCCACCGGATGAATACGCAACAGCCTTCATCTTGAGACGAGATAACTAGCTGGTGTTCTAAGTGCAATGGGAACGGTCCTTCTTCAAACAACTACGTGAGCATTGCCAGCTCCAGGATGCGCGAGTGGGCTGGCCACTGTGGTAGCTAGGTATCCTGGCACTCGTAGTCTTGGAGCTCGTTGCTCACGAGCTTGAAATGCCAATGACGAATTTGCATGTAGCGATTGGCCTGGGCTCATAACCAGGCGCTACTAGAGTCTCCGTTCACACTCCAGCAAATCTCACGATGCCCTCAGAACCCATTCAAACAATGGGTCAAATGATGTAATGCGGCGCAGGTGAGCTGAGAGGGCGAAGAAAATAATCGGTTGTTTATGGACCCGATTCGATTCGAGATCTGCTGAAGCAGGCCCCAGCCAGCAGGCATCATCTAGGTCTCGGCCGCTAATCCGTTAGGCGGGGCCGTCTCTGGAACCTCCAGTGGGTCTGGACCAACTGACGGCTTCCAAGTACTACAGTACTCATGGCCTTAGCGGACGTTGCGGCGATTCACACTGCACAACCGATAGCACGCAAGGTCACCGGGCAGCCCGGCCCAAGCTCCAGACAGGGGCGGAGAGGTACCTCCTTTCCCCGCATGAACAAGCACCTACGTCATGTACAGCTTTTTGCTGTACCTAACGCTGCATGTCGTAACACGCCGAGAGAGCTCCTCCTACAGCCAGCCCGCGACGAATCGGGACAGCAAGGAACAGCACCTGGCACAGGAGCGCAGGAGAATCGAACCTAAGGCAAAGGCGGCTGAGGGGTCAAGTTACGTGACAGAAACAGAATGCTACGGAAATCCTGTAACTAGGCGTAGAGAAGCCTGTGACTGGGCCTTGTGTCACTGCCGTATAACTAAGCCCGAGTCCCCCTCATTGTTTTGTCCGTGACCTCATACGATTCCTAATTGAACTCCAACCACCCTGAAACTCTCTCGACCATACAAAAAACCCCAACGAACATCCTCCCTACCGTCTTGCGACCATCTCCTTCATCGCATTCCCGCTGATACCCAATCACACACCTACACACAAAATGTCCAAGTCAAAGGCACCCCTCCTCATCGGCCTCACCGCCGCTGGTGGTATCGGATACTACCTCTACGGAGCTGGCGGCAACGCCACGGTAGCCCAGAAGAACGCTGAGGGTGAGTTCATAATGCCCCCCACGGCTCGTGCCCCCCGGCAATCAGGCGTGCCCCAGGTGATTTGGGTGTTGGCATGTGGCCAAAGGAAGCCTCTGCGTCGCCTGCGGGTCACGTCCCTGAATTGCCATCCAAGTCACTGGCTGCCCACATGCTGGATCATCTGTACTGACCCTCCACCGTAGCCGATGCCCACAAGCTCTCCGCAAAGGTCAAGAGCGAGATCCCCGGCCGCGCCAACGAGGCCGAGAAGAGGGCCGAGAGCTATGGCGCCCAGGCCGGTGCCAAGTTTGACAGTGCTGTAAGTGATACCTACCCACAAGCGTGATTCCAAGATCCATGCACACTCTTCAGAGACATCATGGAACTCCTCCACGTACACAGTGAACAGCCTTGTACTGATCGCGACCCTGCAGGCCCAGAAGACCCAGGCTGAGGTGGCCAAGGCCAAGGCCGACGCCGAGGCGTACGCCAAGGACGTCAAGGCCAGCACCCTGAAGAAGGTGGACGAGTTCGACCGCAAGGTGGAGCAGAAGACGGCAGAGGCCAAGAGCGGCATCTCCAGCTGGTTCGGCGGTAGCAAATAAGGGCGGCGCTGTAACATTATACTGAGGAGCATGAGGTGTACGGGCATGACGGCATGACTTTGGAATTCTGGTTTTCTTCTTCTCTAATGCTGCGCTACTGGACGTTTTCATTTGGCACCGCGAGGGCTATGGGTAAATTCAATCATGATTCACACCAAGGATCACTATGCATTCTTCACGACTTGATGCACCTGAGATTGAAACGTCGAAAAGTATTATGTCCACTCGATTCTCTACAAAGTAATAACAAAATCAGCCCAGCGATAGCTGTGTAGTTCCAATAACGATGTTGTTGAGGTTTGCTGTATATGCACCCAGTCATCCGTCGTGATAAGGCCACAGGTTGTAGGCCATGATCTAATGCAACGCCAGACTCCAGTCCCGTCTCCTTATTTTTTTCTGATGACCCCAAAACGCCTGACGTGGAAATGCGATGATATAGAGGTCCCCGCAGGTCAGCAGGTGACCTTACGAGAAGTGGAGGCCTTCCGAGTTGAAGGCGTGCAGGAGGGTGAGGAAGTCGTTCTCGGAGAGCTTGCCGCTGCGCTGGTCGGCCAGCTTCGTGTCGTCCTCGAGCACCTTTCGGATCTTCTCCCGGACGAGGGCGGCGACCTTGGTCTTCTTCTTCTTGGACTTGGTCTTGGGCATCTCGCTCGACGCCGCCTTGAGCCCGTCGAAGAAGGACAGCGTGTCGCCGCCGCCAACGCCGCCGCCGCTCGCGTCCGCCGTGCCGTCTACGTCCATGCCGCCCCACTCGGCGTCCTCGTCGCCGGCGCTCGGGTCGACGTTCTCGTCCAGCTCCATGTCCTCGTCGTCGTCGTCGTCAGCCCCGTCCCCTTCCACGACGCCGTCGTCGAGCGGGATGTCGTTCATGCTGCACCAGACGCGGTAGTTCCTCTCGACCATGTTCAGGACCTCCTTGGTGCCGAGCCAGCTGGCGCGCAGGGTCTTGTTGCGGCGGTTGAAGCAGACGCGCAGCATGCCGTCCCACTCGTCCCAGGCGACGTTGGGGCGGTCGGCGCCGATCTTGGGCTCGATGCGGACGACGCTGGACTCGACCTGGGGCGGGGGGTTGAAGTTCTTCTTGCCGACCTTGAGCAGGTGGGTGATGCGGGCCCAGAACTGGGCGTTGACGCTGAGGCGGCAGTAGAGGGCGTCGCCGGGGCGGGCGGTCAGGCGCAGGGCGAACTCGCGCTGGAACATGAGCACGCTGGTGCGGGGCGGGTTGGGCATGGCCAGCAGCTTGAAGACGAGCGGCGAGCTGATCTGGTAGGGCGTGTTGGAGATGCAGACGTCGAACTGCGGCAGCTGGTCGCTGGGCAGCTTGATGACGTCACCCATGAGCACCTCGAGCTTGCGCTGCTCGGGGGTGCCCTGGACGCGCTTGGTGACCTCGGCGGCCATGCGCGGGTCGACCTCGACGGCGATGACCTTCTTGGCCTTCTCGAGGATGCGCACCGTCAGGTTGCCGGTTCCGGGGCCGATCTCGAGCACCGTGTCGGTGGGCTTCAGGTTGGCCTTGGCGACGATGGCGTCGGCGACACCGGGGTTCTTGAGGATGTGCTGGCCGTAGCTCGAGGTGTTGAACTTGAAGATGTTATTGGCGGCCTTGGCCTGCGGCTTGGACGGCCGCTCGTAGGGGCTGGCGGACGCGCCATTGCGCTTCCCGGACTTGGCTGCCTTGCCCATGTCGGCGGTGTGGTGTGGCTGCCGTCGTTGCTGCTCGTGGTCGCCGTGCGCGGTCGGTCGGTCGGTGGGCGGGCCGTGGAGTGTGAGGGGCAACCGGGCTGCCTTGGTGCGGGATCGTGGGGATTTTCTGGCGGTTTGGGAACTTTTTTTTTGTTCTTATCAGTCTGGCTTATCGAGAACCCTGGACTGGCATCACTTGCTGTAGCTTACAGTGCTTATCGCCGACAGCCTTCAAGTTTAGCGCACTTCAGCCACGCCTTCTCCACTGTATTTCGGCGCAAGGCTGCAGGGAAGCTTCATCTCCGGCCTCACCTCTGTTTTTTGTGCTGCTCTTCCCTCTGCAGACACCGTGTACAGCTCTGCGATCCTTCTCTTTCTGTGGTCGCTTACATCTCATCCACCACCGCGCTGGTGCGCGACCACCCGCCCAACATGACGACCCGACGCGACTTTCTCAACATGCCCGCGCCCGAAAACTACGTAGCTGGTTTAGGGCGTGGTGCCACCGGCTTCACCACGCGCTCAGACCTGGGTCCTGCGCGCGAAGGCCCCTCCGAGGACCAGATCAAGGAGGCCCTCCAGAAGAGGGCGGCCGCCCTTGGCTTCGGTGATGCCGCCGGTGCCAAGAAGGACGACGACGAGAACGACGATGCCCCCGAACGATACCAGGACCCCGACAACGAGGTTGGCCTGTTCGCCGGCGGCGTCTACGACAAGGAGGATGACGAGGCTGATCGCATCTATCGCGAAGTGGACGAGAAGATGGACAGGAGGCGGAAGATCAAAAGGTTGGTTCACTCCCTTCCCTCAACTATGCATTGCCTTTTTGCCCTACCCACCGACCCCCCTCCTCCCCCCGGCCGCACCTTCTACTGTTCCGGCAGCTGGTTCACCGTTTATCCCCGTATAGATGAGCAGATTACCGACCATATTTCCAACAGGGAGGCTCGCGAACAAGCCGAGCGCGAAGAATACGAGCGCCAGAACCCAAAGATCCAGCAGCAGTTTGTCGACCTGAAGCGCGCCCTCGGCACCATCACCGACGACGAGTGGGCTGCGCTCCCCGAGGTCGGCGATTTGACCGGCAAGAACAGGCGAGCCAGGGAAGCCCGGAGAGAGCGCTTCTATGCGGTGCCAGACAGCGTCTTGGCCGCCGCCAGCAGCTCCGGAGAACTGGGCACCACCATCCAGGACGGGGCCGACACCGCCATGAAGGACGCCGCCGCCGACGGCACCATGACCAATTTTGCCAAAATCGGAGAGGCAAGAGACAAGGTGCTCCAAGTCCGCCTAGATCAGGCCTCGGGGACTGCCACTAACGCCGGCAGCGCCAGCAGTATTGATCCCAAGGGTTACCTTACCAGTTTAGCAAAGTCATCACTGCCCGAAGGCGCTGCCCAGGTCAGTGACATCAACCGTGTTCGTGAGCTGCTGGAGTCCGTCATCAAAACGAACCCTACGAATGGCCCAGGCTGGGTGGCCGCTGCTCGATTAGAAGAGTTGGCGGGCAAGATTGTAGCGGCACGAAATCTCATCGCTCGTGGGTGCCAGCAATGTCCTAAAAACGAAGATGTCTGGCTCGAGAACATTCGCCTCAACGATGCTCACAATGCCAAGATTATCGCGGCCCAGGCTATCCAGAAGAACAATCGCTCGGTGAGGCTCTGGGTCGAGGCGATGAAGCTGGAGAAGGACTCCAGGAGTAAGAAGCGTGTGATACGGCATGCTCTCGATCACATTCCGGAGTCCGAGGCCCTCTGGAAAGAGGCAGTGAATTTGGAAGAGGAAGTGGAGGACGCACGTATTCTGCTCGCCAAGGCGACCGAGTTGATCCCTCTTTCCGTCGACCTGTGGCTAGCATTGGCACGGTTGGAAACGCCAGAAAATGCCCAGAAGGTTCTGAACAAGGCCCGAAAGAGCTGTCCAACATCACACGAAATCTGGATTGCCGCGGCGAGGTTACAAGAGCAACTCGGCGCTGCGAACAAGATGAATGTCATGAAGCGTGCCGTACAGGTCTTGGCCAAGGAATCGGCCATGCCGAAGCGCGAGGAATGGATCACCGAAGCCGAGAAGTGCGAGCAGGAAGACGCTCCTATAACTTGTGGACTCATCGTGCAAGAGACACTGGGATGGGGTCTTGACGAGGACGACGACCGCAAAGATACGTGGATGGAAGATGCTCGCAGTAGTATCAACAGGGGAATGTACGTGACTGCGCGCGCCATTTATGCCTATGCGCTCCGCGTATTTCCCCTCAGTAAAACGCTCTGGCTTGCAGCTGCGGATCTTGAGCGGAATCACGGCACGAAAGAAGAGTTATGGCAGGTGCTGGAGAAGGCAGTCAATGCTTGCCCACGTTCGGAAGTCCTGTGGATGATGCTTGCCAAAGAGAAATGGCAGGCCGGCGAGATTGATAACGCCCGCCGAGTACTTGGTCGGGCCTTCAAGCAGAATCCTAACAACGAAGATATCTGGTTGGCGGCCGTCAAGCTCGAAGCAGAGAACGGTCAGGTTGACCAAGCCCGCAAGCTGCTCGAGACTGCCCGCCAGGAAGCGCCGACCGATCGTGTCTGGATGAAATCTGCAGCATTCGAACGTACCCTAGGCAACACCGATATGGCACTGGATCTGGTGAACCAAGCCCTTAATCAGTTCCGCAACTTTGCCAAGCTGTGGATGATGAAGGGTCAGATCTACGAGGACTTGGACAAACCGCTCCAGGCCCGTGAGGCGTACGCGACTGGTGTCAAGGAGGTACCCTCATCGGTACCCCTTTGGCTTTTGTACGTACGTCTTGAGGAAAAGCTTGGGCAGCTTCCCAAGGCGCGTTCTGTTCTCGACCGTGCCCGCCTCGCTGTCCCCAAGAACGCTGAGCTTTGGTGTGAATCGGTACGCATAGAGCGCCGTGCCGGCAACACAAAGCAGGCCGAGACACTCATGGAGCGCGCATTGCGTGATGTACCAAAACAGAACCAGGGTCCTCTCTGGAGTGAGAAGATCTGGCATCTCACCGCCCGCCCGCAGCGCAAGCCCCGCGCCTTGGAAGCCATCAAGGAAGTGGACAACGACCCAACGCTCCTTGTGGCCGTTGCCCGGATCTTCTGGGGCGAGAGAAGGCTTGATAAGGCACAGAACTGGTTTGAGAAGGCTCTGGTCCGTGATCCGGATCTGGGCGATACCTGGGCTTGGTACTACAAGTTCTTGTGCGAGCACGGGACTACGGAGAAGAGGGAAGAGGTCGTGAGCAAATGTGTCAGTGTCGAGCCCAGATATGGAGAGGTGTGGCAACGCATTGCGAAGCACCCAACGGCGGCAAGGAAGGGGGTGGAGGAGGTGTTGAAGGTGGTCGCGGCGGAACTGAGGTAGAAATACCGGCATGACTATGAAAATCTATGTATAACGTGTTAGAGTTCGTCATCGCGAAGCTATCTGCAGCTTCATATCAACGATACTCTAGAGTGGCTCTAGAATATGTCTCTTTTGAGAATCACGGAGTTCAACTTGTAGGATTCGATTTTGCGACGACCGTACCCCACACTGCATACACTGATTGCACCTGACGTTACAAGTGATATTCCCAGCTATCTCAGATATTCGTAGTCAGATTTACCTTTAGCCCAAGTGGAAACTCGTACGTTGCATATATTTCGTTTCTCAATATCCATTTACATCTTTCTGATACTGCAACTCCCCAGTGCGGAGCTTCAACCCAAATGCATGCAATTGCCTTCCAAATTCGGATGGCACCACAGCACGTAAGACGGAGAACAAGAAGAAATGGTACGGCTGTAGGGTGATCTGCCCAATTGCAGCCTGAGTGCCAGAGCCATTGAGCTTACCGCTGTCAGCCACAACATGATCCCAAATATTCGTGAATCTATTGATTACATGTGACAAGTTTCCTACTAAACTCGGAATCCTAGGATGGGCGAAGTTTCTCGACTCCAAAGCGAGATAGCCGATCTGACCAACCTCTTGTCCTTGATCACTAAAAGGGGCCCAGGGCTCGAAGAAAATGACGACGAGCCACAAAGCTCTGAACTGCCACAGCCTGAGAACGACGAATTCACCCTTGAAACAAGGGGCGAGGTGGTAGATGAAGCCGAATTCGAAGCTCCAGTCGCCAGTGGGGACGTAGAGGTCGATGCCATCAAACGAAGAGCGCTGGATCGCCTGGCTGAGGTCCTGGCCAGGTTCAAGACAGCAAAAGGCTCCCGAACGCGAGGGAAGCAGAATTCCGATGCAAAACATGTTGCTAGTGTGGTCATGGTGGAATATGAGGATACTGTTACATTTCTTTGTGCTAAGAACGAAGGCATCGATGACGTTGACATGGGCTTTCTGAGAATGCTAGGAAAACTCCTATGCAACGTGGCAGCTAATGGTAAGCGTTCTCTTTGTGCTATGTTCGAGTACACAACTTATCGATAGACTATATGCCTGATGGGTAGAATAGGAGTAGCGGAGCAACAAGCGGAACAGGTCGACCGGGCATTCGAACTTATATTTGATCATTCGGCACCTCGCATAAAGTACTACACTTCGATACTCCGTGACGCTATCCAACAGGCTGGTCAAGATGTTGCAACCCCTAGTACGCTCACAAGCCGAAATGTCCTGGATGGTCTGCGCCATGCCACATATCAGGACTGGGAAGATAACCATGGGCTTCACTTTAGGTTCCAGCTGGGTGGTAGAGGAGAAGATTCAGTCTCTGATAAGGCTGAGGACTGCCTCTCTGACCAGGAGGACGAGTCTCTCGTCCAGGACACGTGCAGTGAAATCCGACATCTCTTTGGCAGCGCTGCTCACCAAATCCCACAAAGCACTCTGAAGAATCTCCTGAGTAAGGTCTACCGTATCGTCCGACATCCTCGACAGCGACCTGCATTTAAAGGCCTTCTCATGCAAATGGCCCACAACCATAAGCGACTCTTCAAGGATATTTGGGCTGCCTTGCTGTACCTGACACGAATGTTCTATGCCGCTGTTACCTTCGTGGATCTTGCAATCAGATTGAACGTGGGTTCCTTCAAGTTTCAGCCGGTCACTCCAGCTGCAGCTCGCAAACCGAACCACTCAGATGCCAGGATCCCATCTCAAGTTCTAGCCTCTCTTGGCTATTCTTCCCTTTCTCGGGGGTGGATTGACTTCTTCCAGACCACGGAAAGGGTCAAAGAATTCGCCAGGCTGTCACGCTCGAAAAAGGCGGTCCATGGGGAGGTTCAACTTATCTTCCACGTCGAAGAGCTTATGCAGGGTCGTAAGCAGCCTGCCGGCACAGTCTTTCCGTATCTTGGGTGCAGCAAGAAATGCTGTTTCTTCTGTGAGCAGTTCCGCGTGCAGCATGGGGCCTTCCAGGCGCGTGGGACGCACCAGACGCTGTTCCCGTTGTGGGCCTTGCCACGAGTACTTCCGCAGCATTCACTTCAATTATTGCATGGATTCTCGGATGCCCTCAAGAGTTTCATCCGGATCATGCTCACTGATCCGATCCCTCCTGCCAGGAGAGATCTGCTGCAGCAGTCGTCAGCAGCTTTGTCCACAGCGCAAGCGGTGCAGAGGGAGACACCAACGTACACTACCAGACCGCTGACATCGAGGTAAGTTCATTCCTGCATCTATCTTAGCTTAGATGTGATAGGGGGTGACTCATATCTTGTAGAAGAATGATGCTCGGCACTGGCGGGGTCGGCGCCACCGAGCACCAGATAGAATTCCTCCCTTTACCACAAACTCCTGGGTTCGCTATGCTGATGGGCGGCCCCGGAAAACAGGAGACTGATCCCGTTCCGATCGACAGGGCTGAAGTGTCTAAACTCAATCACGAGAGGAGCATATATATGTTGGAGAAGATTGATGAGATGCCGCCTACCAAGGTCCTGGACCGGAAGCTATGCCGGCGTTGTCAGAGTCTCGCAGAATACAGGTGCTCGGCTTGTTGGACGCTGTATTGCTCCGGAGCTTGTCAGAGACGAAACTGGGGATCCCACGTCTTCGTATGTCGAACCCTCAATCGACCCAATGACGTGGACTTTCTCAGGATGGTCATTCGGAAAGTTACAAGAGACATGCGCTCAGGGGACGAAGAGCAGATTCACAATGCAATGCTTTACCTGCTCGCTGACGATCATATGTGCAGCACCTTCGGGTTCAAACACTGCAAGACCAGACTCGAAGTACTTGATCTCGTTTGCCTCTATAGCACCATTTTGTCCAGAACACGTCCAGCGGTCAAGAGCCTACAGGATTACTTAGCGACCGGCAACCTCAGCGACTTCATGAAACAATTTTGTCAACTCGAACGACACGTTGCACAGATTACCAAAAAAGACGAATGTGCCTGCGTGACCTGGTTCCTGGAGCGTCAGTCCTCGATAGAACCCTTGCCCATTCCTGACAGTGACACGGCCTCTTACAGCATCTGGGTCAACGCTATCGCTGATGCTATCGACTCTCTCGACTTGGCACTTAGGTTCGATAACGGATACAAGTTGAACGAGCCTGAGACAGATGTATTTCATCTTTACGTGACAATTCAGCCGGGCGTGTGGCTGGTGCCGGATGCATATTCTTCTTCTTGGATCGAATTCGGATTCTGCCACTGCAGGTCCTTCGCGCAGCGGGCGGAGCTTGCCCGACGATATATAGCTCTGGCGCACTCTGATGCCACCTTTGATGACATTGTTGCCGCGTACGAGTCTCGGAGCCTCGCGGATTTGATGCGCACGCACGGCATCGACATATCGGAACTGGAGAGGCAGGGCATTCGCCTTCACAGGCCGCCGCCATGCGAGTACGCGGTCTACCGGCTCATGATAGGGGTCGAGCACGCCCTGTCAGGACGGTTCTGCAGCTGCTTCCGCGTGCGCGAGAGCCGCCGCTGCCACGCCTATTTCGAGACGCACATCGAGCGCGAGTCGGACACGAACTTTGGCTTCCACCTGACCAGCAGCTGGGAGCGATGGCAGCTCCTGAACTTCTACAGACACCTGTTCCGGCTGCCGGGCTTCGACCCGCGTCGCATGGCCGAGGCTGCGGAGGACGCGGACCGTGGGTGCCTGGAGATCTATCTCGACTCTCTTGTTCCCAACATGAGGATGAAGATATCCGACAGGAATCGATCGAACCTTTTGTTTCCAAGGCTCAAGGACAGGCTTCAGGCGACCACACGGGCAGGTGAAAGTGTCTCGCACTTTCACAACCCTTGTGAATGCAAAGTTCATGATGTTATGGGACCGCCGGGCATCTCTTACTTGAACCCGGAGCAGATATCTGCGTACCGCGACCCCGGTTGCCAATGAGAGATGTAGTGCTAGGCCAGAAGCTCGCAGGGCTATACATCACATGTTTTACTTCAACTTGGTATTATTTTCTGTTTTGAGTTTGATTTCTCATTGTTCTATTGTGTTTAAGATCTTTGTTTGAAACGATGCCTGGCCAGTGTTGCCCAATTTAGTAGGAGTTCTGCAACGATATATTCAGAGCAGATAGCGGAGTTGACCAAGGCTGAAGCGAATTTTCAATCTGTCAATGCCTCTGTGTCATCAGAATTGACCCAATGTCACCAGGCGCCGCCTTAGTATCTCTGCGTCTCTGGACTACTCAAACAAGCTATACTGTGCATGTGGCCCTGCTGCGTCAAACGAGTGGTCCCCCATGATGTCGTCGTTGCCAAGCTCTGCACGGCAGTTACCGTGCATAATTGTTAGGGAGTGACCTGGAGACGCGGGTGGCCACTGCGGAGACCGAAGTAGCTTCCATCAGACCCCTGTGGACTGCACCTTGTGTCAAGCCTTCTACCCCAACCCACTCCCCCACCATCCACCATGATCATCGCCTCACCCCAGCGATTCCCCAACTCAGCCGTCAGGGTGACGCTCCATCTAAATCCTAATGGCGGCGGTGCAGGTGATCAGCCCTTCCTCTGATTCTAAAATAACTCTCGGGCGACTTGACCGTCGCATGCCGCCATCTCAACGTTCATTCTACACCTTATCTGCCCTTCCTCTCTTTTGCTCATAGACTGAAGCAGCCACCTTCCTTAGATATCCCGGCCAGGCCGGTCTTTGCAATCTCGGCGCATTCGTTCGCCAGCAGGCTTCTCTTTCACTATATACAACCGTTCCACCAAGCGGGAGATTCGAATCGTCCACTGTACTCGACCTCCGGGCGCCGATAGAGCCTTCGGGCCACCACGTTGTCACTCCGATGTACCACCTGCGCCGTCTCACGATTGCCGGGCTTGCAGTCGCATCCCTCGTCTTCCTCCTGTGGCTGCTGCCAAGAGTGCTGAACCCGACGCCCCCAAACAAAGAACAGCGCGAGGCCAACGCTCGCTGGGTCAACACATCACCATACTGGCTAGACCGCCAGGCTTGCCGCTGGCTAGGCTTGTGCGGTGTGCTACACGTCAGGTCGGACCCGGCGGCACGGACGGATGAGCACGATGGCCGTGACCCAGGCGACCTCAGAAGACTGGAGTTGCGGTCCTTCGAAGACTTGCTGAGCACCGGCAAGGCGTCGCGGGGCGATGGCAGTTTTGGAAAGGCCTCGATACGAGTGGAACATGACGGGGATGGGCTTAAAGAGATACCCGACTACGTTTTGAAGTATGCGCCGCTGGTGCATCTGTATTCGGGCGAGAACTTCTGGCCGTCTGACATTGCGGATCATGTCACGCACATGGCGCCGTACGTTGATGACGCGCAGATAAACATATCGGATCCGTTGAGTTTGCGGGGCCTGCACGGACTGGACTCTGAAGACGGGTTTGTCTATTTGAAGAGCGAAGACGACGTTGAATCACGCCCAGACTGGCTACACAGCCATGCCAATATACCCATTCCGTTCGATGATGATGACGATGATGAAGAGAAGGAGCGCCAGCATACACCCGCACCAGAGAATGAGGGGCCCCCTCGGCACGGCGATAGCACAACATGGTATGAGGTTGACAAGGACCACCCATTGCGCAGAATATCGGATCCACGAAAGCGGCCCGAACGGTACCCTCCACCAAGAGGCTCACGGGGTCCTCAAGCAAGACGCTCGCTTGAAGACCAAAAACCTTTGGTTTCTACCCCCCAGCACAAACCTGATGAGTCTGGGTACTCAAAGGCGCCGGCCACTCTCGTCCTGGTCGACAAAGGTTCCGGGATCGTCGACGCATTCTGGTTCTTCTTTTACGCGTATAACCTGGGCCAGACTGTGCTTGGCATCCGCTTCGGAAACCATGTCGGCGACTGGGAGCACTGCATGGTTCGCTTCGAGTCGGGCATTCCGCGTGCCATGTTTTTCAGCGAGCATGAGGGTGGCCAAGCATATGCCTGGCAGGCTGTTGAGAAGCGTGGGAATACGACGGAAACACAGCGGCCCGTCATCTACAGCGCCGTGGGCAGCCACGCCATGTATGCTACGCCGGGCGACCACCCATACGTCTTGCCCTTCAAGATGCTGAAGGACGTGACAGATCGGGGGCCGCTGTGGGACCCGGCCCAGAACTTTAGGGGTTACTGGTATGATTACACAGAGACCAAGGACGCCGAGGGCCTGGAACCCGTCCGCGAGAACGCCGACGCGCCGACGGACTGGTTCCACTACGAGGGCCCCTGGGGCGACAAGTTGTACGGCCTAAACGATGCGCGGCAGTGGAGGCTGTTCGGGCAGTATCACTACGTCACGGGGCCCCAGGGACCCAAGTTCAAGAAGCTGGGCCGCGAGAGGGTCTGCCAGAACTGGCGGTGTCGCATCCTGTACAGCATCGAGGAGGGCAGGAAGCGCAGCTGGAACTCGTGATCTGTAGACAGTCTCGCGTTTGATGAATGAGATACCACACTTGCAAAGTTTCCATACTAGTTTGCATACTCTGCATGGGTTTCGGTGATTGTACAATTCTAGATATGTCCCTTGGAAGGGCATGTGATGAGGACGCATACCTCCCTCTCCGCCTCGAGATAGTGTCGTTCTTACCTGGATGGCGTCATCATTGATTGATCAGCCAGCCTCCGCAATTGCTTCCCAATCAGTTGCGCCAGGGTTTTCCTGCAGCTGAGAGACCTGACCTGCCCATGGTGAAAAATAACGGAAAAGGATTTGTGTACGGCCGCGGAAGTGCGGGCCAGTAACTGTACCATAGTAGACGGAGTATCCTATCGGTTCAGACTAAGCGTAAGAATCCGCATGGTGATTACATATGTCTTCAACGCCGTGGGGTACGGAGGTTCCTTATGTAGCACTTTGCATGAGTCACAAGCTTGGTATAAAGATGTGTTTGCGCTGCTTTCTATAGTATGCTCGTATAGTGGCAACCTATGAGAGGCTCCTCTGGCCTCACTGACACTTCATCCCACCACAACGTAACGCCCTGCCTGCTTACTTGACAGTGACACTGTGTCGAGTAAACAGCTGACAGATCATCGGCCGGCCCTTCTCACGGGGTTACTGGTACCACCCGGAACGCTTTTCCTACCTTCAGGAACCGCCCAGGATGGCCACTGTAAGACATGCAATTGGCACTTGGTTTCTCGTATCGTGAAAGAATCAGGAGGGCTAGCTCAGCAGGGTTCCGAGTTGATCTGACCACTGATATTTCGCTTAAGCCAGCCATTGTACTGCTGACGAACGTTTGATATTACCAATACCCAGGTGAGTGGCTGCCCTGTGAGCAAGTCAGTGAGCGTTTTGGTCGTTGGCGGGCTGTTAGCAGCCTTGGGATCACCATTCCAAAAAAAACTCTCCACAGACTTTTCCAGATACGGGAAATGGTATTCATCATGCATAATGGATAGCTGACTTGATGTGGCTGTCTTGCTAGGGCAGGGGTTACCCCCTGGTTCCGTCACTGGTGAGGGGTCATCTAGTGATGTGTGTCGGATCATCTTGATAGGCATGACCACACGTAATATTTTAGTACCGGAATACATCAAATCACATCCTTAATTTACCTGAGGTATTATCAATACCGACGTAGCTTATAGAGGTCTTATGTTTATAAGTTGCATGTAACTTTGATTTTCTGGTTCCGAGGTTCACCTGTCCCTCTGAGCTCCCCTTCATAGAACTGCTTGTTTCATTTTCGAAGAATGGAACCAAGTCTAGACTGGGTCGTGTTGGCCGCAAAGGTTACACAGACCGCTCTTATACTAGTGAGTGACCTTGTTCTGGGTAGTTGGAAAGACATCGGTGAAAACTAATCAGGCCAACTCCAGGTGTTGCTCTCATGGATGTCTCGTAGCATCTATCGTCTCTACTTTCACCCACTATCAAAGTTTCCAGGTCCAAAACTCGCTGCCATATCAGATGTTAGTTTGCTTATCCCGATGTGCTTTGTTATCGAAGTGTCAGGCTTACTCGGTCCAGTTATATTATGCCTATACATTTACGAGCGGTCGCTGGCCCTTCATCGCCGAGAACCTTCACCGCAAGTACGGCCCGGTGGTTCGCATCTCGCCCAGGGAGCTGTCTTTCGCTACCGTTGAGTCTTACCGGGACATCTACCAGTATGGCATGCGAGACAAGAGCAAGATCTTCATCAAGGGCGAGACATATGCAAACAGGGGAAATATACATATCCAGAACGCGAGGGATCCAGATCAGCACGCCAAAATTCGCAAGAAGCTCGCGCCAGCTTTCAGCACCAAGGCTCTGCGCGACCAAGAGGATATCGTACAGCACCATGTGGACACATTCATTGCCCAGCTAGGCAAGATGGGAGAACCGGGTGGGCCGGGCATTGATCTCAAAGAGGCCTTTGAATGGTTGACGTTCGATATAGCCGGTTCGTGGAGACCCTCCCGTTGACCCTTATAGTACGGAGAAATCGACCACTGACTTGTCCCTGACAGGCGACCTCACATTCGGCGAGCCCTTCGGCGCTACAGCAGAAGGCAAGACGCATTTCTGGAGCTCTGTGATTCAGCAAGCCTTCTACTTGACAGCCATTTCGACGTTGCGGAAGCGCATACCCGCCATCATACTCCTCGTACTATGGAATATGCCCAAGGGTTTTGCACAGACTAGAAAGCACCACGAACAGATTACAGAACAGAAGGTGCGCCGCCGGCTGGAGATAGGTGACACACGGCAGCGTGCCGACTTCTTCGGCCACCTCTTCAATACTGAGCAGCAGGAACAACTGGGCGGCGTCGCCTCTGCGGACTCGATATATAACGACATGGTTGCCAACGCCCAGATTCTTATGGTTGGCAGCGCCGAGACGATCAAGGGCTTCTTCTTGGCCGTGTCTTACCTCCTGATGCAACACCCGGAGTGTCTCGCTAAGCTGACCTCCGAGGTACGGTCGAAATTTGCCACGGCGAGCGAGATCACGGGGCAATCGACAACGCCGCTCCCCTACCTTAACGCTGTCATCGAGGAGGGGCTCCGCATATTCCCCCCTGTGCCTACCGGGCCCGAGAGGATAGTGCCCTCGGGCGGTGCCAACGTGAGCGGCTACCACGTGCCCGGTGGCACCACCGTGGCTACGCACCAATACGTCACAGCACACGATCCCAAGTACTGGCACGAGCCGGGCTCGTTTCTGCCGGAGAGGTGGTTAGGGGAGGGTTTCGGGGACCGGAAGGAAGCCTCTCAAACCTTTTCACTAGGGCCGAGGGGCTGCATTGGCATGAACCTGGCATACCTGGAGATGCGGATCACGCTGGCGAAGATGGTTTTCGCTTACGACTGGCAACTGCTGAGCAAGGACGTCGATCTGTTTAGGGATAGTCAGATGTATATCACATGGTTTACGCCGGAGGTACGAGCGGTATTTCATCCCAGGGAAGATTGATTGAGTGAGAGGGTGGCATGTATATATATGCCTTTCGTCTATTCGCAGAAAACTCATAAAGTTCTTCGTATAGGGACTCGGAGTTTCGAGGTTTGTTTGCGCTGTTTAGCGAGCTTGTGATGTGGCGTAGAAATTTCGACTTTGGATCACCAGAGTCAAGATTCAATTATAATGACAAGTAGACAGTACACTAGGTTATGACCGCCTGAATGTGCCAAGCATCTCCGACTTGCCATTATATGGGCAAGCCTTGATAAAAATCCGGTGCGATTCAAAACATAAATCAAACAAGGGCAAAGTTTGATGGGTTCTGGTCATAATTATATAGGCAGTTGCAGGTGATAAAATTTTTTTCTCTCCCTTTTGCAAGCAATCAACTATTTAACTCTTTGCAACGGTGAATTTCTGTAGCAGTAGAGCTGGAAGGTGAACGTGAATTGCGATGATACCTATTCATGGAGAATAAAACGGAAATATGTCAATGGTTTGTTGCATAGCGACTTCTGTGTCAGGTCGCTCACCAAGTTTTAGTTTGGACGAGTCGTAGTCATGTGTTGCTGGGTAAATCGGACTATACGTTGTATCACCTATATCCGTTTACAATGCCCTGCCCCGCACGCTATCGAGTCATGGGCAAGATAAAGTATACAGGGCTGGCCAAGGGGATACAGCAGGACCCACACCTTCCTAGTTAGGCAATGTCTCCTATCACCGGGAGTCCAGATTTGATTGAGCTGATATCCATTTACAGCCAAGTTGCGCAAAGGCCGGTCCAGACTGAGCTGGGCAGGTACCTGGCAGCTCCATGACTACTGTGCATTAGGCCGCAAGTTTCAGGGTCCAGTAATGGATAAAGACTGGCACATGAACGTAGCGAGTGACACCTGAGTGTATACAGTGGAATTCTAGTTTGCCGTTTTCCGGCTTGGTACCAATGGAGAACCCTGAAGATCCTCTTCGTCAAACAACAGAAAATAGCACTAAAGCTCTCATTTATCACCAAAACATGCCTTCGATTTTCTACTTTCGTTCATCGTTGAACGTCAAGCGCCACACCTGCTCTTAGTATACGTCCTTTGGAGGCAACATAGCGATGGCTGGCTGTCGCGCCTCCTGGATCGCGACAGTTGCTGCCGTTGCTATCATGTTGCTTTTAGGCGCTGTGAATGCCGTTCCGACCCGTTACCCCAGCCTGAGATGTTCGACGAATGCGCCACCACGAAACATCCTGAAGGCGAATTCGGAAACTCTTCGGGTAGGCAATCGGCCATGGGGAATAGCATACCTGAACGATGATTATGCCTTTGCAGTCGTGAATTTCTCACTTGCCGTCATTGACACCACCAATTTCAAGCCGAAACTCAGGGTTCTCATCCCGTTGCCACCGCTTTTTGCTCCGGGTACCGACATGGGCAACGATGACCCGATGTCTGATGGCTACGGATACCGCGAACTTACCTTCTCGCACGACAAATACAATTTATACATCGCCACTGGATACGGAGCGGTCATCATCGACACTGTCAGAGCGATTCAAGCGAGGACAAATGCAGTTGTAGGGACTCTCAGTTCAAACGGGTACGCCGGAAGGAGTGCTATCGAGTTATCTGTCACACCTGATGATAAGTACATATTCATCAGCCAGGAGTTTGGAAGCGACAACACGGAGGGTCGCGGGGCTATTGAGGTCTTCAATGTAACTCGATTGGATGACGGAACTGTCATTAGTTCCTATAGAGGCTATGTCCCACTAGCGTACGCCACAGTTGGGCAGAAGTTCTCGAGTGACTATACAAAACTCTTTGTTGTCAGCGAGATAGACAACACGACAGCGTCTGTCAACGATACGGCCGGCGTATTAAGCGTCCTGGACGTCGCCAAATTGAGGCGCACTCCTAAGCAAGCGTTGATTGCCGAGATTGCTACAGGCTGTCGCCCTTCTCGTTGTGACATGGCGGACGGGAAGCACCTTTGGGTAACGGAGCGAGACGCAAACCAGGTATCAGTTTTCGACGCAGAAAAGCTTATGGGTAACAGGACAAACGCGACAGACGTGCTAGTGGCTACGGTAAATACGGGGACGTCTCCTATTGGCATTGCGGTGGCTGGAGGCTATATCCTGACCGCGGATTCTAACCGATTTAACTATACCAATGCAACCACTGGGGTCACAGTCGTGAACACTGCAACGGCTTTGTTGGGTGAGGTGGACTTTCCGCAAATACCTACAGGGGAGTTCCCGCGGTCCCTCGCCGTGAGCCCTAGTGGCAATACGCTCCTCGTATCAGAGTTTGGGGCGGGGAATATACGCGCGGTGGATATCAGTTTTCTCAAAAAGCTATAATAACTAATGATAAGAAATTGCCCGTATTCCCCAAAACAGGTTCATGCGTTACTACATTGTGCAATGTAGCGCAGAAAAAATATATATATATATATATATAATTAGATTTGCAGCAGCAATCACACCATTGATACTTGATAAGCTTGATTGGATAAGAACAAAAATTTCTTTTCTTCTTGTCAAGCGAGCCTCTCCAAGTTGCTTCAAGCAGAAAATCGCAATTCCTTCAGCACCATCTTGACCTGTCTCAAATTGCTTCTTTACCTTCCGGACGACCTCCAAAGATAGTATGGCCCGGGTTCATATCTAAATGGTCAGGCTCACATATAGAGACCATCATTAAAGGAGGTACGATTGGGGAAGATTTATCGGGGGAAAAAAAAAGCTCATTGTATAAATGAATAGCGGCAGAATGACAGCCGAAGGTGTCTTCTGACTTAAACGTGCGCTCGTGCAAAGGAAGCACTTGAATCACATGCAGTGAGAAAATAGTCAGTATAGTGCTGACATACCAAGACCAGCTACTTTTTAGGCGAACGTACGTCCGGATGTGAACTGCAGGATCTGCAACCAGATTACTAGTGGAGAGACTATCTCTACACATAGCGCATACTTGTCCCGTGCTAAGAGTTAGCGTTGTCGCTGCGCCGAGGCTATATGTGGCTCAGGATATGGACGTGGCATAAGCATTGCCACGACTAGATCTGACAGCGAGACGCATCATTGCCTTGCCAGATATAAGGAGCAACCTTACCAAAGAGATCATTGTATGGTTAGTAGTTGATGCCATTCATAGAACCATCAGCCACGAAGATGGGAGACCAATTCCAAGATATCTTGATTCCCGAACATTATAGAGATGAGCTCGAATATGTCGACATCAAGGACAGGCGCTCAGATGAGGAAATCTTGAAGTTCCTGACGCAATGGTCACCCGTCACTTCAGAGAAAAATATTTGGGGCTTCTGGCACGCCGGACTCTCCCATATGCCTTCGTGGTGCCAGAGAAATGTAATAGACTGGGTGCGCATCAATCCGGGCTGGTCGATTCGGATCCTCGACAACATCCCAGACTCGCCTCACTACGCGCTCAAATACGTCTCAAAAGATCTTCTGCCGAAGTCGTTCGTGGAAAGGAAAATAGACGGCCCCTGGTCTGCTCCCCACTCTGCGGACCTTCTCAGGGGTGCCTGTCTGTATACCTATGGTGGCGCTTGGCTAGACGTTGGCGCAATTTTGGTTCGAAGTATAGACAGGATATGCTGGAACAAACTGGAGGATCCAGACTCGCCGTTTCGGGTTGCTGCCCCAATAATTCTGTCGCAAGCTATAGCGAACCATTTCATTGTCTCTAGGAAAGGGGATCCTCTTATCAAGAGATGGTATGGCAATGAGAGAATTTGAACTGTTCTTTTTCTTGGCTAATTTTTTGATAGGCACGATCTTTTCGTCTACCTCTGGAACGACAGAAATAATGCCGATGGGCTCATCAAGCATCCAATCTTGGCCCCATCGGTGCCAGACTTGATGGCCGAGTACGGAGCTGTTGCAGACAACCTCTGGGATTGGAAGGTGCCCAACGAGAAGGCTGCAGAATATGTTACGCAGGTGTGTCACAGTCAATGTTGAGAGACCGCTGAGAGAATACATGCTCACACAACCATGTACGAGTAGATAGCCACCTGGTATCATGTGTGCCGCCTGGAAGACTCAGGCGACGGATTCTCTCCCACTGACCACTGGCAGAATCATGTGTTCGGCTTCAGCACACTTGAAGATTGGCCCGTTGAGGGGATCCTAGGCTTTGCGGGCTCAGGGCAGAAGATTCTGGACCTTCTTGCTCTGAGGCGCGATGGGGATCCGGCTTCTGAGCAACACAAGCAAGCAGAGAGGCTCGTCTGGACGATCTTGGTCAGGTCCTGCAAGCAGAAAGTGACGCATGGTGCCGGTATGACCCACACGCCACTTCTAGGCTGTCTCTGGGATATGCCGGAGAATGAAGGGAAGGACACGGCGCCAGGGACGTTTGGAGAGCTATTGAGGTACGGATCGGTCTACTTCAGACAGAGGAGGGAGAGCGTGCCGAGGGTCCCGGCTCAGAAGCCACCGGTCACTTGGAAAAGGGGGCTTTTTGAGGCATGAGAAACATTTTTAATTTGTTTTGCTCCTCCTGAAAATGTAATTGACAACCCGAATAAGTGCAAACTTTGAGACTATATCAACGGATGCTTCTCTCTCTCTCTCCCTCGCCAGCCCACTACTTAAGTTGATTCTCTTCAGGGTGAATTGACCAGAGTTACTGGTGGCCCATCGTCTTCGCATAGCCAATGAAAGCCGAGAGATCATGGGCGGCCTACCTCTATATTTCCACATTTTCTCGATCCTTTACTGTTAGAAACGTTGTTACCTTGATAGTATTGCGTTGGATATCCTCGAGCGTCGGCATGCCCTCGGCGCTTCCGCTTTGAACCAAGCTAGGCAGAGTCGCCTCAAGGCCTTGGGGAAGCCGTATCCCTTGCTTTGATATGCGCCAAAATGACTTGCAAGTCTCGCATAGCCGTAACAGCGCGAGACGACTTGGTCTCGACTTTCGTATGCCGCGATCAATGTCCTCCTGGTGGTAAAAGCTGGGGCATCTTCAAGGACACATTTTTCCTAGAGAGGATATTCCAGGAAAGAGAACACCTGATGCCATATTTCTGCTGGGAGTGATTCCACATTGCTTACAAGAGGTAACTGACCGGTGCTTAGTTCCTGTATATCAGAACGGGCATTGACGAGACGAGTAGCTTAAGTTAGCGTGTTCCTCCGAAGTCGACCTGGTGGGGCGGCTCGGAATTAACAGCGGATCGAATCCTGTACACATGGCCCATTGACGTGATGTTCAATGTTTTGTACGCTTGTGTAGATACATGTATGTGTATCTAACCCCCATTCCTATCCAAGGAAGGGTATCTAAAATGTATGATGATATCGAAGTAATATACTTTAAAAAAGAAAAGCGCGTCATGATCTTTTCCTCCCGCCATAGCATTCATTAGCCCATTACAGCCGTCCATTCGTCGATCTTGATCTCGGGTATCCCAGACTCCCAGAAGTGCGATATATAAAACCCAGAGTCTCTGGCAAAGGGAAGGAACCAGGGAAATATGTGAGAACGACCGAATCCCGCTCGGCTGATGCAAACCGGATGCAAACCCCACGAAAGCAGGAAACCACCCTTCGCATGCTAAAGGCAATCACCACAGCTGACTCAACCACTGCGGATTTCCTCGTCCATGAATGAAGCATGTGGATCTTACTCCTTGATCGTTTCGCCTTCCTCCGGCTTCTTACCTCCCCAGCCCGGGCCTGCCCAGCCGAACCAACTTGCCCTCTTGTTCTGCGCATCAGCGCCCTTCATGTCCGGGTTCTCCTGGACGAGCCTCAGTGGTCTCGGCTTGTTACCGGCGAAAGTGGCCTGCTTGTCGCCATGGCTGTGGCCGGAGCTGACAGTACGAGGTGGGCTCTGGCTCGCGCTGGTACCATCAGCCGCCGAGTCGCCGCTCACACTGCTCGTCTCACTGCGCATGCCTGGGAAGTTTCCAGCCGTGGGCGCACCGCTGCTGGAGGATGTCAACCGAGGCGTACCAGTGCCACTGAAGAATTGAGCGCTGTTGCGTGGGTTTGACAGGGAGGGGGACAGTGGACCGTCAGGACCTTTGTACATGGCGTTGACGATGCCAGCAGCCCCGGCGAATTGCTCGCTCATGGGACGTCCACCGGGACGTCTGGTTGAGGCGGATCGGGACATGCCGATGGGAATGCTAGGGGCCGTGTCGGGGTTGTGATGGGCGGCAGTGGAGGATGGCATAAAAGTCAAGGGGCGCTGTCGGGGCTTCGGGTTGGCCTCAGCGGGCTTGCCACCCATGGCGATAGACTTTGCGCGCTGCAGCAAAGAGGCGGCAGCGCCTTGGTCGGATGGCGGAGCAGGCAGGTCCTTGTTGACGTTTGCCCCAGATTTGGCATCGGAAGACTGGTCAAGAATGTGCTCAAATTCTTGGTGCTGCAAAAGCCGCTCGATAATCTTGTTAATATAGAGGGTGAGCGCCTTGTTTTGATCCTTCAGCGCACGCAGCTCGCCTTCGAGGCGACGTTGATGGTCTGCGTCGTCGACGTGCGAGATGGCAGACTCGTCGGCCATGTCGCCAAGTTCGTCGGCCAGGCTGTTGCTGCCAAGGAGATCCTTATTTCCGCCAGAGCTGGGGCGGCCCTCGAGCGCACTCAGGGCATCTTGGTTGGCGTTCATACCCATGTAGCTGAAGTCGCCCTTGCCAAAGTCACCGTGCAGTGTCTTTTCCTGCAAGAGCAGCTGATATGACTCGTTGTCCTCCATCAGGCGCGCATTAGCCATGCGGGCTTCCATCAGCAGGCGCTCGACCTCATGCAGGCGCCCGCCTCCCTGGTTTTCAGACTCGACGAGCTTGATCTGAGCCTCGGCGAGTTCGAGGCGCAGCGACTCGATCAGCTTGTCCTTCTGAAGGAGCAGCTTGGAGTTGTTTCGCGAATCGCTGCGATTAATGGATGACGGAGGGGCAAAGTTCCCGTTGTCGACGGTGGGGGAGGAAGTGTTGGCTGCGAGACTGGTTAGTTGACTGCGCATGAGTGATATACTGTAATTTCTGAGTGTTCTTACACTGCCTCGTAGGCCGGTATTCATCCTCGGCGTTTCTCTGGTTGATGGTGTCCTTCAGCCGGTTGATGACGGCCTGCATCTCTTCCTCCCTATTGGCCATCTCCTCCTTCTCCTTAAGAATCTTGCTCTTCTCAGCCTCGTAGATGGTCTCCATCTCTCTAATCTGCCTGGCAGACTCCCTCTTCTCGTTCCGAAGCGCCTCGATCTGCTCCTCGCTCTCGTGCACGCGCTCTTCAAGCTTGGCCTGCTCCTTGAGGGCGTCCTCGAGCCGGGACTGGAGCACCTCGGCCTGCTTCCTGTACTGTTCCGAGGTGGCATCGGCCTTCTCCAGTCTTGCCTTGAGGTCTTCGACGACGGCGGCGGCTTCGGCGCGCAGCACCTCCTCAGCCTCTGTAGTCGAAATGCTCAGCGATGACGACCCGCGGTGGGCGGCAGCGCGCGCCGAGACGGGGGTGCCAGTCCTGGTAGACCGGGTCCGCGTGGGAGTAGCATTCTGGGCACCAGCCACGGAAGACGTCGGGGTCGAGGTGCGCGGCTGACGAGAGGGCGACGGCGATGCGGTGTTGTTGTCGTTCAACCGGTTGGTGCCCGCTGAGGGCGGCTTCCTCGTGGCGGCAGACATGATGCAGTGGGATGCTCCGAAATGAGCGGGTGCTGTGGCGCTTGCAGAGCAGGAGGAAGCGAATCTGCGCAAGGTGGGTGAAGATAACGTATATAGAGTGGAAAAAACAGCTGTGCTGCAGTCGTGTCTGCTCGCTGGGGGGGGCGTTGCTGTGTTGATGTTCAGGAATGGATTTCACCGTTCAATCTCGCTGGACCGAATCGGGTCGAGTGTCGATGGATACCTGCCGCTCGGGGTCCAATCCGGTGACAGTTGACATGGGATTTCCTCTGGAACCCCGTGCTGGTCTGGTCCACCAAGCCCTGTGCTGGTTGGCGGGGGCCTAGGGGGCTTAGGGGGCCTACTGTAGGTAACTTTGTAGTGACTGAACTTACTATGCTGGGCCTGCCAGCAGCTGCCCAGGGAGAAACCGTTGCCGTAGCCCCTGCGGTCCCTGCTACCCCTGCGGCTAGTGCTGTTCTAAGTGCTGTTCTACGGCTTAGTCCTGGTCTCGATCGCTGGGGGGACGGTAGCGCCGGAGTGCAGCCACCTCAGCGCAATGCAACAGGATTCGACGGCGACTGCTTAACGTCTGTCCTTTTCGTTGTTTCACTGCTGCAGAAAACTCAAAAAAGTATCTCGGAGCGGGCGGCGCGAAAAGATGAGGCGACTTGTCGCAAACTCCCAGACGCTCAGCCACCGTCGTCGAGTTGGTCCGAACTTCTTTGGTCGAGTTAATCCCAGGTCCCTGGACGCATACAGTACGCGCGGGCGATCCTGATGCGATGCCACGCTTCGCGCAGTTTGCTGACCTCGGGCTGTGCCGAATCTGACTTGCAGGTAAAATTAGGTGCAATGCTCACTCACACCTCGCTCACGCAGGCTCCATGTCATGGGCAAGGTCAGCAAAATACGAAGACCAAGTGGACATCTCTTGCGTCGATGCCCATTGCCGACGAACCCCAGCCATGCCAGCTCCCAGGGAGGCCACGAGCTGCGTCTGCAGCCCGTTCACTGAAAGTCTACTTTGCACCGTACCGTAGTCCACCATGCATGGAGTGCGTTTACTCCGTACAGATCCCAGATCCCAGATCCTGGACCGTGTCAACGTTTGGCCTACCCAGTACCTACGTCGCCCAAGTCGAGAGTCGCGTCGCATCAACACCCGTGCCGGGCGGTCATTTGTCGCATCATCGGGCAATTACTGAAACACGCGTGCCTGGTAATGCAAATCATAGCCAAGGGAATGGCCAGCCGTCGATGGCACTTCTTCGAGAGCTTTCCCGTGCCCAGGTGCACTTCATCCCAGTCCCACAATAGCCTTTCATCTTGCAAGCCCTGTTGATGCTCCGGCGTTGCTTAGTTCGTAACCTGCAATTTCGACGTTAATGCAACGCAGCCCGGTGCCATGTGACTGCGGTGTCTACTTTCTACTGTGTAACCTTCTGCTATCCATGGATCGAGACCCCGTTTCGAACCAGGATGCTCTTGAGTTTGGGGAGACGTCACATCTCAAGTCCAGGTAAGCGTTGACGGTTGCTATGTATCCAGTCCAGCACTATAGTTACGGACTCTGCTCGACTATTTAACGTTTGGATGCTTCCCAATAAACAGGTTACAGGGCACGCCGGATGTCCTTCCCCTTCTTTTCAACACTCAAACGTATGCGTACATAGCAGCATGAGGTTGCTGAAGACGGCTAATAGCAAGTCACAACGCGTGGCCAAGGCGAGGCGACGCCAACTTCTAACTGACAGCCTCGAGATATGGCTGCTTCGCGTAGTCCTGACGTCCGGCTGGACTTCAATGCTAGTGCACTATGACACGGTATGAAGGAAAGCAAAACACTCAATTCGTGGAGTCCTCAGGGGGCGGAGATAGTGTTACATCGAGTCTTCCTGAATACTAAGCCGCAAGAGTTTCATTTCACTTGACCCGAGTATCACGTCCCACAGGGTATACTTCAGTTATGATCAAAGCATTTTCAATTGGGGTATCACTTGTGCTGTGCCTCCAGCCAATGGTAGTTCTGTCCAGCTTGACACTCGATATCAGATTGTCTTATATCTACTCGAGAAGCTTCCTAGACGTGGGTGATCGTGAAGCCTTGCCGCTCGTGCAAGTGCCTGGTGCAGTTCGATGACTGCCCGAAATGACCAAATGACATGCCCATTTTTACCCCAGACCAAGGTCCCTAACGCCGTCCGAAGAATGCATGCAGTGTCAGATTTACGACTGCTGGTCGCTGAGGATATCAGAGTCACCGGCGTCAAGGACAGACATGGTCGAGCAGCGGAAGAGCTTTCCGCAGGCAACACCAAGCTCAATCTGATAGGAGGAAGCGAGTTAGCTGGTGATTTTGGCCCTCCAAAGTCTACAGGAGACTTTTTCGCTGGGTAGACACGCCGGGCCAGAGGCTCCAGGCGGCCGCGTTCAAGCATTGAAAGACTCGGCTCTGGCGTTCGGGAGGAACGCCAAACCTGTGCAAGGAGATGTCGTGTAGAACTTACGTTGTTTCCGCCGAAGTGGTGGACGGGGGTCTTGCTCAACATGCTGTAGTACTCCAACTCGGACTTGCGGAGAGGAGGGGTGTTGCCGGCAATGATGACCAGCTTGGCCTTGCCAGCACGGAGGGCCTTGAGGGTCGACTTGTAACCCAAAGCGACTGTTGGAAGAAAGAAATGTCAGCAGTGATGGCGCAGGGGGTTAGTTTTGGCTGGGACGAGACGAACCCTTTCCGGACTTCATCACAAGCGCCAGGCGCGAGGAGAGGGAGTTGGCATCCTTCTTGTTCTTCTTGATGGCCATTGTGACGGGTGTAGCTGGGCGACTCGAGGCGAGAGGTGGCTGTTGAGACTGTTTCGTTGGGCGTGAAGAGAGAAGCAAGCTGCAGCAACTTTTCCCAGGCGCTGTGAATTTCTGGTGGTGGTTTTCCGGGGCCCCCACCCCACTGGAAATGGGCGCGCACAGACCAGCTGCCCTGCCCTCGCGGGAAAATCGAAGGGCAGGCAGGCCCTAAGGGCCCACTTTTGGGGCAAACTGCTGATTGGTCAGCTGCACGCCCCGTCTACCGCCCACACGCTGCGGACGGCCAAAAGTTGCCGCTTGGTTGTGATTTCTAATCCAGGTGAATTCCCTTCAAAAGTGGGCAGGATCTCACCACCCAGACGACATCACCAACCACAACTAACACCACAGCACCCATCGCGAAATACCGTCAAGATGGCTCGTCGTCCGGCTCGCTGCTACCGATACTGCAAGAACAAGGTTAGTGATGGAGATAGTCGACAACGTCCCGCGCCTCACCACACCCGATGTACCCGCCTGGCCCAGATCGATACCGTGCGCTCGAGAGACGGATAGAAGCCCGCCGAGTGCTCGTCATGGCCCAGGTCCATTCTGCCGTGCTGTTGCGAGGCTCTCGTGCGCTGCTTGCGCTCCCGGGGAGGTCATCGGGCTGGGCGAGGAACTGAGGCAGCACGACTTGCCTTGACATATGAAATTCGGGAAGAACTCCAGGCTGACCATTTGTGACGCATAGCCGTATCCCAAGTCGCGCTTCAACCGTGGTGTCCCCGACCCCAAGATCCGCATCTTCGATCTGGGCCGCAAGCGTGCTAAGGTCGATGACTTCCCTCTCTGCATCCACCTCGTCTCCAACGAGTATGAGCAGCTGAGCTCCGAGGCTCTCGAGGCCGCTCGTATCTGCGCCAACAAGTACCTCGTCAAGTATGCCGGAAAGGAAGGTTTCCACATGCGTGTCCGCGCCCACCCCTACCACGTCGTCCGTATCAACAAGATGTTGTCTTGCGCCGGTGCCGATAGACTGCAGACTGGTATGCGTGGTGCCTGGGGCAAGCCCAACGGCACTGTCGCCCGTGTCAACATTGGCCAGATCATCCTGAGTGTCCGCACTCGTGACTCCAGTACGTTTCACACTTCGACGATTTGATCTGTGTCGTACTCTGTACTGACAATGCTTCCCCTTTTCTAGACCGCGCCATCGCTCTCGAGGCTCTGCGCCGATCGCAGTACAAGTTCCCTGGCCGCCAAAAGATCATCGTCTCCAAGAACTGGGGTTTCACTCCCCTCCGCCGCGAGGAGTACCTGGAGAAGGTCGCTGCTGGTCGCGTCAAGGTCGACGGTGCCTACGTTCAGTTCCTCAGCAACCGTGGCAACCTGGCAGAGAACATGAAGCGTTTCCCCAACGCTTTCACCGAGGCTTAGAGGATTTGTCGTGTCATGAGAAGCAATGGGAACTGGACTGGCGTTTGATTCGGCTACATAGCACTGTACTGTCCATAACAGTCGAACAAGGGTCTTTTGCATTTGCACAACCACTTTACGTCTACTCTTCCTCATTTGTGAACAATCGAAATTTGTTTCAAGAGTGACTTACCCAGCCTCCGCCGTATATCTCTGTTGTTTACGTCTCCATGTGTCGTGGCGTCTCGAACCTGCTGTATGTTTCGTATATACCGTGTGTACCGTGGTCCACCGCATGAGTCACAATGTGTATTATCAGAATTGCCATACACCGCGGACCATCAGAGTGACTATCGGGCACTACCCGACCATCGGAGCAAATAGAAGCTGCCGGGTCGAACGGATAAGTCATAGCTACCGCTTGGGAACAGACTAGACGGGCGCCTGTCGAGCTGAGCTTGAATGAGCTCATCGGTAGGCCCGGAAAGGGACCGGAATAGCTTGATCTAAGTATAAACATTCGAGTCATTTGTCAATTTCAGTATGGCTATGCGAAATTGACTAAGCTTTCTCTGTAGGCAGGTGTAGCTAGGTGAGGTAGTCCGTTGTTGCAGCTTACATATCCTGGGAGAGAGCGTTATATTACTACAGCATAGGCAGGTTTGGACGCAGCCGCCCGGCGACAAAGTTAGTATGTACGCCAATCCACATGATCTTGGGCTGTCATTGGGATCAGTCTGCTTGGCACCGGACGAACAATTCTGGTACGGCACAGTATGCATGCTTTTCTTGGGAGGGATCTTCTGGGGGTCGCGGGCCGCCCACGCCCACGCCCACAAGACACGTCGTTACCTGCCCGTGAAACGCTGATCAGGGAAGACGTACGAGTTATGAGCGGGAGCATGCCACCGTCTGCCCAACATGTACTGAGCATGTCGCCCGGTTCTGACACAAGTGTGGCAGACTGACCGACATCCACTTGAGCTGAAGCTGCTATCGATTGCGCTTCCGGCGCATTTTCTTTGCCTTATCGGAACCCCCCTTGAGTTCGGACCCTCCTTTTAGGGAGGAGGGCGATTGATAAGCATGTAGGCGGGCGGGCAGGCGGGCTGGCGGCAAGGCGGGTTGGTCCACCTTGATGCTGTCCAGCTCATCCACCCCGTCAATCAACGCAAGGGTCCAGGTCAAGGTGGGAATCAACCCGCAGCGCAGTGCTCACTTGCCTGGCCGCGGATGACAACATATCAGCTCACGAAAAAGAGACTGGCGCAAACATGCTCCCAAGTGACGAGCATCCCTCGCAATTGCAGATGGCCTGAACTCTATACCGAAATCCCCAACACTCTAGACGGAGCCAGCGCTCCTTTCGTTGGCTCATTACGGATTCTGTGTAGACACGGTGTTGAGAAACCGGTTGCATCAACGGCTCATCACATCGACGACGTACTAGGTGCGAGGTGGGGGAGAAATAGCCCGTTCCAAGACAGCGAACCACCAACGTGCACGCGATCTCCCCCCCAATCGGACAGCTGACTCGCTTCCGTCATTGGATCGCCTCGACCTGATGAATGGCATCAACCCTCTCATTGTTTGCAAACTTGCCCGCCCCCATCTAGAGCGCCTAGTCCATCGCCCGACCAACTCGCCCATTGTCTAGCGTGGTCAGATCAAGAAAGTCCAGTCAGTAGCTGTCAGATAGACTGTTGGGCGTTATCTCGAGAGGACCCTTTCTCTTGACCTGCACCTCGAGACGCAGTCAGCAAGACTTATCGTGCTAATAATACCGAACACGGCACCGACCCCAAGATCTGGCACGTCTGACATATTTCGCACAACTCTGCCACTTCCAGCTTTCTTCCTTCTATCGTGCTGTCGGCACAATCAACGTTCGGTACTATAGCCCAGAGCTTGCCGACTTTCCCCAACTATCGAGCACCACCCCGCGTTACCGACGCCAGAGAGCATCGCAAACCGAACTCCCGCTGGGCTTCAACCCAGTCGGGCTATATCCTTCAAAGACTTGCAACTTCACGACTGATGTAAAGCAACATCATGGCTTTTCATCAACCCACTAGACAAGCCGCTCAGCGGGTTTTCCACCCCGCTACCGAAGACGCGCAGCATGCTCCTCAACCTGCCGTCTCGGCGGTCGAGGAGTCGCAGACTTGGGTGCTCTTCTCTCCAGAGACCGATGCGGGCACCACTACGTCCTACCTCACGGAAACCCACCGTTCCGAGTTAACGCCTGGTCGTTCGCGGTTGAGTGATCTGGGTAGCCTTCACACGGTCGCCCGATCGCAGAGCAGTACAGATCAACCGCGATCTTCTAGTCTTGGCGCCTTAGATGAAGACGAGGTGGAGGAGGACGACGCCGAGCTAGATAGCCTAGACAGCCACCTCCCAGAGTTTCGGACAATCCCTGCCCATGGGTTGGCACCCATCGTACCGGCTCACGATGGTCTTGGATCCTTTCGCTTGGATCATGAGGGGATGGGCGCCGATGTGCAGAACAGACTGTACGCCTTCGAGCAGTATAACCCGCGTCGCGTGAAAAGGCGGCGCGAGAGTCTGGAGGTAGCCCAAGTGGAGGTGGACAAAGAGCAGGAGCAGGAAATGGACAAGATGCGGCGAATCGAAGCATGGAGATTGGACCAAAGTCGCCTCCTCCTCGAAGAGATACAACGGGAGACGCGTCGGCGTAGACGTTCTACCACCAGCACAACAGGTCTTCGGCCGGCTCTCGAAAAGGCCGAAGCGCACGAAACAACTACTACTGCGGATGTGGACCTGGGAGATGACGACGAAGCATGGCATGAGCAGCAAGCTGGCGACCTGGGAGATAGCGAGAGTCTCTGGGGCCGCATCACACGCAAAGTGATTCGCGATATCATGGGTATTGATGACAAATTGTTGTCAGTACTATTTGGGGAAGCGTTACCGGACGAAGATGACTTGTCAACCACGCCAAAGGCCTCAACTGGAATGCTTGATATTGCCGACGACATCCCCATGTCAGATTCAGCAGATTCAACCTGGCAATTCAAGGTCCTTGAGCGGATTGCAAAGGAACTTGGGACGCTTGTCCATCAGATGTCTGAGCATCCTGGAGCGTTCTCGACTTTCACGCGGATGCAGCAGATGCCCATCTCATACGCTGGTCTGCCGCCAATACCGGAGTCAGCAAATGATTTGGGTCACGCCTCCGTTACTCAAGATGTTCATACACCGATAATGCCCGAGTTCAAACCGACGATCCCTTCGCAGACGCGCCCGATAGATGTGCCTAATACCAGGGTGCTTCCCGGGTCTGCATCAGCTCCGTCGCATGTCCAAGGAGAGAAGGGCGGCAATGGTGCCCCGACCTTCACGCAAGAAGAATGGGAGCAAGATCTGGATGTGAGGCTGGTTTTCCGATACCTGCGCTCGCGCTTCCTGTCCCGCCCGAAGAGTTCGGGCAGTATGACTGGCAACGCGCATCTTGCCACCTCCAATACTCAAGACGTCGCTGCCAAGGTCGCGAGGGTACGGCAGCACCACCCGTTAGTATCGAAAGCACGGTCTTCGGAGAGGCGTCCATTCAAGGCAACGACGCCGTCAAGCCCGGTGTTATTTAGACACGCGTCCAGCTGTGCGAGCCAGAGCACTCGGAGATCGGTCAGAAGGAGCAGTTGCTCCTCCCGGCACTACTGGGACATTGGCGCTGGATCCGTAGGAACAGGCTCGATGATCGCAGCTGCTGGTCCTATGGGAAGTTGGGGCGAGGTGTGAAGCGATGATTCACGCTGTGCCGCCTGGTTGCGCGGCATTTTAGCATTGTACTGTATCTAGGCATGGTCCTGCCTGAGGTTGGATTGGCGTGCGTGTTAGCATTTTGGCATTTACTGTACACGGGAACTATGGAACTATCACTGCATATCCAGCTGGCATTTTGACAGCTCTGGGATCAGAAATCCCGACTAAACTCATCAATCGTCGAATGTAATCCCAGGTTTTAGACTGTGAAACACTGGGGTCCATTCCAAGTGCATCCCTACCGCAGCAAAGCACATAATTACATACTCGATGTGCCGGTCATGCTAGGTAGTCACATATATCCAGGTGCATACCGCCGAGGAGTCTCGCCGCAACAACTGCACAACCGCCAGAGAACCAGCTGATCGCCTCGATTGGTGGTGTCGAACCCTGGCGCTGTGGCCGACGACCCCCTCCGTGGCTCACCAAGGGCGACAGGTAAGGCGACCGTGTTTCGGCCTAGCGACTGCCATGTCACTGGGTGCGAACCCGCTCCCAAGCAGACCGCACATTTCGCTGAGGGGATCCGAGCGGGCTCTCACGATGGGACCTCTGGCATGCGCTGGTCCGAACAGGGGGCTCAGACCTCGTCGTCCAATAGGGGCCCTGCCGCTTCACGGTAGCCCACCCTTGCGCGACCAACGGATTCTTTTTTTGACGACGCGTAAAGTGGAATACGCCGGGGGTGTGAGCTGGGCTGCAACGCTCGCTGCACAGCTGCCTGTGAGTGCCTGGCCTCTCACACATTGTGCCTATCGTGTCGTCCAGCTCGCGTAGGAGTACTAGGCAGTTGGGCAACACAGCATCAGGCCCCCCCCATCGCCCCCCTCTACGGGGTAGAGTGCATCTATCCTGTCTCCAGCCTGGATTCGCAATCCGGTCGAGTCATAAAGCTGGTGCAGTCTCACTGCGGATCCCTCAGTCCTCGTCGTCCTGCCCTGCTCCACACCCCAGCTCCAAGCCAGCAGCCGTGACACGCAGAGCATCCCAACCCCACCACGACGCTATCTCGGCCAATCCCATCCTAGGCGCCTCACTCCCGCAACTTCACCTCTCCCATACGCCCTCATCAGTTATCGCCCAGGTGACTACCTGCTAATGCACGCGGCCTCGCTTGTTGCCTTCTTCGCGTCAATATAAAGATTTATTCCCGCGCTCTGTGCATTCTGCTTCAGTCGTCGTCTTTTATCCGTGGTTAGTGCCAGCCTGAGGATCGCCCGGACAGCATCGTGATGTGTCGCGTCGAGCCGGGACATACTAACCGTCGCAGTATCATGTACTAGATTCGTCCATCTTGCGACCCAGCTGCGCCTGGTCGGGTCGCCCAGGATCTGAACATCATCATCTACGAACCGATTTGCCAATATATATAATTGTCACCCCCCTACAACCCCCCGATTCTCGACCCTCTTTCCACCTCCCAATGCCCCCCATTTGCATGCGCGCCGCGGCTCAATGGCAGGATCCGTCTCCGACTTCTCGCTTCCAAACAGCTCATTCTTCAATATCTACAATGATGGACGACCCGTAACTAGGAGCTCGCCCGCCCCTTCTCTCCCGGGTGGGCAATGCAACTTCGTGGATCTCGCCCACGGCGCCAATGGTCCCAAGTGTGGTTGTCGCCGCTTCTGGAGTCGCGCCGCGTTAGGATTCCATGGAAACCCATCTGGCCCTTCAGGATATTCCAATGGAAGCCCAACGGACCAGGCCGCCTTTTGCATGTGCTCCCATCATGCATGCTACCATGATGACGTTCACAATACCCCAGGTCCCATCGCCGCACCCGCGCCCGTGGTCATCAATCCTGGCCAGGAGAATGAACGGCCAAGGTCTAACCGGGAACCTCTTACTCCCGTGATGCCAGGTCTCTCTTTTCAGATGCCCGCGCCGTCGGACCCGCCCCAGGATTTTCATACGTTCAATAACACATCATTGCCCACGGACTTGAACCAAGATGGACTTATACCCGCAGGAGAGAAGCCAGGCCCACCGCCGGAGGCATCAATACCGGATACTCTGAGTTGGGGAAACCTCATCCAATCTCAACCTGGCCATCGGACGGACGTATTACCTCCCATCCCAAGTCAATGTTTGCTTCCGCCATCGCAGCCAAGTTCCACTACATCTTCCGCTCGCATAGCATACCTGAAACCCTTTGGTGGGACGGGGCTCAACACGCTGAGGGATGCCAGGTCTAAACTTCGCGACGCTCTGCCGGTGGAACCTGACGATGGCCAGGACCAAAATGATGAGATGGTCGATCATAGTGTGGACCCTTCCGTGGATGACTTACAGACTGTCACAAATACGCCCAGATCTACTCGGCGTACTGATGTCACGGACAAGTATAGCCAAGGCGGAAGCTTGGGACCCAACCGGCAAGACTTCCAAGAGCTGTCCAACACAGTTCAAAGCCATGAACACCGGCTTGACAGATTAGAGACTGTCTCGTTTGATCACGACCATGAGGATTGTCACGATCAGCATGATCGCACTGACCTGCGCGTTACTGAGCTTGAGGTCCGTGTCGAGGAGCTGGAGAAGACACTCAGTGATGGAAGCAGCGTTGCAACAAGCCAACATCGCTCACGACGCCCCGGCGTTGATGAGTCGACAGCCAGTATTGCATCGATATCCACCAGTGCCAGTGGTCGTGCAGACCGCGCGGAGATGCAAAGCGAACTGCTATCTCTCAAGGCTCAGTTAAGCTATCTCCAAGCTTCGTCTTTCCCGTGTTATGCCCATCCCTGGGAGGTTGAAGTTGTCTTCTTCCCTTTCCCATTGAAGGGTGTCTGGTACGAGTCCCGTGAGTTCCCTAGCCAACGGCAATCAGGGGGCACCAACGTGGACACCGATCAGTGGACGCAGCTGCCCAATAGCTCATCTACCACCACAGAGCCACAATCGCCTGGCTTTTCTGAGTGGGCTGGCCCAGAGCTCGAATCGGAGTGGCTTCTACCCCGAGCATGCCCTCCAGGCAAGACCATTGATCAGCGCTTAAGAAGCCGCGGCTTGGTCAAGACCGTGACTGTGCGCGGCCCAGATGCCCGTAGCGTCCAGCAGGCAATATCTGCTGCCTTTGGGACTGTATTTCGCACTTTTTCCCGCATGCAAGCGAACGTCTATCATGGGTCCACAACTCATCACCGCGTATCCAAATTCTTTGGTTTACAACAACCTTGGGTTCCCTTGCGCAAAATCCACAAGGACTCACGACTTCGCTTCCTCACCCCGGCCGAGATGGTAACACCCGCCAGCTGGGATGTTCCGTTTCTGAGCAACAGCGTCGTCATGAAAGCTACCGGCGCTCATCGACTTTTCATTACACAGCCCGAGGCTTACCTTCAAGACCAGGATGCGTACGACAATGGTTGGAGCTGGCAGCGGCTTCGGGAATTGAGTCGAGTGTACCCGGACTCGCAGAGCAGCCAACAAGATGTCCCGGAGGCCGACGCTATGGAGGATTACTGGACTTGGAATGACAGTCTAGATGAGCAGACCCCGAGCCAAAACAGTGCTTTGTCACTCAGCCTGCGCCAGGCAGCACAGCCCAGGCTGAGATCTATCACGCCCAGCCAGGCCCAAGTCTTTGCTAGTCGCAGCGGCCTTTCTGCGTCCTTGACCACCAGTCGCAGTCGCGCAGCATCCCCAATGATCTTGAAGGAGCGCAAATCCTCGATCCCACGGCCGATTTACGTTCGTACAACATCTATGCCTCCGGTCCTTCCTCCTATGGCTTCGCCATCCCAGGCCAAGCGCCGCATTGCCACCGCTACCTTTGGCAACATTCGTCCGTTTCCTTACGAACGTCGATCTTCGCCACAGGTTCTGCGTGCCAGCACAGGATCCGCCCGTGTTCTGATGAAGGAGAGCCGGAGACGAGCCACTCGATCACCTTCGGCCCCTCTTTCTGCCAGACTCAGAAATACACCGCGATGGAGTACCCATAGTGCCAGCCCGATGCCAGAACCTTTCGCCATTATCGGGCCTCCGAGCGACGCCGAGGCTGCTTGCCGACAGACGACACCCTTCTACTACGCTACGCCTTACAGCAACGCTCCATTCGTCGAGCCGAGGCCCAGCCGTGGCGTCATTGATCCTGATGATGATCATGGAAGTGGGACAGACTACTCGTACAAGGAAAGCGTGGATGACTCAGAAGACGAGGACTACGATGCCCCTATGCTAGATCTTGGACATCCCCGACCCATCTATGAGTCGGGTGAAGAGGACTGCCAGGCAGCACAGCACCCCCTCCCCGAGGATGAAATTTGGCCAGGCATCGAAGATGAGGAAAACAGAAACCCCGAAGACCTCGCGCTTGACAGTGTCGGCATCTACGTCGACGATGATGCCATGAGCGATATTCTTGACGCGGATGGCAGCAACCATCTGCTCGAGGGAGATAGTCAGAACAGTAGTGCGCCTTCTGAATATCCTATCACGCAAAGTGCATGGGTTGACGACCCTAAGGAGTTCAAGGTTTATGAAGATGCCGGCGGCATGAAACACTGATCACCTAATGGAGGGCGACTCTATTGAGTATAATGGGTATTATCTGTTTATATGGGATTCTTGATGACGTGGACATGAACCGCGAATGTGTTGGAGAAAGAGACTTGTTGGGCTGCGCGGCGTTCGGCGTTCGGTCCATACCCGTTTCCCATGACCTGGGGTACGTTTGATTTCCTGCCCATCTTGCTTGCCTGCTGCGAGCGTCTTGATATAAGCGTAGCAGCGTTGTTGGATAAGTTATGGGGAACAGTGGGACATTTACAGTGGTGGAGAGTCAAGAAGTCAAAGTCACTTACATACAACGGCATGAAGGGTGGTCTAGTGGTAACCTGCCACGGCAAGGGAAGACCTGGGCCAGGGACGTCTCAGCTTACTGTAAACTTACGTAGATTATCTGAGAATCAAATATCTCCTCTGACATGAAGTATATTGCGAATGGGTGTGAGGAGCCTCACGCAACATCTCAGTTGCTTCTCCAGACGCTGCCGTCTCTTCAAGACTTTCAGGTTAGGAGTGGAACAAGTGAAAGCTGGAGCAGAGACTCTCCGCTACCACTGAGGCGAGCTCAATTATTGACGTCATCGCTAGCCACTGACATGATACCCACTGTGGTATCACTTTCCTTTCGGTCGAGAAGCCGTCGTGTCTCAACAGGTGGTCAGACGACCAACAAGGTATACACAAATCTGACTGCCCTTAGGCTATACCTGTGAGACAAGACATAATGGTGGACCTTATCAAGGGGAGCTGCAACTGCGGGCGGCACATCTACACCATCCCGAAACCCACGGCGATGAATTTATGTCGTAAGTCGCTCCGCTCGGCTGCTAACCCGCATCTAATGGGCCACAAAATGCCAGATTGTATAGACTGCCGCAAATGGGCTGGCGCATTGTGGGTAACTCCCCAATCCCGGGGTGGCGGGTTCCTCCTGACGGAAGCTTTTATATAGTCACTCGGCTCATCTCTTCGTCAAGACCGATGACATCCAAACCGACAGCCCGCAGCCTCGCGTCTACGTCGTCAAGGCCGACAGCGGCAGCGACATGGAGCGGGCGTGGTGCGACAGGTGCGGCGCCGGCATCTGGATCCGGCAGCTCCACAAGCCCGAGATGACGAACCTCAAAGCCGGTAAGCGGGCCCTCTCCAGTTCTCCTGTAGAATGTTGTTGCATATTCAGACGACTGCGTGCTCACTCGCCGTGATGTGCCTCCCCCTAGGACTATTTGAGCCGGGCGATATTCCGAGCCCGACGATGGAGAACTGGCTGAAGAACCTCGAGTCTTGGGAGACGCCCGCCAAGGGGACGACGCGGACGTCACAGGTCAACTGAGAAGCTCACTACACAGCCCAACCGAAAATTTTAGACGGCTCCATATTGACGAAAGGAAAGTGTGACTTGTTCAGTAGCATCGTCAACCATGCGGCCTATGCTGATCTTCTGAACTTCGGTACCGTGGATTTTGCAAATGACCTACGTTCAAAGCTAGTTTGGCCAGGCGAGAGGGGAGACACTTGGAATTCATCGAGTAGATTGTCTTAAATCGTGTCTGGTAGCAGATAACCAGAAGTTGTGGCTTTGTAGAAGCCTGTTTGTATGAATACTTTCCCATGACCGTGAACAAGCAATTTAATACCGAGTTAATTTGTACGCGGATCTTCAAGCACACCCAATGTTTATGCAATATTGATTTCTGATTCAAATAGCGAGTCGATTCGTCCCTCAGCTTCCCATGGCATTCCGCCATGGATGCCCTCAGGGCCATGCTTCTTCATTCGTATCTAGTCGTGGTCTCGTTTTCCTATGAGCCTGTGCCATTCGAAGCTGCCTTGGCTTCGATCAGCGAATGCATAATGCACGTCTGGTCTACCTGTAAAACGCCGTCGCTTGCGTAGAGCGCATCCGCATACATCTCTTTTACGATCTCTAGCTCTGATGCTGATGCCGCGCCCGTGCCCGTGCAGGCCTCCCTACTTTGACCCCTCTTGCGTCAAAGCCATCATGACGATCTATCAGTCCGTACAACACGGAATGCATGTCATCAAGATGCCAACAGATTGTTCTCGCTTCATGGGACAAGACATTGCAGTATCGTCTGTGGTCAGGCAACTAGAAGAGAGCCTCAGCTGTTGGTCCCTCACCCATTAGGTCTTCATCTTCTATATCGGCCCCGAAGCCCATAGTGATGTCTCCATCCTTATCGCCGGCTCGACGCTGTTCCTTGACCAAATGTTTGATGTACTCCTTAGTTGTCCCCAAACGCTCGGTTGTGGCTTTAAACACAGGCTGTAACGCCTTGAGGCGAGTGGCGGTGTTCGCGATCTCTCTGGCGAAATCGACCTCTGATAGGGTTGCCGATGAGGAGAGGAAGGTAAGGAAGCTAACCCCATTATCGTTCTTCTCGATGACGCCGCTCAGTGTTCCCGAGATGATCATGTTCTGGATCAGGGTCTCCACATCCTCGTCCTTGGTGAGAACATCTCCGATCTGAGCACATTTGGTCAACTGTCGGATCTCGGGAATGGAGATCTTGGAGTAGACCCGGCGGAGATTCACAATCTGCCACTGCTGGTAGGCCGAAAGGACCTCGCCGATCAGACCAGTGTTGCCGTCGTCGAGCCATTCTTTGGTATGCTCGTCTACCTCGGCCTTCAGATCGGCGGCATTCTCGGTCTCGAAGATAGTGGCAACGTCTTTGTAAAGCTTGCCAATGGCACCGTAGGCCTTGACAGCACCGGCACCCGTGTACGAGGGCAGAGCTGTATATTTCCCTGCATGGAGAAGGCTCACAAGCACCCACTTCTTGTAAGCGTCGGCCATGATTTTGCTTGTGCCCATGTCACGTGTCGGGTAACTTATAACCCTCTCGAAGGCGGCAACCGCCTTGGCCCAATCTCTCCGTGCGCAGTACATCATTCCACAGAGCAGATCATACTCCAGTATTGCGGGAGCCTTGAGGAGACTCGTGAGCCCCGAGTCCTTGGAGATGAAGGACGGTGGTGATAACGTCAGGTCGCATAGCAGGTCAGGTGTCTTGTGGTTCGCCATGCCGGGGTAGAAGACGATACTTTTGTCGATGACAGGGAGTGCAGGTTCTATGTTGTCGGTTGTGTAGGCGAGCTTCACCAGGTTGATGTGAGTAGAAGTGAGCATGCTGCCGGAGGGGTCGATTCGCAGGATGGCCGCAGCCAGGACGTTGACGGCTACGGCGGGCTATGATGCTGGTCAGCATGGTCCACCGGGCAAAGGAGCTCTCGCACTGACAGGCAGTAATTGGCCTTGGCCAACCACGTTAAGGATGTCCAGAAGGTGTGCACCGGCATATCGAAGCTGTCTCGCGTCGAAGGACAGCAAAAACACCACCAGCCGCTCTAGGAGTTGCTCTCTCGGGCCGGCCAGACCGGGAATGCAGAGGCTGTGGATGACGGCAAGGTAGGAAAGGGAGTTGACGGAAGGGTCGAGCAGGCTGAGCAGGGCAAGGCCGTCCGTTCTGAGAGGCTGTGATGGATCCTTGAGCAGCTTGGAGAGCTGGGTGAGCTGGCTCTCCATGGCCTTGTGATAAGCGCTATCATCGTCATCTCTGAGGTGCTCGGGCGGGAACGCCAAGCATATCGAGGCGACCTGGTCCATGGTCACAGCATGCAGCGGGAGGGCTATGGGGAGAGGAAGGGGGACAAAGTGCTGCAGTGTCGCCGAGGGGGAGAGGAGGTTCGAGGACGTCAACGTCGCATCCTACTTGGTGAAGAGGGTGTTTGGCTGGTCCTCGTCTGGTCGATTGTCTGCTCTCAGCCTCGAGCTCCAGGAAGCTGTTGGTGGTGGCTGCGGCCTGTGGTAGCCTGTAGCCTGGTGCTTTGGGTGCTAACTGTAGTAGGACCATCCAATAGCGGGGGCGGGGATCTGGGAAGGGTCCTGGGCCTGGGCAAAGCACACAGCTGCCAGCAGCCGTCGTCCCATCTCGTGGTCTTGGGGATCAAGTTGTGTATCTCATCTCATACGCCGGTCCATCCCGTAGGTTACCTTCGTGAACCCCAAGGTGGCCGAGGTGTACCGCTCTCTTGTTTGACTAACGGACATTCCGTTTCGTCCGGAAGTTGACCACGTCAGAATCATCCCTATCGAGGGCCAAAGCACAACACCAGCTCTTTCAGGGGTTCCCGCTTAACAGAGACTCGAGAAAGCCTATCCCGTATACGCATATCCCTATGCGGCCAGGTCTCACTCACCGAGTGACCAAGGCCCTATACTACATCTCCATCATCGTGATAGTATTATGTGTGATCAGACTCTATCGTGGAGCCACCGGGCCTATCGCTGATACTATCCACCCAAGATATGGAGGCTGCCGGATCACGGCAAAGGGCCGCAGCGGCACCCTGCTCCTCAAAGGCACCGTCCTTACTTCTCAGGGTGCCTTGGATGACACTAGTGTTCTCATAAGTTCTGGAACCATCGCCGCCGTAGGTTCCAAGCTTGATGCCACCGGTGCAACCGTACTTGATTGCGCCGGTTCCGTTATATCCCCTGGCTTCATCAACACGCACGAGCACATCTCTTATTCCACCGTCGCCCCGTTTCAGGACTTCGGCGAGAAGGTCAGACATCGCCATGACTGGCGAGTAGGTGCCCGTAACAACACGTTGCGTGAGCCTTTGGTGAACGTCAACACCGAGGATGCGATCACATGGGGAGAGCTACGCCATATCTTCTCGGGCACCACCTCCATCGTGGGCGGCGCCATGGTTGCTGGACTTGCCCGGAATCTCGATTTTGCCCTTGGCATGGAGGCTGATCTTGGGTTGCCACCTGATGTCTACGATGTCTTTCCGCTCGATGATCCCCTGGGAATCCTGAGAGACGCGGATTGTGACTACGGTGCTGGCGCCATAGATCTAGATCGGGCAAGCAAATATAAAAAATACTTGATCCATGTTGGCGAGGGGCTTGGTGAGGAGGCTGCCAACGAGTTTCGATGTTTATCGAACAGCGCATACGATGTCCTACCTCTACCTGGCGGTGGAGGGCTCAGCACCGACATCATTGCACCCAATGTCGCCCTGATCCACGCACTAGGCTTGACACAAAGCGACTTCGATCTGGTGGCTAAACGGGGCGCTCATGTTGTTTGGTCACCCCGCAGCAATGTGTTCCTCTATGGCAAGACTTTGGATGTCAACTATCTCCTCGATGCTGGCATCAACGTAGCGCTTGGCACCGATTGGCTTCCGTCCGGTTCCGCTACCATGTCTAGAGAAGCCTACTGTGCACTTACAGCGACACAGAAGGTCTTCGGCTACACCCTTGGTTCAAAAACCGTATGGGAGATGATGACCATCAACGCTGCCAAAGCTGCGGGTTTTGAGGAACATCTTGGATCAATCGAGGTCGGCAAGCTCGCGGATATCGTTGTATTCAGGGGCAGAGGCACAGGGGATGCTTTTGCACAGGCTGCGTATGCCGCCGAGGAAGATATCGAGCTTGTACTTCGAGGTGGCAAGGTATTGGTCGCAAAGCCAGATCTTGACGCCTTGTTCACAGATGCTTGTGAGGCCGTCCAGTTCGGCCACGTTGAGAAGATGATATGCGTGGCTGGTGAGCTCGGCTCCAGCTTTGCACACTTCGAGAAGTCACTTGGAGGAGTCTACTCGGCAATTCTACCAGGCGTTCCGCCAGATGAGCCATCATGTGAACCAAGTTGAGGCGGCAGCTTTTTTGTTCTTGGTTCAAGAGTGGTTACGATGAGATCCAAATCAATATACAATCCCCTTGTCATCGAGAGACGTAGGATCGCTAGATCTTTGCTCTAGTGACACTCCCAATGAATTTTCTTAACGTTGTATTACGCATAGCGGCTATGGAAATAGTGCAATCCCATGTCTACGAGCCCATAGGTATCTACATTTCTAAACCTGATCATCTCGTCCAGCGCGTTGATAATCAAGCCGCATCACTTGGAGAGCCCTTCCATGTGCTTGGGTGTAAAGTGTACTACACAACTGGTTTAACATCATGTGATATCGGCGCGTGCTTCAACTCATCACCCCCCAACTCTGAATCTAGTAGGCCTGGGAAAACATAACTATTCGTTGGGCTCGAAGACCAGGTACAAGCAAGCCCCCAGACAAGAGTATAAGCTAGTCCAGACACACGGAAAGTGCCATCACGATCCAGAGTGTCTTGCGCTAGACTACGTGATCGATACTCGAGGTACAAGGACCTTGTTTTTCGTGACGAGGATGCAAAAACAGAAGCTACAACCGGTACCCAAGGGTCTAAAGCATCTGACAGCTCGAACCAGGCCATGCATACCGGTAGTGTTCCGAAGCTAGAACACCAGATAGAGCACCACTCAGTCCGAGTCATGAAACATTGGCGCAGCTTAGGACGACGGCATCTGAGGTCCCCAAAGCAACTATCACCAGCATCGACGACGGTAGTCCCTGGAGCGGATCTGATACCCGCCCAGCGCCGCGTACTGATCCGCCCGCTCAGCGCACATTGGCCCGATCCGCATATCTCCGCCCACAGGCGGTCGATAGCGCTTAGATGCGCCTCGCTTACTCTAGCCCCAACGTTATTCCACCACCTCTTGACTTTCCAGTGTTTTGCTAGTTGAACGTTTTCTCTTCTTCCACACCCCTCCACCCTTCCAAATCGCCGACCATGTGCAAAAGCATAATCCAGACATCTGAAACGGCGGAGCGCTGAAGTTGCTCTGCCGCGCGGGGCCGCCGCTATATCGTAATGTGGGATTTGGGTTAGTGGGCGCAGTGCCGAGTTGCAATAGAGCCACCCGAACCGAGACATCATCACCGCCAGGGGAAGCTTGCGGGTGGCTCTCAGCACTCCGGGGCCGAGGTGGGCCGCCGGTCGCAGTGTTCCGAGACCTGAAGTCGGGCTATTCTACTCATGGCTCCTTCAGTAGGGCGTTTGACAGAGGCAGCCTCCTTCGGCGTGGCTTTTGATTGTACTCCAGGCTGCCTATCCCAGGTACAGATACAGACACAGAGGCAACGGTCGACTATCAAGGCTCCATGACGCCCAAAAGTTTCCATACAATGGGCAAACCCGCACTTGGATGATCGCATCCGCAGCTGCAGGCGGCTGATCACAGGGCTTCACGTATAATCCGTACAGTCATGTTTCAAAATAGTAATCATACGGCTATTGACTATTGTTCGGCGATCAACCACCGAATGATAGCATGGAGACGCGTGCGCGCGTGATCTGCCGCCAACCTCACCACGTGCCAGTCTGTTATAACTGTTGCCCGTAGTGGTGGCATTACTATAGCGGTCCTGTTTTGGAGATGTAGATGGGGACAAGCACCACACGCAACTATCTGGCATTGGCTTCAGAGAGATATTTCCGTTCCGGCTGATATCCGATAGCCTTGGTGATTCGCTCAAGCACATGACGGAAACCCAGTGGTCCTCTCCAACGATAGTCTCTCATATACTTCAGAAGCGGTCCATTGCTGGCTGGCCCAGTTGAAGCAGAAGACGCGGAAGAAGCCGGTGGAAGCTGTCTCAGATGGGAATTTCCATGGGAGACCGAGCCTGCAGCAGGTGAAGACCGAATCCAGAGGCTGCATCGGGCTGCCTAGCTACACATTCTCCCGACTCAGCCACGTCAACCGTTCTGCAGACAAGGGCAGTGACAGCACATTCTGGATGTTCTAGACCTCAGGAACGAAAGTCTATTTCTCCAGTCTTGGTGGCTTAGTGATAGAAAGATGGGGTTTAGTGCATAAATGAGACTAGCTCTAAGCTTATCTCTGTACACTCCCATGGTCAGCAATCTAGGCCCCAGCCGTGTATGCGGAGCAGTCCCCGAGGCCCAACGAAGATCTCCGTATTGTCACATACTTGCAAGAAGCAGCTTATGGCCTACTTGATGCTGAATTGGAATGTACTTTAGGGCGGAGACGGAGCACCGCCTTGATCGCGGGGACTGTCAAATTGTATGGGTTGACTGGGTCTCCAGACTGGCGATGGCTCTAGCCAGGTCGAAGATCAACTTAGTTCGCGCCAACTTGATAGTTGCAGAGAGAGCGTGGAGCGCGCTGCCCTCAATGAGAGTGAGGAAGAAGTCCTACCGTCTGGCATGAGGGTTCGATTTGTGGCAAGGCCACCCTGGAGCATTGCTTAAACCAGTACATAGCCCGCACCACATAGTCCAATCTTCCATCTTGTGTGCCATGAGCCAAGCCAAAATTTGTTGGATGCCCAAGGCTTCCATCCCTGAGAAAATCTGGGGCAGCGGGTCCACCATTACGGGCCGGAATGATCCTCCTGCCTCGGCCATCGTCCAGACCAAGACTTGATATCAGGGGGACACGATGGGGGCTAGCATAGGTGCCAAAGGACCCTAGCAGATCTTTGGACGAAACTGGGCTGAGCGTAAGACTAGGTGCTGCCTAGGGCTGAGAAACGCCAGGGCAAGTAGCTCATCAGTAATGCTTCTAATGGAGACCGGTCGGATTGGGGAGCTACTGAGAGCAAAGCGGGTGCGATCCACCGTCCCTCGTGAGCAAGCAGAACCGCTGCAAGCGCAGAGGCAAGTAGGGTCGGTCGCGCTATCATCTAGAGCTTGCTAGTTGTCTTATGCACGGCCAGCTTCTCCAGTCCGCTCCTCAGTTGATTGTTCATCCCATCGCCATTGGGCCTTAGTGTTGCCCGATCGACGAAAACATGGACGAACTCGCCCACGGCCTTGATCCCTTCAACGCCTTTCTCGAATAGACCGACCTCGTAGGTGACGCTAGATTTCCCCAGCTTGTTGACCCGCAGGCCAAGCTCAGCCACTTTGGGAAACGAGATAGCTGAGAAATAGTCACAATGCGTATGCGCCATCAGGGGATGCTGCGCTGATGTCGGTGGCAACAGGCCGCAATGTTCCATGAGGTAAGTGTTGATTACAGAGTCGAATCTTGCTTCCGGTGTCAACACTGCCTGCGTTGGCATCACGAGTCTGACCTACAGGAAATTGTAGACTGAGTTGTTCATGTGGTCATACATGTCATTGTCCGCCCTGCAGAGTATTAGGACCAACAGCACATCTTGGATGCTTGAGCTGATACTCACCACCGTGTCCGATATTCCAAAATATACGGGTAATCTTGTCTTTGCCGTCGTCTCAGTTGCTCGGTTGGCGCCATGTTTGCTGTTTTGATGTCGAGGACGGCGTAATTTGATCTTCCTCGTTCGGTTGGACGGTTATGGAATCAATATATGCCCCAAACTGTCGGGCTGATGACGATAGTAATCGAAACACAATAATCGATGATGTTTATTAAAGGCGAGCGAACCCCCTTTCATATTTGCCGAGGTTCATCATCACGCGCGGGTGCGAAAGATCCCCGCCTCAGCAAGTTGCGTCAAGCTGGGATAGACCAGCCGTGGACAGCTGCCAGGCTGTCTGGCAGAAATTTGCCATTTCTGCCTCAGAATACCGCTTTGAATGGGCAACGGAGTGACAAGTTATCCAAAAATTTGGACGTAGGTCGTCTAAACTGCTGGGCGCAAGCTTGAAGCAAGCGCGTCACTCTTTTTTCTTCCTTCTACGCTCTTTTGTTTGACAGTATTGTGGTCCTCGGGAATCCACTGCCTGCAACGTGGCGGTCACCCACGCGCTGAACAGCTTGCTTGCCAAGGGCAGGCGACTTTTGAGTCCCATGATGGAGGTCTTGACAGACATATCATCCCCGGCACCTGCTGTGGAGCTTCCTATCGTGAAGGAAAAGAAGACTCGGTCCAGGGTTTCAAGAGCTGGCGGAAAACAGAAAGCTCTGCTAGCTGCTCACCTTGGCGATGAGATATGGCCCCGGCCATATTTCGTTGAAAATGGTTTACGACGCGTCGCACCATATCACTACACCTACAACACGTGGTGCAAAGAGCGATGGAGGGGCAGACAGCTTCTCGAGATATTTGATAGTGAGTTCAGGGACAGGCCCGTGGCGTACTATAAGGAAGCCATGGAAAAGGGCATGATCCTCATCAATGGCCAACCAGCGATGCCGGACTATGTGGTCAAAAATGGCGACCTAGTCTCACACAAGACTCATCGTCATGAGCCACCAGTCACAGCTGATGAGGTTGGGATCATTCATGAAGATGAGAAAATGATTGTCATCAACAAGCCGTCTGGGATACCAGTCCATCCGGCAGGCAGGTACAATTTCAATTCCGTGGTCGAGCTCATGAAAGAACAACGAGGCCCTCAATGGATAGCGTATCCATGCAATCGCCTGGATCGGCTGACCAGCGGCATAATGTTCATTGCCAAGGACCCAGTTTCTGCTGAAGAACTGAGAGCCCAGATAGCGCAGCGAAGCGTGAGGAAAGAATACGTGGCGAGAGTCGGTGGGAACTTTCCTGATGGGGAAGTGGTCTGCGACCAGCCTATACTCCAGATCTCGCCCAAGTTGGGGCTCAATCGAGTTCGCGCAGATGGGAAGGAAGCACGGACGGTGTTCAAGAAGCTCGCATATTATCCCCCACAAGCAGAGGCAGAGCAGATACCAGAGCAAGCCGGGCTTGAAGGAGAGCCAGGCAGACCTTGGGCCAATGCGGAAGGATATTCAATCGTCCGTTGCCTGCCAGTCACCGGCAGGACACATCAGATCCGAGTCCATTTACAACATCTGGGGTATCCAATCGAGAATGACCCAATCTACGCCAACCAGCGAGTTTGGGGCATTAACCTAGGACGGAATGATCCCGAGGCAGTCGAGAATACTGATGAGGACATCATCACCCGACTGAATCGCATGGGCAAGGAGGATGTCGCCGATGCGGTAGCGTACTACGACGAAATGGTGGATAAGTACCATCAAAAGAAGGCCGAGAAGATGTCGGGAGAGTTCTGTGAAGTCTGCGATACACCGTTGTACACAGATCCTGGAGACCACGAGCTATCATTATGGCTACATAGTCTTCGCTATGAAGATGCCGGGGGCGCTTGGAGTTACGTGAGCCCACTCCCCAGATGGGCAACTCCCCCCACAGGCTTCAGCGGCCCTACGACAGTTGGAAGCTTAGATTCCTTGGTTGACGCGGTCAAGGATACGAACCCTGAAATATCCTGATAGCCGACCTCAACACGCAACCCAAGTCAAGTCATTGCCCTGGCTCCTGGCGGTAATGAGATAATCGTCACTTTCGGCCACGCGCATAATCGTGCTTCCTGCTAGAGCCAAAGCGGCAAGATACGTGAAATCAATCGTGCAGATAGTCCGGTTCTGTTAACATGGACAAGCGAAACCTAATGCAAGCGCACTGACGATAGCCCTGACGATGGGGTATCGAGATCAGCCCTGGTTAGCTGCCCATTAGCCGATGTCATGAACCGCGCTTACAGAACACTCTTGGGACAATGCGTCTGGTCCACGGGCTCTGGCGTAGGATAGAGTTTTTCTCTGCAGCGGGAAGAAGGCACGAAGAAGGATTATATTCTGCGATGGTCCTTGTTTCATCTTCTCTTGCGAACTCTATCACTCACCAACTACGTTATGACGGCGGCGTTTGCTTCAAGGTCGCCACGTGGGACAGCGACGCACGCGACGGCATGGCGTGTCAATGGCCCAAGTTTGGTGCGAGCGGCACAAGCACCGCTTCATTGCTCAAAAAGTGACAAGTCTCGAGACGGCCCTGGCCATCGACGCCATCTCTTCTGCCCAGTCGTCTTGGTGAGGTAGAGTTTTGCGCTCTGTATTTCGACAAGGGCTCAGCCTGCCTGCATGCCATGCGTTGCGAACGTGCCGCCACCCCAGCCACTGCCTCCGGATCCGAGACGCACGTCGAAAACTTCGGATCAGTGCATCCCCCACCACGGGTCATCAATGCTTTGCATTCCGGGCATGGGTTGGAACTGAGAAGCCCAGGCCAGCAATTCCGCCCGCCAGTACTGGGAACGGCGATGTGGCCGCACCTTGCGCCGTGCAGGTTTGGCTCTTCTTGGAGATACAAGGGACGGTGAGTCCGAGCGACGGAAGGCAAATCCGCACCCAATCGACTTTGCGCCATGTACCTAGAGGCAAACAAGGCAATCCGGACTCCGGTCCAATGGCGACGAGCACATTCGCTTTTACATAGCATGAAGAATTTTGAGGCTGCCAAACGCGTCGACCACCTCAGATAGGCCTACAGCTGGTTCGGCCCTACCTCAGCAGCTCAAGGCTCAAGGCTCAACCAGTGTACGGCGCCACTCGTTCAATGTGCAACTGGTCGGCTGCTTGGCCCATAACCTGGCTGCTAAGCCATGCTCATCAGCATAGATGGAGCATAACTACCATAGTACCTGCTGCAGTAGCATCAGCACCTGCTTGCCCACGGGTGGGTCTGGCAACGTCAACCAGCTTCAGCCAGCTCGGTGGCCCACAATTCCAGGTGTCGTCTTGTTCTTTCGGCCCTTTGCTCACCAACGGGAGGCAGAGGTTGCGGTCTGGATTTGATATCCGCCGCCGGCCATTTCAGCCGTTCTCTACACCGCGGATTTCTGCTAGATTGCCATCGGATTAGACTACGCCCTTGTACGGAGGTACCTGGGCGTCGCGCAAAAAAGCAGCTCGGGACTTTCCAGCTTCCCCCCTCCATCTCGCGCCGGACATCGGGGAGGACGATTGGTGACCTAGAGACCTAGAGGGAGTAGCGCAAACTCTATTTGGCCGATCCGCCCATGAAATGCCGCCAAGCTGCTGACTAGGGTCTCTCGCAAGGGCTGCATGGAATAACTCTGTGCTAATGAGTACCTCGACTTGCAAGCCGCCGGAAGATACCTCCACACATGGACAGCATGGGTTGAGGGCGCCGTGCGGCCAACTACCTACCTTAGGCTCGGTACCAGGATGCCCTCCGTACTGCGGTACTGTCAGACTGCTTGTCCCTCTGGGCTTCTACTGCCTCGAGCTTGATGCGCCGCATGGCGCCGAACAGGACACTAAGACCGCTGGGCGAACTACTTCTCGATACGCCGTGATCGATGCTTGCATGCTGCTGCTGTCAGAGGTCTAGAAGAAACACTAAGTTGGGGAGGGCTCCTCACACCAACTCCTTCACCCCTCCTTCAGTGGCATACCCCCCCCCCCCCCTTCTGGTACAAGCCTGTTGTACTTTCCTTACTTTCGCTAGTTGCCTCCAGGGCTGTCTGCAGCATGTGGTGGGCCCATCGTCGTCGTTGAAGACTTGTGTACAATGGGAGCCCCTGCGTTGAAGCCACACCTTTGCTAGTCTGGTCTGCCGGGATCAGTCGCTGGCATTTGGATAGTTTCATTTATAAACGGCTGCCCATGACGCCAGAAAGACCCCTATCTGTTCTGATCATCTCATTCGACTCTTCCATCGCATCCAGGCATGGCTGATACCGCAACCTCAAAGTCAAGAAGCAGTTCACCAGTCTTCAACAACACCTACACAACCGACACCATGACCAGATCTACCTCAGACTCGTCCAAGTCGTCCAAGCGCAAGGGTGAGTATCCTCACGTTGGGTCGACAGTAAGGCCACCGACATTGACTGGATCGTTCCCAGGCACCAGGAGCGTTTCTACCTTGACCCCCGCCCAGCTGGCTCGCAAGAGAGCGAACGACCGCGAGGCCCAGCGTGCCATCCGGGCACGTACCAAGGAGCACATCGAGAACCTTGAGCGCGAGCTCGAAGAGCTCCGAAGCACGCAGAACCGGGATGAGACCGTACAAGACTTGCTCAGGAAGAACAGAGCCCTCGAGGAGGAACTCCACAGATTACGGGAGAACATGGGAATCGCTGCAGGCGGTCCCCGCGGCTTTTACCCACCTTGTAAGTTCTCTCCAAGGCAGAACTTGGCTCAAAGCGTTCGGTGACTGACCCCATTCCCCAGCCTACCAGAGTCCCACCCCGCGGCACACTGCCCCAGGCCCAGCTTCAGACTACCCCGGCGTAGACATGAACGCCTACGACAGCATGCACAACTCATCTGACGGATGGCCGTCCGTTGTGCCGGGCACCATTCCCTCAACTGTCTCGAGCCCATCCTCGTCGGGAGCCACTGACGACATCGGAAGCACATACTTCCCTACCAGCGCCCCGTCGATATTGGACAGACCGGGCCTCTCGTCAGCCATGAACTCTCCCACAGTCTCATGCATCAGCGGCAAGACGGGGTTCGACGACATCAAGCCAGGTAAGAACACTCCACCGCATTTGCTTGATATTAGAGCTGAGGGTTCTAATAAAGAGGTTAGACATCGGGTGCCCGCAACTCAGCATCCTCTCAGTTCCTCAAGCCTACCAGCAACCTCCGCCATGGAACATGTACCCCATGTACTACCAGGCGTCTCCAACTCTATGAATAACTTCGGAGGCGCAGCATACTGGGAAACACCCGGCCTGATCACGCCGCCATTGGACCACAGCGAAACGTTGCTGGCGGGCTACATCCATGATTGTCGCCGCCTGGTGACTATGGCCGGTGTCAGTCCGCACCCCGAGGTTATCTTCGGACCCGCCTGTCCCAACATTAGGCGCCTTATCGAGACACATTGGAACCTCGCTTCCATTGTACAGCAGACGCCTCTACCGGCATCACCACCACCACATCCATTGGTCGAGCTTGCATCGACCATATTCGACAACGAAAACTTGGCCATGACACTGGAACGCCTTGGGACTTTTGTTCTCTTCCAGCGTATCCTCGCATGGCTGATTCAACCAACACAAGACACTTACAACGCGCTCGGCGACTATTTTATACCTCGCCCAAGTCAGCGCACTACCCCGCATAGTCAATGGGTAGACCTTCTACTTTGGGGACAACTGCGCGACAGTGTTATTCAGCGACAGGAAGTTTACGCAAACGCGGAATTCCGACAGCTGTATGCCACTAGTCTTCGCGTTCTCAATTGGTCTGGCGGACCATCCCAGGCTTTGGTCCCCGACCATTCTTCCGGGTCAATTTATCTGACCAATTCGTTTATCAATCATGTACTCAACATTGGGAACTGGGCGCTGGAGGAGAGATTCTTTCGGCGTTATCCCGAGCTGAGCGGCATGGTGCCTATGGTTAGGCAGGGTTTTTGAGCTCATGGCATGGATTTCTCTGGAGTTTGCTGGGGCACAAGGAAGGTATCGCATTTGTTTGATGGGCAAGGTTTGGGAAGGGCAACGGCCTACGGCATTATACCACAACGGGTTCTATGGAGTTGACAAGGGCATAGCTTTGCGAATGGAGTCATACAGAACATTCTGGAGGATTATTGATACAGCCAACGGTTCAGCATTGCATGACAGCATGCCTCGGAGTTTACTGAAGGATCAACTATAGATTTTTTTTATACTTCCATCTTCTTCTACAACAATTTGAAAGTTCTCTGAACAGTTCAAAACGCACCACTTGAATCTCGCAATCGAAATATTCATCACAATTCAGTCTCCGCGATACTTGGAACAAGACATACGGAATGATCGCTAGATAGCTACATGATGACATTACTCAACTCCCTTAAGCCCACAAATCGCACTCCACTGAGGATTCTCGGCGATGCCTGCCGACGGGAGATGTGAGCATGGTTGTTTCCATCATTGCAGTAGAATCCGGGGTAGTTGGCCCGTTCTCGCCAACACATGATCTGTGCAAGCCATTACCGAAGCTATTCGCACTTGACTCCACAGGGGCCCGGCGCAATAAGACCTGGACTAGAGCTACTGGCACAGGGCTTGGGTTCCTCAAGCCCCCTCACTACGACAGAAGTCAATCTAGAACTCCTAGATAGCAGACTGAATGATCGACTGGGAGAGAGGCCCGTGGAGACATCACTCCGGTGGTGTGTGTACTGGAACGATCTGTAAAGCTGTCGTGGGGCTTGTCCTTCTCGATCCCCCTTCAGTAGAGCTTCTCGACTCAAGCTTAGAGACGCCGGCGCTGATCCCCCTCGTAGAACAGGACGCCGTTTGACACACACTCAGCCTTGGACGGGTCCCTGGCCGGCACGTGCACTGGCGGACTACCTTGGAGCACCAAAACTTAGTTTGAGTGCGCCGCTCGCCCGCGTGTCGAGGCTCCGCTTATCCATGCTGCCATGGCGGGCAGACGATGGGTGCGCCCAGGCCAAACGTCACCACAAAAATACCGCCGGATGCGACCCCTTCCAAGGCGCGATCGCCCAGCTAAGACGGCTCCGTCCTGGATGTAGCCTCCAGGCCTCTCCATTACGAGCATCGTGGTTTGGCACGGCGTGGCGGGAAGAGACAAGACTCGTACTACTGCAACTGCTGCTATTGCTCACGCTATCAACTGGTTATCCCCTGGCGCACACTAACGGACTACTCCAGTACATACAGCACTGTGGTAGTGTGAGTGAGTCTCTGTCGCTCCCCAGCAGCCCAGGGCTCCCAGGGCTGGCCGGTCGAGATTCCGCGGTCCCAATGGTGCGGAATTGTCTCAGATGCGGGACAACCGCGCTCCAAGAGCACAGCAGCTCCCGGGGTTTCAAATGAATCCTCCTTGCGAGCACATACGTGTCTCGCTCTCCCCACTGGCCAATCGAGACAAGTCCTGGGTTCCTGAACCCTTTCCCACCATGTGTGACATTGAGTTCATCTGACGGCACACAAAAGAAAGCGCTGCTGCATGGAAGCCAGACAGACAGCTTCTAGGTCGGCGATCGAGGGCCCTGGTCCACCACTAGTCCTTTTTGCGCCGGCCCTATTAGTCAACTATTCGTCGCTTCAACCTGCAGTGTAGGGCGACCGTACTGCAGTAGCTACACAACTACGCACATACTGTAGGTTAGGTAGCTATCGGTGATCAGTGGTTCCGTTGGTAGCTGGCGCAAATGCTTATATCAACATGGATGTTTCGACTAACGAAAGGGTCTTGCACTGCAAAAGCCCAGGGTGGTGTGCCGTGTTATCCGTCCTCGCCCAGAGGCAATCTAACACGCAAGAGCTACCGGGCCATCAGTTGCGGTGACCATGCAGGTTACGCAATTCGCAATCTTGACTTGAAAAAGTTTTGCTGTGTCCTTCTTCCAATTAAATAGCGCATGCGTCGTGGATGTAGGGCATGGCAGGTTGGCAGGTTGGCAGGTTTGGGTGTGGCATGGCGCGTAGACCTGCAGGCCACTGCATACGGCTCAGATCAACGAGGTATACTCCAGACTGGGTAATTCTTTGAAAACTGTAAATTCCCGGCCGAAAGACGCCTCGGTGGCCCCTGGGACCCCTACGACCCGGCGACATGGGGTCCATGTCTAGTGGCGTAGATCTGAAAATCAGGCGGGACGCTTCAGCTGAGAGGGCACTTTGGGCAGCTTCCAATAATCCAATGAGCTGTTCCCTTGGCTTTGGCGGGCTGTCACTGCAAAAAACGTTGCAACCAGCATGATCGCTCGATTCATCGACGATAAGAAGCGTTCTGAGCTGGTCAAACTTTGGGACAGAGCCTTGACACAAGCAGACAAGTTATGCAAATCCACCGCAGCAGAGTCGCCATCCTTAAAGAGAGTTCAACGGCGTTCTCACTCCTCTCGTCGGCTGTTCTGCGTGGACCTTCCGGAGCTCATGACTATCCGCCAGCGCTCGAGAAGTACCAAGATCCATGTCTCGCACGTGGCAATAGCGCGATACTCAAATCTCTGCCCCTGAGAGGCGAGAAAAGGTCGCATCGCAATTGGATGGGTGCGCGGACTATAATCAACGAACCAGCTACATAGTATCAACGGAGCTCAGGCCGCAAGCCAATTGACCTCATCTAGGGCTCATCGCCAATCGATACAAGGCCGCTCGGGGACGGCGATCGCTAATCAGGCTTTGCCTCTTGCTCGTGTGCAGACACGCCCATGCACTGCGCGTCAACCTGGAGTTGGCGCTACTGGTCTGTCGCATTTCTTCAAACAACGGGGGATACCGTTTCCCCCTTCAAGATACAGTAGTGTCGCGCGAAGCAGCAACTGCTGTCGCGACCTCGAGAATAAGGTTCGAAGTCTGGCGCGGGCTCATGTTTCATCTGACTGCCTTGTCTAGCAAGAAATGGGATCCAGAACGCCGCCACGTAGGCCCAGGCACTATAATCGGATACCTCCCGATCGTTCGGGGACGACCCGACTCCCAGAGGCCGTGCGCCGCAAGATGCTGCCCGCAATGTACGGGGCAGGACCCCGGACCCATCGTGCAAGCGCCGTTCATTTTATCACAACCCATGGCAGCATGGGGGCGTGTCCTCTCTACGGTATTCACCGCCAGACTGCAAGAGGCTTCCAACTGCGTGACGACACCCTCACAGCAGACATCATGGGTCAAAGCAAGCCACAGGCGTTGTTTGGCAGTCTCTGTCGGTGAATGTTTCCAGGGTGTCCTACTACCTACGATCCAGGAGGTTGGGTCATGCACACTAGAATCCAATGCAGACGAAGCGATGGCACCAACACCCTGGGCAGGCGACCACGGGATGCGCAGAATGTTTCTAGAAGACCTGCTCGATTGCTTCAAGGTTCAAGCCGTTGGACAGAAAGGCTTCTACTCTATGCACTACCGTAGTATGTAGTAGGGCAGATCAAGACGCGACTACGACTACAGTACCCTCTCGTGAGCGGATCTTTGCAGGTCATTCACTGTACGTGTGGTCAGTAAAGGGTGTGGAGGGCTGCCAATCCGTAGGTAGTCGCTCCACTATGGAAGCATGATAGGCGAAACAACGGCGACCAAGGAATTGGCTATGCTCCAGTAACGATTCAGTCAGTGGGCTCCAGCAAGAGAAACTTCAAGTCCAGCGTCGCACGGTGAGGAACTACGCGTTACATTGAACAGTGGCCCCGGCAACACGTTGCTAAAAGGACGGAACTGGTATATGGTTATGGTGCCATGATCATCCCCCAAAACTTGGGATGATCTAGATAGGATAGTGAACATGGCTTCCCCAGCCTTGCTCGTACCATTGGCACCCACATGTGACATGCAGATCCGGGCTGCCATTTAGAGATGCTATAACATGCCATGCCAAATATCTGGGGTTGGTTTCAGGTCAGATCTCTCCCGTTCCCGTGATCGAACTCAAACCTTAACGGAAGGCCTGCTCTGAGCAGAAGGTTGGACTTGATCAGTGGTCACGCACCGATGCAGATGCAGCTGTTGACGGGCCAAGTCTTCAAGCCCGGAAAAGAATCCGGAGAACCAGGGGGGTTGGAGCTATTAAGGTTTGCTCTCTTTCTCGAAGCACCGCAAATCTTGTCACAGATACGAGGCTGCGCCGTACGCGCAGGTAAGCAAGGCCTGAGGCTCAACAAGGGTCTCGGTCTATTGATATGACTGCAAAACAATAGTTTCAAGCATTCTTGCATGGGAAAGATGATACACTCGGCCGAGCGAGGTAAGTTGCCATGTGCCGGCCCGCGCGATGCGAGCTGGCTGCCCCATTTGGTTCTACGGGAGAATTGTGGCCTCATGTGCTTATTGTGATGGCAATTGCCTTGCGTCCAGCATCATCATCATGTGTATCGCGCCCGCAACTCCCATCAGCGCCTTCGGCGTGATGTCACCGTCGCGAACTGTAAAAGAGACAGCGCGCCATTCTCCTCCTCGGGCTGCCAAAGGGCGGGATACTCAATTGGCTGTGGGGACATGGAGCATGTCCGCCCCTCGTCTTGCTCGTCCTACTCGTCCTGCTCGTCAATGCAGGGTGGCATGATTGCGAGGGGACCCTCCAACCACAAAGAGGCTGCGCAATGACGCAGCCCAAACCTTATTCTCCCCGACGTTGCGTTTCCGCTTCCTCATCAGGCCATCGAGATTTAACTGGATGCGGGCGGGATTGCTCCCCAGCCCAGCCTGCCGACCACCCCCACCAGCCCGCCGTCATATTTCATACCGTCGGTCGCGAGGCCAGGGAATCTTCCTTGGTCAGAGGCAGATCATTGAAACCTTCTCGCGGCCTTTGCTCATCCCAACTGGGCAACCTGCAGCATTCAGCTGACGCGCGTGTGTAGCTTGCAGCCCTCCTCCTCCTCCGTACCCGGGAGGCAGTAAATAGCCGGCCTAGCTCGGGCCCTTTTGACTTTTTCAAGCCGCTATCGACCACGTGAAGCCCGGGTGTCGGCTTAGCCACGCTTCTCAGTGCATACGTACGCGTGCGCGCCCATTGTCGGTGAGGTCGTGATGGCAAGGTACCGCGGCTAATGCAGCATGCATGCACGCAGCCCGTACACTCGGCTTGCTCACAAGAGGAAGGTGAATAGAGTTCATTCCGCTCTTTTCTAGCGCGGGCGGTGGAATCTTTCTGGAAGACTTCTAGCGCCGCGCTAGAAGTCTTGGATCGACTATACCGGAGTCCCGGAGCCATGCAGAGTCATTACCCGGCAGCGGATTATTTGTTTTTGCCATTCCTCGTACACCCTCTTCCCACGCCTTAGCAGAGCGCTTCTATTACACGTGGTGGCGAGAATATGCCACACTCAGCATGATGGCGCAGATAGCACCCTTTCTGGCAAGCACTTGCGGCCTATCTCGAGATCTGTGCGCCACGTGGATGTGCGTCAAGGTTTCCCAAGTTCCTGCAGCACTTCGACTTGTACCTTTAATTGCCCGGTACTTGTAGGTACTGGACCTTCATACTTTCGCAGCCAAGACGTGCTTACCGCCCCTGATGCATCCCGGAATGTGGGGTCGGTGGGTTAGTAGACGTGCATTGCATACTCGTCCAAGCCTGAATTGGCAATGCATTGTAAGATCGAGGACGCCTCCTCCGAGTTAGTGTTCGCAGCGGTTTCTAGAGCCACGTACTAACTCTACGCAACTCTGCGCAAAGCACCTTTTTCACATGATTGCTTCTATGCAGATCGTTCCGCTACCACAATTGCGCCGTTACTATACTGCAGCAACTGTGATATAGGCCCAAGACGACTATGCCCTTCGTCCATACCATCCCATTCCACATCTCCATTAGGCAATAGCCGGCGGTCCGCGAGACACTCGTACGGACGTCAGGAAGAAAAGCAAAACGAAGACAAAGTAGAGAAACTCAAGAGCCAGAACACTCCCCCCACATTACCCTATACTTTCATCCCAACCACCATCTTAAACTTTCCGGCTTCCTTGCACGGTTTCCACCACAGTAGTGAAGTCGTAACCCGCGCGACGTGCTTCTATGCAAGTGTTTCGGAACTCTATATTAGCGCCCTTTCTTAGTTCCATACGCAGTAGATGAGGAGGCCCATACGGCATACGGGGAAGATTCCTAGCTTTTGTCCCTAAGAACCGGAATGTGACCCAATTGCCGAATGTGCCTGTCCATGTCAAAGCAGTAGAGACTATGCGGCGGTGGATTGCTGGCCCAAGTCTAAGGCTTCCAGAAACTGGCGCCCCCGTACACGATAGATTGACGTATTCTGCGAAGCTTATGTCCCAGGCTCTGGGTCCTCTGAAGCCGCCGTTTCTTTGAGAGTTGCGAAGTGCATGACTGTTGCCCCGGCGTCCAGACGATGTATCGATGAGAGGAGTTAATCGACGGCTCGCTGCTCTCTTCAGGGTGGGCATGATCTCCAGTACTGAAGCTGCGGCGGTCTGATGCCCTTCGAGGAGATCGATCGTATCGGTGTCGGAAGGGCGCCGGGCAGCCTACGGCAGAAGCACGAGCCGCAGGCCAGAAATCGATCCATGTGCCCATCGGCTTCCACGAGGCTCGTACTGCGAAACTCAAAATCGCATTGTTGGGTCATGGAATTCTGAAGATTGCGGCCAGTGCTCAACGTGCATGCAAGAATTTTTCCACCTTCCCGGTCCCTCTCCACTGTATGCAGGCTGCACGATCAATCGTGAAATCTCGAACCCCATCGTCTTACACACATTAGCTCGCCCCTCCAGTCTTCTTGGCCGTGTGCTGTGATGAAGGTGGTGGGTGGTTGGTGGTGGTGGTGGTGTGGGATCAAGATCCTGGCCAAGCCATGTGATAACGTGCAAATTGCAAATTCTGCAGTGCGAGAGCACGTCTCCATGATGACATTGCCACGTGGGGGAATTGAAAGAAGTGGTGTGATTTTTGAGGCTGAGTATCACACAGAGCTACACCACTAGAGCAATAGCGATGGTGCTGAGTGAGCGACAGCATCGATAGGTAACGTACTTCCCCTGATTCCGCCTGGGCGGAGATTTCCCGCGAACTGAGGAAGGCGATCCGCCGCTCCGTGCTTCGGCCTGGCGGAGGAGGAAGCCAGTGAAGGATGATCATGGACCTAGATACCGTAGTTCGTGTATGAGGCACTGTTACAGAGTCATGACCGGTGGAATACCATTTCTCAGAGCCTTCGCATTCATCGATCTGGTTGCAAGGGCCAGGACAGTCGTTTGTGTTGCAACCTGTATCTGCGTCCTCACGTGAGTTGTTTTGCCTTTCAAAATTACATCATGTATGATCAGTACTGAGAGTCTGAGGCTTCATGCTCGGATCCGTGATAGCTAGATCTCTGTGATGGCTGGGTATCCAAAGCAACTACGAGGTATGTATGCAAGAGCCTGAGCTTGTGTAGCTTGATGTGTGGTGTGTGATTATTGACCGTTCCGGACAATGAGCATATCCGCTTCGACTGGTAGTTTCTTCAAAGCAAGATCTACTTTATGTTAGGTGCGTTGTTACGCTGTTTCAGGCCGGCGTCCGACTCGGATCTACGCTGTCGTCCGGAAACCCAATGATAACTTCCAAAGTATTGGACCTTGTTTCCAGAAGCAGCCTAGAAGCGGCTTCTGGTGGACTCTTGCCTTTCACCTTGGCACCAGCTCGCCAGACGACATCCAAAACAAGGCCCAAAGGTTGAACCTCGGAGCGACATTGTGAGACCTGGGGCCATGCTTAAGCGAAGGGTTGACGCACGTCAGGATCTGGAGATACGTTTTGACCCTGGCTGAGGCAGCAAAGCTCTGTGATTCAAAGCACCAAGGCATCTATCTGCATATTGGAAGTATTGCTCGGGAACATGACCAGGTCTCAAGAGTGAGTTAGATACTTCCACACTATCAGCACACCGTATTACGGAAATTAATGCATCCCGAAATAGCAATAGTAAAATATCCCACGAATAGAAGAGCACGCATACCCCTGACTGCCGTTTTCTGGTAAGACTGGACCAGCCCTGGCTCACAGAAGGAAGTTTTCTATGCGTGGCTTGCTTGTTCTTAGATCGTACAGGCAGACAGGCCAAAAAGGGCAAAGGAGCTGCATTCCATTGGCGTCGTGTGTATCCGCCCCGTTGCATGAAATAGTGGATTGAGGACATCATACCCCTGCGCCAGGGAGCAATAACAACTTATAATACGACCAGCATATGTGAAACCATGAGCTTTTTAGTAGGCTACAAGATCAACGGCAGCCAGGCGCATGTCTGAGTATGTGGAATCAACGAGCCGGCAACGTACCGATAGTATCTCAGACTCGTTGGCGCTCATCAAATTGTGGTGGCCTGGCACAACCTACTTTGTCAACCTCGATCGGATGTTTCAGTAGTGAACTTACTTTTCAGCGTCGCCTCAGCTCTGCTTCAACGCTTTCGTGACCAGAGCCGCACAGCCGAAAAGCAAAGCGAACTTGGGGCGGCGGTATTGGTCTGGTTCGGGCCATCTGGGTTGAACTGCTCAACAATAAGCGGCTTGGCCGTACCTCCAAATACTCCACAGACCCCATCAATCTATACCGAACCTAGACCGAATTAGATGCGGCTGAGCGTTTTCTGGGCTTGGCGATAGTTGGATCTGATATGGGCAGGCCCGCAGCCTTGACAGGAGCTGGCGGTTTCCACAAGCCCAAGAGCAAGTCTTGGAAAAAGACGTTGCTGTGCTGGAAACCTGTTGAGAAACACACCCTAGGTATCAGTGGAAGTTTGTTTGAGACGAGGTTTCTCGGCTCTGCACCTTGGAACTTAACAGTTTCTTGTATTTCAGCTTCAGTCCAGCAGAGTTCGAAATATGGTCCGATTGGTTCATAGAGTTGACTTGGCGATCTTGGTATTAGCCTTGTAGCCCAGACATCTCATTTCATTCTACAGCGAAGTCATGTAGCAACTGCCTCGAAGTCTCCGTTGCTCCGAATCAATTCAAGCAATGGCTAATGGTAGAATCTATCAAGCCACCTACGCCGTAGGTAGAAGCATCATAGCCTCCAGTGAAATCAAATAACGTCACCGTTCTACCACGGAGTGATACTGTCTTAACGCGTTGAACTAAGTCTTGGGGAATGAAGTCGACTAAGTACGGACTATGAGGAGTGGTGCATTCTTTCTATCTACAAGATGCACATGCCTAGCCGAAAAGACTGTGTGCTTGTATTGATGGGGTGATATGATGACCAGGACATCGAATAGTCATACTGCTGGAGGCGTTCCCGTTCATGTTAATCATCTTGAAACTGGATGTTGGCTTTCGTTAGAGCCAGCACATGAGTACGATCTCTACATTTCTGTACTATCTACATTATATCTAGCTTACAGTTTCGCACGCGCCTCAATTGCTTTATGCGATCCGCCCTTCTGCTTGAAGTACTCGGCAACTTTGCTCCTGGCAACCTCAATAACGGACACATCTTCAATAGTCGCGGGCCAAGCAACTTCCTTGTCAAACTCCTCGTGGACCGCATTCTCAACAAGTTCTCTCAGCACTCTCCGTAGAGTTTTACCGGACCTCGTCTTGGGGATCATGCCCTTTCCTTGAATGATACCGCCCAGAGTAGCGATCCCTCCAATTTGAGAACGCACTTGATTCTGGATCTCATCAATAAGCCGCTGATCTGGGACAGCTGATGCAGGATGGTCTGGGACTGATAATGTGACGAAAGCGAAGGGTAGTTGACCCTTGAGGGCATCTGGGATGCCGATCACACTTGCCTCCGCGACGGTCGGATGACTTGTGATCGCTTGCTCAATTTGACCTGAACTTATGTGTAAGCGAATGACACTATACCTGGGAACGAGCTATACATACCTGTAGAAAGTCGATGGCCGGCTGTATTGATCAAGTCATCGCTCCGACTCATGATGCTGATATAGCCTTCCGCATCTATCATGCCGGCGTCTCCAGTGTCAACCCACTTGCCTTCAAATCTCTTCAAGTACCCGTTGTAAAATCTTTCATCGTCTCCCCAGAGGGTGCGGAAGCCAGTCGGAGCCAGGGGGATAGCCATCACGATATTCCCCATCTTCCCCCTTTTGACCTCGTTCCCTTGATCATCGACCGCCCTCACATCGAACCCAGGCATGGGTTTGCCGGCGCTGCCAGGTTTGACATTCAAAGGCGGGTGATCTCGGACCTGAGTTCTTCTATCATTTCCAGCTTGTGGTAGTAGGCTTAGTCCAGAGATGGGTGAGCCGGATTCGGATGACCACCAATTGTCAATGACGGTGGCACCAGGAGCTCCATGTTTCTGTAATAAGTCTTGATACATGGTGATGATCGATGGCTCTGATCTTTCACCCGCTAAGAATAGCGCCTTGAGTGACCGCAGACCGCCCGACTCCCCAACTTTCTTCAGGGACACATTCTCAGGGTCATCCCTCTTGATGGCTCTCAGTGCGGCTGTAAGATTCAGCTGCTCCGTTCGTGAAGCTATGAACATAGTAACTTACTTGGAGCTGTAAACAGGCTCTTGACCTTGTACTCCTATGCATACGATTGTCAATAACTACAGACCCCCCCGCCGGTAGCATAGCTGTGAAACGTAGCTGGTTGACCTCGACTAGGAGACTGACCTGTATTATACGCCAAAAGCTGGAGCTGTCCGGTGTTCCAACAGGTTTGCCTATGAGGTTCCTCGGTCAGCCCTGGTTCTGCCCGAGTCAACGATGCGTTTACCTTCATATAAGACCGTAGCTGCACCTGCGAGCAGGGGCCCATAAATGATGAAAGAATGCCCGACGACCCAACCAATATCACTGTTCGTATGTTAGATCATTATCAAATGGCACATGGCTGATGCCAGGTCTCTTACCTTGCTGTGAAGATGACATCACCCGGTCCATAAATACCGAACAGGTAGCTGATCGAAAGGTGCAAGCCAACAGCATGTCCTCCAGCATCACGAACAACTCCCTTTGGTGAACCGGTAGTCCCGCTTGTGTAGATGATGTAAATCCCATCATTGGAGTCTACAGGGACGCAGCTGGCTTTGATTCCTCTCGCACGAGCACTACGTACCAATTTGAACCAGTTTCTCTCACCTCCTGTCTTATTCAAAGGGTCCCAGCGTAATTGATTCCGCTGCCAGACCAGAACACGATCGGGTTTGTGCTTCGACATCTCGATGGCCTCTCTGATGAAAGGCTTGTAGCTCATGGGAGGCTTCGCGCCGTCAATTCCGCAGGAAGCTGTAAGTATTGCCACGGGTTTCGAAGCCTCGATCCTCTGAGACAGAGATGCAGCAGCGAAGCCTCCGAAAACGACCGCATGAATGGCACCAAGTCGGTTGATGGCCAAGATTCCGATCAACGCGGCGGGGATCATGGGCACTGGCGCAGATCAGCTCATTGCCTGTGTTTAGCTAGCTTTCAAGACTTACTGTATACCAGCACTACGTCTCCTTTCTTCACACCCTCATCCCTCAGCACTCCAGCCAATACCTCAACTTCGTCAAGGAGCTGGCTATAGGTGATAGCCTGCTTTGTACCGGTAACAGGGCTATCGTAGAAGATAGCAGGTCGATCGCCATTGCCTGCCAACACATGACGGTCAACACAGTTGTAGCACGTGGAGATTTGGCCGCCGGCGAACCATTCCCAGTGTGGGTGTGTTACACCATTCTTCAAAGTCTTGGTAGACTTTCTCAGAACAGTGTCTGGTTTTCTATGCCAGTGAAGCTGCTCGGCTTGGTGAGACCAGAAAGACTCGGGGTCTTCCAGCGAGCGTCGTTGAACTTCATCCTGTAGGTGGCCCATCATTCTTTTGCCGCCAGACCAAGCGGACGGGATCAAAATTCGGTGTACTTTCTCAATGACCCTCGGTTGGCGTTTCTCGGTCGAGTGGGGCTTTGAATCAACTGGAAATGTATACTACGGGCACAAAATTCCCAACAGCAGGCCCAAGGGAGTTAAAACCAGACAGTTGATGAATGGACAGTACGTCAATGTTCATAGGCAGTTAAGTACATGTGCCATACTTAATCTTCCCAGGAAGGCGGTGTTGCAGACAGTAACGTGTGGCATTATGTAGGTAGAGATGACCCCGGACTATTTCCCCGCATCCGTAACTCCGGAAAGCCAAGAGAAGTTGCCGATCTGCACACTTACTCCAATTCCTCGGCACACAGGATTGCGCAAGTGAGTTTCATAGCATTGGACACCGGCACCGAAGCAGCCTGCAGGACTTGTGTTAGTCAGCGGGCTTTTCCCAACCCGTGCTTATAGTCATCTTGTGGACCCATGTTGATGCTAGTGTAGGGGCTTGGCGCATGCCTAGCTACTGAGTGCTTGTTGAACACAGTCAGTCTTGAACCTGTTCGGTGCGAGCCAAATTTGGTATCAGCTGCAGCGTGGATCTTCAATTGATAAGACACTCAGAGGTCATATGGATGATTCCCGAGAGACTAGTATTGCGCGATAGGAACTAAAGGCTGTATACGAATTCCGGGTTCTCTCCATCCGTCAAATCAAGGAACTCCTGACCCTCAAGTTTCTGATAGCCCGATGCTGCCCTGATTGCAGCCTTCTTCTTATTCTGTCTTTTACACCAGAAGTAAATGAACAGAATGTCGAGCACACATACTAAGTAGCAGACAATGATAGTAATCTCGGCAGGGCGGTATTGCGGCTTGTCCTTATCTTGGAAAACTTGTGGACCAATGATATTACCCACGCAATAGCCGATCAGATACATTGCTGCCACTGTAGTCTTCTTCGTCCAACCGGCAACGTTAGTTGAGATGAGGGAAAGAAGAGCTACAAATGGAGTTGGCGAAGCTTGCGTAAGATAATATCCCACGAGGCGGCCGGCGTTGTGGCTTTCGGGCAGACAAGTAATCAGAAGCATACCGAGGGCCGCGATAAGCAATCCAGATGTTGAAATAAGCTGCATATCCCAGGTCAGGAAGCCAAACATTTCCTCTTGATACAGGTGACTTACAAGTCGATTCTTGTACCGATCACCAAGATGACCAGCCACCACTAGTGCAACAACTTCTACAGCCCCACCTGGTGTACCCAAGAGTAAGGACTGGGTGTTCGTGTAACCAAAGGATACGATTAGTTGCGAGAAGAAATTCGATATTCCACCTACGTGACTCAGTATCATCTCTGTGGGTTGTGTATCAGAAGCCAAGGAACTTACCGTTCGGGATATCCGCAACTAAGCTGTAAAAGACAAATGCCCAGATCATGGGGTCAGTGATAGCCTCCTTGAATTGGTACATCTTGAAGTGCTTGTTTCCAACACCCTGTTGGTTCATTCGGATTCGTTCAACGGCCATTCGACGCTCCTTTGGTGTCAGAAAACGGGCGTTTAGCTGGTTGTCCGGCATCCACCATAGAAAGATAAATCCCATGAAGGCGGTGAAGAGGCCGATCACCAGGAACACAAGCTGCCAAGACTTGATAGAGACCGGACGGGCTTCTGTGCCAACAGCGATACCGTAGGCCACAAATCCACCCAAAATCTGGCCCCAACCGTTGAAGCTGAACCACCAACCAGTACGCGTTCCCTGCTCGCGGATAGTCCACCACTGGCTCGTGAACAACGCAAAACCTGGAGACACTGCGGCTTCAAACACACCAAGGAAGAACCTCACCGTCATAGCGCCGGCAAAGTCCTTGACAGCCGCCATGCAGCAAAGAGTGAGCCCCCACATGATGACGTTGAAAGCTGAGTATTTTGCCAGCGGCAGTCTTTGTAAGAGGCGGTTGGTAGGCCATTCCCAGAAGAGGTAACCAAAGTAGAACATGGAGCCGATCCAAGAATAGTCTTGCCCTATATTGACAACGTTAGCAACACATATATATAAAATAAGATGGAAATTGATCTTCACACATACCAACAAGGTGGATGTCAGTCTATTCAAAGCGAATATATTAGTACAGAAGCATTGGCAGGATTTGACGGCGACTTGCCTTGAGACCCATGACACTCGCGTAGGAAACAGTGGTTTTGTCGAGATAATTCAGACCGTAGACAATACAAAGCAATGGCATCAGATTCAGGTCAATCTTTCTCAGAAGCCGGCGTTCTTCGTCAGGAGTGATGACAATGGTCTCACCTCCCTCGACCAAGACCTTAAAAGCCTCATCCGCATCGTTCTTGTTCGCATGCTTCAGGATGCCCACATCATCGATCCCAGGTGCGTTGGCTACAGGGACAATGTGCTTCTCGACATCGCCTCCTGGATAGGTCCCCGCTTTCTCCGCTTCGGCCATGGCGACGTACTCAATTCAGTACACGCAACGAATTACCATGTGTTCAACCCAGGGTTTGGAATTATGTTAATGAGGAAACCCGAAGAGTTCAGACCCCCAAGGACTTAAAAACTACTTGAGACAAGGGCGTTGGCGATCTTCATGGCAGATCGGCCCTCCGTTCGGTAACCTCTGTGATCCTGCTGATAAGCAGCAGTAATATGTGAGAGAACCTGCACTTATCGGTGGGTTCCGCCGCGACGCAGACCTATCGGCCTCGAGTAATGAAGTGCGCAGGTACATGAGACTTCGGTTCAACGCACCCAGCAGTGCCGAACACGCCCCGCGGTTCTGTGTCAACCACATTATGTACAAGCTAACAGTCATTCGATAAGTTCTTGAGCGACTGTGCGATCCCCCGCATTGCGTATCAGCTGCCGTCGATTTGATGACATCATGGTATCTCCTCAAGATAAGCTGCGGACGACGTAGCATGCGACAAACTACTGAACCGATGATGGCTTCGAACACCACACGGCTTGGTTATAAGGATTAGTATCACATCAAGGGATCACTGAGAGCGAAGGACGCCATTGAAAAGCCAAGATGCGGATAGAAAGCTTGGTTAAAGCTTCCGTTCCACTGACCTCCAGTGCCCAGCGGCCAAGAATGGGCCTCGGAAGCCTGCCGCACCGTGGGAAGCACTATGGATCGCCAGGTGGCGCTAGTCCTCAGCTAATCAATCGGAAACATCAGGGCTTGAAGAGGCATGTTTGTGAAGAGTAGCGGGAAACTTACCAGGCTCTCATTACTTCAAGACTGGCTTGAATGGTCACTGGTTGTCTGTAATGTCGTAAACCAACTAGCAATTGCTCGTATAACGTTGAACGGGGACAATACTTGCCTAGGTAGTCTATCTGTTACAAGTCACGATGGTAGCGCCAGTGTCTGTACCAAGCTAGCCCACGCGCTTTTCTCACCCGAGCGCTCACTGTTAATACATGCTGCCATGGAGATACTCTGAACATGCCCATAGTAAACGAATGGTCCCCCTGGAAAGCTGTTTGGTGGTCACGGGCGGTTCGGTTCATTCAATTGCCATCCGTTAGCTTATCACGTGCGGGACCCAAGACTTGCGTTGCGCTCCAAGGGTTGCATTTACCGGGAACACGGCTGGCGAAACCCGTCTTCTCGAAGCCTGGGTCCAAGGAGCCGGGTCAGATCCGCCTTAGAGTTGTGGTAATGTTCGGACGCTCTTCGTTGCGACGCCCGTTCCGGCTAGCAGTAATAAGTGGTGTTGAGCTCTGATTTGTGGTCTTTTGGCTTGGCCAACTACGGAGCTTGGCCACCGTGATTGTACCTCCTCTAATTAAGTACGGCACGGTCCACTGTCCGCAATCTCATCTGGAAATGGTGAATAAGGAAAACCAGGTTCTCTTGTTGAGATTTGGCGCTTGTTTCTAAAACTTAAAATGAAAGCAAGTATATAAGTCCATGGGACCGTTGTCTTCTGGGATGGCAATGTTACTTTCAGAGTTCACTTACAACTGAATCCAACTTCAGTTAATCATTGCCTGAACGGGTTCTCGGTTTCTTGGAAATGTATACCTCCGTGGGACTGACCTTTTTAGCTGCCTCTGCTCTCCTCGCCGGAGTGGAGGGTGCCTCCGGGACGGGAAAGTCGACCAGATATTGGGACTGCTGCAAGCCTAGTTGTGCTTGGTCGAAGAAAGCAGCCGTGAACCAGCCGGTATTGACGTGTGACAAGAACGACAATCCTCTTACCAATGTCGATACCAAGTCCGGTTGTGATGGTGGCTCGGCTTTTACGTGTTCCAACAACTCGCCTTGGGCAGTCAACGATCAGGTCGCGTATGGGTTTGCCGCAACTGCCATAAGTGGGGGATCCGAATCTAGCTGGTGCTGTGCGTGTTATAAGTATGTCGTGCTTCTTTACAAAGCAATCATGAGTTTGTCGACTAACCGATACGCCTAGACTTACATTCACATCGGGGCCAGTGGCCGGCAAGACCATGGTGGTCCAGTCCACCAATACCGGAGGCGACCTGGGCTCTAATCAATTCGACATTCTGATGCCTGGCGGAGGAGTTGGACTCTTTGATGGCTGCAAGGCCGAGTTCGGTACTTCGCTGCCAGGCGCGCAGTACGGTGGTATCTCGAGCCAATCGGACTGCAACTCTTTCCCCTCCAACCTCAAAGCCGGATGCAACTGGCGTTTCGACTGGTTTAAGAATGCAGACAACCCTGGCCTGACCTTCGAGCAAGTCCAGTGCCCTTCTGAGATCGTTGCTAAGTCGGGCTGCCGTCGCAATGACGACTCATCATTCCCTGCCTTCAGCCCCGGTAGTGCGGGATCGACTACTAAGGTTTCAGCCACGTCAACTGCTCAAACGACGACGACAGTCGCGCCAGGCGGAGGGAGTGGAGGCGCTGGTGCGGAGCATTATGCTCAGTGTGGTGGTTCTGGATGGACTGGACCTACAACTTGCGTGAGTCATACCCAATCAAATCCCCTATTCCTCCCTCGATTATGATGGTTCGACTTCCGAACCTGGCTCGGAAGCGAGGGTTGACCTCAAAAACACATTGTAGAAGCAAACCTTGATAAACAATTACTGACTCTGGGCGTTGTAGGTGAGCCCATATACATGCACTGCTGTAAACGAATATTACAGTCAATGCGTTTGAGGGTAAGGCTGTTGTGAAGTCATAGGCCGGACTGGCCTAATGTATATAGTATAGCCAGTCTGACTGCCTCTTGTACATAGAAATGCACGCTTTCACAACTGTACTTTGGACTCTGAATGGCGAAAAGTGAACTCCACACCGCCAGGCGGAGGACAAAACACTCAGCTTGGCGACAGAGAACCTGAGGGCAAGTTGGCCACTTGTTACGGTTCATTCTAGGCTGTACAAAGCTCAGAGTCTTTTGCTTGTGGAACATCTGATTGGTATAGGTTTTGGAATCAATCTAGGACTTTCGTGGCGTGACTTTGGGGGATATAAGTCGGCCTTGGTTGATCTCATAATACGAACATATGGAGTTCGTGAAGTATAGCATAAATTGCACTTCTACTCAAGAACTGTTTCACTGCCCACATACACTCGATTAGTAAGACAAAAGTGCAGCAGAGGCTCGACTGAAGACTCTTCCAAGCATGAACCACAATAACATCATGCTTTTGAATGATGTTAGAAGAATGCCTATTACGCCCAAGACCTGTATATAATCAAATCTCCTTGGGGCTCTTGCGCCACAACAACAGTACGGCACAACGATATGAAATGTGTAGTTGCGGTCTTCGCCTACTTAAATCATTGATAATACTGCACCTGGACATTGGACTTCATACGTATCGCAGTGTACGGGGTGTTCCGGCCCAAACCAGGTTGATTGCCATTTGCATTGGGGTCCAACGCCGACAAAAGCAGGGATCGAGTGACGCGTCACCGAGCTGACCTATCAGTCAACGCATGTGTCAGCTTACAGGCATTCAACTTCATTTCAAGCCGCGGAGAGTCGGTCAGAGTCTGCAAATAGCAGGTTCCTTGATAAGCAGGATCCGGGCGGCTTTGCGCAGGGAGGGTGGATTGCTGCCGCCGGTCGGGTTACTGCTTGGGCCAAAAAGTACCCAATCCCAGCAGTGTGACGGCTGTTCTGTTCCTCAAAGTGCTGAGCCGTCACTGGTGCTGGTACCTGCAGTAGCGCAGAGAACCTGCAGCGAACATCCATTCATCCATTGCCATGCATCCTTTTGCCCTCCCTGACTGATGTGCCCATTGGTGATGCCCGCCCCGTGGTTGGGCGTTGGCGAGGCTTCTTAGGATGGTGGGAATGCTAGCCATTTTGAACAGGGCTTTCCCATGTCGTGGCAGAGAAAAGCATATTTGCTGTCCCGTTCGGCGTTTTACGGCAATTGTTAGACTCATGTGTTTTCCTGGGGCTTTCCAGCAGGGCGGGCTGGCATGAAACCCGCCCGCTGATCAGCGCAGCCCGTGTGTGCCCGTGGGGATCTGACCAAGGAAAACCGGGACGATCAGAGATCAGAGACAAGTTCGTCCCGTTTATCGGTGCCGGTGGTCGTCATCCAAAATAGCCTGATGTGGATCATATGTACATCTGTAAGACAAAAGCAGATTTCGGGTGTTCTGGTTGGCCGATCACTTCGACGGCAAGGGATGAGACTTCGAATAAGCAGTTATATTTGGCAACGACGAATTTTCGCGTGGCTTTTTCGACTTGAATGATAACGGTCACGCAAGGTTTCAGCCCAAGTGAACGGCTGGCTTGGTTACGTCCGGCAATAGTGCCTCTACTCTGGCACAGCCGCCACCGACGGCCACACACCTCTTACGGCATCAAGATCAACAATTATGAGAAATCACTCGAGAAACAGTCAGTGCAACGGTAGCTTGTGCCGGACCAAAACTTGATCTTCGATGAATGCTCGGTATGCCGTGACTATAGTACAGTAGGCTCGCGAACACTCGCGTCATTGTCCAAAGACCAATAAAACATCCAGCGACTTATGATCGGTGTCTCAGCTTCGTCATATACGTGCAAATCTCCAAACCACCCTCCAAGTGTGTACAAGAACGAGTAGTCTAGAGGCAAACACGATAAGCGAAGATCTCTTGGGCGAATCGAGACAAAATTGTGAAAGGATAGAACGGTTTTTTTGATTTGTCAAAGTCGTCGATCTCGAGTAGCTTCCTTCATCCACAGCCCGGAAGCCGCCTTGAGACTCGCGCGTTCCTTCACGACCCAGTTCCAATCCTTTGGACCGCACACATCGTAATACTCCGTGGGCGAGGTAGTATCTTTGTCCAAACACCAGACAAGAAAATACAAGAATGAAGTCTTGCATGCGTGGCCAAAGACTCCATAGTGCAATGCAAGAATACCGTTGTGCCTGAAAACCTCCCAAATCTATCACCTTACTCCTCCAAATCCAAACTGCTTTCCCGTCATGAATTAAGTATTACCGACATGATTCGTAGGTCAGACGTGATCGAGTGGATTGGAAATTTACAGAAGAGCGGCAACTCCCATCAGGGCAGCAAGACCGGCTCCGGAGAGAGCAGCGACCTTGCCGGCACCAGCAGTGGGGATCGAGCTGGCGGGGGTGGTGGGGGTGGTCTTGGAGGTGGTAGGGTAGACACCGCCGGTGGACTTGACAGTGGTGGCGATGGTGCTGTTGGCAGTAGGGTAGACGGGGGCAGGGGCGGTGCAGGTGCTGCAGACGACAGCGCTGGTGGTGTAGACGGGCTTGCTGATGGTGCAAGGGCAGTCAGTGATGGTCAGGGTGGTGGCCTATCAAATCATGTTAGTATCGATATAGAATGTATAGAGAAAGGGTCGAGTCGTTTTGCTCGCCTGGAGAAGCGAGACCAACTTGGTTGATCAACTCCTCCTAGACGGCCAAGTTCGCCACAACCCTTTCTAGGGATCGTCGTACCTCAGTGACAGTGTAGGTCTTGCCACCGTGGGTGATCTCAGTGGCAGCCGGGCAGTAGGTGGTGTAGGCAGTAACGACCTCGGTGGTGTAGGTAACGTTGTCAGCCTTGTACGAGGCCTGGGCGCCAGCGGCGAGGGCAGCGACAGCAGCGATGGTGAACTTCATTTTGACTGGTATTAAGAAACTCGGTGGAGAGTTGTTGTAGTTGTTGTTGTCGGAGTATTAATTAGGTATTTAGGTACGTTGAGTATAACGAATGAAATTGACTGTAAAAGTCAGGGTTGGTTTGTAGTGAGTGTGTGTGGGTGAAGAGAGAAGGGGAGAAAGAGATTGTCGCTCTTGGACGGAATCCGTTTATATACAGAGTTGTCGACGAGGATAGCGCGGTGTACCGGGGCCCGCTGAGGAGGTTGCCACCCATACCATGGTCCCGTTTATTTTTGCCCGTCTTATTTCGCTGTCCAGCCAATTCAGCGCAGAGGCCCTGCTGCTCCAGTTCCAAGGAAGCTGTGCCGGCTGGGGGGATGCCCACTTCGGCGGTTGCTTGCTGTTGGTGGTGCCAGGGGTGTAGGCGTGGTCGCTGGGCTGAGCTCAGACGATGGGAGATTTCTGAAAAGGGGCAAGACCGACGCCCGAGGAAGAACCCATCGCCAGATCCTGATAGTGCAAGGCCCGTGGTCTGTTGTCACGGCCTGGGTCTGCTGGGTACCTTTTCGCGGCATGTAACGCGGGCTGCTACAAGCGACGCTATGGTCCATTCGCTTGCTGGCTAACAGCACCCGATCGGAGGAACCTGTTGATCTCGACGCATTCTGGACCGTTCAGATGCGAGGGGTGCTGCCATATCCGGCGACATGGCCCTAATGCCAGGTACCACTGCAAGGAACAGGAACAGACAGCGCGAAAGGCAAGGATCCTACTGGGGGTTGCGGGAAATTGCAGCGCCACTAGCAAAACTAGCTCTATCTCCAATGAGCCCGAACCAGCAATAGCCAAGCCGGCCCACCCAACGGGCTCTCTCTACGGAGGCACCGTTGCTCGGTGGTACTCTTGGCTTATCGGTCGCTGTTCAGTTCGCATCTGTAGGCCATTCCCCAGAGGTCAGTCGGGTCCTGTTGAGTCACTGTCATGATTAGACAGGCCGACGTCAAGCAGCGGGTGTCGCCTATCTCGGGCCCCTGCGCTGTAGGATAGAGTTCGTCCGATCATGGCATGAATTCGCAGCGCTGGAGATAAGACGATGCACGGCGCTGACCATATGTACGGTAAGATTGATCGCTAGCGATTAATGAAGTGGACCACTAAAGCAGAGTACGCAGGCACTGATAAGTGACAGGAGATGGGCAGCGGCCCAGAGGGCACTCCTTGGTCCTGCCGTACTGTGTACCTAGGTAGGTTGCTTCTTCAGAACTGCGCTGCTGGAAAGTCTACAGCAGCGGCAGATTGCAGGGTGGTACAGCCAGGGTCAAGAGGCACGCATTGGCGCATCGATTGGCTCCTTGGTTATGCGATGCCAGAACGAGGCAAAGGCTGACGCCGCCTGAACGACTGCCTCATTCGCCGTGCAGCATTGCGACGCCTGGCAGGCCTGGGCTGCACGCTGGAGAACTTTTAGCACTCAGGAGCCAGCGAGGTGGAGACGCCGATACAGGCAAAGACCCACGATCCATGCGCTGTCACTGATCTTGAACCAGGTCTCCCGCCTAGCCGGCTTCTCGCTGTGGGGTCCCTGAGTGCTTGGGAAGGTTGTAAACTTTCCAGGGGAAATTACCAGGTGTCTCTGGGGTCACTAACGATATGTGAATGCCTTCTCCGGACGAGGTGTGGATTCTGGGAATTAGTGCTTCCAATCTGCGCATGAACATTGAACGCGCTGTAGCACCTCGTATTTGCCGCTATCAATTACGGCGGTGATTAGGATCATTATCATGCTGGGAGACATTCCAACACTGGGTGTCCAATGCCAGACTACTGCAACGGTGTATCGCAGCGGAAGGCTTCCGATGTCAAATCATACCACGCAGTTACCGCCCGAACTGACAAGACGACAGGTGTGCTCACTTCACATGTAATTTCGCCATCCCAAATCCTCGACGGCGGGACCGTACGATCCAACGGCATTACAATGGTCGGAGTCATCAACCATGCTCGATATATCAATGCCAACTCCAAGAAGATTACTATTGTAGTGCTTAGCCTCGCAAGCCGCGCACGTCCCCAACTGCTATATCCAGACCTGTCGCTAACTCGGTTGTCGGTCCAACAGAACAGAGATGGCCGCAGGACTCCGCAGAAGAGAATCGGACCGCCTATCACTTGGTCGCTAGAGGTCTCGACAACCAGATCATCGACCGACGCCCCTGTCCGAGTCGGCATTCAACGGCTGTTCAGTCTGCGCCCTGGCGCTGAGGGAATCTGAACTAAGACGTTTGTTAACGATGATTCTGTGTGCGCGATTATTTGAATTTTCTACGAGATCCGGAAAACGTTTCTGATCTATGAAAAGCCTCCTCGTCATCGGTTCCCGAGAGCTGAATACAGCGACGGCAGCTTGTGCCTATTACAGACTTGGCCTGTGGTTCTTCCTGGTGCCGTGGCTGCTCCAACTTTTCCAAGATCCAGAACACCGGCTGGGCCATTTTGGCACGTTACTTTGGCTAGCTGCAATTTCCACCACCTGGAGCTACCGCCGACTCCTGCCACTACTGTCCCTACTGCCGAAATAATGAAGATCGGCTATGTATGCAACCACCACGAGGTTGAATCAAATCATACGAGGATTGCTGTCCAAACAAACTGCGAGTCTCCATTTTGCTTTGACAAAGACGCGCCTTTCGCGTCCCGTTGCACGGCTGGCAACCGGGATCTGTTCCCGGCTGCTAAAGTGCTCCCGCTCTATGGATCCCGCCCCCAAGCAACCACGTTCGCGTCGACTCGCGCCTCCATAGCGTTCCATTGGTGTTAAGTCCATATTGGCTGTCCACACATTCAACATCGAGTCCTTGGCCGAGAGTTCTGCCCACATTGAGAGCCACTTCACGCCTGGTCGTCTCGTTTGAGATGACTTCTGACCTTCATGCAATTTCTTGTCTCTATGTCGACCGTCGCGGGATCGAGATCACCCTGGATGAGGCTCCCATATTGGACGTGACACTCGACGATACTTCTCGTCACCGCTCACTCATGATCCGACAGGTAACAATCCGAAAACTCACACCGGCTCCATAGAGACCTATAAGGGAGCCTTCGGACTCTTTGGCATGAGCCCGCCCTCTGTATTACCACACGATCGAGTGTCTCGCAAATACGATTAGCCATCAACGCAAGTCTGCGGTCTGGATAGACGGGCTCCTTTGCTACATTGGCGTGTCTTCTATGTGTTCTATGGCGATGTCTACATGCACACGGGCATAAGCTGTGACCAAACTCTCTCTTCGGTTCACATCTTGTGACGGTCGCAAGAAATCAGCTGGATTACTCTGCGACAAGCAGGATACACTGCCATGTTCAACAACACTGGCCGGGTACAATGTGTGATTCTTCAGTGAACCTTTAGCATTGGTAGTCTACACAGCACACTCAGTGCCTTTGCTGCCTACATTCGAAGGCATCGTTGGGTTCCTGTACAGATAGCAGCCTGGGATAGATATGCACACTCGGCCATGGCGCATTCCCCCAACGGCCGCCTTCAGATTGGGAGGAGAAACCATATCCTAGAGTGCAAGGGATCATTGGCATCGAACTCGGCCTGTCACGGACAATCCATCCAGTGTCTTGGAAAACGACCTCGTCACCGCTGTCGATTCCTCCGAAGCTCTCAAGCCTCTGGTTCACAATTGACAAAAGCCCATGTATTAACCATACATCATTTCGTAACCTCCGTTGTAACAGAAGCTATCCCTACGAGAATGTGTTTGATATCAACCAAACGGTTACGACAGGGGCCTGCACTGCCCTAAGGGACTGCCTTAGACTTGTCCTGAGAGATCTATCACTGAATGCTTCGGAGGGTTTGTCGCCATTAGAGGTGGAAGTGCTACAATCTCCACTGTAGCTCGACTGGCCTTGCTCTTTAAATGTGCTGTACGGCGTGGACGGGTGGTCGAGAACGACTATCAATAGAGACGGAGGTTAGCATCTCTAACACCTAGGTTCGGTCTCTACTCCGCGGATATGCTCTCGAAAGGACTGACAACAGTATCAAGACAGTACTGGTACTCGCTCAACTTGCTGACAACTCAGACCTGGATCTGCTACCGCCGCATTCAAGAGTCTATGTCAAGGTGGTTTATTGTGATTATACCTACTAGGTAGTAGGGCAACAAACGGACATGGAACCCCGTTCTCAGTCTATATGTGTCAAGGATCCACTATGCGAAAACCAACTGAAGCGGGGTCCATTGATGACGGCCAAATCGATTCATCCGAGACGACCCCATGGGGTTCTAGTTCCAGGATGCAGACGAGAAGCAGCGAAGTTGTTCGAAACGATGCAACGCTCGTAGTAAGCCACTGCGGCTCAACGCAGTCGAGCGTGACAGAATGGTCGGTGGTGCACAAGACGGTCATGAGACCATGCATGCATGCAGCGATGGTCTATATAGCAGGGCTCATTAACTTACGCCCGCCCGGCCAAGTGGTATTAGAACCGACAACTGCTCCGCCCCGGAATCAAGGCCGCCGACTCCAACTGCATTGGCGGCCCCGGCTTTGCTTCCAGACTCGGCGAACTTCCTGCAAGCCGGGGCCTGTCTGTGCGATTGACGAGCACATGTGCATCGGAGCTTGTTGAGACTCCCATTCCCGCTCCTTCTGTCACGTTGTGTAACCAATATTGCAGCCTCAAATGCGGAGTTCGTGAGGGCGGGCGCCAGAGCGAATTATAGACTTTGACCGCCCATTCCTCCACCTCGGGATAATGGACGCTCCATGCCGTCCTGACACCCGGTCGTCCTTTGTCGGTCGGCCTTAAGATTTTCTCCTAGCGCACTATGCCGTCCGCCGTTGGAGAAACTGACGTGTGGACCGGGCCTGTTTAGTTGATGTCATTGCCGATGACAAATGGGCTCGGGGATAGTCCGGCACGTGAAACCCAACGCCGCGACTACAGACGATATATTTGAGTCCACGATGTCGCTTTTGATATTGCATGAGACCTGATTAAAGAAATTCCCAAGTCCCAGGTTGTTACTGTAGTCTTTGGTCCCGCCAAAATGCCTTCCAACATGAAAGCCGTCGGTAAGTCGATCCCCCGCAGGCTATAGATAGCTCCCGTCCTAACGACATAGCTAGACATCAAGGGTGGCGCCGGCCATGCCGATGCTCTCTTCATCAACCCGGACACCCCAGTGCCAACGCCTAAGGAAGGCGAGGCTTTGATCAAGATCAAGGCGTTCGGCCTGAACCGGATGGACTTGATCCAGCGCGAGGGTCACTATCCGCTCCCCCCGCAGGCACCCTCAACCCTGGGAGTCGAGTTCTCGGGCACCATCACCTCGTTCGGTTCTGGTGAGCATGGCGACTTCAAGGAGGGCGATGCGGTCTTCGGCCTAGCCTACGGCGGGGCCTACGCCGAGTACATTGCCGTGAGCTCCAAGATGCTGCTGCACAAGCCGGACTTCCTCTCGTGGGAGGAGGCCGCCGGCGTCCCGGAGACCTGGATCACGGCGACGCAGGCGCTGTACCTGGTTGGTGAGTTCACCAGGGGCAAGTCGGTGCTGTGGCACGCGGGCGCCAGCGGGGTCAGCATCGCGGGGATCCAGCTCAGCAAGGACAGCGGGGCCAGCGCCGTGTACGCGACGGCGGGGACGGACGAGAAGTGCGCCTTCATCGAGCGCGAGCTGGGGGCGACCAAGGCCTTCAACTACAAGACGACGGCGGACTGGGACGAGCAGATCCTGCAGGCGACGGGCGGCAAGGGCGTCGACGTCATCATCGACTTCATCGGCGCGTCCTACTTTGCGCGCAACCTCAACGCCGCCGCCCGCGACGCCCGCTGGGTGGTGCTGGGCCTGATGGGCGGCTCGCGCCTCGACGGCGTCGACGTCGGCAAGCTGCTGTTCAAGCGCGTCCGCATCGAGGGCAGCACGCTGCGCAGCCGCGAGCCCGACTACCAGGGCCGCCTGCGCGACAAGCTGGCCGAGTACATCCCGGACTTTAAGACGGGCAAGCTCAAGGTCCTCGTCGACACGGTGCTGCCCATGGAGAAGATCCAGGAGGCCCACCGGCTGCTGGAGGCCAACAAGACGACGGGCAAGATCATATGCACGGTTGGAGACTCGTAGGGTGGGAAGTTTCTACGCAGCGGCGGAAGGTTAAGGGGTCGGTGTATAAGAGGAAAAGGAAAAAGCATGCCGTGCTCGTGCAGAACGATCAGGACGACGGATACTTTGAGCCATCACAATTATGCAGGCGCGTCTGCACTGGGGAAGGAAGGACAACGGGTTGGCGCTCATGATCACGAAGCATGATTTCCTCAAAAGACAGTTACCAAGATATCGGTATCGAATCCGAGCCAAATGACATTGAATGAATCAAAGACTCCCAGAACGTCCACAAAAGCCTAAAACGCCGCTCTCTCTTCTTCTCGTCGTAAGCGTTCAATACGCATGAGTTGCTACTTAATGCTCCTTAATCCACTTCAACATCTGCTCGTAAGCCGTGGCCTGCGCATCCTTGATATGCTGGTCTGCGTAGTCTCCAACGACGGCGAAACCGTGGGGCACGCCGGGATACACCTGCACCTCGTGCTCGACGCCCTCCTTGCCCAGCACGTCCTCGCCCTGCGTCCGCACAGCGTCGGGGAACAGGGGGTCGTCCTCGACGCACACCAGACTGACGGGCGCCTTCAGCCCCGTGAAGTCGTCCGGGCTGACGAGAGTGGCGTGGGCCAGGGCGCCGGCCTTGATGTACGGGCCCTTCTTGCCCACGGCGGCGGCATCGCCGGCCTCCGTGTCCGCCGGCTTCGTCAGGCCGCTCCAGCCCGACGGCGTGGGTGTCCGCTCCGCCGCTAGCAGTAGCACGTACCGGCCGCCGAAGCAGTACCCGACGGCGTAGACGCCGTCGCCGGCGGCCACGGCATCAGCAAACTCGGACCGCGCCGCATCGATGACCTTTTCGAGCAGGGGCATCACCTTCTCCTCCGTGTGCCGGGCCAGCCACATGTCGATCAAAAAGGACTTGGCCGTCTCGGCGGCCTTGAGCTTGAAGGCGTCCAGGAAGCTGCCCAAGGCGCCGCCGCCCGACGCCCCCTGCTGCTGGGACTCGAGTTGCGCCTCGGGCGACTCGAAGGTTTCGTTCTTGGTGTTAGGAGCCGGGTCGCCGCCGAACAGGTCCGGCATCACAACCACGTAGCCCTCGGCGGCGAAGCGGTCGGACTGGACCTGGTTGTTGGTCGAGTGGAGGCCCGTCCCGCCGGTGAGGTGGAGCAGGAGCTTGGCTGGGGAGGTCGGGTAGTTGGAGGGTTTGGAGATGTAGGTCTGTGATAAAGCCAGTCAGTCACCATCTTCTCCCGCGTGGTGCGGCGAACGGTGGAAGCGCCTTACATCGATGCCGCCGAGCTTGCGGACCTCGCCTTGGGGCTTTGCGCCATCGGCTGTGTGGTTCGGTGTCAGTAGGGCATGCTTAGACGGGCTCGTGTCGCGGGAGAAGCTCACGGGTCGGCCTGTCGGTGGTGCAATGCTCGCCCATGGTAGGTCCTGTCTGGGCAGGTGTGTCTCCCGGGATGACGGGCCCATCCTCCTGTTCCTGGGCGTCGCTCTCGGGAGCTTTGGTCGCAACCTGGGGGTCGACTTCAGTCATGGTGACCGCAGCTTTGTGCAGTGTAGGCAGGGAGGTTGGCGTTCTATTATTGGAGGAGGAGCCGGTCGTATGCGGTGTACGTTGGATATGCGGTTCACGGTTCAATTCAGGACAGGTTGCGCAGAGTGTTTCTTGCTGGCCTATCTGGGTACCTTGAGGAAACAAGCCTGGCTGTACACATACGTATGCACGTTCACTAGTTGTTTCACACGACTGGAAGCTGTGATGGCGGGGTACCTAGGTAACCACCGGGGGGAAGCACCACCCATCACCACGTTCCCATGTTACGGGCTGCCCTCGATACGAATGGTGGAGTCTAGCAGAGCAGATAGCCCTTGGCTGCCCTCTAGAGATGTTATGATTTGCACAGCCAGGCTAGAACACCCCCGAAGCGCAAGTCCTGTGTGGACTATGGGACGAAGGATTGAGTTGTCCGGCCATGCACCCACGTCTGTAGCCCAGGGTGAGTTAACTTAGCAGGCACCTGCAGGCAAGTAAACACGGTGACGTCTTTAGCGTGTTACCACGGTACACGGCGCCCGTCAGCGTTACGGCACCACCTTAGCTGGCTCCATTCAGGGACCCCGCGCTACAGACTGGACAACTGCACACCTGCAGGCCTGGGGAGGCGCGGGAGGGCCGCTGTTTGGCTGTTGGCTGGTGCCTGCGCGCCGGCAGCTGCCACCAGAAAACCAATTTAACATTTTTGGCGTCTCTGTCGCCCACGTCGCGTCGAGTCGCGTCTTCGCCCCCCTCCTCGACCCGACCTTCATCTGGCCCATAGTCAACACCCGCCTCTGACTCTGCCGACACAAGATCATCGTGTGTCCGAGCCGCCAACTTCTGTACAGCACCACCCAGAGCTCAGTCAACATGTCGGTCGCAGAGGCCCAACAGGCCATCACACAGGGCGCCTTGGAGTAAGCATCCCATCCATCCCACCCGTATATCATATATCGCCATCCCCCATCCCTCTTCTCGCTACTAACGACATTCTCTGCAGCGCCATCTTCAACGACTCCGCCAACGTCGACAGGCGCTTTCCCGTCCCGGTCCTGCAATGTCTGCAGATCAAGCCTCTGGCCGCCGGTCCTGCTGGAGGAGCCAACGCCGAACGATACCGGGTCGTCCTCAGTGATATCCGCAACTACGTCCAGTGTATGCTGGCCACCCAAGCAAACCATGTCATCCACGACAACCAGCTGGTTCGTGGTTGCTTGGTGCGCATCAAGTCATACCAGGCCAACTCGGTCAAGGGCAAGAAGTAAGTCTGCAAGACTCCTATCGTCCCAGGCCCCTCTTCTTCACCTACTGACTGTCTGTTCTTCTTCCAGCATCCTTATCATCCTTGATCTCGACGTGATCGAAAACCTAGGGGCCCACGACCGCATCGGCGAGCCTGTCGGTTTCGAGGCCAAGGCCGCCGCCGCCGCCGATACCACCATCGGCGGCCAGGGCTTCTACGGTGCCAAGCCCGAGCCCTCAGCCCCAGTCAAGCCTGAACCTATGTCTTCACGCATGGGTGGCGGCGGAGGCGGCAGCACAAACGGTGCTCAGCACGGCGGCGTCAACATCTATCCCATCGAGGCTCTCTCGCCATACGCGCACAAGTGGACCATCAAGGCCAGAGTCTCGGCCAAGTCCGACATCAAGACGTGGCACAAGGCCTCCGGCGAGGGCAAGCTGTTCTCGGTAAACCTGCTCGACGAGAGTGGCGAGATCAAGGCCACTGGCTTCAACGAGCAATGCGATCAGTACTACGATCTCCTTCAGGAGGGAAGCGTCTACTACATCAGCAACCCGTGCCGAGTCCAGCTTGCCAAGAAGCAGTTCTCCAACCTGCCCAACGACTACGAGCTGACGTTTGAGCGGGACACTGTGATTGAGAAGGCCGAAGACCAGTCTAGCGTGCCCCAGGTGCGCTTCAACTTCGTCAATGTCCAGGACCTGCAGAACATCGAGAAGGACGCCACCGTGGACATCATTGGTGTGCTGAAGGATGTCGGCGAGACGTCCGAGATCGTATCCAAGAACACGGGCAAGCCCTATTCCAAGCGCGAGCTGACCATCGTGGATGACTCCCAATTTTCTGTGCGCGTCACCATCTGGGGCAAGTCGGCCACTTCCTTCTCGACACAGCCAGAGTCTGTTGTCGCCTTCAAGGGTGTCAAGGTCTCAGACTTTGGCGGAAAGTCTCTGTCCCTCCTGTCTTCAGGCAGTATCAGTGTAGACCCCGATATCTCGGAAGCCCACAAGTTGAAAGGCTGGTATGACTCACAAGGCCGTGGTGAGAACTTCAGCACCCACCAGAACAGCATGGCAACACTGGGTGGTGCAACAGGCCGCCAGGATCAGACCAAATACATATCGCAAGTCAAGGATGAGAACTTGGGCATGGATGACACCAGTTATTTCTCTCTGAAGGCGACCATAGTCTACATCAAGCAGGACAACTTCTGCTACCCGGCTTGTGCGAATGAGAGCTGCAACAAGAAAGTGGTCGATGTTGGCGATGGCACCTGGCGCTGCGAGAAGTGCGATGTCTCCCATCCACGACCCGAGTACCGCTATATCATGAGCATCAACGTCAACGACCACACAAATCAGCTGTGGCTCAGTTGTTTCGATGACGTCGGCCGTATCATTATGGGCATGACCGCCGACCAGGCCATGGAGCTGAAGGAGAATGATGAAAATGCGCTTGGTGCTGTTTTCGAGCAGGCGAATTGCACCAAGTTGAACTTCAGAGTGCGTGCAAAGATGGACACGTACGGAGACACCCAAAGGTTTGTTTTGCCCCTACCCCGACGAGCATTTTGTTTGAGAACATTGGTGCCAAGCAGAGTTGCTGACGAGAACACAGAGTACGGTACCAAGTGATGAGCGCAACACCCATCGACTACCAGGCCGAAGCACTGAAGCTCTCGGATATGATTAAGTCTTTCGGCATCTAGATGGATGCTTTGGTGGTCACGAGAGCATAGTATCATCTTCTACTCTGCTGGAAAGTTGAAGCCTGTAGCTCATTTGTTGAGCGTCTGGAGCTCCGCCCAGGGGGGCGTACATGGAAAGACAGAAGGAGCCCGTAGCCATTGGGGAAACCATCCGATGGCGGCATATGGTGGTAGAGTCTTTCTATGAGGTACAAGTTGGTATTGTAAGGGACGTCAGACATGTTCGGATACCTATGATAATGGAACGAGGCGCATTATACAACACTATTCTTGATGATACACTCCCATCCCAACCCCGCCGAACACTGAGATTGGGTTGCAGAAGCCTTTACTTGTTATGTTTGAATGATTGCTTCGTGTTTCCAGTACATACCATCGGGGCCAAGCTGCTTCCCAGCCTGGATCGCCAACAACAGTTGGCGCAGTTCGTGCGCTAAGCGAGAGCGAGACGGCGACAAAGAAATCGTGAGCCTCATGATACATACTGGCATCGATCCATAATGAAGTGACAGTTCGCTGTCCATTAAGGCCACGCCAGTGCCGCTTTGCCTGGAGGACTTGCTCTTTAGCGTATTGAGGCAGTCATCGAGCTCCCCACGTCGTGGCACTGCAAGGGATATGGAAACCATGCTGGGGCGTATATTCATTTCGCTCGGGCTATACGCGATGGCTGATGGACTTCTGATCCGGCACCTTCCAGTCCACAGTAAGTCAATATGCAAGGTGCTCACGCCATTCCCAGGAAACTCTGCAGCTCACATATCCTCGAAAGGGGCCCTTCACGCACATAGGCACCGTCATGAGGACACCGACCACGACCCAGAACTCCTAGATAAGCTGGACCGCCGACCAACACAAGTCCACATCACAACCGTCCCTTCTCACAGTCCGCCAAATCCATCGTCCCTTTTCCTCCCCCAAGAATACCCCCAGCCCAATGTCGCCCCGAGGGCGGATCCATCAACCCACCTGACGACACAGCTCCAGACCCGGCCGACCGGCTGCCACACCGAGACCCTGACGACGACGGTCCTCCCGGCGTCGCAGACGACCCTTTACGCGGTGCTGGCCGCGGGCCTGGACATCGCGGCCGCCGGCTTCACGACGCTGGCGCTCAACGACAGCGTGAGTGTCGTCGTGGCGGCCGGCGTGCTCGACGTCGGCGGCTGCCTGGTCACGGCGCCCACCATCGACACCGTGGCGCGGACTGAGACGCGCGAGAGCGTGCATTGCGACGGTACAACGGTCGAGGGCGTCGTGGTCACGGTCACAGAGGCACCGCCGCCCCCGGGCGTCACGACGACCGAGGTGCGGCCCACGACGGTCGTGCAGCACGTCACGCAGCAGATTACTCAGGAGGTTACTCAGGAGATTACGCGGCAGGTTACGCAGCAGGTCACGGTGACGATGCAGAAGAAGGGGAAGGCGGAGGATGAGGAGGAAGGGGCGGGTATTGGCGGTGTGCATTGTGCGAATGGGCTCTCGCCGCATGCTAGGTGTTGAGGAAGGACGGGATGGATGCTTGAGATGGCATTACAACAAGCCAGAAAGAAGACTTTTTTCGATTGATTCTTATACAGAGGTAATACCAACTTAATGGTCTCCATAGAGGCTCATCCGTTTATGGAATCTTCATTGGTCCAAAGGGAGCTCTTTATTCTTCTCTTGAGATCCTCAAGATCCCATAGTCCCCGAATCGCGGGAGAATTACCCTGGCAATCAGGTATGCGAGAATAGATTCTGGGTTGTAAGGCTTATGAAATGACGAGAGTGGCATTGAGCCATGCGAATAAAGCCTTCTTCATAATTCAACGCGTCATCCATGCTTCATGTGGATCGAATTGTAGTAAATGTGCTTTGCCAGGAAGAGGCCAAGGAGGAGAGGCAACGCACCCACCACCATTGCCAGACGTATAGGTGGAGGGAATCCAGATCTGCATTGCCCCGTGTCGAACCTGACACCCCTAAGAAAAAAACACGACCCAGGAGCGTAGAAGAGAATTCCAGTCAGAGGAACATTGTTTAGCCTACAAGGGGCCAGTTTGTTCCACTATAGCCAGTATCTCGCCTACTGAACCGTCGTGTGCGGCTTACCAGGTACACACGAGGAACATGTTACGCATTGCACAGCTGCTCGACGCACAAATTGCCACATATCAGCATATATGTATGAGAGAATCTGCATTCCACATGCACTTCACGGGTGAGTGATGACAAATTACTGTAGCGACAAGTTCAAGATTAGTAGGCGTGGTCAGATCGAATGAGGCAGACGCGCATCGATACCCAAATGCCTTCCTTAGCGTCCATGGATGCCAGACGCCGTCGAACCAGTATGGTCATAATACCGAGTCCCATTGGGTTCCTCTCCCCTTCGCTACTGCAATATACAAGCCTGTGTGGTTTCTTTTTTTGTCAAACGCCTTTTGCCCGGTACAGTAGGTTCATAGTAGTCAGACGAGGGACAGAGAAGACTGTGTGTGAATGAGTGTGGAATATCAACGCAATAGCGTGTCAACTAGGCACAACATGTTCTACGCCTGTGAATTTATGCCCCCGAATGATCCAGTTCCAAGAGAAGACTCCTCGAAATCCTTCATTATCCTACGCTTCAACCCGCCTACAAGTTGAAGGGGGGCTTGTGCAAACTCAAGTGTGGGGTCCTAGGTTTTCAGTGTTAATTATGATTACTTTTTCCACATAATGAAGACAAAGGCGGTGTACTTCATCCGAATATCACCAAAATGACGTTGTTGCCTAAGTAATTTCGCACATTACGTGGGTTAGTTGATTGTAAAATGCAAATGGACGACGACGCATCGACCCGCTCCGCTTACCAACGGACAACAGTACCGGTCATCGTGAACCGACACTACCTTATCTCCTACCCATACTTCCTTCATACACCATCCTTAAGCATCCCTTTTGACGTGATAATGGCGCCTGAAGACAACTCTGAGGCTTTCTCCAAAGATCCGTTCTCCGGTCTTGAACGATTCCTGCTCTCGACCGACTGGAGCGATTTGACCATCATCTGCGAAGGGCGTGAACTTCCCGCTCACAAAGTCATCCTTTGTTCATACTCCCCGGTGGTCGCGGCTGCTTTGAACAGTAATCTCAAGGTACAATCTTAATTAAGCATATCGGCGCTGGTATTGAAGCCGGCTATTAATATTCGGAACAGGAAGCACGCACAAACACGATCGAAATCCAGTTCGATTTGGCTACAGTGTGCTGTATGCTTTTCTACATGTACTCTGGAGACTACGACATCCAGAAGGGGAAGCTATCCGCCCTTGGCTTCAATGCTCCGAAGAATGATGCGAAGACGGGCTTAACTCGAGGTAAGGCATGATGGTCTCCATTACGAACAAGAGCAACTTATTGACCACGAGTCCGACCATAAAGGCTCGACTGACACTACCGAGATTTCTGAAGGAAGCTCTGTCTTAAATAGCGTTCAGATATGTCGGAACGGAGATCCAGAGGCTCCAGTGATCCAAGAATTACTTGACCACGCGAAAATGAACAAGATCGGGGACTATTACCAAGTACCAGCGCTAGTGAAGATGTCGAATTTTATGATGGACTCTATCCTCAAAAGCAGCTGGTCAACAAAGGCGTTCATTTCGATCGTGAATGACCTGTTCGAGTCAACAGGAGATACTGAATGGCAGAAAATGCTCGCATCACATGTAGCCGACAATATTGTGCAGCTTGGCTCTGATACAGAAGCTCTGGCACAGGCTAAGGACCTAAGCCCCCTCACCCGCGAGATTATAAGTGCTTGTGCAGATCGAATCCAGGTGGTCGAGGCCTCTCGAAAGAAGAGTTCCAGTTCCACTGGACTCGGCTCCAGGCGTTTTTAGCACATATATTACGTCCGAGAAGAATGAAGCGATTGTGCAAACGGTCGTAGGACCACGGTGAGCAGTGAGACAACCGAGGCCTGGCATTATGATATTGCCATCATGAGCTGTCTAGTCCAGCCATTTTATACCCCATTGCCATTAACTCGTTACCTGCTGCTGGACTACTATCACGAGTGCAGTCTGGCAGTGTGAGGAGTATTACAAGTCATCGGCTAGAGCTGGACGAACGGAATTAAGGAGCGAAGAAAGAACAGGGCTAAGTGATATGTGGTGGAAAGTTGGTTGTTGCAACAAGAGGTATTTATTTTCGCAGCTAGCGAAACTCAGAGCTAGAAATCAAGTTGTCCGTCTTGATATGGCGGAATTCATGCATGTGACTGAATTGTTATAGAAAGGAGTGTACTTCATAGCCTGCTCTCCTTCACAACGCCCCTCGCGCCCCCTTTCTTGCCAAACATCTCCCGCAGATCCCCAACGATAGCCTCGGGCCGCTCCCAAGCCGCGAAGTGGCCGCCGGAGCGGTGGTTCTTCTGGTAGACGACCTTGCCAAGCTGGTGAGTCCACGGCTTAGGCGGCATAAAAATGTCCTTGGGGAAGATCCCGAGCCCGACCTTGGAGTTCTGCCACTCCATCAGCCGGGTCCACGCCTCCGCCCCGGCCGCGTCCGTGTCGTGCCTGTTCTCGTAGTAGAGCCGGATACTGGCCGCTGGCCCCGCCGTGCTGAACCAGTAGATGCTGATCCAGGTGAGGATCTCGTCGTCGGTCCAGGGATAGGCGTCGGTCCAGTCGCGCAGCTTTTCATATATCCAGCCCAGCAGCGCGACGGGGCTGTCCGAGAGGGCGTAGCCCAGCGTCTGCGGCTTGGTCGAGTGAACCTGGCCGTAGCCGTTGCCCTCCTTCATGAACCACTGCGTGCGGCCCATCGCCTGCTTCTCCTGCTCCGTCCAGGGCGTCACGGCGCTCTGGATAGCGAGCAGCGGGTGCTTGAGGAAGGGCGGAGGCCGGGCGGGCGCTATGTTGAAGTGCTGCGCCTTCGAATGCTGCGGGTAATTCTTCGCCATGGCCCGCGTGATGGCCCAGCCCCAGTCGCCACCTTGCGTCACATACTCGCCGTAGCCGAGCTTGAGCATCAGCTGGTTCAGAACCTCGGCGTGCTGGTCTATGGAGAAACCACGCTTTTTGGTGCCCTCGGAGAAGCCATAGTTGGCCAGCGAGGGCACCACAACGTGAAAGGCCGGGTGCCCGTCGCCGCCTTCGGCCAGCGGCCGGATGATCTTGGTGCCCTCAAGGAAGCTGCCGGGCCAGCCGTGGACGAAAAGCAAAGGGATGGCGTTCGCGGCCTCGCTCCTCTGGTGGATAAAATGCAGCTCGAGCGGCTCGAAGCCGTCGGCTTGGACCGGTGTCGTGAACTGCGGGAACTTATTCAGCTCGGCTTCGGCGCGTCTCCAGTCAAAAGTCTCAGCCCAATGCTGGGTGAGACGCTTGACATCGCCGAGTGGCGTTCCGAGGTCCCACGCGGCCGCCTCTAGCTCGTCCGGGAACCGGGCCCGGGAGAGCCGGTCCTTCAGGTCTGAAATATCGGAATCCTTAATTGAGATTTGATAGGCTTTGATGTCTGCCATGGTCGCCCAGCCGCTTGAATTGCGTTCAGATGTATGTATTAATATCTATACTCACTTCAATGGGTGGCCCGCAATTGGAATTTACCGAAGATGCACTACATTCGAGCAGGTTATAAGGCTTCAGAGACGGTCGTCGGGAGTGTAATTGCCTGGAGCACCGAGCTTCTTGAAACAAATGCAATTCTAGCGGATGCCTCGGCACTTATAGTCAAGTCCTGGATGACGTTAACTTCTCCAATTGCGGAGTATGCATGTCGTCTGAGCACAGCCATTCCTGCCGGATGTGAGGACGGGCAGGGGTGGCCTTCGGGACTTCGGTGCGAGATCACGTGGGAAGCACTTGGGTAATGGTCCGAATTCTTCGTGTGCTATATGGTTGATTGCACGTAATACTGCTGCTACTCTCAAGCATTACATACCAAAGGACATACCTCAGGGATCTATTACCAAGCCCGCCCCACTTCTTCACTACAGTATACTCAGCCTGTCTCTAGACCAGTTACGTGCCCTAGCGAATGGTACCAAAAACTTCGCTTCCACATAAAGCGATGATGAAGAACTTACTCGGTGTTTATGAGCTCAGTTAGCTACGCTATTTAACATCCCGGCAGTTAAAAGCCAAATGAGTGATTTGTTACGAAGCCGAAACCAATCATTCGTGGCGAGAAAGTACAAGAAACAAGCCCTCCCGCCTGCCAAGAGAATATATTCATGGCAGACAGGCAGGCAAAGGAGACAGATAGAGAGACAGAACATGTCCTGGTGCGTCTTATGGACAACAACATACCCAAAGTAAGCGGTCTGTCAAGAGGTCACACAACCGCTTGTCATGCTGCTAACAGCCAAATATGTGGCGCCGCACTCCATACGACCATCTCGTGAGCTCTATTCCATTTGACAAGTAACATGCAGACAAGAGATTAGTTTCCCACTGTACTGCACACGTACGTCTAACATGCTGGGGAAGTAGATATCACGAAGCTGAATTCTGGAACCCATGACGCTGATCTAGTGACGTCTATTCGTAGATGAACCACTGCTCTGGAGGCCCGTTGGAAGTGGCAATGTCTGTTTCAGGAGTCATGGAGATTCTGACGATAGGGCCCATCAGTATACAATCGCTAGTTCCAAGCCGATTTCGAGGTATCGCGCAGCTCGAAAATCGCGGACGCGCCATCGAAATGACCGCTGGAGCAAAGCTCCCTCGTTGTGGCCCCTCCCTACGACACGAAATCGGGCCGCCGCGTCCTAGTGCTACAACAGCGCCTTTCCACCCTCAGAGGGGCCAGCGTGCGGGAATTGGCTACAAGCTTGGGGAGCCTTTGGGGGGACTTGGTGTGGGGCTGTTACGGCCGGGCGATGCAATGAATGATATGCCTGCTTTGGGAGACCAGATGATTCACCGTGGGCGTTGCTGCAAACATTTCCTTGGGTATGAGTACAGCCGGTGACACGCGAGGGCACCGGAATTGGTGTAACTCGTGAGACTCTTGGCTAGAAGACTAGATGTTGCTTCGAGGATGGCAGAGTCGAGATGACTGAAGCAGAGACCAGTCACGTATCACAGGGGCGCGTACGACCGGAGAAAGACTCTCGCTTCGGGACTGGATCGGGAGAGTAAACACAGCACAATGAGTCCATGTTTAGGAAGCCGGCAGCTCGGACGGATGCCAATGGGACCTGAATGGTGATATTGGTTGTTTCAGGACAGCTAGCAAATGAAACAAATAGTGAATGATGCGGGGTCATGGGTACGCAGTAACGATCACAACGAAGAAGAGCGATGACAGGCAACTGCTTTTAAAGGTGTTTCAATGTATGTAGCAAGATCAGTATCTAGAATCGCAGTGTATCAAGCAACAGCTTTTTTGGATTCCTTCGTTGATTCATGACCTGGTTTCCCTCAAGAGACATTTCCAACACGCCCACAGTGACACCGCACCTTTTGAAGAGAAGAAAGTGGTCATCATCATGTCGTTAACAAGGAAAATTGCTGATATCCCTAAGCCTCTCTGGCATAAGGCTAACCGTTCAGCATAATAAAAAGGAAAAGAAAAAGCAGAATTGCCTCGGTCATGATGAACATTACCCGCCTAGAGCTCATAATAGGCAGGGGTTTTCCATTTGCTCGATTTCTCGTCGTGCTCGGCATGAAGTTGAGGTTGGAGGAAGAAGGGTGAAGGGGTCGAAGCGGAGTTGAGAGAACATTAATATCCTCCATGCGTCGCATCAATTCGTGAGCCATGTACACAGCCTTGAGCGGCATTTAAACAACAAGCAAGAATCAAGGTCGTAAGATTCGTCATCGCGTCTTCAAGGGTTTGGCCCAAAATGCCGATGATGAGTCATTGTGGTGAATACAATAACTGGTAAAGAGATCGAAGGAGTGATGTCGTCATATCAGGCATTGCAATCTATGGCCGTGAGATTTCAATGCGTGAAAAATCGCCTCTCGGACAAGGCCACAACGCCTCGATTAATGCGTAGTTGGTGAAAAGAAAAAGAAAAATGACATGTCCTGTTTCGCCAGCTCTCGATCGAAACCGTGTACATGACATTATCGTCGAAGTTGCGAGACAGCAGAGGGGGGTCGGTTCATGGGGTCGAAATTCGTGGAGGGCATAGCACCGTCTAGGGTCATTTTCCGTCGCTTCATGTCCAGGCTGGCGCTACCAGGTCGCTCATCGTCCTCGTCACGTCCGCGCTTCATCGCACCAGGTGCGCCGTTCATGATGGGCGGCACGTAGCCGTTCTGCATTGCTCCCATGTCATTTTGTGACCCGTAGACGTCGCTGGGTGCGCCATTCGTTGTTCCCCTGTCATTGCTCATTACATTATAAAGGTTGCTGGAAGGTGCGACTCGCGGGGGAGTGTTGTAGCCGGTCTGCTGGGAGTAGTATCCTTGCGACGGGTTGGTTGTTCGAGGAGTTGCCCGACCAGACCCTGCCTGGTGGCCAGGAGAGCCAGCCATGTCGCCAGAGACATGCTCGCCGGATAGAGAGGCAACCGGCGGGGCGTTGTAGTTGTAAGCATTGCGGCTGGCATCATATGCCCCGCTGTCGTGGGTATACTCAGCTTCGTGGTCGGCCTCATCTTCGCCGGTGCTTTGAGGCAGTTGTTCGCCGGGCTGGCCTTGGTGAATCATGCCGTTCGGTGGCTTGACGTCTTGTTCGCCTGGGCCGGCAGGTCTGCCCGAAGGGGGCGCCATATCACCTCTCATGTAATTACTTTGGCCATACGAGTTGCGGTCCTGGGGGCTGGTGTTTGTTGGTGGGTAGGGAGACTGTTGAGGGCCAGAAGCATTGTATACCCCACGAGACGCATCGTACGACTGAGTTCCTTGAGGGTAGCTTTGCATGCTCTGTAGTGAACCACCGGGAGGGGTAGTCGCCGGGGTTGCTGGCATGGAGCGGGTATTGCTCAGGCCAGTGTCTATCGACATGGGGTTATTGTTTGGTGCGCCACTCATGCCCTGCTGATTCCAGTTGAAATTGTCTGAAGGCATGCTGCCCATTACACTTGATGCACTCGTGGGCGGGGTGGGGAAGGTATGAGCCCTGTCTAGGGAAGGCCGTCCGGAAGAGTTGTGCGAGGGAACTGAGGACTGCGGCCCCGGCAAGCCCATGTGATGATGATGTTGTTGTATCGAAGGCAGAACACCTGAGGGAGGAGCTGGTCCACCAGGCCCTCCACGCATCTGGTTCTGCTCTGCCTTGCGGCGCTCAGCGGCAGCCATCACCTGGTTCGTCCTGGTCTGGTTGGTAGGATGGTAAAGCAATGCACCAATGTTGTGAACGAAGAGAGGGTACAACATTTCTGTAATCTTCTCCTTGTTCGCAAAATCCAGAGCCCTCTCAAAAGGAATCCTGATCGACTACGTTAGCAGAGTCGGTGGAAAGACTTGTTTCAAGGGAGACTCACCAGACGCCCTTCAAGTGCATGGGGCCAATCTTTACAACGTGGCGGACCTTTTCACTCTTCAAAATTCCGTCACGTCTACCACGGGTCATACCGGCAACGTTGAGCAGTTTTGTGCCGTTGATCATGTGGTTATCTATTCGGTCATGTTAGACATCGAATGAAAAGAAGAACCGCAATCAAAAGAGGAGTCTGGCATCTTACCTTCACGACGCGCAACACAGATACCCCTGGCTTCAACCTGGAAACACAAACTTCCTTCGTCTTCCCACAGAGTGGCTGTCACACGGGGTTTCATACCCGGCGGCGCAACCTGTCCGGTCGTATCCATGCCCTGGTAGCTGTTCTGCATGGCGGGCTGATGCACGCCTGGTGGCGGAAGAACATTGGCCCCCATCGAATTCGAGACCGCAGGAGGAGCGGATTGAGGGGACGTCAGTCCATTCGAGTAGCCATACTGGGGGTAGGGAGCGGTAGAGTACTGGGCAGGACCAGGCTGTAATAACGGCGGCTGCTGGTGGCCGTAGTGTGGTAGTGCGTTGGAGGTTACGGTCTGAGGGGGAGGCGCAGGCCCCGCGGACATGTGCTGAGGATAATACATGTCGTTACCTGCAGAGTTCATTGCCGAGTATTGGTCGTATCCTCCGGAAATACCAGTCACAGGGAGGTTGGGCGAAGGCGTCTTGGGGCCGTTCGAGGAGGGAGCGGATGAGGCAGAAGTGAAGGAGGACTGGGATTCGCCGTTTGAGCTCACAGCAGATCCAATCGAGCTGACCCGGGGAGAAGAGGCACCCGAGGAGTATGCCAATGGCGGTTGGGGAAATGGCAGTGACGGCAGTCTCTCACTTGCATACGGCGGGCGCTGGGTAGCGGAGTTGCCGTAATATGGCGGCACGTCGTTGGGTCCCCGGGTCTGCGAGTAGGAGATGGGCGGGAGGAGTTGAGGATCCAGCTTGACGGCCTTGACGGGAATGCCGGAGAGGCGTTTCGTTCCGTAAGTTCTGTCTCGGTTCCAAGTCGATCAGTTGCACGACTTGAAGACTGAGGCAGAATGGGGCCAAGTACAACTGGCGCAGCAGGCCAATTGACTTTCGACAACCTGAGGTGGAAGTACAAGAGACAGGACTGGTGCGGGGGGCAACACTGCTGGCGAGTCTGGCAAATAACTCGACGGGCTGTGGTACCACGGGACGGCGCCTGACTTGAGTTGTGAATCTTATCACGGACCAACCTGGTAAGGAAGGGGAAACTGGACGGTTTAAGAGATGACTCGGAATTAACGACGGTGGTGCTGCTACTACCCAAAGCTGAGCGGAGAGTAACCGGAATGCGGTGTCCTTCGAGAGCTAGAGGGTTGCGTATCCAGAGTGGCAGCAGATACAGAGACAGTTGTCTAGTCTAGTCCTGGGACCGAGCGAGGCAGTTTCGACTATTTGCGGTGCAAGTCGGAAACTGAGGAGCAAGCAGAAGCGCCAGAGAGACGACAAGATATTGGGGTAATCTTGGTCCAAATCGTGCCAATTTCGATTCTCCGGGTGGGGAGAGGTGAGGAGACAGAAAGCTAGGGGAGGGAGCTCGGGGCGAGCGAAGACATGTAAGTCGAAGCTGTCTCGAGGGGAAGAGCAAAGTAAGCGCGGCCCTTGTCGTGAGGTCGTTTGGCCGGTGAACTAGCTCTCTACCATGCGAACGCGGCTTTCCTTCTAACACCGGGAGGGCTCTCAACTCTAATGCAGGAACGCACACATCAGCTGGTGTTGCGCACGAAAAAATTGGCCGTCTTTCCTTGACGTGTGCAGGTTGGCAAGGCGGGCAGAGTTTGCGCAAGGAGCAGTGCAGGTGGGTTGAGGGTGAGGGGGCGGATGGGTATCTTTTGGGAGCCGGGGGGGCCCTCGAGAGACGTTGGTGCTCTTGAACAACGTACCTTGGATCGCCAACCTCTACGGCCGTCGCTCTTTAAGAAATTGAGGTGGTCGGACGGGCGTGAAAAGAGGAGGAGGGAAAGAGAGGAGAGAGAAGAAGAAGGTTTTTCGGTGCGGTGGTGAGGAGGCAGGCAAGGTAGTAGAGTAGCAGTATTTCTCGAGGTAGAATCGAATCAGACCAGGCCAGCCCAGGATCAAGACAGGACCACGGCCACGGCCACGGCCACGACCAGGGCCAGCAGACGGTACATAGCAGACGAGATAGAGCGAGCGAACCCGCCGCTCGCCGCTGGCTGGATGTACCTTGTAACCTCACCCTACCTAAACCAAACCAAACCGAACCAGTCTTCGGAGGTGTGTCCTGCTGGGGTTTGCTGGCAGGGAGGGGTGGTTGGGCGACTGGGGGGGCCTAGCAGCGCCGGGCCCAGGGTGCGGTCGCTGGCGCTGCTGTGTGGTTTCTGGGTAGTACCTCCGTACCCTCAGATCATCCAAGCTCTCCCAACCTACAGCACTAGCTGTGTCTATGTCTACGGGGGGTGGTGCGCGAGGAGAGTTGCACCGACCTGGGGCCATGTCGAGTGTGTGTTATCCCTCCCAGTCGTCTCTTCTCATTGGCCCGCGGGCTTTCGCAAGCAAGCCCATGAGAGTCTGACCCAAGATGGAACTTGGGCTGGCAGAGGGGCCTCACTCAGGTGGTTATAGTCTAAAATGGTGCCGTTGAATACCCAGGCAGAGACATTTGGATAGAACAAGCCGGCGCGAGAAAGAGAGAGAGGTGGACGAGAGGAATAGGGGAGCAATCGTGCTCGTCGGCTACAAACGCTTGCTCTGCGTGCTCCTCGTGTCCGAAAAAAAAATGAATAAATAAAAGCTTCTCATTGCCGAACACAACAATAAGTTAAGGCCGACAGGGCACGTTTTGGCGTGTCGTGCTCTCTCTCCCTCTCAGGCTGCGCGCGGAATCCCTCGCGAGTTGGTCGGTACGAAGTACCTCCTACGGCCAACGCTGCTGCGACTTGTGGGTCGGGCGCTGCCAGCAAACCCAAGCTTTCCCCTATCGTTGCGTTGGCTGGGGGGGCGGGCTAGCAGTAGAGCCCGCCGGCGCACTGTCCATGGCGGGGGAAGGGGAAACGACCTGGGTGGGAAGATGCCTGCTTGCCTGAGAGCGACTGGGACAGGGCAGTGTGGATGCAATCGTTTGAGCACAGGTCTCACCGTGGGCTTTCCACTCCGCGCGCGGCTCAGCAGCATGGGCCATGTGGACCAGTCGGGGATGTAGGATTGATTGTTTCTTTCCACCAGCGCTGGCCTCCTTCGGGCCTGGCAAGCCTGCGCTGGTTGGGACAGACGACCAGAGACCAGCAGAGGTACATGGTATCTCGGCTCTGGTCACAAGTGTGTCGAGCGGTTGACCAAACCGAAATGCCCGCCTCGCTCGGAAACAACGTTCGGGGTGGTTAGCCAGCCCACCGTAACCCCACTTGGGAGAGCCGCTGATAACCTGTGTTTCGATGTGTCCGTTACGCGCCGTGTCGGCAGATCACTTGAGAGTTGCCCGCCCCGTACGTACGTACGTACATGTAAAAGTGTGTGTGCGTCCCCTGTGGCAGGTGTGTGTGTGTGTGTCGGCAAAAGCGATGGCAACAGCTTGCAACAGCGAGTTGGAAGCGCAAACCTCGCTGGCTGCACACTTTGGCTTGTTACAAGTAACTATATCTTCGCATGGGCGATCCCGAGTCTGACTGCTCACGCAGGTCACATAACATAGTAAATCGGAATAGCGCGCTCTGTCTGTGCCATTACATACATACGTACATATTGCTTCAGATGACATGGCCCCCATCCGCAGCTACTGCGGTGCCGTTCAGGCAACATGAGAGCTGCATCCACAAGACTGTGCATGAGATATGCAGGTATAAGGTTGCCAAACCCTTAACTGTGCCACGCGTCGAGGCTTCGATTCTTCTTTTTTTTTCCCCCTTTCGGACGATGTTCGAGTATGTCGTCTGAAAGTCTGTCTCCCTCTTCCTCCCTCTTTTTTGTCCTTTCGGTCTCTTTCTACTGTACATTCCTTTGCTGTAGGCCTCTGGGCTGAGAGCCAGGGCCTTGTCATCATTGATCTATTTTCGAGGTGGGATGCGCCTGTCGTGGGAACCATCACGGTCGTATTGAATGCACATCGTGCTAGCGGACAGTGCAGGCGGAAGCTAGTAGGGGTCGCAAAAAGATGGATCGCACCCAAAAAGACGACCCATGTCGTCAGCCAGTAGTCGCATGTACAGTGTAGGGGATCACCCCTCACGGGCTTTTAGTTCTCACCGACCAACGACCTCGCGCTCATGGCATCATGGCACAGAGTACCTGGTCGGCAAACCGCGTACTGGGATCTCTGAGACGCTGGTGGCTTAGGTGGCTGTCCTCGCGCTGGTACGAAAAGTCGCGAGCAGTACTTTTGTCCTTTGCTCGTTCCGGCAAAGTGCCCTCTTGGCGACGATTTCTGTACGGCTTCGGGGATCCAGCACCCCCTCATTCGTTCTCATCTCTCACTCAGTTTTCGTTACGTCTTCCCCGTTACTCCACTGCTGTGAGGACCCAGGAGCCCGCTGCGATGGCCGGGATGGGGGTCTATTGTGCATACAGATGCCAGATTCATACCGAAATGCGAACACCCAAGATAGTCTTGCAGGCCTGGATAGCAATTACCGTGCTTCCTCACGCCTGGCAGGCCGTCGTGTCTCAGATGACATAGCTCCCCTGGCCAAAGAGCATACTATATCAACTGCGCCTTGCTATTTCTTGCTCTGCCCATTAACCTTTGTTCAACAAACGGCCGTCAGAAGTAGGTCTCAGTGCTTGACAGATATCCTGGGCCGGCAAGACAGGGGCCTGCGCATTCGAGCATAGCCCTTTGACTCGAGGAGGGCAGCGATGGCCAAAGGGGTCAACATCAAAATTCGTGGATGCAGTCTCAGGCTATCAGCCCAACAAGAGGATACACCGGGACCTTGGCACTGCCCCGTTACATGTGTAGATGATTGCCGGAACCATGTTATTACTCTCACTCCTTTCAATGGTGTTGTGGGTGGTACTGGCGCTGAAGCGCCCAATAGAGTATTAATATGGAAAATACGTAGACGAATCCCTTCCGGGCTGAAGACCCTCGCACAGTATAGCCGACCGCTGTATTGACTGATTGCTCCACCCCACCTCGCCTACCCTTCTCCACTGGATAGACATGGTACAGAGAGGGCCTGCTGTTGGGCGATCAATACCCTGGGATCATAGCGGGCCCTATGCAAGATTGCAAAGGCTGTCAGGCAAGCCAGTGGGTGGCTTCATCGCATCCAACGCTCAAGTAAGTGTTCTCATCCCAGCCGTCACGGACCGAGACTAGATCCAGCTCGAGAGCCCGAGGCCAAGAGTCGAGGAGTTGTTCATTGCCGAGTTTGCACATCGATATCCACGAGTAATGTATGCACGTCCGTGCGATACCATTGTTCGAAGAGAGCCAGCTGGTCTGATGGCAGGTATGTACTTCGTCAATCCTTCTGGCAACTTCCCCAAGAGACCGCGAAGAGGAGGAACACACTTATCCCGCCTGCGATTTGTAGTTGGCGACAGGGTAAAAAATTCAAGTGTCTCCCTCATTCGTCGTTTCAACCATGCAAAACCAGAGATGGCAGCTGTTCAATCAGTTGTAGTCAGTGCACGCGCTCAGTCAGGGTCCGTGTGGTTTGTGCATCCACTACGGGGATTGACAACGCCATCACGGTCTACAGATATTTCTGTCTGGTTTGTCGTCCAGTGTACCATAGTAAAGCTGGTAGCCCCAGCACCTTGCATGCTACCTGAACGGACTCAGAGCCACACCCGGCCACTCCTATTCTTCCGATCAAGAGTTGCCTTCCACACTGACTCTGAGACGACAGCCGCATAGCGAGAAAACCGTATCGTGTTGGCAAAGCAATGACAGATGACCCAAATGATGACATCTCGCCATACCGCCCCTTTACGAATACGTAGATCGTCCATTGCTATATCACTGTCTTTTGACTGAAGAAGCTTCTATCAAGACACACGACAAAACCCAACACGGATTCCTGCTGTGGTTGTAGTGGCGCACAAACCTCGTAGTGTGGTGTACCTGCTACACAACCTCGATTCCGACATCGCGAGGAGCCTAGCGTTCTCCCTGCCACGCCTGATTGCATGCACAGCAAAGAACTGACCGCTGTGCTACGCCAGAAGCACGACTGTTACACTTGCTTCATGTGGTAGCACGCACGGTGCATACTGTAAGGGAGGTCCTCGCGGGCTCAGGATGCTAGTCCATGGGCCTCGTCTACCAATATCAGCATGGGGACATATCCTTGGAAGCACAGCACGATCATCGAGTCGACGGGATTCTTATGTTTCACAGCAAGACAACAGATCAGCAATAATTTGTTCTGGACCTGAAAATGGGTCCTCGTGTCATGTACGTCCTTGACGGCATCCGATCCGCCTACATTGGAGCGGCATGTTGGGCCTGCTCTAGTCTCGCATACGTAGCTTGCATGGAGGCGACTGCCCAAGGGGAACCGTTGAGGCATCAATTACCACCTGGCTGCAGCCATTCAATCCTTGGGCCACACAATGTGAGCCAAGGCAGCACAGCGGGCAGCTCGTGGTGGGGGCTGCATCAGGCTAGGAGACGCCGTACCCCTTCAGCGCAGGCCTTGCGTAGCCCAATGCAAGATTCCGCTATACTTGAGCATCCCGTC